GGGGCAAGGGCAAGGGCAGGGAAAGGGAAAGAAGAAGGGGGGGAAGGGGAAGCGGTGATAATTGATTCGTGTGGGGGGGGGATTGTATTGGAGGTATGGGTATGGAGGGGTTTGAGGATTGAGTGTGGGGTATTCGGTCAGGGGCTATTGAAGTCTGTACTCTGAATGGAACCTGCATGGTTAGCTTGCCAGAGGTCTAGATGTCGAACATGGGCTATTGAAGCACTTGGCAGAAGAGAGGATTGAGATACCCGGTGGATTGTGCGGATTGTCCTGTGGAGCAACTGCAGTCAAATATAAGTTGGTCGAGATGAGAAAAGATATACTTCATACTCTATCGGATCAGTCAGTCCTGATCCTCATTACGATCTACTCTCTTCCAAGATCAAGTCATATCCAATGTACATTCCTAGCTAAATACAGTAAACAAGCCCGCCAACCAACGCCAATCCCATGCGTGTAACTCAAAGCTCATAACACAAAACCAAACAGAATTATTCGTAGCCATGGCTGTGCCGACAACCGGGTATATCGTGGCATCAATCTAAAAGTCCTCATCAAAGTTCAGACCACCGGACGAGGCGCTGGTCTCCTCCTCCTCCTTCTTCTTCGTGCTAGCCATGACACCAGCCTTCTGGTAGTCACCGACACGCTTCTCGAAGAAGTTGGTCTTGCCAGCCAGGGAGATCGACTCCATGAAGTCAAAGGGGTTGGTGGAGTTGTAGTACTTCTTGTTACCCAGAGCGACCAGCAAGCGGTCGGCAACGAACTCGATGTACTGGCACATCAGCTTGGCGTTCATGCCCAGCAGGGCAACGGGCAAAGAGTCCGACAGGAACTCCTGCTCAATACCGACAGCCTCGACGATAATGTCCTCGACCATCTGCTTGCTGGGGCGGTTGTTGAGGTGGGAGAAGAGCAAGCAAGCAAAGTCGGTGTGAAGACCCTCATCACGGGAAATCAACTCGTTGGAGAAAGTGAGACCGGGCATCAGGCCACGCTTCTTGAGCCAGAAGATAGAAGCGAAAGAGCCAGAGAAGAAGATACCCTCAACGGCAGCGAAAGCAACGAGGCGCTGGGCGAAAGTTGATTCGCGGTCCTGGATCCACCTGATGGCCCAATCGGCCTTCTTGCGAATGCAAGGAACTGCAGCACGTTAGCATCCCCGCCAATCACAGTCCAGGCGCCATATACATACTGTTATCAATGGCGTCGAAAAGGTAATTGCGCTGCTTGGGCTCCTTGATGTAGGTATCGATGAGGAGGGAGTAGGTCTCGGAGTGGATGTTCTCCATCATAATCTGGAACCCGTAGAAACAACGAGCTTCGGGGATCTGAACTTCGCCGCTGAAACGCTCCACCAGGTTCTCGTTGACAATGCCGTCGGAGGCGGCGAAGAAAGCAAGGACGTGAGAAATGAAATAGCGCTCGTCATCGTTGAGGCGGTTGCTCCAGTCGTGCAAATCCTTGGAGAGATCGATTTCCTCGGCGGTCCAGAAAGAGGCTTCGGCCTTCTTGTACATCTGCCAGATCTGCAAGTCGCGAAAATCAACGTTAGCGCGCTAGTCTCGACGCGAGTGGAGACTCCCGAAGGAGAGAAAAAAAAAAACCACTTTACGCGTGACGCGTGAAGGACGTGTCGACTGACCTCGTGATACTTGATGGGGAAGAGAACGAAACGGTGAGGATTCTCTTGAAGAAGAGGCTCATTGGCCTCGAACTCCTTGATACCAGGAGCAACCTTAGGAGCTTCGACGGGCTTCTCGGCAACGGCCTTCTCGGCAGAGAGGTCGACGGTGGCGGGAGCGTTCTCCTTGCCAGCAGTGTTGAAGTTGAGCTTCTTAACGGGAGAATCGCTCATCTTGAGGTTCTCAAGCGAGGACGCAGCCTATGCATCAAGGTTAGTGGGCTGAATTGCTCGCGTCTACGCGTCGATCAGAGGGAGGCAGGACGTGACATCACCTACCTGCTTGGAGGGAGTGAGTTGTGCGGACATTGTGAGAGTGTAAGGAGATGTGGGGCAAGTAGATAGAGACAATTGTTCACACCGACACAGCAGCACACCAGACAATTGATCGTGATAGACTGGAGTGAAAGAAAATGAGCTTCGAAGGGGAGGGACAAGCAGACAGAAATACTTGCATGAGACGAGAAGCGTGATTCTTAGCGCGACGGGCTAAGTCACGTCGCACGTGATTTGGCGCGACTTGGGCCCCGGTGGCTGGCGGGAACAAGTATTGATCCGGACCCAGTTTGTTGATGCCGTCGCGTCTTCACGTCTTACATTCCCATTTCAGCTCTCAGACCACCGGCCAGTCGCCCATCCGAGGTGCTCTAGATCTCCACTGCTCCAACAGCTGCAGCAAGTTTTGCAGCTCTCTCCACATTGCTGGACAGGTACGCACTGCGCTGGTCATTATGACTTGAGCCGTCCCTACCGCTTGTTCTCACTTCCCTACTCTAGCGTGTTCGTGTTTCGTCGCACTATTCCTTGTTGGGTCTCGTCACTGCCCCCTATCTTATCTGATCAAACACACGCGATCAAGATCTCGCGTCTGGTCACCCTTGAACATTGCTTTTGCTCCGTTTGATTCTGTAGAATAACATTCTCCGTTGTTGCAAATAAGTGTTGATGTCTGCCCCTCATACTTGGACCCCTCACCGGTTCTCCCGTACCTTACAGATGACTGCAGTTGCTTAGGCAGCGTTTACGGCATCCTGAGCAACCAAGCTGAGTTCAGCTGCCGATCCCCACTGACTTAAATCCGAGGTGAACTTTTCCCTAGTTTAATGTCTGTGCTCACCAACAGAACGCGACGCGCTTTTTGTCCGCAATCCAAACGGAGAAACAGTTTTGCTCCAACCGCTCCACCACGGAATTACGGGCCTTCTCTGGGTCTTTCTGCGTCGCTTTCTATCCTGATGCGGTAGCCTGGATCCGGACCAGATTTCATGGCGAGTTCTGGCGCCGCAAATTGTGGGTTCCTGGTCGAGATTTTGTTTCCGTTCGGTCGGGGATGACGTCCTGCCAGTCCGAGACGCGTCTGCCGTGTGTTGACTATTGATGCCTGAGATGAAATTGCAATTTGTCTGAGCTCTAGCGCCTGGTGACAGTAGAGCCATTGATGGTTCAAAGAACTTTTACGACTTCACGGAAAATAAAGAAAGTACAAGTCTCTCGCGTGAGAGAAATGATAAGGCACGCCGTAGGATGAGCCTGTCTCTACGGAGTACAGATTACACAAAGCGTCGTGCTTCGCGCTGCCGATCCGACGGAAGGAACATGTGCACAGCGGCGATGTCATCCCGGACAACCTGGTCAATATTAGTGCGAACTAGACATTGGGGGTTGCACAAGGGCCCACTTGAGGTCCCAGAATGAGGGTAACTCGTCTCACCTGAATCTTGTAGCGTCGTCCCGTCTTTGAGTACGCTTGGGTTCTTGACAAGCTCAAGTCCCAGCGTGAGCGTGGTATCACCATCGATGTCGCTCTCTGGAAGTTCCAGACTGCCAAGTATGAGGTTACCGTCACTGGTAAGTTGTCTCGTGTTACCTTAGATTGTCCTTCGTCATCTAACATCCGTCTTTGTCTCATCCAAGGATGTATATCCTTCAATCTCACGCAGATACCGCCGAATGTACGGTTTAATATGCCTCAGCTTCCACAAAATCTAGCTCTATGTTGCTTCGAGGTCAATGCGACCTAACATGACCCGACTAACGAAGCTGAAACGCCCTATGTACACAACACGCCGAGCAAACAGATGCTAACACTCAACCACTAAACCCTGATCGAATATACCGAAATGCCTCTATAAATGTCTTCGCACGATAAGCAGGTAAGCCAATGCCGCTGGACAAACGTCTTTTATTTACAGTCGAGCCCTGAGCGAGTCCGAGAGGAACCGGTCCTCGAGTCTACGCATATATTTGTTGGTTTGTTCAGCCAAGCTCAGTGTCAAAATCTAGGATTCAGTTAGCAAATCTGTTGACGGTCTTTGATGAACATTGCTTTGACTTACGGTATGGGGCAGGATGCGGGCAAGATGGGCGAAATAGCCCTTGTAGATTGCAAGAATGCCCTCTGTGCGAATGGTTTGGAACAAGCAGTCAAATGCGCCCTTGTAAAGGTTACCGGTCTGATTATACATTCTCGACATGATGGTGTCTGCGAAACTGGTCAGCTAGGCCACATTGCTGAGATGGCGAACTCGTTCAATCATACCAGGAGGATGCATGACACAGCAAACAACAAAGCCGGAGGCCGTGCTGCTAGCCAAGTGCAGGGCCGGTCCATCTTCCATACCAAGGTGCTTGGTTAAGCGACGCTTGGCGAAGAAGTAGGTCGGCAGCTGAACCGAGCTACCAAAACCAGTGCGCACAATAGCTGCGCCAACACCACGGTATAAGCCCTTGACACCCTCGGTCTTGTAGATCTTGCTCAGCCCATCGAAAGAGTTGCGATAGTTGTGCTGTGTGCCGACAGGAAGGAAGGGCGAGAAGGATTGTAGACGAGTCTTGACAAGAAAGAATGGCGAACCAGCTGCAGCGCCAATGATACCCGAGGCAGCACCTGCGAAGACGTTGATGCCGATGGACTGAATCTGAGTGTCTTTGTAGACCGCATTCGTGATGGCTCCGCGGAGAGGTTCGTAGAATCCGAGCCGGCAACCGTTCAGGAGAACTTGATAGATATACTAGAGCGGATATTAGTTCGCCGGATATTCTATATTCTGCTGGTGAGCAATGCTTACGGCAGAGCCGATACCCCGGAAAAGACCGCGAGGGCCCTCGTTCTGCAGGATAACCTTGACACCGTGGAAAACACCCCGGTACTTCTTGACCGCATCGCTGTTAGACTGCAGCTCTCCTTGCAATTGTAAACTAGAGTTTCAACCGAATCAGACCAATTCAGGAAGTAGCGCCGACCGGAAGGCGAGGGGAAAGGAGAGGAGTAGTGCGACAGTACCGAATCTTGACCGTCTCGAAGCTGTGAGTTACCGTGACTGCACCGCATGCTGCGACACCTCCTGCAAGAAAAGCTCTAGATAGAAGTCCGATCGAGTCAGCGCGAGTGCGAGAAGGGGCAAGTCCATTGTGTAGAGTGCGACAAACCCTGTCGTTGTCGACATGGCTGCTCAGAATTCGTCTCCGCTAGCGGAGGCGAGTCGACTGGTCCTTGCGCGCAAGATGCTGGGGTCAAGACTGTGTAGAGAGAGCGGAGATGTCTAGCTGTACTGGAGGAAACAAAAATTTGGGAGCGGGGAGGGGGGGTGAAGTGTAAGATGAGATTCTAGCTTTCGTTAGTTGTCAAAGATGACACAGTGAGACATTATTCAGCCGCTCGAAGGATGCAGAGCCAACGTGAACATTTCATGCGGGCGATTGATCCAGCCTTGGGGGCCGACTTGGGGATCGGCTCGGATTCCGTGGTTCATCATTGGTCCAACATGCTGCATTTTCCGCACGGGGCCTCCGACCATCGGCCGATCTGCTTAGCTCAGCATTTAGTGACCCCGACTATAGCCAGCGGGGCGGAACAATGTTGTTTCGACAGAGCTTCCAACGCGAACAAACGGGCTGGAGACGGCGCGTTTGTCGGTGTTGATAAAGCTCTCGTGAGAGCATCGCAGAGCAATCCATTGCAAGATCCAGAATTGCATAACTCCATTTTGCCTTGCAAACAAACCACACATTATCTTGTTCATCTCCCGACACCGCAATCGCTGCTCATTTAGCTCCAGCCATGGCGGAGGTACAATCACAACCCGCAGCGCAACAGCAAGCGCAGCAGCCGATGCTCCAGACTCAGAAAGTGTCGGACATCATCCGGAGCTTTCGTCCGGCCAAGGTGAGCTTCAAGATCAAGTCGGTGCTCTATGCGCTGATTCTCTAATATTCTTCACTGTCATAGGCATTTCGACCCTCGAAGCAGGAACCTGCCAACTATGTGACGTCTTTGGATTTCGATGATCAGGGCGATTACCTGGTGGCTTCTGGTGACGACGATATGATTCAGGTTTTCGACATCAAGGAGGGCAAGTCTACAAAATCGGTACCTAGCAAGAAGTACGGAGCTCATCTGGCGAGATTCACGCACCATTCCCGTCAAGTTCTTCATGCGAGCACGAAAGTCGATGGTACGTCGCATACTTGGTCTCTCGCTTTACTACTTACTCATTCCTTCAGATTCATTGCGGCTGCTTGACCTACATAATGAAGGATATGTGCGGTATTTCTCTGGCCATACTGATAAAGTCACCTGCTTGGCTCTATCCCCTGGCGGTGATTCGTTCATCTCGTGCTCTAAGGACGATACCATCGCACTATGGGATCTAGGCTCCAGAAACGCCCAGGGTAGGCTGAACCTTGCAACGCCGTACCTTGTTGCCTTCGACCCATCGGCGTCGGTCATTGCAGTCGCTTCGCAGTCCACTTCCTCCATCATGCTATATGATCACCGCAATTACGACAAGTCTCCTTTCTCAACTTTCGATCTTGCGCCCCACGAGGAACGATACACTCCGTCAACGCGCGGAAGAGCATGGACCCGACTTGAATTTTCCAACGACGGGAAGTACTTGCTGGTGGGCACAGATTATCATGGACATTTTGTTCTCGATGCCTTTGATGGATCCGTGAAAGCATTCTTAATTGGTCGGGCTGGATCCCCGGGTCGGGCTGCGCCCGTTTCCACCACTGGAAAGCCTCTGGGACAGGGAGATGCGTGCTTCTCGCCCGACGGGCGGTATGTCATCGGTGGCTCTGGAGATCAGCCGGACATCTTGGTATGGGACCTACAGCAGACTCCTGATGCCAACGGCTTGCTGCAGCCAATGGCGAAGCTGCCCCACCGTGGCCGAGTTGCCCTCGTGGAATACAATCCCCGCTACAACATGTTGGCATCCGCCGACAAAGAAGTCGTCTTCTGGCTCCCAGAGGACGGTTCCCGGCCTGCCGAGAAGTAAGGTTTCTGTCTGTTACGGCCAATAGCACCTCCCTTGCGGCCAATGCTATCACGGGACAATCTCAACCACCCAGGCTTCCACCTCATCAATCGAAACAAGGACGCATTCGAAGATTGGTAATGACTCTATATGCTCTTTGTGCGGACTGATCTATTATCTAATGCATGCCGATGATAATTTCTAGTCTTTGCGACCCTTCTCTTTCCCTATCAGACTCCTCGCTGTATCGCACACCCAGATTGCAGGCCCCTCTAGACCATCGTCTGCCCCTCTGTTCTTCTCGATAATGGATTCGATCTGTTTTACCACCGTGCGGTTGCTTGATATAGTCACCACACCAGCAGCCCAACCATACAGGAAGACGCTATGGTTGATATCCGACAGCACTTTCTCAACCTTTTCATAGACAGGCGGAAGTTTGGCAAGATCCTTCGCAGAAGCTATTGTCGACGTCGCATTGACTGCTCTGAGAGGTAGTCTCCAGTCAGCAGGAATTTCATAATCAGATAGTTTCTGGTAGGCCTCAGTGAGGTCCTCTCGACAAAGGTCACCAAACGACCCTATACCCAACAAGATCCTCATTCGCTCCTTTTCAGTCTCCGTGCCGATGATGTTGACGATTTCCTGCATCCTCTGAGCGGCCTCCTCGGTGCACACCAGATCACGGCCTACCATTGCGGGCCACAACTCTGTGGGGAGCAGTGGGCGGGTATGCTCGATCTCAATTTGCCGATTGATGGCCCTGTGATGAATGGGAGAGGTGGAAATATTCTTGTAATGCGAAAGGTCCGAGACTGCTGCCAGCAATAATGTACAGTCCACATTTAGAGTAGGCGTGAACCGCTTGAATGGCTTAGGAAGCAGCCTTAGCAGCGCCTCGGCTTTTGTGGTCTCGTTCTGCGAAGAATATACATTCTCCCCACAAGTCACTTCAATCCCATACCCGCGTAGGACCTTCAAAAGCTCATCTATCTCCGGACTCGAGCCTTCCTCTATCTTGGGAATGACAAACCGCAGCCGCGGCGTTCTATACCTCACCCTCGTAACGTTAGCCGCTTTCCGCATATCACTAGCGAGCTTCACCAGCTCAATCTGATCATCATCGTCGTCGTCTGTGTCCATCCCATCATCATAATTCCGTAGCACCGTCCTAGGCTCCTCCCCATCTTCGTCCGACTCGTCCGCCTCCCACCCCTTCTTCGCCATCTCGAACAACAACCTCGTCTCCGAGATAGTCGACACCTTCACCCACTCCTCCCCATCATCCGCCACGATATCTACAAACACACTCTTCTTCTTATCCTTGCTCGCCCTCTTGCCCCCTCCGCCAGCCCGGGCCTCACCACCCTTCCCTCCACTCTTCCCATCACCCTGAAACCCCTCCTCCTCCACCCCCCAATAAAACCGCTTCCCAAACGCCACCAACCCCGAACACGAACCCCTCGCAATCGCCCAAACCGCCTCATAGAACGGCAAATTCGACGACCGCAACGCATGCACCACCCGCGACCTCACCTCGTCGTCGTCGCCGGCGCCGCCACCATCCACTCCATCTTCGATTTGTTGAAGACTGGCGGCTGCTGCTGCTGCTACGGCTTGTGCGTTCGCTGCTGTTACCTCGCGAATCTGCGCGTCGAGTTTCTCCAACGTGCGCAGCTCGGAAAGCACGCTGGAGCGCAGCGAGCGCACTTCCACGATTTGGGGGTTGCGTTGCGTTTGCACAAGGAGGGATTGTAGGGCGTCGAGGTCGGATAGGAGTGTGCGGCAGCGCGTTACGAGCGTGGTGGAGAGGGTTGTGCTGTCGCTGATGCTGTCGCTGGTGCTGGTGCTGGTGTCGATGTTGCGCATTGAGAGTGGGTCGGTGGGTGTCATCTTGAGAACAGGGTTGGATTACTTTCAGGTGTGATATCGTTTTTTTTTTTTTCCTTTTTTTTGGGTATGTCTAGGTGTGGAAGTGGTGCTGGAGCTTGGAGGCCCGGGGGAATGTAGTGGGGTTGTTTGGTGAGGCGGAGGTTGCGACCGCAGCGCGGGGTTTGGTTCGGAGCGGGTGTGGTGATACTATGCCAAGGTCGAGTGATTTGCGCAAAATTGATTACTAGATTTATTCGAGAAGGAAATTGTTCATAGAATCAGGGGGAATTTCAAGAAGTCCAGCAGTGAGTCATGGGTGTATATAGTGAGATTTGTAATTTGTAGTTTGTAGATTGTAGATTGTAGATTGTAGATTGAAATGAGACTAGCTGCTCAGCTCAAGCTCTAGCTGTGCCTCTTTAGGCTAAAAACCACGCGGGCCGCGGCACGCAGTAATGTAGCAAGGATAACTACTGTCAGTGAGTGGCATTCATTAACGCAGAGAAACAGTTAACTCTTCGAACTATCCTATGAATTTGCTGAATTGGTCGAACTTTCCATCAAGATGTGCTGAAGCCAATTCCATTTTGAACTATTAAGCAGACTTTATACATATGGGACAACAAATATTTTTCATCCCTCATCAATGAAAAAGAAACTGAAGGCTAAAAACCAAACTCACTGGGAATTCACCTTAGCCAAACGCCATGATATGCCTTCAAGCAGATTGAGAGCGACACTGAGCTTCCATTCCAACACGACAAGATCTCTCTGGGGTTGCAGGGTCAAGCTCGTAGGGCCACAAACGCTGTGGTTATGCACCGCAGCTTCAAGCTTTCCTGCAGTGTTGACATCGCCATCTAATGCTTGCCAGTGAGGCGCTGTCTCTCACCGGAGTTGCGAGGTGACTCGTCCTCGTCATCTGACCACTTGTCACCGTCTTCACCAACTGCAAAGATAGTCTCTCCATCAAGGGACTCGCGCGGACGCGATGCAGAAGGGACGGGCTTGGGCGGGATAGGAGACAGGTCGCGGCGCTGTTCATGACCAGAGTGTTCCTCAAGACCACCAAGAGCGTCTTCCTCATCCAAAGCACTACCGAAAGACCTGATTTCGAAGCCATCGTCATCTTGAGCAATCTACCAATCTTGTTAGCAACACTTCGTAAACTAGTCACTAAGAATGCAAGATTCACCTCATCACTCATGGCGAAGCGTCGGTTGTTGGCAGTAGGACGCCACAGATAGGCAACGAACCCAATGTCAAAGAGATAGACAATGTTGAGCCAGCCGTCGAGGACAAACCATCTAGTCTTCCAGTGCTCAGGAACAAAGCTTGCTTCACTGTGTCCGGCAAAGTTGATCGAGTTCAGGAAGAAGAAGCCAAAAATGACGATAATGCTACCGAGGATGCACCACCACAGCTTCTTGTACATCATGGCCTTCACCTTTTGCTTCCGGTCGATCAAATCCTTCATCGTGGCATTCAACGAGTTCAACGTCCAGACGTAGAAAGCAGTCAGTGTTCCGGCAAGTGGCAGAACAATGAGCAGCACAAGTGGACCAGCGCTATCAGGAGTGATTGACAGACTCGCGACAGCATATATCACGGCAAAGACAAAATGAGTGATGGCGAGAACGCGGACGTAGATCATGGTTCGCCCAAGCGAAGGCTTCACAACGCCGTAACCCATACACACGATTAATAGAAGGAAAAACGAGAAGGAGTTTCGACCTGCATTAAGGACGGCTACTATGACCATCAAAGCTTTTGCGCCAGCATTTAAGCCGTGCACATTTTGGTACTCTGTATCTTGTCAGAATTGCACTAAGGATAGAGGGAGCTGGGTCCAACAGACCATAGAATCCCCAGGTCATTGCCTGCTCGACAATCAGGAAGACCAAGATCGCAGTAATGTAATTTTGTACAGGCACTGCCGTTGTCAGTCAAGGTTGCCTTCCAACCACGGGTTGTTCACTCACAGATATCGTGGCGATTTTGCACATATAGAAAAGCCCAGAACCTATGCTCGTCAGCTCAAGTGAAAAGTTCAATTTACGTCTTGTATACGTACGCTCCGACCACAGCATAGACAATGGTCAAGCCTCCATAGAACGGCAGCTTCGCAATTTGCGCAGCTGGGAGCTCTCCATATGAGTTCCTGAATTCCACAACGGCCTTGTAGTCGCGTCCAGAGTATCCGTATGTGCTCACACAATAGAAACCGGTCTTCTTGATCGGATAGTTGATGGCAGTCGGGTTGCTCAGATGCACAGCCTGCGTAATGATGGGGAATTTGGCGGCTTCGGTGGCGTTTGCAGCAAGAATAAATGATCCAATCTGATCCTCGTTGCACAAGTTCGCTTGCACGCTCGCTTCATCGCAAATCGTTTCGATCACCTAAATCGATTGCTAGTTAGAAGACATCCAAGCAACAGTCCCTCCTTGTGCAGTGAAAGACGTACGTCGGAATCGCCGGGTACAGGACGCCCAATGAGGTTTTCATCGGTCCATTCGAAGATAACAAGACTGACGAGAGGATCGCTGTCACCGGCGCTCGAGTCTTGAACAAACTTGGTCAAGATGAAGGGGTCCACGTTTCCACCCCATGCTTTGCGGCTATACATTCCCGAGCATCGTTGCCGACTGGCTTCATCTTGTGTCTAAAGACAACGTATATGTTAGAAAGATAGGAGGATGGATTGGATGAGGCGAAGCGCACCAAAGCAACTTCATTTGCAAGAACTCGGCCCGCAAGTAAGGCTGTTAAGCCCAAAGTTTGAAGCCACCCTCTCATTCTGACCATGAATAGGAGCTGGCCGGTGGGTTACTGATGATACAAAGCTCCGGATTCGCCGAGCGCAGAGGACAGGGTACGGCTATGAAGCATAGGAGGGTGCAGCCGTCTGAAAAGCTGAACCACCGAGATTCGATGATCGAGGAACAAAGGAAGAGACTCCCCAGAACCGATCGATCCTTGTTTGCGTAATTATAGCACTTTGGGGGAAGATGTGCACAGCGATCGCACGAATTCGTGGCTACAAGCTGAAACCGGGGAAGCCGCGCGTGTTGATGGTCCCGCCGATGCGGATTATCTAAGCCCAAGTCCCAGGCAGAATTTCTGCTGGGTTTCCCAATTGGCTTCCCGCTGCTTGTCAATCACTACTACTTACCTACCTTACCGTTGAACCGCATTTCCACCGGTCGTCTGATCAAAACTACAGGACGACCTGACAAGATGCCAGGCAAGGAGATCCCGGATCGCTGCATGAACTGCCGCGAGGCGCAACCTGCCTTTATTTTGCGCACCCGTCATGTCTGTCAGTAAGTCTTTCAAAGAATATCTTCATCCAATTGGCGCTACAGTGGCTGACAGAAATTGCCCCTCTTCTAGAGACTGCTATGTACGCTTTGTGAAATACAAGCCCTTCAAGCGCACGGAGAACTATCGTCTGAGGAGGAACATGCCACAAGATGGACCCTGCAAACTTCTACTTCCACTTTCCTACGGGCTGTCGTCCACAGTTCTGCTGCACATGTTGCATGAACAAATTGAAGCCATGCGCCTCAAGCCGCATGGTCCCAAGGGCTACGAGCTTCTTGTCCTCACAATCGATCCCTCGACCATATCCCCCACTATCCCTTCCCATGATGAAGCTTTCAGTCTAGCGGAGAAGCTATTCCCCCAATGCTCCTTCACCACCGTTCCTTTCCACAGCATTTTTGATCTCGATCCGAACATTGGCGAGGTCATGTCGCAGTATGCACACGCGGACTTCAAAGATCAAACATCATTGTCGAACCAGGAACGCCTGGAAGTTTTTCGCGCATCTATCTCGACCGCAACTTCGAAGGTCGACATTGACAACATCCTGATCAATCGGCTTATCGTTGCGTTCGCACAAAAAATGGAGTGTCGGGGCATAGTATGGGGAGATTCAGACAGCAAGCTGGCTGCCAAGACACTTGCAAATGTTGCAAAAGGCCGTGGCTCTGCAGTCACATGGCAGGTGTGTGATGGAATGTCACCATTCGGACTGGAGTATAATTTCCCACTCCGGGACTTGTTCACTGTTGAATTGCGCAACTATGCTAGCTTCTTCCCTGAACTCGCCGAACTCATTATTCCTCATGAGCAGCCTTCGGAGAATACGCTTACAAAGAACCTCTCTATCGACGAGTTGATGGTTCGTTATGTCCTCACACAGGGCGAGAAGTACCCTGGTGTGATGTTGAACGTAACCAGAACAGCAAGCAAGTTACAGTCATCCGGCGCTTCTTCTGCTGGACCGCAATGTAATCTCTGCGGGGCCCTTACGTTCGATGCGAATGAGGCATCAGTTGCGCCACAGGCTACAGGCCAACATTCAGACAATTTATCCTCCCAGATATGCTATGCATGCGCCCGATCTCGACCCGATCTGAGCTGTTAAAAAGTGATATTGCAACATTAAAAATTATGATACGCAGCATTTGATTATGTGACAATTTCCCGACTCATTAAGCATCCCGTGTTCCCTCGCATCTATCGTGTGAGTTGTGCGACCTTTCATCAGGGCCTACTGGACTGCGTATTATCGATGACTCCTCTTTCGAGGTCGTCGTCCTCGGGAGCTGCGCCGCCAAACCATCTTCTTTGCGACCGGTTTCTCCGTGGACGTTTTGCTGGTTCGGGCACCGCAGGACCGTCAGTCCTAGAGTGCTTCTTGCTCCGATGCCTCCTTGGTTCCTCCAAGGTATCCTTGTGGTATCGATCAAATTCCTCGGGTAGACTCGCGTCCTCGACTATATCGTGCCTTCCGCCATGCTTTGAGAGCGCTTTGGCCCCTTTCTCCCGCAGATGCTTCTCCAAGAGCACTGCATTCCTGGTATTGCACTTATAGAGAGCATCTGCGATGTCACCCACAAAAGGAACGAGTCCTATAAAAAAATCGATCACAACGTTGATCATCATCATCATGCGAAGGCTTGCAGGAAGACCCCCCTCAATACCGTCGCAGGTTCGCACGACCATCAAGGCAAGTGCTGCATCGGCAGCATCTCCGGCACTAGCGTCCTCGGCGCATTAGTCTCTGATTTCCACCCTCGGTGGCCTCGGGAAGAACTTACAAGGGAATCAACCCAATCACGCTTCCCCATCCAAACCTGATGCCGCACAGATTGAACAGACTATAGTCCAGTCGATACGCCCGTCTCTTGACTTGCGTCAAGACTTTCTGGTCGTGTTCCGATAAGCCTGGCGGTATCGCTTTGCGCCTTTTCTGTGTCTTCTTGCCGAATGCTCGTCCTATGCGGGAGGCCGGGACTTCTTCAAAGTAGGGATCCTGGTAAACACGACGCTTCTTAATACCTGGATCACAATAGACATCGTCTATGCAAGTAGGGAAGGGGATTCACCTCTGTGCCAAAATGGTTTCTTGCCGATTCGGCCAAGATTCTCTTGCCGACCAGCGATGCAATCTGGGTCGTCATGGCTTGTCAAGGGATCAATTGCACTTCACAAATGTGCGTTCAGGGTGTATTGCCTGCAGAGCCCGATAAAGGTCTGCCAGGAGATGGTGTTTCAGGTGAACAATGCACTATTTGTGTTTCTCAAGATGCAGTGAGATTTTTCCCGCTCTCGTAGATTTCTCCTAAGTATAATGTCAGATCCACTCAAAGTAGGGGACTGAGCAGGTTTAAAAAGCTTGTTGCAACCAGTCGTTGACTTCAACGTAGATCATGCGCGAGGAACGAGCAACATCCGACGTCATCGGCTTGATTGTTTCTGCTGTTACGTAAGGCATCTAGTCACCAGCCATCGTTCCTGCCCAAGTATTATTGGGTAGCTCCGCCACCGGCTGTGGCGCATGACTGGATGACTTCCCCCTCCCCATTGAACCACCCGATGATTGATCCCGTCCCGGACCGTCTGGCGCTTACCCGCGCTCTCTCCTTCAATCTGATCAGGCCGTCGTCGGGTGTCGAGCTGAGAAGAGTTACCTTCCTTAGTCTATCTCTTACTACCTATTTTCCTATTAGCTATCTTCGCGGTGATCAAATCACTGAGTCGCCTTCGTCTCTGTCTCATTCCCTCTCACCAAAGTACCCTTCAGGGGTGGCGCTCTGCCAAGAACCCTTCCTTGAAGCTGCAGCCGTGCTGTGCTGTCCCCTCCATCACTCTGTTTCGCGCTCTCTCCGTCTTATCTGGAGAGCCGTCTTCTTATACAAACCTCTGTTGAGATGCTAAGCCACGTTTTCCAGTATGACAGAAACAAAAATGCAGTTGGAAGACTGTGAGTTCGGCCTTTTGACGCGCAATGATCTGCGCCGCCCGCCTCTGACTCGAGTGATGCTGACACGGTGGTCCCCCAGGGCTGGATGACTTATGTGTCCGCTTCATCATCAATCTACCACGTGAGGAACTCGAATCGGTTGAACGTATCTGTTTTCAAGTAGAGGAAGCACAATGGTTCTACGAGGACTTCATCCGGCCGCTCGACCCGGCTCTGCCGTCGTTATCTCTGAAGGCATTCGCGTTGCGCATCTTTCAGCACTGTCCGTTGATGTCGCAATGGTCGCACTATCACCATATTACCGCTTTTTCTGAATTCTTGGCTTATAAAACTCGTGTACCCGTTCGCGGAGCAATTATGCTCAACCAGGAGATGGACGAGGTAGTCCTGGTCAAAGGCTGGAAGAAGGGCGCTAACTGGAGTTTCCCGCGAGGCAAAATCAATAAGGGTGAGAAGGACATTGATTGTGCGATCCGTGAAGTCTATGAAGAAACCGGCTATGACATTCGCGAGGCCGGGCTCGTTCCGGATGAAAAGGACGCCAAATACATTGAGATCACCATGAGAGAACAGCATATGAGGCTCTACGTTTTTCGTGGTGTGCCACAAGATGCCCATTTCGAGCCTCGTACTCGGAAAGAGATCAGCAAGATCGAGTGGTACAAGCTTTCGGAACTGCCCACCCTCAAGAAGAGCAAACAGCAGGAGCAAGGGCTGGTTGTAGCGAATGCAAACAAGTTCTATATGGTCGCTCCTTTCATGCACCCACTCAAGAAGTGGATCGCTCAGCAGAAGAAAGCCGATCTCAAGGCTCACCCAGGCTCCAGGCATCTTGTCCAGACCGAGGGAGAGCTGTCAATGGACGAGTTGGCTATCAACGGCTTCACACCTAACCAGCTCCCTGCGCAATTGGCCACCCCAAGTGATTTGCCGGAAGTCGCATCTTCGCAGGATGCTTCATCTCACCTCAAGCGTCTGTTGAACATCAACAACGGTATTCCAATCCAAGATCACCCTACGAGTGTTGCTACCCCTGCGGATCACAGAACTATTACCTCGAAGTCCAATGCCCTGCTTGAACTTCTCAGGAGTGGTGCGTCGCAAGACAGTCTTTCGCAAGGCCCTCAACCTGACAGGAACCTGCCGCCACTTTCAATGCCAGAGGTCCTGCCGCCAACGGGCCCACCTTACCCTGATACGGCCGCCTTCCCTGGATTTCCGCAACAACCTCAACATTCGCGCGGCCCTGTGCCCATGAATCCCTTGCCCTATCCGCAGACACCGATATCTCGTCCATCGGCTTCGAATCTCGGTGTAACGCCGATTACCCAACCGGCTCGCATGGGTCACCCAGCCGCTCCACCTGGTTACCACGGATTGCCGCCGTTCTTCGAGCAGATTCCGGTGAATCCTCCAAGATATGATTCTGTGCATGCGAACCTGCCTACCGTGCCGCAAAGTCAAGTGCCTGGCCCGGCTCCTTACCAGCAAACAGGAGATCCTCGATTTTCTCATTCAGCTCAAGCGCCGAATATCCAGGGGGCGACTGTGCCCCCTGCAAGCAAGCTTCCGCCGCCGAAGCTTACGACCCACTCTCTTGCTTTGTTGAACGTTTTCAAAGACGATTCCAACAGGACGCCCAAGACATCTAATGCAAGTCTAGTTCCACTGGCGGAGAAGGCGCAATCCCATGACCGACGGCCGTCGGAACACCAGGACCAGCTTCTAAGTTTGCTCCGAGGTTCTTCTATCTCAGCGACCCCCGCCCCAGCAGAATTACCAGGCCAGTCGGTCTCTCCACCCAGAAAACAGATTCTTCAGCGACCTCGCGGGGAACACAGCCCCGCCCGCCAGCCAGCAGCCCATCGAAGAGTACCATCGGCCACGAAAGATCTGCGGCAGTCGCCCGCGGTTCCGAGTCCTTTGTCAGGAGCTCCTCAGCCTGCCGCATCATCCAAGCCCTCGCCCAAGAGAGGAATGAATGGATCAGCTCGCAGGGTCAAAAAATCAGATCAGGCGCAAACATTGGCGTCGCCTATCACGATACTGTCCAGGCCACAATCTGCCAGGAAAGAACCGGTCTCGCTACCGACATCTTCGCAGTCATCCCGTGCGCCTTCGCGTAGCCGCACAGTCAAATCAGGCACCCCGGAACCGGCAAAGCCATTCCAGCCCCAGATCCTGCGTCGTTCCGACAATCCGAACATAATCGACTTGCTGCCCTTGAAAACTCAAGTGGCCGAGGAAGACCAGCAGCAAGCCGGTGCTCCAGCTACTATTCCCAGGAGGGAGTCGCAGCCTCAAGTGAACTTTGCCCGCCGGCCAAGTCAGACACCTGCCCAAAGGGAAGCACTGCTGTCACTGTTTGGGAAAGGACCGGCGTCACCAGGCGTCTCACCTGCTGAGCTTAGCACATCAGCACCCAAGACTTCGGGCGGCTCTGGCGTCGTCAGCCCACTCACTCCGCTGAACATTACTGCTGCGTCTCCTTTCGCAAGTGGGACAGAGGAAGGGGAATTCCCTCTCTCGAGCCGGGTTGCTTCGCCTGATAATAAGGCGTTTCTACTCGGATTTCTTGAAGGTGTTGCCAAAGGCAACAGGTGATCTTTCTCAGCCCGTTGAACTCGGCACTGGTCAGGGTCGGTTTAGATAGTTAGTTCTAGAACATAAATAGTATTAGCGAGTGCTAACGCCACAATTTTGAGGTATTTTTCCAGCGCAATGTGACATCTGTTCGCGTATCTTGGGTGTTTGAACAATCTAGACGTCAGTAATCATGTCCGAATCCCAATGGTCTCCTGCTGTTTTGCCGAGGACTGCGATTATGTCATAACCTTGCTATTCTGCCCCGTCGTACCGCCTATCAGCGGATATCGACAGCCTACCGGATCTACATATTTCTAAGCAAAGCAATCACAGCGTCACTCCGCGAAAGAAGAATGTTGTCCCATTCGACACGCAGAGCGTGTACTCGCTGCATCGGTCGTAGCCGGCATTTTTCCACGACACTTCATCGGAACGAGCAGCAGCGCGGCGAGAATGGGAACCCCGTGCCCCCGCCGGAAGCCGGCTATACTCGACTCACAAACCGAGGCCTCATCAGCGTGACGGGCCCCGACAGCACCTCGTTTTTGCAGGGCCTTGTCACGCAGAACATGCTCAAAAAGAGCGCAGAGGGCAAGGGCTCGTACACCGCATTCCTCAACTCACAGGGCCGCATCCTGAACGATGCCTTCATCTACCCCACCGGACCAGACGCCTCCGCCGACCAACCCGGCTGGCTCATCGAAGCAGACACGGCCGAGCTCCCCGCGCTTCTCAAGCACCTCAAACGACACAAACTCCGCGCCAAACTACAACTCCGGCTCCTCGACCCGAACGAGCGGACGGTCTGGGCCGCGTGGACGCCGCACAACCCCACCGGCGAAGGCGACCAGCGCTGGGCGGCATACAGCATGGGGGGCGCGGCGGCGTCGGCCGGAGACTTCCCCGAGGCCGCGGCCCCGGTCTGGCCGGCCAACGTGGTCGGCTGCGTGGATACACGGGCGCCCGGGTTCGGTCTTCGGCTTGTCACCCCCGGCGAGGCGGATCTGCGGACGCATCTCGAGAATGCTGCGCCGGCCGGGCGTGGTAGTGGTAGTGGTCATCATCAGCAGCAGCCCTTGCTCGATGAGGGCTCCGAGGAGGTCAGTCTGGGATCATACACGGTGCGACGGATGTTGCGCGGCGTGGCCGAGGGCCAGTCAGAGATCCTGCGCGCGGCCTCGCTGCCCCTCGAATGCAATATGGATATGGCCCAGGCGATTGATTTCCGTAAGGGCTGTTACGTCGGCCAGGAGCTGACGATCCGTACCCGCCACACGGGTGTGGTGCGCAAGCGCATCTTGCCTGTCCAGCTGTATGCGGATGATTTGCCCGCGTCGACGCGGGGGGGCGACCTCCCCGTTTATGATCCTTCGTCGGCGGCGGCGGCGGTGACGGCACCGCCCGAGGGCTTGGGCTTGGATATCTCCAAGGCGGGCCCGTCGAAGGGGCGCAGTGCGGGCAAGTTCCTGGCTGGCGTGGGGAATATTGGGCTGGCGTTGTGTCGGTTGGAGATGATGACGGATGTGGCTCTCACCGGTGAGGCTACGCAATTTACCCCGGACCGGGAGTTTAAGATTAGCTGGGACGTTGCAGCTGCGGATGGTTCGATGGAGGCCCGCACTGCTAAGATCAAGGCGTTTGTTCCGCCGTGGACGAGGGAGTATATCGCTTCTGGGACGCAGCAGGCTCGTGCTCGTGACCCGATCAGCGAGGGTCAGAGGGCGAGGGAGCTCGCGGAGCGGCTGGCGGAGGAAGAAGATTCCCGACAGCACGAGTAGATGTTCTTTGTCGTGTAGTTTGGGTATATGTACAACAAGTGTATGATAAATGATCATGTATGAATTAGACAGAAGACTGCTTAGGACAAGCGAGTGAGCTAGGTGGTGAGCGTCATAAAATCTTCAATATGGGTATCTCTATGCTATAGTAAAACACGTCTATAAATAAATTACACGTCTGCAGCAGATGGTCGGGAATGGAGTAATGAGCTTTAGGAGGCTCGGGTGGCTGCGGCTTCAGCAGCATCAGCAGCATCAGCAGCTTCGTCTTCCTTCCTCAGCTGCTCTTCAAGAGCTTTGCGTTCTTTCTCCCGCTGTGCGTTTCTGAGGCGCATCAAGGTCAGTTCTTCCAGGCTTGGTGCGCTCGATCCGTTCGTGGAGCCAGCACTCGGCGCGGGCTTCGGAGAGCTAGCTGCTGCTCCGGCAAAGGAACCGAAAGAGGGTGCCTTTGCGGGTCCTTTGGCAGCATTGCCAGTGCTTGCAGCCTTCAGACCAGCGAAGCTAAAAGTAGGTTTGGAGGGAGCTGTCGGAGTGGGAGCGCTGTCTGCTGCTGGGCTGGGGGCTGGCGATGAGGCGCCGTTGACAACCTCCGTGCCGAGCTCGGGCTGAGCGCCTGATGCCCAGAAGACCGACTCGATGACAGACCAGTCGCTGTCGGCAGTATGGCTTCCTTTCTTTTTCTCGCTACCGAGAACAGCAGCGTGAGCGCTGACGATCGAGGCGAAGATGACTACCCCCGTCGCGACAGTCTGCTTCACGCGCTTGTCGCCCAGCCGCTGCCGCTTATCCTTGAGAAGCAGCACGTTCTCGACCTTGCCAAAGGGAGCCAGCAGCGCCTTCAAGCGATCAGCATCCAGGTCCAACCCGCGTCCCTCGCGCACCCAGCGCACCTTCACGCCGCGGTCCAACTCAGGCACATTCGTGCCGCCCCCTTGCTGCGACCGATCGACCTTCTGACTACTCCGATCCGCCGCCCGTCTGGCCTCTTCCTCCTCCTGCCGTATCAGCCGCTCCTCTTCCTCCATCTCCTGCTTGAGCTTCTCCTCCGCCTCGCGCCGTCTCCGCCGCCCATCCTCAGCGATGCGATCAATCTCCCTCTGCAGCTTGGCCTCTGCATCATCATCCCCATCCACCGTTCCCATCCACGACCTTTTCACTCCGCGCTGCTGCCCGCCCATCCCCGCCGCACCTGCCGCACCCGCCCGCTCCCTCGCCTCCAGATCCTCGCGCATCTTCCTCTTCGCCGAGTCCATCATCTCCCGCTCGCGCTGCTTGCGCTGGCGTGCCTCCCGCGCATTGTCGTAGAGCTGCCGCACAGCCGGGTCGGAGAGCACATCGTAGGCGATCTGGAGGAGGTGGAACTTGTCGATGTCGGCCGGCGTGGGGTTGGCGATCTTGTCCGGGTGGTATTTCAGGGCGGTGCGGCGGTACGCGCGTCGGATCTCGGTTTCGGCTGCTGCGGGGGAGATGTCGAGGAGGGCGTAGAAGTCTTCGGTTGAGGCCGCGTGGGCTTTGAGGTCGTCCTTGGAGGACATTGTTGCGATGGTGTTGTGTGGTGGATTTGTTGAGAGGAAGGAGCAGACGGTATGAATGAATGATAATAAATTTTCAGGAAGTGGAAGTCGTTAAGCGACGATTTGGTGCGCGTTATTGGGCGTGAGGTGCCTTTGGGGTGAAAGTAGAAGTGGAAGTGAGAAAGTTGCGAACGGGTGAAAGTTGATTGTTATGCGGAGCGGAGGGCGCTGGCGGTGGCGGAAAGCCGTCGTCTGCCCCATACTGTAGTAACTCTTATCTCTCTCGAGTCCGGATTCGACGCAGCACTTTTACTATACTCATAGTGAGTGTCAAGTGTTTTACGATATTATAGAGGTATTCTGATGTTTATTGAGCAGCAGGATGAATAATCGAGGTATTGATAAGATTCACGTCACGCGATTTGTCAATTATTCCCTGCAAGTCGCACCTCAAGTATATATTGATTCCAGGTGTTTGCCAGCAATCTTCCCTTGGAATCACCTTCTCACTAAGCTTAAGTTAGACACTTTCTTGACACAAGATTCAACTGTAATGACCAAGGTATGGTGCAGCATTGAGATATCGATGACTACATCGACCAAAATGCCTTCAAATGCCCGGCTCCTTCCCAATTGAGTGGTGCTGTCTGAATATCTTCCAACTTGATTCTCCTCGAGCCAAATATATAACCAAGTAATGACTTCTGCCTATACAGCAGTAGGCTCAACTCACACATCTCTTGAGTTTGAGCACATCCGAGAACTAGCATCTGTTTCTTCGTGACGGTGGTGGGCTCATCCATGAGGATGGCCGAGAGCACGATACCCTCACCCCCTCAACTGGCTCTCGCGCTAGCCATCGTGAAACAAAAGCCACTTGGAACTACCATGAGAGGTACTCAAAGCCCAGTACAAGCTGGGTCAGTTGAGCAAACTGACACATAAAACAACTAATAGATTACTTCGTCCAAATTCGACAGTTCATCAAACCAGTTACGGCAACAGACCGATCCGCAAGCCGCGATCAATTCTTCGACAGCGTCGCATTCTGGCAACAAGCCTACGAGCGATCCGAAGCCGAGCAAAGCAAGCTCCTCGATCGTATCTACGAACTGGAGCAACATAATGAAGTGCTTAGCACGAAGCTGCAGAGCTTGGATGCTGCGCGGAGCGATGGGATTCAAGAACCAATTAAGCGAAAGGCTATCTCGGATAGTAATTCAAGGAAGAAACCCCGAACACAGGCGCAGTCTCAGAGCAGGACGAGTATGCTGAATGAATGTACTTCAGGTGGGTTGGATGCCCAGATGCCGGGGTTCGTGGAGGAGCGTAAGTCAGCTCCATGCCTTTGAGACACTATTCTGTCCGCTGAGGGGGATTAATTGCAGCTCCTGCGTCGTTTATGAGAAGATTTTATACCCTGCAAAAGACACTGCAGGGCAGTACTAATCCTCCCGTCATTGCGCTTGCTGCAACTGAGCTATGTTATGTCGCTGTGGATAATCTACTCTGCGCCGTTCGACGCGCCGACCCTGGTGCTGGAGAAAAGGGCACGCCTCTCGTCAATTCTCCGAGTGTGTCCGCAACTATCCACAGTATATATAGCGCGTACCAGGTACTGCTTAGAGCAATCAAGAAGGTTCCTTCGACCGAATCAACATTGCAAAGTCGTGGCCAAATCATTTTGCACACTGTTCGCTTGTTCGAGACAGTCATCAAAGCCCTGGGCATTTATTGTCGGAATCAATCAAGGCAGACCGTTGCAGAAAAGGCGAGACCAGTTGCGAAGTCGAAAAGGCTCAAAACAGGCCAATTGGATAATAATAGCCGATCAATTGCAGAAGATAAAGCCGTCACGCTGATGAGTCTGCTACTCTGTAGAATGGCTCTTTCACTCGACAAAACTGACATCAAGACATCGGATCTACAGGATGGGTTTAGCTACCTGTTACTGAATCGTGTGGGCGAGTTGCTTTGTCTATTCGTTTTCAAGGACCTCCAATTACGACCCGATCTCCAGGTAGATAATGCTCAGCTGTCACTTCCACCTGGCATGAAAGACATGCAGCTTGATGAGGAATCCATTCTAGCTGCTGAAACCGAAGCCAAGGCTCTTATACCGCCTCTCGAAAGGATGCTCGCTGTACTGGATCTATCATCTTCGTCTCCAGCAAGTGACCCTGCGGCAAGAACCAAAGGCTTATTACAAAACACCCTACTGCAAGCGGTCTTTGGCAAAAGCCCAAGTTCTTGGGCAGCCTTGAGTCCTCTTTACCGTGACGATGATCCTATGACTAGCGTACTTAACGCGGTGCAGGCCCCAAAGCATTCAGTATCCGATTGGTTTGTTCAAGAAACTTGGAGACTCCTGGGTTGGGAATTGATCGCAGGTTCCCCGTTGGATGCCCCGTTTCCTGATCTGGACTATATGGCTCTATAGATCTTACACAACATATCTCAGGGTATGTACGGCCCGGCCATAAGGCACGTATACATTGATATATACACGAACCTTGTACGGGCCACGAGAAAGTTACCTAGAATTATCTTCATTGTCCGGGTATTTGTATTTAAGCTCATTTCAACTTCAAGATGCGGGCCGCGTTCTCTCCCAAGACCCCTGCAACAGTCTCGGTTTCTCCGTCAAATGCAGTATGGATGGCCTTATAGTTCGTCGTTACACTAGGCCACTCCTTGTCATCTTTACCCAGCGGAGGGAAGAATGGGTGATCAGTCCCTGTTTTAAAGTCAGCCTTCTCGAGCATCCAGCCATCATATCAGGATTTATACCGAAGAGTAGACGGTCCGCACCGCCAGCTGCAGTCACCGCGGCTTTCAAGCCTGCAGTACCATAGACGACTGCATCCAGGTAGATGTTGGTGTTGAGGACGTCCCAAACACTTCTTTGCGGACCGGGAACGTCGCCTCCGTTGGCAATAAATTTGCGCTCATGCAGGATACAACTCTCGATTCTCCCAGCAAGGAAAGGCAATGTGCCTCCAGAGTGCGCCAGCAGGATCTTCAGCCCCGGGAAGCGATCAAACACCCCAGCCAACAACATCCGGGTCACGGCGATCGTGGTCTCCAGGGGGAAGCCAAGGGCTAAGGGCAGGACATGACCGTAGCGATTCATCGCCTCGGGCCCCCCAAAGGCCTCATCTGGGAGTCCATAGTGTGGATGCAAGAACAACAGAGAGTCGGTATCCTGCAACGCCTTCCAGACAGGATCCAATCGACCGTCATCCAGGCCCTTCCCCAGCCCGGTCGTACCCATGATCACTCCTCGCAGATGGGGCAAGGTCTTTAGTCTCTCAATCTCCCGGACGACCACATCCGCGCTGGGGGCACTGAGCGGGAGCGCGCCAAAAGCGAATAGGGTTTCCTTTTCGTGCAACTGCAGCGTGTTCTCGGGATCCACGGCACGGTTCACGCGTGCGCAGGTGGCCTCCAGGTCGTCGTTGATGCGCTCCGCCCATGTCTGCGCTTCGTCTGGCTCGAGAAAATCCAACCAGGGGTTGGCGAGGGAGATCACGCTGCTGTTGATTCCGTGACGACGCATGAAAGCCAATTTGACGTCGATGTCGTAGTAGGACGAGTCCACGGGTCGGCCGCGCTGGTCGATTGGGATGGAAGCATCGTCGTCCGAGGAGAGGATGATGAGCCGCGGGGTCGCATTGTCGGCGGGATCGTGGACATAAGGTACCGTCTTGCGCGCTCGAAGCATCTGCATGTAGGAGGGAGGATAGACATGGGTATGGATGTCGACGATGAGAGGTGCCATGTCTGTACTGAGAATGCCTTTCGGAGATTGGGACTGATAGCGATGTTTAGACGGTTGACGATGGAGAAGGAGGGGTCGAAGCAGGAGAAACTGAGGGGAAAGACAGACTGCATAACCACCTGCATGAAGATGACTTATCAGTGTTTTCCTCCAGCGATAAAATCTATTCAAAAGACAGACTGATTATCTTCGGTCTTCAGCAACTTAGATCTGAGATTCTGTCTTATCTGGGGAAGGCGATAACTATACTAGGTAGCAGTAGGTACTGTACTCACACTCAGTTATCTCCATATCGCCCCCCTCCACATGATTGCTTGTCAGGCCTTATCTTTCCCCGCCATATCCAAGGGAGGTTCTGTGTTTTTGCGCGTTTACTTTCCGATACGATATGTGTTTTCCCCTATGTGGTGTCATGCAGAAGTGCATTGTTCTTTGCCTCTGCACCCCTCCTTGCATTCCTTGGTTCTGCGAGGTGATATAACCAGCGGGGATCTCACCAGCTTCCCCCATGTTTGATCCCCCACCACACCTTCGGGAATATCTACACTGATATCAAGCAATCGATACATACCTAAGTATCTAGCCTCGTGAACATTTAACTTATCAGTCAGGTTTGAGGAGTTCACGAGCGTCCTCACGATGGAAGGCAACCTGCCGAAGCAGCAGTGTCACCCGGTAACTACTGCGATCGAGAAAGATGATCTCGTAATCCCTGTGAGTGACCAGCTCTTTGGATGATTAGCTGTGCAACTAGTGATGAGCCGCTCGCGCGTTTGTTCGTTCGTTCGTTCGTTCGTCTTCGCTGATGGGTTGGTCTCTTTTGTAGATCATCGACTTCGGACCCTTCCTGCACGGCACCCCCGCCGACAAACACGAAGTCGCCATGTCGGTCGTGCACGCCTTCAAGACCTCCGGGTTTCTCTATCTCAGCAATCACGGAGTCCCGCCATCCGTGGTCAGCCATGTCTTTAGCTCCTCCGCTCGGTTCTTCGCCCGGCCCCAGGATCAGAAAGACAGCTTGTGCTGGACGACCCCACAGGCGAACCGCGGGTACGTGAAGACCGGGCAAGAGAAGCTAAGCACAGTCGATGACGTCTCGGCGGCGGACCCTCGAACCCTCGTCCCGGACCTCAAGGAGACGATGGAGATCGGCCGAGAAGGCGTGGAGGGCCTCCCCAACCGCTGGCCCGAGCATCTTGACGCCGAGGGCCAGGAGTTCAAGGCGGTGATGCTGTCGTTCTTCCAGATGTGCAAAGCCCTGCACACCGAGGTCATGCGGGCCATCGCGCTGGGCATGCACCTGCCGGAGCACTATTTCGACTCGTTCGTCGACGCCGGCGACAACAACCTCCGCCTGCTGCATTATCCGGCCGTGGATAAGAGCGTCTTCAGGAATAACCCCCTGCAGGTGCGCGCGGGGGAGCACAGCGACTACGGCTCCATCACCCTGCTCTTCCAGGATGGTCGCGGCGGCCTCCAGGTCCGCAGCCCCAAGGGCACCTTCGTCGACGCGACCCCGATCGCGGATACCGTGGTCGTCAACGCGGGTGACCTGCTGGCGCGCTGGTCCAATGATACTATCAAGAGCACGCGGCATCGGGTTGTTGAACCGCCAAAAGTCGCGGGCGCCGAGGAGGACGATTCCGAGGTGTATCCGGACCGGTACAGCATCGCGTATTTTTGCAACCCGAATAATGACCAAATGATCGAGGCCATCCCGGGAACCTACGGAGAGGATATCCGCCCGCTTAAGTACCCTGGGATCACGGCCGGAGACTATCTAGTACAGCGGCTCACCGCAACCTACTGATTTCATCATGATGACCTGGCGTCGGAATGTGCTTGGGGTGGGGGTTTTGCGCAGTTCTAGTTTGACAACGTAACACCGTACAGCAATGATAAATATAGGCTCGAGTACCGTCGATATTGGTGCTTCTACCCATCGTCCTGCTACGGAGGACATGTATCGAAATCATTTAACATATCACATTATTTTTAAATCTCTAAGACCTAGTATCCATCGTACAACCTCTGCAGTCTGGATCTACGTGCAATGTCTGCCGACTAATACGTGCATGGGACAGCGCTCACTCGTCCTCCATCGGTTATGGTGATGTTGCCGTTGAGATACGCACCTGAGGGACCCGCCATCCACAGAATCAGACTAGCCATGTCTTGTTCGCTACCAGCACGGGTGAGGGGGATCATGTCGCGGGGGAAAGACCCGTCGGAAATACCCTTGTCGCCTTCCGGGAAAGTCGACGTCGACATCTCCGACAGGTACAGCCCCGGCGCAATGCCATTCACCCGGATGTCGTAGGACGACAGCACGGTGGCGAGGATTTTGATCAGCTGGTTCGTGGAAGCCTTGGAAAGGTTGTAGGCGACACTAAACGGCACGCGGCGGTTGAAGCCCGCGATGGAACTCGTGATGATAACCTGGGCGGTTGGGGCCGACGGCTGGTTCTTCACCGGCGCAGGTCTCCGCTTGTTGGCGGCTTCCAGCAATGGGAGGAAGGCCAGGACGGTGAAATAGGCCCCGGTGACATTGACGTCGAAGACCTTCGTAAACTCGTCCATGGATGCGGACCACAGCTGTTCGCGAATCTCGAATAGGCTGGGACTCGATCCGTCGGGCTTGGGCCCGGGCGGCCGGTTGATCGGACCCAGGATTCCGCTGTTGGCGATCAGCAGATCAACATGTTCCGTCTGCGCTGCAATGGCGTCGTAGGCGTCCTGGAGCGACTCCTTGGACGAGATGTCGGCTTGAATGGGAATGATGACCTTCGTCTTGGAGCTCAGGGAGGCCGTCTCCTGCAGGGCTTCTTGGCGACGCCCGATGATGAAGATCTTGGATGCACCGTTCTCGGCGAGTGCGTGAGCCATGATCCGACCCAGGCCTGGGGGGAGAGCACACGGGTGAGTGGCAATGTGCTTGGAAGTACAAGGCGCGAATGAGAGGACTGAGACTCACCACTACCACCTCCCGTGATGACGGCCACTAAGCCCTCGACGGAGAACAACTCCGTGATCCTGAGATGGGACATGGATGCAGGTTAGACAAAGCGCGTGATTGTGGAAATGGAAGAGATGGGCAACAATCGAGTGGCAGGACTGTGACAATGGCTGAAAGCGACCAGGATAGCAAGAAGTGTCTTGTACTGTAGGAAGATGCGGGGTAAACTACAGGGTAGACTCTGCCGCATCCGATCACGTCACACCTCCCTTTGTCCCCAACGATCCTGGTCTGTCTGTCGCTAGTTCTCAACCATCGGCATCTCTCCCATCAATCCATTCCAGCCCTGCTGTTGCTGTGTTGCTGTTGCTGTGGCTGTTTGCTGTCATGAGCTGCAAGAATCTTGTCAGGAACAGCCTTGGCGCAGCCGACGGGGAGAGGTGATGCTGAGTCAGAGGGACAAGACACCCTTTCCACCTGCCTCATCCGGCTTCGGCGATGAATGCATCATTAAGTTACCTTCTTCCACTATTCTTCACCTTTGCATCAGCCCTTCCGGCTCTCCGATTCCCTGGATTAATGCTCCTGAACATCCACTCAACTCCCAGTTTTTCCGCACGTCACTTTGACTACCCTACCCTGGAGGTATCCTCTTAATCTGACTCAATGCGGCCTTAGCAGTTCTCCTTCAGCTGCGTCCAGCAAGTGGAGCACGGGATGTGTTGAAGTGGGGCCTATCGTGTGCTTGTCGACCATGTTTCTGCAACTATAATGATTGTTCATAAGCCCCGGGCTAATTTGAATCATGGCCAGCCAGGGTTGTGTCACAATGCAAGGGCCGATCAGGACCCTTTTCGGATGGAAATCCCCCTAGCTCCCTGATTTCACCAATTCGTCATGGCTCGTTTACTACCGTCGCCTCCGTTCGACTCCGGATATACTACGCACTTTGATTTCCATGACAAACCATGGTAGCAGCAGCTCTTGCTGCGTACGCCTCGAGCATTAACAGTATGCAGCACCCGTCTTGCTAAGCTCAGCCTTATTCGGCTTTTACTCAAGGTGTGTTACCGACACGACCGGATTGGATCCACCGGTGGAGCATGCTAGACGGGCTGCTCGAAATCCCAACCGACATGGCTCCAAGGTTGTAACAGAGTGGTTACATGGGGTGCCGAATCCATCCGGGAACCTAGCTCAATCATTGCTTGGGTCGAGCTGGGCTTGGTCGGCGCAGACAAAAGATTTTTCAAACATGAACGATGATAACCCGGTTGCGTCACAGCTGAGGCGCTATACAGCAGTCTCACGGAACCTTTATAACCGGCTGTCCATGCCTCTGCTTCTTCTGTATGTCCACAAAGCTCCGGGTGTTCAAACTCTCCAAGTTACCTGCATCCACACCACCCACCATGACCTGGTCCCGTCTGTTGCTGCTCAGCACGCTGGGCTCGCCCCTGGCTTCGGCCCTTCCTGGCCAGCTCTTTGCTCGCACCGACAGTGCCACCGACAGTGCCGAGACAGCTACAGTCACTGCTCCACCTGTGGTGACTTATTCGACCTCTCAGGCGCATACCCCGTACACCGGGACTCCCACCACTACTGGAGCCTTGACTGCAAGCTCCATTGGCCCTGGCGTCACCCCTCTGCCCCCTGCGCCGGGAGCGTTCGACTACCCCAGTGATGGACAGCTTCATGACCCTCAGCCGGGCCCATACATCCCCGCAGGTGGTGTTGGGACCAACGGCACTGAGCCCGTCTACAACGCGAAGAGTGACTTTGACTACGAGTCGTTGGTAAGTCGTCATCCTCCACAGGATGTACGGCAACTTGCTAAACTGCTATCAGGCTCTCGCGCTTTACCAAGAGTACATTGAGCTCGATCTGTTCCATGACGGACTGGCTCGCTTCTCAGAAGCGGACTTCACTGCTGCTGGACTGAATGCCGAGGACCGTCATCTGATTGAGTTCATGGCCGACCAGGAAGTCGGACATGCTACTATGTTGACCAACATCTTGGGCGCTGCCGCCCCCAAGCAGTGCAACTATGTCTACCCCTACACCACTGTTCACGAGTTCATCGACTTCTGCCAGAAGCTCACTCGCTTCGGTGAGTCTGGGGTCTACGGCTTCCTGGCTCACCTCGACTCGCGCGAGGCCGCCACGCTCCTTACGCAGTCCATCACCACGGAGGCCAGACAGCAGCTTATCTTCCGTCAGTTCGAGGGTCTTTTCCCCATGCCGGTGTGGTTCGAGGTCGGTGTTCCTCAGTCCTGGGCATGGACCCTTCTGGCACCCTATATTGCCGACTGTCCCGCCAACCAAACCCGGCTGGCGTGGCAGAACTTCCCCGCTCTGAGCATTGTCAACCAGCCCAACCCCTTCCGCATCCAGGGGTCGGAGGCTGTGGGCGAGACCATTACCAACGGCACCAACGTGTCCAACAGCACTGTGGTCCCGGAGTCGGAGGCCTGCTGGAACTCTACCGAGGTCGGCATCGACTGCTCGCCCGCCATCACCCACAACCGCACCAACCCCCTTTCCTTCCCTGGCCGTCAGGTTTACCTCACCTGGGAGACACCCGGCAAGGTCGTGGGCCCGAACAACAGCTATGTCACCTCGACCTCCGCCGGCGCGCCCAAGTTCGTTGCCTGGGCCACGCAGCTGAACGTGACCTACTCTGCTCTGACCCTCAATGGATCGAACTCGGGCACGACCATCCAGCCTGATGTGTCAACCTACGCTGGTGACCCGGCCGCCAACGGTACCATCTTCCTTGCCATCACGGACTCGGACCTCTACGTGACTCCGTTCAACATCACCATGCTGAACCCTCACGTGGTCGCTGGTCCTGCTCTGTACCAGTCCGGTTAAGTGTATAGGAATTAAGGATAGATGTGAAGCGTCACGGTGCGCAGCAACGATTCACGATAAAGCTCGATTTGTCTTTCATGTTTTGTTCCGAGTGAGATGGGCGGAGTTCGCGCGTTTTGTACTACCTTACTGCCTTCTTGCTAATTCTAATTTCGAGTTTTACAAGTATTACGTTAATTTTTACTACATTTTGTTCCAGTTAAATATAGCCGTAAATCTTGTTTCATCTAGTAAGTTGACAATCCTGCGTAGCTAGAACTGAAGGTGACATGTTGCAGCTACCTGAACAATCATGAAATGGTTGCTATTTAGCACTGGTCATGACAAGAGATAAGCATATATTGCAGACAGGTTAAGCCCATCTATGTAGCATCACGGGTCAGGAGCCTCTCACACTTGTCTACAAGCCAGCGCATCCCCCCGAGCAGTCCATGACCTCCTTCCGTTCTACCTATTGTACACATTGCTCTGCGGAGGGGCCTGCATATATCCTCGATAGACACCTACTATGCAAGCGAAGACTCGGAGTAGTATAAGTTGAAGATTTACTCGGCCATTCATGGATTCTCCATTCCCATCATGATATACAAGCCCAATCTTCCAGGGACGAACCAGGTCGGTATACACCACTACACTGCACTATTTCTAGCGAGCAGCAAGCCCTACCCAGTATATTTCTCGAGTATATACCAATATTTCCTCTAACTTATTCAAGATGACCCTGCTTAGGAGCTCCTCCGTCGTGATACTATTTATGGCACAGTTTAACCCCGCTTAACGCCGGGTGGATGCGGCGCCATCCAGGGAGCGGGAGACGGAAACCAAATCGTCCATTCAAGGTTAAGTAGGGGTCCTGTCTGAAGGTTCTTGACAGTTGACACCTTTTACGGGTTTTCCTTGGGATTTTGGGCTTGGTGTTTACTTGCATGGTTCGTCGGTGCAGCATACCTATTGTACTGGACCTGTTGTAAGTCTCCTTTAGCTTTGTCCTGGATGATCCATCACAGCCTCCTGAACGAACAGACTGCACCACACCACACCACACCACGCACACCGCACCACCACCACCACCACCACCTTTCTTCATTCCCTCAACCAATCGAGTGAAGATGACTGACCCTGAAACTTACTTCATCTTTATCCTCAGATTCATCCAAAGACAAGAAGCTCCTGACGCCTAGCCTACTTGCCTCCTCCGACTCGGATCCATCGAAACCGCAACACCCACCCCATCGAACAGAAACCCACAATTTCCAAATCCCCCAACCAAACCGCTTTCTAGAAAGCCAACAAAATGTCAACCCGCAACAGAAAACACCGCCGCGCAGCAGCAGCAGCAGCAGCGACGAAACCCACCACCCAACCCTCCGACGACGCGTTCGACCCAGCCTCCATCCCTCTCGCCCGCCCTCCGGCGCCTTCAACCACCTCGTCCTCTACACCGGCCAACCCCACGGGCAAAACACTAGTGGATATTATCGCCGAACGACAGGGAGAGTTGCTCGGTCAGCTGTCCGATACCAATGCCAGTGGCAGCAGCAGCGGCGGCGGCGGCGGGGGTACACAATTCGTGACGGTTGATCCGCGGACCGGGGAGATCTCGACGGTTGATGAGGGGAGTTTGCCTACGCGGACGAAGGAGCGGGCTCTTAGACGGGCGCATCGGAAACAGGTGCAGATGCAGATGCAGCAGGGAGGTGCAGGAGAGCGGATTTCTGAGGTCGACGATGAGGATGATGAGGATGAGGATGAGTCTGAAGAAGAAGAAGAAGTGGACGACGGCGACGACGACAAACACCCCATCCCCCCCGTTCTCGACACCCTCCTCCTCTCTCTCCCCCTCACGACCCTCCATCTCACCCTCGCCTACCTCGCCGCCCACCAGTACGCGCAGGAGATAGAGCTGGACAAACTCATCCGCGAGTCTGCCGTCGTGGCCTTTCCCATGTTGACGCTGCTGATCCACCTCGCGCACGGGCATGTGGTCGGGTTCATCGGTGCCACCCCTCGAAGCAAGCAAAACACGCTCTCGCTGTTACCGTGGGAGAGGAGTAAGCTCTCGTGGGGGTTTCTGCGGCGGCTGCTCTTTCCGCCCAGTCTACGGACTTTGGTTTTCTTGCCTCTAACAATATTTCTGGGGTGTAAGTTGATGGTTATGACGAATGATGATCCGTATTACGCGGTGATGAAGCATGCGCCCGCGTTTGGGACGGTGTGGATTTGGGGCGTTTTGGAGATGTCGTTGGGTCCGGCGGTGCTGGGGGCGTTCGCGCCGTTGGCTTGGGGCGTTTGGTGGATGGGGTATGGGATTCTTTGATCGCTTGGCTATTGGGATTATGGAGTTTGTGCGGGTACGGATGGGTTGGCAGTCGGGGAGGAGGGGGGGGTTTCGATCTACGGACTCCCCCGAGTACAGTAGTGCCTTGACTCGCCCTTCCATCTCCAAGCGACGCGGAGGGTTGACTCGTCAGGATCCAGATCCTGCGATGGGTTTACTGCCAAGGCGCCTGCTGCCCGATGCCTTGGTCTCTCGCTGCGGTTTAGTGGCGATAGCCAGGATGACATGCACCGTAGGCTCGTATGCGATCACGTCACGGTGCAGGCCCGCCATGCTTCATGCGCAGTGCTGGAGACACTGTGTTTACTGACACTGCCACATCCGCTCGTCTACACAGTATACTACCGGTGTAAGTGCGCAATGCGAGAGCTGTGCGACGTCAATTCGCACCTCGTCGAGGCACAGCAAGCACATCATCACAGTGCAACGGCTACTGTATGTGTAGTGCAGGATGATAGCAATCTGAACCGAGCTCCAGCCTCGGTGCATCCAACATCGTTTGCTTCGCAAGTGGCATGTGAAGGCACGGATAGATCTGATTCAGCCGGCAACTCTAGGGTAACTTCGCTTCGAACAAGTTGAGATAGATATCGGCGAATAAGATTGTCCGTTCAGCCATAGTAGAAGTGTAGGATGGTGTACAATGCCATTGCGAAAGGATCCAGCACGCACCGGGACGAGATACTAGCTGCGCCAAGGATTATACGCGCGGGCCATACCTACCGGACGCCTTTTTCGTTGGGGCATCAGAGAACAAGTATGACAGGCAGCCGGATCAGGGCGCATTTGCGTTGACCGTTTGCCCTTCGCCAAAGATGCGCCTCTCGCCCCTTTCACTTTGCAGGTCTGTCGACGTGGCATTGCAGTTGCACAGGAGACCGTTGCGACGCGAGCAGACGCAGCGTTGAGACCAAACTCTAGCCGTAGCGCTTGGCAGGGATGGTGCAATAGTTCGTGAAGACAAGCAGCTACGCCCAGAGATAATCGGACAGAAGGGAAAATTCAGGCAAGCGCAGCAGCAAACCAGGAGACCGGGCCGGGGACGAGACTGACTACTTGGAATTCCCCTGGCGGCCAAGTGGCTGGAAGAATGACCGGGCTGCCTGATCGGCCGGTGTCAGTCACCCGTGGTGATGTCACTCGTAGCTGCTGAGCAGTTGGGATGACAGATGCAGGGTCAGATGTGCGTGCGAGGGACTCTGACATACATACATCCATTCCACACGTAGGTGCATAACTGCTGATGTGTATGCACGGACTGATACTTGGCACACCTGCAAAATCATTGGAAGGGCACGGGCCATAAAGGGCATCGGCCAGCCCAGAAGATCTCACCAACCCCATGAGACCGGACGATCAGCGGGAAAAACAATCACTGTGCTAGCCAAAATTTGGGGGCATCCTCGCGAGGCACGACTTTCGCCGCATGGAAATTCCCTTCGCGCACGGAGCTATCTCTCAATCAGGAAGTTCAGCGAAGACGCGAGCCCAGCGAGTTTTGGATTGAAGTGGCGAGAAATTGAAGATAGACTGGCTTCGAGACCAGGAATCAGACCAGAGGAGGTCGAACTAGTATGAGGCGTCGAGCATGATGGCATTCCGGACCGAGAGGATGGCTGAGAGGCAGGCGGAAGAGTGGGCGCGAAGACCCGACAGAAGCAAAAAATAGGGAGTAAGAAAAGCGAAAAACAAGAAGAAAAAGCAAAGCTGCATATAGTAGGAAGAGATGGATAGTTCCAAGTGCAGCAGTGACAGCGGAGGGCTTGCCAGTAGTCAGACGTACTCCGTACTACTGTGACCATCCGAATGCGGCCGATTCCGAGAGACGAACAGGCAAATAGTTTTATCGCTGGACAATTCGATTGTCCGGAATTCCTGGTCAGCAAATGAACTGGGCTGGCTGACGGGCTGGAGTCTGGGCTGAACTGGAGGCACTAAGAAGCAATGGAGGTGGTTAGTGGCAGCAGCGTCGCCATCGCATCGCCATGTGTTTTTAGAGTCGATTTAGCCGAGGATAACCGGAGCGAGGGACAAGCAGTCGACTCGGCTGTGGCACCAAGCAAGCTGTGGATTGTGGCGCAAGAGGGGTGGGATCTGGTGGGAAGATTGAAGCTGGAGGTGGAGGATTACCTGGTGATGTAGAGGAGGGAGAGGAGGAGAGGAATTAGTGGCGGAGCTAAAAGAGATTATTGCCGCACTAGTCGACAGGATATTCCCAAGCCCAAGCTTCTCCATAGAATGAGTCGGAAATCATCTCAGCTTCGATATCCTCGAACCCGGACAATACCATTACTTCGATAATGCCAACCCATTGTTAAGGATTATTCACGGAGTATTTGCTGCTACTGAGATAGCCTGCTCTTCTCAAGCAGCAGCAGCAGCAGCAGCAGCAGCAATCCTGCTCCCCTGGTCTGACCATCTGAACAAACTCTACAGAAAACCATCTGAACGAAATATACTCAAATTTTCCAATTGGACACTCCCTTGGAAATCTGGTTGGAGCTGGACCGACTACCACCGATTGAGGCCTCACCCAGTACTAATTTCAAAAATGTCATATCACACCTAATCCCCCCATCAACCCCAGCATTCAACCTCAATCTACGACACCACTCTAGTCTCTACGCTAATTCCAGTAATAATGCACTACATATTACACCAGACAAGAAACCCCAAGCCCAAGATACGCGCCACCCCTTTCTTCCCACATACTCATCTCCCTGCAAAAGAAAATGAAAAGACAACCATAAGCAAGAGAAGTCACTCTTCAGTGATCTGCACCATCAAGCACAGACACAGGCACATAAAACAAAAAAGCAACGATCTCTGCAAGAGCAAACGTGCATGCCTCTGTCAGGACAAAAGCAAACACTGGCCCCGGTTCAAGTGCAGTGGCCCCAGGAGGCCATCATCACCTCAGACCCAGCCAGAATCACCGAATCATTTCCAGTAAGCAGTTACGGACTGACTGACTTTTTGTGTAAGACAAAAGACATCAGTCATCTGCATTGAGAAAGGAGTTGTGGGGTAATTCCAGTTCCGGTTACATCTGACTGGCCAGACCTTGCGCTGATTACAAGTCATCCATTATCTTGTCATCCGCTTCCACTTTCTACTGCTTTATGAATTGACAGGTACTGTAGGGTACTACCATAGGTGAGACTATTCCCTTTTTGAGCCATCTATTGGCACAAATCAAGCGATAACTGGGCAGGGCAATCAGAGGGGATTCTTCACTCCTCACCGAGTAACTGAACAAACCTACAGCATTTCAATCCCAACTTTTACTAGTGGCACTGCACAGTACTGCACAGCACATCTCCCTCCATCACCTCGAGGTTTAGGAGGCAATCTTTCAGCTTACACTTGAGTACATTCTTCTCTGTCTTAGTCTGCCAATCTGCGAGTCTGCCCGTCTGCTACTCCTCCCTTTGAGAATCAACATACATGCATCTGCAGCAACAGCACAGTCAAAGTGAGGAATGTGGATGCAGTAAGCAATTGTACATCAATTCCGTTTTCGCAGACATGACAGTCAGTACATGGCATGTACAGTACGTGCACACAATGTATGTGCTGCTACCTCTGCTGCGCTCGCTCAGAATGAAGGCTGTAGATTATGCTGTGATGCAACGGGACAATCCCTCTTGTGTAACAGGGCGTGGTAGTCGGTATGCTTGTTTTTCCCACGGATCAGAGCTCGTTCTGCTGATGCTGGGGACAGCTACCTGCTGGACTCTATGGTTGTGGCTGGGGGCTGCTCGAAAGAACCTTTTTTGAAATTGATTATTGTCTCGAAATAGGTGGAAATTGAATCATTATAGCTAGCTGGATCTGTAATCTCTCTGAACCCCAAATCCAATTTAATACTCCTCTGAAGACGTGTATATAGAGCGATAAGAGTACTATATAAGAACCCCGAACCATTATGATACCAACACCGCAACCAGTACGGAGTACCCACTATCCAGACAAGAGACCCGCCGCAAACGCCAATCCAGAGCAACTTCAAGAAAAGAGGGGCAGGGTCAGACCGTAATGCGCCCCTTATGCATAATCCCGACCGTCTGGAGAGTAGTGCCCTTGAAACGCGTCAGCAGCGAGCTAACTATCTCCCGATAGGTGTTCATCTGCGCCAGCTTGAACCGTTGGATCTTCCCACTCGCCGTGCGCGGAATTTCCTCCACGAAGATAATGCCCCCGTCCAGCGCCTTGTAGCTGACCAATTGCTGTCGCGTGAACGAGTACGCCTCGTCCGCCGTCAACCGGTTGCCTGTCGCGTTCTTCGCCCGCACAATGAAGGCCCGCGGGAGCTCCGTGCTGCCGTCGTGCGATGTAACCCCAATCACCGCCGCGTCCTCGATGCCTGGGTGTAGCAGCAGGACCGCTTCGAGTTCGGCCGGCGCAACTTGCCATCTGGAATTCCGCTTGTGGTTAGACCCTGTCCCAGATTACAAAATCGAATTGAATTGGCGGGGGAGGGGGAACAAAAGCTTACCCTCGAACCTTGATCAACTCTTTGGTCCGGCCGTGGATGTAGTATACCCCGTCTCTGACATAGGCCACATCCCCGGTGCGGAACCAGCCATGCGCGTCTTTCGCATCAGTGCGTCCCTTGTACCCCAGAAGTAGGCCAGCCCCACGCACAAATAGCTCCCCAGGCTTGTTCTCCTCCGCGACCACCTCCCCATCTTGGCCAATCAGTCGGGCCTCATACCCCGCGAGCTGCCTTCCGATGCTTCCGGGGTGGCCTGGCTCTCCGTACCGGTTCTGGAACACCACACCCACCTCGGTCATCCCCCAGAGCTGGGAGGCTTGCGCCTCGCTATGGAGCAGTTGCCCGAATTGTTCCATCGACGGCCCGTCAATCGGTGCGCCAGCCACCCCCACATAGCGTAGTGACGACAAATAGTCCGCAACCGGGATGGTCGCGCGATTGAAGGCGTGGATCATGGCCGGAACCATGTAGGTCTCAGAGATGCGATACTGATACACCGCCGCGACGAACTGCGCGAGTTCGAAGCGCGAGAGGACAAACAAAGGCTGTCCATAGCGGATGGGGAACAGGTGGGTCCACAGGGCCCCGAACAGATGGAACATGGGGAGTGACATTAGCCGCGTCACCTCGTAGGGCACCTCGTACTGGATGCCGAGATGTTGCGATATGATAGCGTGATGCGACAGAATCGCCGCCTTGGGTAACCCCCCGGTGCCGCTGGTGGGGAACATCGCGGCCGGCGTCGATTTGGCAATCTCCTCGTCATGGAAGGTGAGCCAATCCTCTTCCCCGTACGCGAGCAGGTGAGCGAAGGTCAAGTGGCTTCCGTTCTCGGTGTTGGCGAGATACGGCACGCTTGCGGCCGCATAGGCCATGGGCCCTGAGAACAGAAGCTGGCCAATGTGATCTTCGGCCAACTCGTCCAATAGGCAAACTTGGCTGGGGGATATTTCCCGGTCGGCCGAGACCTTGAGAACGGTTGCAAGGGCATCGCGAGAGGTAATTATCAATCTGGGTTCGGCCAGCTGAAGCAAGTGGTCGAGCTCTTGTGGTTGACTTCGTGCGTTGGTGCCCATGAACACTCCGCCGGCGCCGATGATACTATAGAAGAGTGCGGGGTATATGATCTACCCCATTGTGTTAGCGGTGTGGAAGGAGAGCAGGCAGGAAAATCAATTCGCGCAGAATTTTTATTCCTCTGGAGAAAAGAGAAAGAAAAGCAATGAATGGAATTAAGGTGGGGGACGGAAATCGGTGTAGAGCGAGAGACGAAAAGGGAAATGCCATGCATAATTACTTGACTTACACTATTCCCAAGATGGACCAACACACAATCCCCTCGCTGCACTCCATGGGCCTTCAACCCTGCAATCAGTGTGCGGACCAGGGTCTCAAACTGCCGTGCATTGAACGACTGCGAAGGATTTTCCGCGTCAATGAACAATGGTCGCTCTCTGTCGTAGGGGTAGGGGCTGCGGAAAGCAAAGGTCAACAAGTCGGTGTATGGAGGATAGCCCAGACAAGGGTCCACCAAGGAGGACTCCCAGAGACCCATCGCGTCGTCGGAAACCAAGTGTCAAAGGAGACCCGGTCAGGAGCAAGCAGGCAGATACGACCGACTGGGACAGGTGGTCGGAGACAAGATATTTGGTCAATGGCTGAGACAGGTTAAGACCAGGAGGAAGTGAGTAGTAGTCAACTGAAGGATAAACAGAAGTAGTAGTTGTTAATGAAGAAGCCCCAACCATGGGGAGATTCGAGTCGATAAATATAATAACCATGATGAGGAATGTAAACTGCTTTTTGTCATGCTGGTGGGTTTCAGAGAAACTGAAAGGGTGGTTTAACTTGCGGTGTCTCGAAGGACAATTCCAATTACCTGCGCTTCGGGGTGATGGTGATTTGGAATTTGGAATAACTTAGGGCAGTGGCGCGCCAGGAAACCCGAGACATCGTCCGCTAAGATCGGATTGCTGATCCTTTCTCCGAGCCCAGCAATTTAGTAGACTAGTTAGCTGCTAACGCAAGTCAATCCAGATCGCAGCCAATGTGGGTCTCTCTGTCTTTCCCATGATGCTCCGGCTCCGACAGATTGCAACAAAAGCACTTCACTGGTCCGTCATGCAAACAGACTAGGTCCATGATCAACCGCAATTCTCCATAACTTAAACCAATATGGTGCAGTCTCTCAGCCCGACTTCATGTCTGAACTAGTGAACAACCTCTGCACGACACTGTCATTGGTGCTTCATTTTGTCGATGTAGCTCCATCGTTCCTCTTCAAATCCTTCCTATGCAGCTGAACCCCGGTTAGATCTGCCGTCCTGAGAACTCATCCCCCCCCTCCCCGAACTACTCCCACGGTTCCCAGAGGCTTGGTCGTAGCCCTGCTGAAGCCCACGCATCATGCGCCTTCTTGCAGAACTGTCCCCACTGCTCTAGACACCCATGCCACGCTGACGTCTGCTAACGAGTCCCAGATATCTGCGCATGACAAGCCATTACATGATGGACTTGACTATCTTGGTTGACGCCCAAAAGAGGCAGTACCCCGCTTGCTGAGCGAGCAGGCGGGGGGGGGGGGGGGGGGGGGGGGAAGGGGGGGGGCCCCTTTCGGGGCCCCCCCCCGGGGGGGGGGGGGGGGGGGGGGGGGGGGGGGGGAGGGAAGGGGCAAGTGGGTGGCCATCTTTCGGTGCTCCTCCTCGGGGTCTGCTGGCCCACGTATCTGAGCGCACTAGTTAATCTGCGCTGGAGACTCAGGTGGCCCTGTCAGGGCCACTCTACCACCGATTGACTCCATTCCAATGAGATCAAATGGGAAAAGCAGGGAAACCGTGCCCTCTGCATGGGTCCTTGTATGCTTGCCGAGCCTGTCAGACCATGCAACGCGACAGACCCTGCCCACTTCAAGGGCACGGATTGTTCGACTATCGATGCAACCCTCTCAGCTCCAGTCGTGGATCGGTGGAGAATACGAACCTTCGTGGCGAGCACTCTTGCGTCCTGGCCCAAGGCTTCAGTGCTAGTGTCGATCAGGAAACCCTGGCCGTCCTGCATGAGCCACTCAACGTGCCAATGCTGGTGCATCGCATCTCTAGACCGTTCCATCAAGTCGTCATTGATGCTGGAACCACCGGTCACGGCACGCGGAGGGGATATCCCCTCTCGGATGAGACATTCATTGGCTCTCTGACTTCCTCATTCGGAGAATGAACAGCTGAGAAGTGGCAGACATGATATCGTTTCCCGGTCTTGATTGGTAGATACCAAGAGGATCTCAATCGCGGAACAGACTCCCCTCAATAGTGTCGAACGTAACGGAGGCTGGCATCATGATAGCGAGGCGAACAGCGAAGCTGAGAATGCCGAGGTGGACCGCATGCGGATGATCTCAGGTGGTGAGGACAAGAGACCGTGGTCTGCAAGCGAGATAAGCCCAGATGCTCAATGTGAGCCCACGTTCTGAGAAACAGCCAAGCTGCATCATGATCAGATGTCGTCATGCATAAGGATTCAAAAGACGCCTATACCCGTCCCTGGGAGATGCAGGTTCATGGTGGATCACACTCGTTCGCCCATTGGTACCAATCGAGGCATCGTCATTCCTGTGGATTCTTTCTCTCTCCTGTCTCCAATCCTTTGGTCCTGAAGATTACCTGCATCTGCTCCTCTGCTTTACCTTAGGGCTCGTCCTTCTCGATCTCCAACTCGACTCTCAAAGCCCCCTTTGGAACATTATGTCGACTGTCGTGGAAAGCGTTATATCAGTGCCGCCTGCGGCCGTATGCGCATCGGGTCCGGCAAGTCCGAGCACATCAACAACATTCACAGAAGCCTCTACCGTCACGGTCCTGTCAGAGAAAGTGGAAAAGTCGTATTATCAGGACTCAGAACATGGATCTGTGGATCTCGAGGCGCAAGCCGTCGAGAAGCGCAGATTTGCTGCGGTCCGATTCATATTCCTCAACATCTACCGCCGTCTGTTCTCTTTGGTCTTCTTGGCCAACATAGCTGTATTCATCGCAGTCATGGTAACGGATCGGAAGCTACTTGCGCTGGTGAACGCTGCTGCAGGCAACCTGCTTGCATGCGGCCTTGCCCGGCAACCCTTGGTCGTTAACTCGATCTTCACTATCGTAGCGTCCACACCAAGATCCGCTCCTCTTCGGATCCGACGCATTGCAGCCAAGGTATACCACTATGGCGGTGTCCACAGCGGATGCGGGATAGCCTCATTTGTCTGGTATGCCGGCTTTGTTGGCCTCCTATCATGGGAGTATTGGGCTCCCTCATCGCCGGGGTCAACAAATTCTCTAGCCCCGATAGTCCTAGCGTACTTGATCCTGGTCCTGCTGCTCTGCATCATCCTCGTGGCCTACCCGAGATTCCGGATCAAGAGGCACGATTACTTCGAGCTCATCCACCGATTCCTCGGCTGGCTCGTTGTCGCGCTCTTCGTGATCCTGCTCATGGTCTTCGCCGACGAAGTCAGCCGCGAGTCTAACGAACCCCTCGGGAAGTTTCTCGTCAAACTCCCGGCCTTCTGGTTCCTGGTGCTCACCGTCGCAGCCATCGTGCATCCGTGGACCCTCCTCCGCAAAGTCACAGTGCAGCCCGAGCACCTCTCCTCGCACGCCGTGCGACTGCATCTGAGCCACACCACCACCACCTTTGGCAAGGGCATCCAGCTCGCGCGCCACCCGCTGCAAGACTGGCACGGGTTCGCCACGTTCCCGGACCCCGCCAACAACGGCAAGAGCTTCTCCTGTCTGGTCTCCAAAGCCGGCGACTGGACGGCCGCCTGCATCCAGAACCCGCCCACGCACTTGTGGAAACGAGGCGTCCTCATCTACGGGTTCGCGTACGCGATGCGCGTTTTCCGGCGTGTGGTCGTCGTCACCACCGGCTCGGGCATCGGGCCGTGCTTGTCCTTCCTGGGCGACGAGAACCGTCCCGCGCTCCGGGTGGTATGGCAGACCCGGGCCCCGTTGAAGACGTACGGGCAAGACGTCCTGGATCTGGTGGCCAGGATGGATCCTAACCCTGTCGTCATCGATACGAATCAGTCCGGGCGTATTGACATGGTGCCCCTGATTCGTCGGATCGTGAGGGAGTTTGATGCGGAGGCGGTTTGTGTGATCAGTAATCCTGTCCTCACGGCGAAGGTGGTGTATGAGTTAGAGTCGAGTGGAACTCCTGCGTTTGGGCCTATCTTTGACTCGTGAGCTGTGTGTGTGTGAGAGAGATGTTGTTTGTTGCCGTATATATACCCGGGATGGGGTATTGCTTTCGATCACTATTCAGCAGGCGTTGTTGTTCTTCAAGTGCTAGTACAATGGGGCGTTCATGGCGTAGGGAAGAAGGAAATACAGAGCAATTCTGGAGCAGACACGACTCGAGCCCTGTAAGGGACTCTGTGTCACTGTATATAAGATTTGAATCTAGTGAGAATCGAATGACGCAGTTGTTCTTCTCTGGGGGAGGCGGGCGTTGCATGCAAACATTCCAAAGAGAGATCCGCGCCGCGTTTCATGTGCCTGTCCGGTTTGCAGGGGTCTCAGTATGTAGCAGTCCGCTGGGTACGTGCAGTGGGTACGTGCAGTGCTTCCTCAATCTATTAGATTTAGTACGACGATCACTCGTCTCAGCCTGGAGACTCCGGTTTGGACTGTAGTCTCTCAATTTTAAGGGGTCATGGCCAGCTGGTTGGTTTTTAGACCCTGTATGTAAACAGCCTTCTTCAAAAGGTAGCGATACTCCTACGTCTAGCCTACCTTTTGAATTGTTACTTAGCTGTGCAAAGATAGATAATTGAAAGAGGTGATTTGTCATTGATTCATTTTGTTCAATCATAAACGTTATGTGTAGAAAGATGTCCACATCACGAGCGGAAATGTATGTACCTGGGTATGTATGATGCCAGTAACAGGAATAGACAAATGAAAATATTCGGACTTGACAGCAGATAATGGGTATCATCCAAAGCACAGAAATTCACCCAGCATAACATAATTTCTATAACAAACTTTTTGTATTTTCCTCCACAGTCCACAGGGGTGAGACAATTAGCGATTAGACGAGGTAGTGAGAGCCTGGAACCCGATTTTCGGAAACTGTTGAGAGTGCAAGAGGACGAATCCTTGAATCCTTTTGCGGGGGAAATCGTTGAATTTCGTAAGCAGTCGTGAATTCATAAAGGTCCGGTGACTAAGGTCAACCGATTTTGAAGATGTGTTGGAAATATGTGATCGCAATACGGCCAGTATTGAGATCGGTCTATGCCTCAGGCTCGACAGGAGACATGGCTCGGGTTCTTGTCTCGAGTTCCAAGGGCTCGGCCGATAAATCATCGGGGGTAATACGAGAGCGTCCCCGTGTTGAGGAGGAATGTGTCGAGTCACTGTCCAGGCGCAGCGACTCCATGCGGTCCAATTCCTCATACTCCGGAAGATGCAGAGGAGATCCATGGTAGTCTTCCATGATGCTGCTTCCGTCCAGCATAGTGTATCCAGGGGGACTAGCAGGAACGTCCTCATAGACTGGTGGCATTTCCTCGTCCCAACTGATGCCAAGCCCGCTTCGTTCGGTAACAAGCAGGTGGAACTGCATGCGCAAAACGCGCGCTGCGCCGGTCGGGGTGATGAGTCTCGTGTTGCGGTTGGGACAGAACTCTTCGGCAACAATCAATTCAATGACGAGGTTATGACGAGCTTCCAGACCACCAGAAGCTTCGAGGTCGCACACTGGGTTACAAGATGGGTTGATGCTGGCTTCAAACTGCATGCTGATTTCACCGCCGGCGGTGTCGAAATCCGTCTTCCAGCCGTCCTTCTCTTCGTTATGACCAATGACCCGGGTCTCCTGGTGAAGGACACCCTTGCCCTCGCCTCCGATTTTGTGTGTGTGCTTGGCACAGGCTGTAGAGACAATCTTCTGGTGTTCCTCAATCCGCCACATCATTTTTCGCAGGCGCCAGCGGGTCTGAGTTTCCTCGCCTTTATCCACCACGCCGCTCAACGTCATCTGCACGGGGAAGGTACCGATGGGGTGGACAACGGACGGAAGGACAATACGACCGGTGAGGTTGGTGGGGGGGAAGATACGGATGGAGGACTTGTCGTTGCCGGGAAGAATCGCGCGCTTGATGTGCAGAGGCATCTTATAAGTGAACTCTTCCCCAGTGACGCTGTGAGCACGTGCAGATAGGAAGTACTCGATCTGACCCAGTGAGCCGTTGCAGGAAGCGGGAAGATGACCGGGAACCAGGTAGCTGAAGGGGAATTCGTGGTCGCCGCTCTTCAGGGCGAGAGGCTCGGTGAGGAAACTCCAATGGGTCAATTCCTCAGTTCGCGAGGCACAGTTGGAGCAGTCTCTCGAAACGGGCTTCTTGGTCGTGATTTTGCTCATAAGACGCATGTCGAACGTGTCAAGCGTGATCATGCCGGCTAATTCAGCGATGCTAATTTTGAGGCGTCCAGAGAATAAAGCGCCAGTTGAATTGGCAGGGGTACCGTAACACACGAGCGGGGGGGATTCCACAATCACATCGAGCTTTGCAGAGGGATTGGCACTGTGGTCATGGCCGGCACGCTCCTTTGAACGAGCGGAGCGGCCGTGGCTTCGTCGCTTCTCCTTGCTGTGGTCGCGGTGAGGGTGAATGAGATGCTCCATCGCGAACGATAGCCGGCGTTCGGGGGAGCGAGCTCTGTCCACGATCAGGTGGGTAGATGGCTTCTTAGAGGCCACGGTGTTGTTCGGGATCTCGTTCACAGACGAGGAGGACGAGGAGTTGGAGTGTGAGACGGACGATGAATGATGGGAGAGGGAAGGGCGGACAAAGCTGGAAAGTAAACGGCCTGGCATGGTGGCGACGGTTGCGAGTGGACGCGCTGATTTGGGGAACCTTGGTAGCTAAGTATAGTAACAGTGTCGAGGACACACAAGCTGGGAGTAGTGGCTTATTGTGTCTCAGCGGCTTTCTCGGGAAGTAGAAGGTTGTGTTGCTCAGGGAGCAGTGGATGTCGGAAGGTGACGGTCCACGATGACTGCAGTATATGACCAGACCGGGGAACAGACTAGTATGCGTGAAGCTGTCTTGATATCACGGTGAATGTGGGAGTATGAGGTTGGTTGTCAAGTACATAATCTCCTTGCAATTGAACTGATTCTTGTACCTATTCAAACTTTTGACTACAGTCAAGAGCTCAAGGAATGAGTTGATGAGGGGTCAAGCAGCAGACAAGATATGGACGAGTAGTGAAGAGATGATCGTGTTGTGATGGTTGTAGTGTGTAGATAGTGGTCTATATCGAAACAACCGAAAGGAAGTGAAGTAGATCTAGGCTATGAAGCAAACAGAGAGTAATTGGCAAGTAGAGGTGGGAGAGCAGCTGCCTTTGAATGAGGCAGGAGATGCTCTACTTATTTTTCTAATTGCAACCCAAATATACTCATCCACCCCCCCTCCTCAGGACTCATTTTCCCTAACTTTCTATTTTTTCCTATTGTTGAATTTTTCTTTTCTCCTTTTTCTTTTTTAGCGTGGTTGTTTCTAGGGCGTTCCCACACCATGTAACAGGTACGATTAATTCCCTGGTCTGGCCACCCTGAAAAATGTCTCCATCGCATCGGGCGGCCGATGGAGGCTTGGTGGGGCACGGCAGAAAAAGCGTCATAGTGGATCTTACAGTACCGTTTCCGTACATAACCGTACCTCTGTCTCCGACGGAAAGCGCCATATTCTTCTACAGGTACGGAGTAGATGCGGTACCTGTCCCGTGGCACCCATAATTCCCCGAGGGCAACGCGTTGACACACCGTGATTCGGTTGGCAGTAGGTAAGTTGAATGTATCTACCTACCTTCAGAGCCAGTATTGCTTAGCCAGGGTGACTCCTGAGGTAATTTGCGTGATTATTCAGCACCATTGTGGGCATTCGCCGTATGCGTCTTATTCTAGAACAACCACTGACCAATCAATGATTCTAGCCCCAGGTTGTTCTGCGTAATCGATGATCTGATGGTCTCAAGTCAGATATTCTTGGCTGGGGGTTGTTTGGAATCGCTTTCATTCCCCAGATCTTGACAGAATCAAAGATTGGGCTCAACTCCAAAGCCTCCCACACCTGAGAAAGCCGGAAATTGTAGTCTCCCTCCAAGCATTCTGGCTGGCGCGCACTTAAGTACGGATAGATTTCCCCGGCAGCATGTGATGGGTGCATATGGACTCGCGCAGCGCAGAAGCAGGTTGTTGATGCTGGGGTGGTTGAACCCTTCTCCTCCATCAGATAATTTGGTGTGCAGTCAAGCAATTTACTCGAATCTGGAGTACGCGGAATGTCCTTCCTAGTATGATGCCCTCTCATCCACGTCCGTCGAGGGGGAGGTCAGGCGCAATGACTCACTCACGCTAGGGCCGGGTCTGAGCCTCCAGGGACGAACAGCCTTCTCCGGTGTAAATCCTGTTGAAGAGAATACGCAATATGTGTTTGCGCAATTCTGCACGTACGAGAACCATCACATTAGCCGGATACACGCAATCCATGAGATCGGTGGTGAGGTGGAATAATGTCAACTGGCTGGAGAATGTTGTCATGTCATCTGTTCTAGAATTGGACGGAGGGTCCAGGAGGTATCAGATTCAAGCTGAGTCAGGTTCTAGACAACCTCCATGAGCCTGAAGTTCTATACTTGGAAGTCAGGAATGACCACCACCTCAGGCTGGGACAGAGTGTTTCCCCCCCTAACAGGCTTACCAATACAATGGTGGCTTGTGAACCCCGTGGGTGTACTCCAGTAATTACTACCAGTACTAAGTCATCGGGTACGATTCCGAGAACTGACAACAGAATGACAGATCAATGAGCCAGCCATGCATGGCAGGCTTTGTAGACCGACGACGGCACGGAGTATCCGTCCAGCAGAAGCAGTTGCGGTAGAAGCTGCTAGTACCGGATCATCACACCTACACTAACGGGCGCTTCCTTTGCTCATCCAGGAAGGTCAGCTGCCGTCATCGAACCATCACGTGGCGTCACAAATCGCTGTACGAGCCCGAGGGGCACAAGGCGGTCTGCTCCTATTCTTCTTAGTGGAATACCGGCGGTGACTTCCTGTATCACTCGGCTATACAATACCGTACAGCCACTCATTGCAACGCTAATTGGAGATCCTCTGGGTCCATTGCCGCTTGTTGCACTTTTGCGCCAACAACAATGGAGAGTCAGTGATGGAACCAAGGTCTTGAGGAAAAAAAAAAAAAAAAAAGAAAGGAAGCTAGCCCCATCAGACCCGGATGTTGTGCGTCCTGTGGTACGGATTGGGAATCTTCCAGGAGAAAAATTCTTTGCAGGGTGTACAAGGCTACGAGTACACTCCGGTCCAGGCTCCACTTGCCGACAATAGGCAAGAAAATTTGAGCGAGGGAGAACAAAAGATAGATTGCTGTGGTAAAACTCAAAAAGAAGGGTAGGTCCCATCACTTGATTCAACTCTTGGTTGATGCCCCTTAGTTGTGAGTCCCCAAAACATTTCTTCCCAAAAAAGGTACTCCGCACAGGTGGACAATGAACGTTGGTGTGTTGTTGCGCGCAACCAATAATTCAGGCGCAGCTGGCTTCTCCTCGTAGCTACCTTTTTGGGGCAAGTCTCCAGACACAGGCTGAGCCACCGACTCATTCCTCACGGTTGCTGCAGCCGTTTAGTGCGAGACCCTTCTGGACATCAGCTCACCATTCCAGTTCTTTTTCCCCGCACTGCAGTTTAATCCCGACCTTTGCGGGGCATTGCATCATCCGGCTATCCTTGCCGGTCAATGCATTGAACATCCTCAGTCAGTAATCAAAAATACCTCGGTTCTAGTATTTGATGAAGGGAGAGCTCGAGGGAGGTTGAGTCACTCTGAGTGAAGTGCCATTTTGGTTGTATTCGCGATATTCCAACTGATAGTTAGTGACATGACATGAGAAGAAGCCCACCCGGAGTTGTAGTTCAGTTCTAGACGCCGTGCACTGTCCTGTTGGCAGGGGAATTTCTTGTTCATCTGACGAATGAGTATTTGCTGCCGCCCTACCCATTACCTAACAGTTTCCTCCTTAGGCTCGCCGCCTCCCCATATTGAACAACTTCAGGCTTTTACCTTACTCATAGTAACTGAGCATCTTTCGGCCTCGAAGACTTAACATCAACAGCTGTTTTTCCGAGTGATCGTCCCGACTGACAGAATCTCGGCACATGTTGTCGGTCCCTGCTACGAATGGCCGACTCTGATCACGCCATGAATCCCGTCTGTCTCTCTCTCTCTCTCATTCTATGATTCTACAGACTCCGCTTCCTCCGATGCAGCTCCCAACCCACATTGTAGTTACAGAAATGTCAAGGCGTTGAAGATGGAGGACTTGACTTGTCTCCGCTTTCCTACACCTTAACTCGCGCAATGGATCTGTGGACTGTGGAGTCGGTATAGTCCTCTCGTATGTCGATTGAAAGTGGCACCTTCTTACCCCATAACAACGACCACCCTCCAAGGCTCAACTCCGATAGCGGAATTGCCTCTATCCTATCACTTGGAACCTTGGACGTTTGATACTCCCTGACTCTGTGAGCATGCATGCTTTGGTCAGGAGATATGAAGCAGCCATTTACCCGGCTGGTGAAGAACGGTATCAGCGCGGCGGCGCATCAACTACCTACTTCGGAGTAACTGGCCTAGCGAGCAGCAGCATCCCTATGGAACTCCTATTCCGAGCTTCGCTTCCCGCGGAGCCAGGCGTGACAATACCCCTTTTGGGGGCGGGATCCCCCGCCCACTGAGTCTTAAGTCGGTGTTACTACGGAGTACACTCTAGGTACCTTAACTTATTACTTACTCTCAGACAATCGTCGGTTGCAATCAAGAAAGCGGCCAATTGTCGAGCACGCACTGCATTGTGATGGCGCTATTTGCTCTTCGCTCTACAAATCACTCTGTGAGACCTCCACGGGTCGTGCAAGAGCTTGGGCCCCATCTCTTTTGCACTTTGCAGAGTCTGAGAACAAATACCACAAGGCATGTTCATAGATGCCCGCATTCGATTGGGCAGTGGAAGCACTGCGTGGTTTCACTTGGCCGGCCGGGGCGCCGGACACCGTGCAGGTTTTGCCTAGCCGGATCGCTGCCGGTCGCCATCAGAGTCCACTTCATCGTGATGACTCTTACCACCACTTAACACTGCTTAGCGCCTCAGACAGTTGCAAAAATTTTCTTGCTGGTCTCCATTTGCTACCAAGGCCCTCATTGGGGTTGTGCATTTCAGGTTAGACCACCCGAGAAGATCAAAGGACATCGGCGACTGCCGCGGCCGACAATGAATGTTACCTTAGCCCACTCTTTGATCTTTGCCCCAGTAATAAACAGTAGGATTGAGGAGGGTGGGAGAAGGTCAAGATCCATGGAACTCAGCCCGCGGAATCGCGGTGTGACTGTGCGGTACTCGGTACATAACTGCGGCTCAGGGTTGGTACCACCGCGGACCGCCTTCCGGGGGGGCAATTTCTGGTTTCTACAAGCCGTTGATTCATGCCCTGAACGCTAAGCTGTTTTAACCGGTGTGACTAACTTGCAGTATAGGCGCGGATCTTATGATCTTGGCCATGATTCGCGGCTATGATCATGAAACATACTCCGGAGTATGTTGAGCGCATATTGTCTTCAATCTTGTACTCGAGCGAATAGAGGACCCTGTAGGTGAAGAGTTGTTGCAATGGCCTAGCGCTCTCTTGAGGGATTTAGGATTGAATTGACGCGTTGCCGGTCCACCGATGAGCGAGTACTTTGACTTTGGCCACCAAATGATTATGGGATCGGGATGGGGCATATACAAGCACGTCTCGGGCACAGGTTCTAGAATCGCGGCTTGGACCAGTACGTCAGACAAGGTACCGTCCTATGACCCGGTCAACCATGTATATCAAGGGCAATTGTTCGAATGGAGTGGTCTTGATTATTTCATACATATAGCAATTTTGTTCTCGCCATACAATCTAGACTCCTGACATTGGCGTCTTGCCTAGCCATTGCTGTGGTAAATCGACGAGCTTGAAACTGGCATGTTCAAGCTGTACCTACCTAGATATCTAGATAAAATCAGCGGCATACAGTATCGCATGCATTATCAACGGCCTATTCTGCAAACCTTCACAGAACCTTCATTGGATATTATTCTTCTTCTCTAACACTCCGTCCCCGCTGGTGATAAGATATTGCCTTCATTTTCTGGCGAACCCGGATGGATGCAACTGTAAACTACTTATTGAGGCTTTCCAAACATTATGGCCCAATGCTCCTCATGGCTCGCCAGTCGTAATCTATAATCATGGCAATGTTACAAGGACACACCGTTGCTACGAGATCAAGGTCACCGATAGCTTCGACGATTCCCCACTATTCTAGAACAATTCAAACTCAAATCCACAACCGCAGATGTCATTCGAGAACCTTTAGAAGTCAGCGCTTGGTGAGGCATCCGTGCAGTCACGTGTCCAAGCTCCATGGAGCTCCGGCGATCGACGAATTGGAGATCCCGACTCTCGAGGTCCCCCTTTCCTGCACAGCGTCACCAGTTTACCTATGCAACCCGTCTCTGCGGTGATGAAAGGCACCCCTGACTTGGTCCCATATCCCTGAAACCCCTGAAACCCAGAAGTGGCTCTCTTGTCTGAAGCTCAACTGCACTGACCTGTCAGGTAGCCGTTGCGGAACGAGGCATTCAGAATCGATCCCGATCAAGCTTTAGCAGCGGTATTATATCAATTGCAGCTTCAACAAACCAATTGCAAGAAACAATTCTAGAGTCTGGATCATCATACCTCGTTTTCACCATGAACACCTCATCATTGATCACGATAGGTCTCGCGATCTCTGTAGTGTTTATGTTCTGGACATTGTCTTCAACCTCTTCCTCGCCTTTTGCCGGGGCCTTCCCCCGCCTCTACAACAAACGAATCTGTCTACTGATCGCCCACCCCGACGATGAGGCCATGTTCTTCGCGCCTACGGTGTTGGCCCTCACTAAACCGGAGTATGGCAATCACCTCAAGATTCTCTGTCTGAGTACCGGTATGGCCGTCCTGATGCACTCCTCATTGGCAAAGCGAAGCAAAGCCAAGCGCGAACCCACTAACCCGTCACCGCTCATGGGATATCTAGGCGACGCAGACGGTCTTGGACACATCCGCAAGAAAGAACTTGTGAAGAGCGCCCTGCAACTCGGACTGCGGAGCGAATCGGACGTGTACGTCGTGGACGACCCCACCCGATTCCCGGATAGCATGACAACCCACTGGACGGAGAACGACGTTGCCTCGATCCTCGCATCAGCGTTTGCGCCGGAGATGTCGTCATCGAAGCCCACAAGGAAGTCAGGCGGAGGGGCAGCGGCGGCACCGACGGCGACCATCGACGTGCTGTTGACGTTCGATAAGGGCGGCATCAGCAATCACCCCAACCATCGATCTCTGTATCACGGCGCGCTGCATTTTCTGCGCACCCTGGTCAAGGATAGTCCCGGATACCAGTGCCCCGTCACGCTGTACACGCTGACGACGACCAATATCGTGCGCAAGTACGCCGGGGTCCTCGATGCGCCCTTCACGATGGTGAGGGGTGCACTCAGCTCGATCGCCTCGGGCTCGGGAAGCCGCAGCTCCAAGGACCAGCTCCCTTCTCGGCTTCTGTTCGTCAGCTCCGTCAATGAGTGGTTGACGGCCCAGTCGGCAATGGTGAAGGCCCACCAGAGTCAGATGGTGTGGTTCCGTTGGGGCTGGATCACGATTGGGCGGTACATGGCTGTCAATGACCTACGACGTGAGAAGATTTGAATTGGGTTTTATGCAGCTTCGTACGCTAGGCGTCGGGATGCAGATTCTATAGATACTCTGACCCATCCCGCCTCGATGATCGTGCAGTCTCCTTATCTGAAGGGGAGACTTATCGTTGAATAGGGAGCTTTAGGTATGATCCACCCCTGGTCACATGTAGAGTTTCTTTCTAGTTTCTTTACGACCCGGACTAAAAGTAACACTAAACAGGAAATCATTCGTAACATGTCACTATGGGTAGGGTATTCTCACGGGCGATCAAGCCCCATGCATCGAGTAACAAACCCCCAGGCTGTGCAGCATTCGCTTGAGAAAAGACATCGCTAAATGACGCTGCAATTGTGATGAAAGCAAGAGCTTGAACAAAACATGATGTTCAGGCACTAGTTAAGAAGACGAAGAACGAAGTCGCTATGCACGCAATATCAATGGTCCCATAGTACCTTTAAGTATAGCAAAGCGCTACTTGGGATACTCGGGGTCCCCAGACTCGACTTGCTGCCCGAAAATCACAGACTCGATTTGATGAGGGTCCTCAATCTCAGACGCGACTCGATCTTCCCGAAGAACCTGCTCGAATAGCAGCTTGAGGGATGCAGAGTCCGGCTTAATGTCTGGGTTGAATCGCAAAAAGCCTTTCCAGAAGAACTCGTCGTCGACATAGCCAACCTCATCCCCAGGTTTGACATCATTATCCGGCGACGGCCGTCGGATTGGTATGTGCTTCCCACTGTAACGATTTTGGGTGCCCCAGCGCACAGGTCCATGAAAATTCACAACGCCGCTACCGGTGTAGAAGAAAAATTCCTCTGGGAGAAAGTCCTTCCACTCTTCCAGCACTTTAGGAAATATACTCGTCTGCCATGCGGGATTATCTCGGCCCGTCCATAAACGCTGAATCAGCAGGAGTTTGGCGAGCTTGTTCATGAGTTCGGTCTGTTGGGCTGTGCGCACTGAAAGGATGTTATAGGAGTATACTGCATTGGCGAGGTCACGCGTTTGCCAGGTATGGTGGGAATTCCGTGGACTGCGCCACTTGATGAACGTCTCGATGGCCGACCTCGCTTCCCGTTGATTCCGCCGAGTCTCTTTCAAAATCTCGTACGCAGCGGCCATCTGGGCCTTGAATTCCTTCAGACGCTTGCTTTCCCACGCCATCTTAGCAAGCTTGCAGCGTGCCTCCATCGTGGGACGCACGTTGTATGGCTCTGCAGTCATTGTATCGAACAGTTTGGTCACAATGAGCGGGCTTATCTGCCCTTTCGCATTTCTCTCGGCATCGGGACCAAACCTGCGACGTGACAAGACGTACGCTCGCTCGAATAATTCCCACCAGACCCTCTCAGGAACCGGTATATCGTATTGCGTCGAGATGGCTTCTACTAGGCGGAGTGCAGCTTCCATGTCGTTGTTTGTGCCGAAGGCGTGAGCCACTGCGAAGAGAAGTCGACTTGTGGGACGAAGGGGTGAAGCCGGATCCTGGTGAAAAACCTCAGGCAGCCTTGACCAGCCTTCTTCGGTCTTCAATTCATCAACATCTATATTCCAAGTCGTTTTCAGAACATCCTTCATTCCAGGAACATAGCCTACGCGGGAACATGCAATGATCAAGTTCGTGAAGGTCATCTCATCCGGTGCGATGGATCTCTCCACCATCTCTTCGAATACCCCTCGCACTTCTCTGAGTACACTGCGTGCTGCGGTGCCGTACCCCTCCCAGCCTCTGCCCGCGAGGCCGTATTTTCGTTGCTTATATGCATATGGGGTCATTCTCAAGCGGTATTTCTCCATGCCAGTGAATGCCCCTTCCCAGATCAACGCTTCCATATAATGGTTGTAACACTGGGTGTCGGGCTTCACCTCGTGGGAATCCATGACCTGCCATGCCTTCTGTGCCATTCGAATGTCGCCCATGGCACCCGCGCAAACGAGAAGGTGGGTAAGTTCCGCCCGGCCCAAGAACCGTCCAGCGGAGATCCTGGCGCGGACAATTTTTGCGAGGTTGTCAGCGAAGTCATTGAAGATGAGTTTCAACTGCTTGATGCGCATGAGTCTTTCAGCTGTCGGATGAAGCGCTCGGTGAATGTTGCGATAGGGCTCGATGAAGTGGGCGGGAGAGAGAAGCAGAAAGGCCTCGATGAAGGTGGAGTCCGGCAAGTTTCCTACCACATTGCTGAATTGAGGATCAGTGAGAACATCCATCACCATGTCTGGTTGGCCGCTGGCAAGCATATAAGCCAACTTCTCTTGCCGGGTGTCCCATCGTGGACCGCGTCGTCGCTCCGAAGCAGGATTGCTGTTCAGAATTTCCGTTGTACTCATCATTGGAAAGTATTCATATTTCTGGAAGTAATCCTTCTTCGTGTCCAAAGGCGTCACCTGCCTTCTTGTGCGCGGCCTAGTCCAGACTCTTACCGATCTCGAAGGGGTTGTAGTAGGATTGCGAAGTATGAGATGTGGAGATTGATAGTGATAGCGGAGATTGGTTGGCCGAGAAGGACGATAAGAGGACCAGAATAACCCCAAGCGAGTCCAACATAGAGACTCACTTGGTTGTAAGAATCGCAACATCGCGCCAAAAATTGCGCAGTAAATACCAGCAGACGAGTAGCAACATGGGGTAAAAGATTGACTGGGGAAAGAAAAAGAGGGGGTTAAAGCTGACTGCCGCCAGATATCCTTGTACTTTCCTGGAGTCTTAAGGCAGCTTCTCTAAAAGCGGAGTAACTGATGGAGGGCGGTTGTTGTGGTCTTGGCGGGATCAAAGAATCCCTGTCAGTCTCTTTCAACACCCATTCATGTTCCCGCGGGTGACAGTCGCCCAATTTCCATCTTCCCCCCCCATATCCCCCTCCCCTGCAGCTCATTTGATTGCTCGACTGTTTTAGACGCTTTGGACGGTCTTGCCTGACCTAATTTCTTTCATCCCGTCCAGCTCCCCCGGCCTCCCTCTTACGCAACTCCTCCGCATACCCCCTCAGTTCCCCCCGCCGGAGACATGGCCGACACGGAGGATGCGGGCACCTCGTCGGTGTCTGAACCCCTCGACCTGGTGCGCCTGTCGCTCGATGAGATTGTCTTTGTGAAGCTGCGCGGTGATCGCGAGCTCAAGGGTCGCCTCCATGTAGGTTTCCGCACTGTTTCTGCGGAGGTCGGCTGAGGAAGAAGCCGGTACTGACGATTCAATTGCTCTACAGGCCTACGATAGCCACTGCAATCTCGTCTTGGGCGATGTAGAGGAGACCATCTATGTGGTTGAGGAAGACGAGGACGAACAAGAGACGATCCGAGTACGTTGCATGCCGTTACAGCGACCGAACTTGCTCCCAGCTGTTGGCCCTTTTTCTTTTTTTTTGCGATCGCATCGCACACTAACACATACTGCAGACAATCAAGAAGCAGGAAGAAATGCTTTTCGTTCGAGGTGCGTTTCTAGCTGTGTCTCTCCGATGACGTCGGGAATGTAATTTCGACTAACACTCTCCTGGCACAGGCGACTCGGTTGTTCTGATTTCCCCCCAAGCATGATGATACGAATTCAAAGGAAGACGATCAATGGATTGTGGTCGGAGGGACTGGAAGACCATGCAGCGTAACCTCTGCTACTATTCATGTCGGCCACGGATCAGGATGAGACCACGAACTACCAGGCGATATACTACAGGGTTCCCAAATATAAGACTCTAATTGCAAGAAGTGATCTGTGCATGTGTGTTCTGGCCAGACGGTGGGTGAGTTAATCGGTGGTGTCTCAGAAGAAGACGCGGCAGGGTGGGAGAGAGTGGCACCATGCCTTTCGGCCACCAGAAGGAAATCTGCCTTGCATGCAACTAGAGTAAAAACAGTTGATACTTGGGTTTGAGCGCATGAATCAAATTAGACGTGCACATTAAAAAGTCAGCCTGGAATGCTTCCAGGTGATTCTTCTCCATGCTTGTGACTTTTACTGAGTGACTGGGACGGGTGAGTCAAGACGCACGAGGCGGCGATGACTCGCACTCCGCCGGTGGTCGATTATCGATAAAGCTTTCCCCGGGTCTCCCGTCCATCGGACCCTCTCTCCCTCTCTCCATCTTCTTCTTCCTTCTTCACCTACTCCCACCCTAGCTTTTTCCACCACCCTAGAATTTCCGTTTCGGTGCTTCTTTCAACATTCATTCTTATTTCTCTAGCTCGAGACTGCTTGCTTAGTCTATCCAGACTCTTCTTCCTAGCTTTCCAGACGGGAATTATGATCACACGAATAGGTGTCTGAGTGCGCCAGAGGCGAACCTTGACCGTTCCATCCGACCGAAGCATTCGGATTTAGCTACAGATAGACACGCATTTGTCCGTTCTACTTCATCCTTATCTCTACTTGCAACGACCTACAAACACCTACAACCATGGCACCCACTGGACCCAAACTCACCCTGGAGGAGCGGCGGAGAGGCGAAATTGTGTGTGGTTCTCTGTCTCCCCCTACGCGAGAGATCCCACCCCCCTGCCTCACCCCGCCTCACTAACCTTTCGATGGTGCAGGCACTGAGCGAGTTCGCCGAATACGCCGAAAAGCAGCAGGCCCAGCGGTCGGCCGTGCCCGTTCCCAGCGACAGCGGATATGAAACCGCCAGCGTCTCGCGCGTCCATGAGGACCACGCGGAGCTGGACATCCTCGACCAGCTGTCATTGAGCGATACGCCCAAGACCGTGAAGCTGAAAGAGCTCCTTCTTGGCACGGGTGACCAGCCCGACGACGATCTGCAGGTGCTGGCAAGCCTGCTGCAGTCCCGCATCGACGAGGGCCACGGCGAGACGCTCTTCGACTTGGGCCTGGAGGACGGCGGGGAGTCGATGCAGTTTGACCTGGAGCAGTGGAACACGGCGATGCGGCGCCTACGTGAGGCCGCAGACACGCTCCCGGCGCATTGTCGAGTGCTGGTCACGTATAATGTCGGCGGGCCGGAGGAGTCGCGCGTCAAGAATGAGCGCACCAAGAGCTCGTGGGGCAAGCTGCTCATCCGCCAGCCAGCGGGGACCGTGGAGGAGATGGCGGAGATCCGCGTGGCGGTCGTGGGCAATGTCGATGCCGGCAAGAGTACCATGCTGGGAGTCCTCGTGAAGGGGAACCTGGACGACGGTCGCGGCAAGGCCCGGCTCAACCTGTTCCGCCACAAGCATGAGATCGAGAGCGGCCGGACTAGCTCGGTCGGCATGGAAATCATGGGGTTCGACAGCCGCGGCGACATTGTCAGCAGCTCCCAGGGCCGCAAGCTGTCGTGGGAGGAGATCGGAAAGCGCTCCGCGAAAGTGATTGGCTTCTCAGATCTGGCTGGCCACGAACGATACCTGCGGACCACCGTCTTTGGGATGCTGAGCAGCAGCCCGAATTACTGTCTGCTGATGGTCGCCGCGAACAACGGTTTGATCGGTATGAGTAAAGAGCATTTGGGCATCGCCTTGGCTCTCAACGTGCCGGTCATGGTCATCGTTACGAAGATTGATATCTGCCCGCCCCAGATTCTGCAGGAGACACTCTCCCAGCTCAACAAGATCCTCAAGTCCCCGGGCGCTCGCAAGATTCCCGTGTTTGTGAAGGACATGGAGGAGACGATCAACACGGCTACGCAGTTTGTCAGTCAGCGGATATGCCCCATCTTCCAGGTGTCCAACGTGACTGGAGAGAACCTCGAGCTCGTCCGGACCTTCTTGAATATCCTCCCTCATCGGGGTCACTACAATGTTGACGCTCCTTTTGAACTCCTGATTAACGACACTTTCTCCGTTCCCCATGTCGGCACGGTCGTGTCTGGCGTGGCCAAGTCGGGCGTGATCCATGCGGGTGACACGGTGCTGGTAGGGCCCGACTCGCTGGGTCAGTTCACTACGACGACAATCAAGTCGATTGAGCGCAAACGCATTCAGGTGAATGCCTGCTTCGCGGGGCAGTCTGGTTCGTTCGCTCTGAAGCGCGTTCGGAGGAAGGAAGTCCGCAAGGGTATGGTCGTTCTCAAGAAATTGGAGCAGGCCCCCAAGGTCTATCGCGAGTTTGTAGCGGAAGGTGTGTTGTGTAGTCCTCAGTGCGTTGTGTCCTTACTGATGTGATACAGTCCTGATCCTCTCTCATGCTACGACCATCAAGCCGCGCTACCAGGCGATGCTGCATGTGGGCGCGGTGAGCCAGACATGCTCCGTCATCGACATTGACCGTCCATTTATTCGGACTGGGGACCGTGCATTAGTTGCATTCCGATTTGTGCAGCGGCCCGAGTTCCTTGCCCCTGGGGACCGGGTGCTTTTCCGCGAGGGCAAGACGAAGGGTCTGGGGATTGTCAAGAGCGTGGGCTATGATCCGAAGAACCCCCTCAATCCTGAAGCCAAGGCGGCTGAGGAAGCAAGCAAGCCGAAATGATCAGCACGTTTATCAGCTGGAGAGTATAGGCGGCGGATTGTGCGAGGGACCCTCGCCACGAGGCCTTACACACTCCATAGTTAGGCCAAGTGGCTGAGTCAGCTGCAGTGAGTTGTTTTGATTCTTATTGATTAAGCTATTCTTTTGGCATTGTCTGGTTAGTTCGGACTGGTTTCCTGTTTTTTTCTTATGTACATCTGGGTGTTACCAAAAGTCGCCTGTTTAGATGAGCCACTGTGGACGATTCCACTTCCACAACATTCAGCTTGCAAGCAGTTCCAATGTACCTACAGTATACTTTTCAATTGACTTTCTCTGTGCGGTAGAATTTGAGGAATTGAGGATATTGGGCCATGGTTTTGTGTGATTGTTTAAGCCCACGTGAGGCGGGGAGGTGAATGAATGACGTCAGGGGAAGTGATGACATCGCGGTCGATCATCGACCGACCTTCGCCTGTCGCTGTCCCCGAGCCACTGACGTTGACCTGCTTGACATGGGGAAGAGCTTAAAAAACCCTTGCATTCATCGCTGGAGGGTTTGAGAACGACCCACATTCCATTCACTGTATACTGTGACTGTGACGGTGGTTGTGACTAGACAACCCGCTCATACTTCACTGAGTTCAGAGATCCGATCCTCAGCACATATTTACTTCAGCACATACCTGCACGCAGACCAAAGTCCTGCACATGAGCCCTCCTCTCATCTAGAGAGAACAGAAACTAAAATGGAGACTCTCAACCGCACCTTCAAATCCGCCACGAACGCCCTCTGGAACGAAATCCAAGCCACCACCCAGCCCCCTCAAGAGTCACAACCGCACGGCGAGGAGCCCATGTCTGGCATTCAGGGTACAGGCAGCGTGACGGATCCTTATGATGGAGGGAACCGTGATGGTAGGTGCTTGCTTGCTTGCTTACTTGCTTCGCTCGGTTTTACATGTCTACCTTGCACACCGAGACAGCCGTATTCCCTCTACCCACCCAACCCATAAGAATGCAAGCTGAACGAACACCAACAGACCAGCCCGGCGCCCCCCGCACCACAGCCAACACAGCCCTCATCCCCGAACCCCTCGTCTCGACCGCCGCCGCCACCACCACCGCCGCTGGCGACCACGCCCAGAACCCCCAGTCGCCCAGCAACGCCGACCTGGCCCTCAAGAACGTCATCGTCGACGAGCCCGCCCTCCCCACCCAGAAAATGGAGTACCCGGACCCCATGACAGCCGCCGCGCCGACCAAAGCTGCCGAGACGGCGGGTGCGCCGAGTAGCGGCTCGGCGGGGATGAAGCAGCTGGCTGCGTCCGGGGGCGCTTTGCAGGGGGGAAAGACGACGGGAGTGTCGGAGCAGAGGGGAGGGGTGTTGCCGTTGACTAGTAACTCGCCGTCGGCTTGGCTGGGAGAGGGGTCTGGTTCTGGGGCTGGAGAGACGCTTGCGATCCGTGAAAAGAAGAAGGATGATCTTCTGCAGGCGAATAGGGGGTTGCCTGCTTCAGAGGGTATGCAGCCTGCGCCTGCGACTGCGACTGCTTCAGCGCACGAGCCGAACGACGACGACGACAGGCTTAGATCCTCAGCTGCTGCTGCCGGAATCGTTGGCGCAGGTGCGGGTACCACTACCGCTGGTGCTGGTGCCGGTGCTGGTGCCGGTGCTCTCCGCACAAAACCCCAACCCGACACTATCCCCTCTTCCAGCATCGCGCCGGAGGATAAGATTGCGTCTAAAGACCAGCCTTTCGGTGCTAGATCAACCTCTGCCTCGCAGCCGCAGCAGCAGCAGCAGACAGAAAAACCCACCACTACCACCACCACCACTGGTGCAGGTACCGCGTCAGACACGGAATCCGTCGGCCCCAGCAACGAAAAGAAAGACTCCATTACTTCCCCAGCGGAGCACGACACCCTCCCCACGGCCACTCACGACAACAAAGTCAGCGAGGAAGCCCTGAAGGGCCCGCAGACGCCTGCCCCGCGCGAGCCATTCGAGTTTGAGAAGAGGATGGGGTCGAAGGGGGGTGCGGCTAAATCTAGTTAGTATTGTCCCAACTTTCTTCTCCCCCAAATCCAACCAACCCTACATGAAAGTGGAAGGGTATGTGTTTGCGCCACGTAAGTTCAGTTACTGATGCGTGAAATCCCAGAGGCTGGAGCGGGTGCCGATGGCTCGAATGACACCGAGGCTGAGAAGCACGGTAAGGGACACGGGCAGGGGAAGATGGCTCATTTGAAGGAGAAGGTGGGGAAGGTTCTGCATCATGGAAGTAAGTGATCCATCCGCCTTGAAGTGAACAGAGGGGAAAGTAGTACTTCCGGTGGGACGGGACGGTGCGTCAACTGTTATGGTTAGGTTATGATATCATGGACACTGCTTTTGCTTTTGTTGAGATTGTAAGTATCGGTTCGAGATCCAGGCGTTGGGATGGCTTGTTATTGTAAGAGGTAATTATGCGGAAGATGTAGATACTACAGTAGGTACTAGTATCAATTTATACATTCCATATTAGTGAATAATTACTCTGAGATAGACATCCACTCATGAGTCAAGGTCAATGACTATGATACCTTGTGGCCTCGGAGACGCTTGAAATTACTCGATCCTTACGTATATCATAACTGCAAGTGCATTAGTCTAGATAAGCGCCTCTAGATCGCCGGAAAAAGCAAATGGTATCATATATACATACACCCGGACACAGCCCATCAACACATCACTATTCAAATAACAACTTCAACTCCTCAATCCGCTCCTTCTTCTTCTCATCCTCCGACCCATCACCACCCACCCTCAGCCCCAACGACCCCGCGATGTTCATCTTGCGCTCCTGCACCCGCAGCATCCGCCCCTCGATCGAGTCCTTCACCACGAACCGCGTCACCGAAACATCCCGCAGCTGGCCCATGCGGTGCACCCGGTCGATCGCCTGCGCCTCGATCGCAAAGCTCCACCACGGGTCCATCATGAAGACGTGGTTGGCGACCGTCAGGTTGAGGCCCACGCCGCCGGCGCGGAGACTGATGAGGAGGACGCGGGGGTTGGCAGTGGCTGATGAGGGTGGCTGGGTAGGTCTTCTCCTGAGCGGATGGGCAGACTTGTCAGTAGCGGCAAGGGGCTCGGAATCCTCCTCGACCTCGTCCTCCGCGAGAAAGGTTTCCGTCTGGTTGAACTGCGCGAGAGTCTCGGCGCGGGCTTTCTGGGGCATCGTGCCGTCGAGGCGAGCGTGTGGGATCCCGGCGCGGGCGAGCTGTGGAGAGATAAGGTCGAGGAAGCTGGTGAATTGGGAGAAGACGACGGCTTTGTTGTTCGACGGGAGGCGGGTGAGGTGGTTTAGGAGGGCTTGGATCTTGGCGGAGGTGTGCGCCGATGGGGAGAGAGGGTGGATGCGTCGCAGGGAGATGCGCGGCGGCGGCGGCGCTTGCAAGGTGAGCGGCGGCGTGCTGTTGTATATATCGGTCTCTTCAGTGGGCGTCGCGGTGGGCGACGGGTGCCGGATCACCTCGAAGATATCCTTGGAGGTGATCGGTCCGCGGCACGAAAAGCACCGCGGCGGGACTCCCTTGTCCGTCTGGTGGCGGATGTAGTCCTCGAGGCATTTCTTGCACGCGCTGTGCCAGCACGCGGTCACCGCGGGCTCGATCATGGGCTCTTCGGAGCAGATCGGACACTCCCCGCTGGACTCGGTCTGGATCTGTCGCAGGGCGTGCGAGGTGAATTTGGCCTGCGAGTCTTGCGCAGCCTGCTCCGTGCCGGCGGCTTCTGTGGCGGCTTTGAAGCGGTCGATAAGCTCCTGCAGATCCATGTCGTCCTTGAGATCACTGGCTCCATCGGCCGCCGCTGCCGCGTCTTCTTCATCGGCTACGATGGCCTTGTTGCGCGTGAGGATGGGGTGGCAGCACGTTTGCCGGAGACGGAGGATCTGTGCGAAGATCGTCGAGTACGATTTCAGAAGAGTGCCAGCCTCCACGTTGCTGTTGAAAGTCTGCTTGGCACGAGTGTAGATCAGATCGTAGATCTCCCGCTCTTGCTCCGGCAGCTCAACCTCCTCGATCTGAATTGTCCGCCGTGGCAGCGGAACCAGAGGCTCACCCTCCGGGGTCTTCATGGTCTTGGTCCGACGAAGAACCAGTGGCTCCAGCACAGTTTGTACGACGTTCAGAGCTCGAACATAGTCTTTCGACTCGAACGGCACGGTAATGAATGTTTTCCAGAAAGAGAAGTTGTTCCAGGGCTCGACCTTGAGGAAACGCACCAGACTGAACAGATCTTCCAGGCGATTGACAATGGGTGTACCCGTAAGAACCCATCGATGAGTCGCGCTGAGGTCGTAACATGCCTTCGCAGATTTGGACTGTCTGTTTTTGATCATGTGAGCTTCGTCGATAATGATCCGGAAGAAGTCCAGAGAGAACAGGCCACCCGAGCCCATGTGGGACAGAACGGTGGACGCATGGTGACGGTGCTCTGCAAGGACAACACCATAGCTCGTGATGATCACGTTGGGGGCAGCTGCATTGCCTGCAGCACACAGATCTCTGAGGTTGACATTCTTCTCCGTTCCGTAGTACATCAGAACCTTCAGCGTTCCGGGCTGAGAAGCCTTCAGTGCTTCACTCTCCCACTGCGCAAGCAGCGAGGTTGGTGCAATGACCAGAGTCGTATAAGGAGCAGAGACTCTGCCAGTGGAAGATTGTGGGAGCCTCACCAAGCCACCTGAATTTCGAGGCTCATTCCTGTGCGAATGAACAAGACTGAGCATTTCGATGGTCTTACCAAGACCCATCTCATCAGCCAGAATGCCACCGAGACAATGCTGCTCCTGCTTCGGGAACTCCAATGTCAGCTCTCCGGAGTATGGATTGACGTAGAAATAATCTATCCCCTTCACGGCGGGCAGCTCCTTGTCGTCGACATCTTTCGTCGGCCAGGAATACTGCTCCCACAAGGGATGCAGAGACTCTGCGCGCGCCGATTTTTTGTCCGTTTCCTTCGCCAGCATCCAGTGCAGTGCCTGTCTTTGATACTTTCGTAGATCCAAAGTGAATGTGGACGGGGGATGCGCTTCGGGCATGCCAAAGTCGAACGACTGAGCCTTCTTGTAGAGTGTGTCGAGTTGGTCTTGTTCAAGCTCTGGAGTTTCTTCTTCCTCCGACGAGTCGTTATTCGACTGATTCTCTTTCTTGACCCGATCATACTGATCGGCCATCTCTGCTGCACGGAGCAGTCCCTCTTTCTTATGCTGCTTGGTCATATCATTGACCGAAGTCGGCTGAAGCCCGATCTCATCGAAGAGCTTCACCAACGCCACCTGGCGCAGGCGCAGATTCTTCTCCTCAATGCTTTCCTTCTCCTCGAATATGGTGGTCGACCTGTTATCATCAGTCGCAAGATCGAGCAAGCGAGGCTGGAACGCCTCGATGCGCAGATAGCACCACAGCTGCAGGTAGATCGTGTCATTCACGCGGATCCTGTCCGGCGCGAAGACGCAGATTCCCTCGAGTTCGCAGACTTTCTGATCGAGCAGCGTGGACACCCACTCGGCCGTTTCCCGAGGGAGACGCCCGATCTCCTGACCGGACTTGGTCGTGAACCGCGTGAGCACATCGCCTTTCTGGTTGTTCATGATCTTGCCCGTGCGACCACGTTTCGCAACGGGTTGCGACCTTGCGCGCTCAATCTTGACATGCTCGCCATGCTTGACGAGCCCAACGCCACTTCTCGTGGCCCACGCTCCGACACCGAAGGCGCCGATGTATCTCAGCCGAGGCTGGGATGTCCGTCGCGAGTTGTCCTGAACTGTGACTGGTGTAATATTCGATGGATTCGGGGATGGAAGGGTTGTCGGGGGCGATGGTTGCGCAGGAAGCGCTCGCTCGCGGGGTAATAGCGTGGTTTGGCTGGTGGCATTCGGGGTCGTTTTCCAGGACCCGTCGAAGAAGATGTTCACAGCCCTCTCAAGATCGCCACCAGCTGCTTGGAAGATCCTCGTGATGATATTCGCGGGAACGTGTTGTCCAACTATGGCTAGGAAGGTGGCAGTATCGAATGCGTCGTCTGCTTTCTGTTGCTCCGGCAGTGGCAGATCTTGGTCTGGAGGCTGTCCAGGAACCACGCTGCTCGAAGGTAAGTTTGTTTGTGAGTGAGGAAAGCCCGGCGTAGCATCCTGAGGGTCTTGAGCGAGGGAGTCTTGATTAGATTCTTCCTTCAACAAAGCAGAAGCCGGGGCTTCAGAGACTGCAGTGGAGGGACCATCGCTGGCAGAAATTGGTACAGAAAGGTCCTCGTCTTCGGCGAAGAAACGGCGCTTCTTCAGAGGCCGTCCATCAGGATCCTGAAAATGCATACTGCATCGGTCATCTCCTCTCCGTGAATGAGTCGAGGTGCTGCTCAAAGACTCGACTCTGTCCGAATTCCGGCGGCGAAAAAAGGGAAGCAAAAGTTGAAGGAAGGCGGAAGACGCGCCGAGACGCGATTTGCTCTTCGGCCCGACGTCATTTCGTGTTCAGTCGGTCTCGCCCAATAAAATCTGGTCTAATGGAAGCTTCGTTTAAAAAGATTGGGAGTTGATCGAGATTTCGCCTCACCAGAAGACACAGAACAATGAGCTTCAATTGACGTGTAAGTGATGCCAACTCCGTTAGCCGTTAGCCTTGAAATTCCAGACACAGGTGAACTGACAGCAATGTGGAAGGGTTAGCCACTAAGTAGTAGTAGTAGCCATCGATCTGCAAATGTGCCACCATCTCTCCGCAACAACTTCTTCATAGATTGAAAACCTCCCTCCTCTCCGAAGCCTCCGCCACTCCAGCCAACATGTCTCTATCCACCAAATGCATCCAGCCAAGTCGTCGCACGACCGAGCAAATATGTCGACGCACTGTACCTCGCACGCGAGTACAGCAGCCCCAAAAACGACACCTCCAGACTCGTCCGACGACGCCCGCAGCAGCAGAAGTCCAAGCTGCGCAAGAATACTGCTCCAATCTCCTACGGTAAGTTCGAAGCTGTTCGCTTTACATATAACAACATCACTTCTAATATCCGACCAACAGAAAATATGATAGCCCCTCCTACACCCTCCACACCTTCATCCCCCGCCACGCGCAACCCATGTACTTCGCCCTACGAGCCCTCAACGTCTCCCTCTCCCAAATCCCCGACACGACCTCCTCGCACACCATCGGCCTCATGCGGCTCCAATACTGGCGCGACGCGGTGACCAAAACGCTCGCCGGCCAACCGCCCAAGGAACCGATCGCGATCCTGCTGGCGGCGGCGATCGAGGAGCTGCGGACGCGCACGCACGGCCAGGCGCGGATCAGCAAAGGCTGGCTCACCCGGCTGATCAACGCGCGCGAGCAGACACTCACCAACGACCCGTACCCCAACCTCGCGGCCCTCGAGTCCTATGCCGAGAACACCTACTCGACGCTGTTTTATTTGACCTTGTCCGCGTTGCCGATGACGTCCGTTACGGCGGACCATCTCGCCTCGCATGTCGGGAAGGCGGTGGGGATTGCGGCTGTGTTGCGCGGGTTGCCGCTTGTTGCGTTTCCACAGCAGCAGCAGCAGCAGCAGCAACGATCTGCGACGGCGGGGGCGGGTGTGGGGAGTAATGTTGGGCAGTATGGGAATCGGCAGGGGGCGGTGATGTTGCCGTTGGATGTGATGGCGCAGGCGGGGTTGAGGGAGGAGGATGTGTTCCGGCTGGGGGCGGAGGCGCCGGGGTTGCGCGATGCGGTGTTCACGGTTGCGACGCGGGCGAGTGATCATCTCATTACGGCGCAGCAGATGTTGAGTAATCTCCGCGCGGGGCAGGATGTTGGCCATGACTTTGAGCATGAAGGCGAGGAGGGACATACATATGACCACCAGCAGCTCGGGGAGAATCAGCGCGGCGCGGAGACGCCCTTGGATGAAGTGAACCGCGCGTTCGGCGTCTTGATGCCGGCTATCCCGACACGCTTGTGGCTGGACCGGTTGGAGAGCTTCGACTTTGATGTCTTCCGGCCGGAATTGCTGCGCTCGGACTGGACGCTGCCCTGGAAAGCATATTGGGCGTTCAAGCGCAAGGCTTTGTGATGTGGGTACACTGGGAGACAAGGCTATGTAGAATATGTACGATTATTCTCGTTGTATATCATCACTCTCATGCAGGTACTTGGACTGGGGTAATGTATCATGTTGTACAAGACATGGGGCGCATCTATACAATAGAAATGCATTGCGAGAGAACAGAATTGTGCTGGCTGAAACTCTAAATATTCGAGATGCATTGCAGAAATGAGTGGCGAAGCTCATGCCCTTTCCGTCGCCTTCTTCCTCTGCCTCCTCTTCCTGGAGCTGGTAATAAGGCGTTTCTGTGCGAGCAATACCAAGTAACGCTGGAGCTTGTCGCGCCTAGAGAAGCCATTAGTATCGCTCTTGATTTGAGCACGAAAGGGGACAATCCTACATCAGAAACAGGGTGGTCGCGAAAACGAACGGGATTGCAATCATCCAGAAGTATCTACATATCGAGGTTAGTGTCAAGGCTGGGGATATCCTGGACTAGTGCACCTACGAATCGCTGTGATGAATGCCAGAGAAGTCATCAAAATTCATTCCAAAGTAGCCCTACAGCGATATTAGTAAGGGTGCCCGTTACAGGTAAGTACTCGAACGTACCGTCAAGAAGGTCAGGGGCAGGTAGAAACACGTCACCAGCGTGAGTTGCTTCATGCTTTCATTCTGATAAGCACCTATGCAATATGAGATTAGCTCATGTGAAGCCCCGAATGTGCCTCGGACTCACCAATCGTGTTGAAAATCAAGTCTATCATGTTGTCAGCAGCCCTGCGCATTTGGTCGTAGCCCTCGACGATAGTGATACAGTGATCCAGTGCATCGCCCAGATAAGTATGGCACAGTGGACTGATTGACACACTGGAGCCGTTCAAACTCTTCAGATTCGGCGTAGCTGTCCCAATGTACGGAGACCCATCGCCGCTGGGACTTTGTAAACCAATGTTCTTGAATGCTCCCAGCCCCGGGGTATGAATGGGCTCAGAACGATGATCTCGGAGTGCGTTGATGATCGTTGCAATGGGCTGCATGAAGTTGCGCAGAATTGCAATCTCCGACGTGAGGACGTAAAGACTCTTCGACTGGTCAACGTCGGGATCGGTCAGAACCTCGAGTTCCAGGTCACCCATGACGTCTTGATAAGCTGTTGTCACAGGTATCGCGAGGTCAATAATCGCATCTAGGATCGCCTGCACGATCATGCTAGCATCGCATGACTGGCGCAAAATAGTCTCGGGAGAGTTGAGCCGTCTCACGATGGGGGCCTCGATATCGTCTGCACTATTCTCGAAGAATGATGTCACAGTGTTATCTGAGTGTAGGAAGATAGACACTTGTTCGAGAGTAACACACAGCCCCTTCGCGGCTAAAATGGCATGCCGTTCCATGAAGGCGATGCGATCTTCATTCGGTCCGCCGCGAAGCCGCTGGATACTGCGGGGTGGGAGCTTATCCTCCGCAAGGTCACTCGGGCCCGACACTTTGGTGGCAGACTTGCCCCGTCCACTAGGGGTACGTCTCTTTGAAGTATCCCGATCGGGCGACTTTGATCGGAAGATATCATTTAGAGCCTCCAGTACCAAAGTACGCTTCGTAGGCCGTTTGAGAGACAATGTACTGGCCGTGGAACTTTTGCGATCGTTCATCCATGGGCCGTGTCCACTCTCACTGCGTTCGTCCTCATCACTGTCCTCCTCTTCGTCTTTGAGCTTGATCAGTTTCTGCAGCTTCAAAACGATGTACGCGTGATCCGAGTACCAATCCACCTTGGTGCGGTTGGTCTCGTTGATGAGATCTTCGATTGCAAGACGGTGCAAACATTTGTGGTTTCCAAGAATGCGAATCACGTCCCAGCTCAGTCCGTTGACGTTGATCCACCGACACTGCACCCAGGGGTCCCTCTCTCGCGCTAGAAACGGTTCTAGTGTGTCGTTATCGAGGATGTATTGGCGCATCTCGTTTTGCGAAAAGTCCACGACGGAGATCTCACACCGTTTGTAAAGGTCGGCGGCGGTCGAAGCCATCCACTCGGCATTGTACGTCGGTAGAGGCTGGTTAGGATCGATACCTGGCTCCTCGCCAGGCTGCCAATTCTGATCAGGGCCATCTTCACGGTAGTATGAGCGCGCGGTGGTCGAACGTCGCCGGCGATTTTTTACAGTGTCAACCGAGTTGACCCTCGCAGCGGTGGTAAATGCGTCTGAAGACAGAGGCGCTCGCGTAGTGGGTGAGATGGGTGGATCCTGAGGACGTGGATGTGCTTCAATGTCATCTACCTGGTAAGAGGTTGATGGTAGATCTGCGGTCTGCGCATGGTCAAAGGAATGGACACTCATGGCATCCAGATTATGGTCTGGCTGCGGGGCTTTGGGTCAACGGAGAGGTGCTGCATTGAATATGGATTCCACATCCACAATGAATTCGAGACACAAGGGACGGAGTTTGCCATAAGTTGATCAGCCTGAGATGGGTGCTAGAATTATTTTAGAAGATGAAAGTTTCGGAGGATCGATACTCCATTGTGATGGTTTGCCGCAGGTGAGCGCAGGGCACGGGACGTGGCGGGCATTTTGGAGGATTTCCGACCGTAAGGGGGAGAGACACCCGACCGTAAGGGGGGAAGGAATTGCCCGCGGGGAAATGACGTCGACGCAGTCGTACCATCCAGCAAGCCATACGGTCTTACAGTACGGAGTAGGGCGTGTTTGAACTACTAATAAGAGAAACTGGAAATTCGAGCTCCTAAGAAGAAATAGATACTTCTTTCATTGAAGAGAATGACTACCCTTGCTAGTTCCATGCGACCGTTCTTGGCTGCAGTGAACCTATAACTACTCAGCTTGGTGCCCTACTTCGTGAGATCCACCGATTTCGCCAGAAGTACATATGAACCGCACAAAGTGTACAATGGGGTGGTAAGACCGTGGGTCAAAGCAATCTGATGCAAGTTTCATCTTGCGTCGTCCGGGAGTAGGTTCCAGGTGCTCATCGTACGAGCCGGTGCCTATGCGTCCGTGAGTTTGCCAAATCACATCAGTCAAGTGTAATGCGATTTCGATGAGTGAGATGCGCATGACCATTAGAATGAGCACGATCCAATCGCATTGGTGGAGCAACTGATGATCTCACAATGCTACTGCCGTGGCTGCTGTGGAAAGTCAACATGGTCTCTCGTAAGATCGCCATGGCATGCCGTACACGAAGTGACGCAGATGGTCCTTTGATAGTGAATCAATGGTGTGTTATGCGTGCTAGAGTGAGATGTAGGGTCGATGCAATCTGAGCATTCACCCTATGTAATTGGGCAATGCAAGCCTCCCTCACGCAGGTGCGTTATCCCCTTCCCTTCTCTTGCGCCGAAGCAGTTTGATTTGCAGAGGAATCAAATGTCGTTTTGGACCTGCAACATCATTTCTCGACAACGGCTTTCGACATACTGGGCATGTGCCCTTTGGCGCTTTATTAGTGGAGTCTGACCGTTCCTCGCTGAATTTTATCGTATCTATAATGCATTTGTGACAGAACAGATGTCCTGTGAAGAATTAGCTTGGATACCTCAATTGGTGTAGTCGCCAAGTCGACAAGAAGCAATGGAAGCCAGAGACTTACCACACACAGTGCTGGTAGCATCCACGGGTGTGTCCATACATACAGGACACTTATAGGCGGCGAAGGACGACTCGTTGTCTTTGTGTTCGAGTGACTGTTGAGCGAGAATAGCATCTGCCCGCTGTTTCGCCTGAGTTCTCGAGACTTCCGACACATCGTCCAATTCCGTCAAGTCCACGGAGTCCACCTCACTTGTCTGGCTATCGGGCTGGGAAAGAGGAGCTAGGCGGCGCCGCTTGGGGTTCGGAAACAGCGTCGGGTAGTCACTTTGGCTCGCTGATGTGGATTCTGGAGAGTATCGGGGAGTGTCCATGTTATCGAGTATAGTAGAAAGAACGAATGAATTAGCCCAGAAGAGCCACAGCTTCTGTGTGCTTCAAAAGACAGACTCAAAAGAAAGTGAGGAGAAAGTGATGATAACTAGTGTCAGGCGTGGCGGAGAAGATCTGCTGCCGCTAATCTTATCGGCGTTGGCGATAAGAGCCCGCTTTACCGCTACAGTACCTTACAGTAGGCGGTCACACTGACGGAACATCAATCTTCCAGGATTTCTCATCATGACGCCCAAATTCCCGAAATAGGATAGAAAAGACGATCCCTCCTTGAGAGCTAAAGGAACTTCCCTCCACAGTCCGGCCGCTTTATCATTGCGCAGCATCGGCTGCGAATTATCGCGTCGCCATACCATGGACTGATCCACGTCACTACAATTCGCCTAAGAACATGCTTTGGAGTCTTCCCTGCGCTCCCTGTCGCAGGGATGCAGCTATCTTTTTTTCGCAGAAATTGCGCTCGCCTCGCATCCCTCGGAAAGGGACTCGACTTTTATCTCGATATCTCGCTACTCAGCCAGCCACGCACATTTCGGACAAGAGCGATGGTAGAGGCTCGCTTGCCGGTATATAATAGGTTGGATCTCTAAGAATGACAGAATCACGTACTAATGGCCCAGTCCCCGCTTTGGCTAGGTTCAACGAGATCGGAGTGCAGCAGCTGAGCGACCATGTATTTTCTCAAGTATTTCCCAAGAAATCAGATCCTCCAGATCCGAAACTGGTCGCCTTGTCCAAAGAACATTTGTCCAGGCATGATTTGCTCGGAAAATCTCAGGATGCCGCCGAACCCGTCGCCTTCGACATGCCCACTCTTCAAGGACAATCTCTAGACGAACACTTTTTCAAGCTAGGAATGGACTGTTCCGACCCATACTTGACATATGCGAAGGAATATTGCACTATAAACTCGCCCGAGAAGCCACGCAAATGGGTGACACGCAGTGGATGGACCAAGTATAACTCCGACGGCTCATGGGAAGCCGTGGACGCGCCCAATGAGACTCTTTTGACTTTCGACACTGAAGTACTGTACAAAGTACATTCTTTTGCGGTCATGGCTTGCGCAGTCAGTCCTACTGCTTGGTATGCATGGATCTCGCCTTGGCTTCTGGGAGAGACGGAGAATGAAGTTCAACTGGTACCTCTCGGAGACCCCTCGAAATCACGCATCATTGTCGGGCATAACATCGGCTACGATCGGGCGCGCGTGCTTGAAGAATATGACATGAGTCAGACTCGCAACTTCTTCCTTGATACGATGTCTTTGCATGTGGCAGTCAACGGAATGTGCTCGCAGCAGAGACCAACCTGGATGCGTCACAAGAAGAATAAGGATCTTCGAGACAAAATCACTAACGAGAGCAACTCTGTGGAGCTGGCTGCCTTGCTGGAAAACAAAATGCTCAGCGAGGAGGAAGAAGAGCTCTGGATCGGAAGAAGCTCGGTGAACTCGCTCCGAGATGTGGCCAAGTTTCATTGTGACGTTACGATTGACAAGTCGCAACGGGACTACTTTGGCGAGCTGAGCAGGGAGGAGATTGTAGACAAACTGGAAGAGCTGCTCGATTATTGTGCAGCAGACGTGGCTATCACCCATCGTGTGTACAAGAAGGTCTTCCCTAATTTTCTTGAGGTCTGTCCGCACCCAGTGAGCTTCGGAGCTCTGCGGCACCTTTCATCGGTCATATTGCCCGTCAATCAGAGCTGGCAGGAATATCTCGTCAATGCCGAAGCGACATACCATCAACGGCTTGAGGACGTCCAACGAAAACTTGTTGAGCTTTGCGATGAAGCTCTAAAAGTGAAAGATTCTCCCGAGACATACACAAATGATCCATGGTTACGGCAGCTGGACTGGTCTGGCCAGGAGATCAAAATGGTCAAAGGAAAGAAGAAGAACGACCCTCCGCGGCCAGCCGCCAGGCAAAAGAAGCCGGGTATGCCCAAGTGGTATAAGGATCTCTTTCCCAAGATGGAAGCGGACATTAATCTGAGTGTACGAACGAGAATTGCACCCATTCTACTGAAGCTGTCTTGGGATGGCTACCCTCTGACATGGTCAGATAAACATGGATGGACTTTTAAGGTGCCCCGTGAGCATGTGAAGAAGTACGACAATCAACCAGTGGTGATATGTGACATGTCGGACGAGAAGATACTCGAGCTGAAGAATGACCGGAGGCACGTTTACTTCAAGCTTCCACATAAGGATGGGCCTACAGCACGTTGTGTAACTCCCTTAGCGAAGGGGTATATGCAGTACTTTGAGCGCGGAACTCTCTCATCCCAGTTTGCGCTCGCTAAAGAGGCTCTGGAGATGAATGCCTCTTGCTCTTATTGGATCAGTGCCCGGGATCGCATCATGAGTCAGCTCGTTGTGTACCAAGATCAAGTGCAAGGTGTGCAGTCAACCAAGCCAGAACAAACCCGCCTAGGGTTTATTCTTCCGCAGATTATTCCCATGGGGACTATCACACGCAGAGCTGTGGAAAACACCTGGCTCACTGCAAGTAATGCCAAAAAGAACCGCGTTGGCTCGGAGCTAAAGGCCATGATCAAAGCCCCGCCAGGCTACTCCTTTGTTGGTGCGGACGTTGATTCACAAGAGTTGTGGATTGCGAGTCTGATTGGAGACGCTCAGTTTCAGATCCACGGTGGTAATGCCATCGGCTTTATGACGCTTGAAGGTTCGAAGGCCGCAGGAACCGATATGCACTCTCGTACCGCCTCAATTCTGGGCATTTCTCGTAACGACGCCAAGGTCTTCAACTATGGTCGTATCTATGGAGCTGGTGTGAAATTTGCCGCCACCCTGCTGAGACAATTCAATCCATCGATGACCGAGAAGGAAACGCAGGAGGTGGCAAGCAAGTTGTACAAAGAGACTAAAGGCACTCGTACGACTCGGCGCCTCCTCAGTGATAGTCCTTTCTGGAGAGGTGGAACCGAGTCATTTGTCTTCAATAAGCTGGAAGAATTCGCTGAGCAAGAAAGACCGCGAACTCCGACTCTTGGAGCAGGCATCACTGAGGCCCTGATGCGCCGCTTCATCAACAAGGGCAGCTTCATGACTTCAAGAATCAACTGGGCCATTCAGTCTTCAGGTGTTGACTATCTACATCTTCTGATCGTCGCAATGGACTATCTGATTCGGCGCTTCAACATTGCAGCCCGACTGGCGATCACTGTGCACGATGAGATCCGGTACCTCGTCAAAGACGAAGACAGATATCGCGCTGCCCTTGCGTTGCAAGTGGCTAATGTGTGGACCCGCGCTATGTTCTCCGAGCAAGTCGGAATTCATGATCTCCCTCAATCTTGCGCCTACTTTTCCGCCGTGGACATCGATCACGTCCTCCGGAAAGAAGTGGACATGGATTGCGTGACGCCCTCGCATCCGCACAAGATCCCTCACGGCGAAAGCTTAGACATTGTCCAACTTCTGGACAAGAATGAGGAGGCCCGGCTTGACCCAACCGTTGTGCCAACCATCCCACCCTCCCCGCAGAAATATGCTTACAAGCCACGACCCACCGTCATGTCTGCACTCCCCGACTCCAACCACCCATCTTTCATCAGAGCCCAGATCACGAAGGACGACGCGGAATTCCGAGAGATTATCAAGGATCTCGCCAAGGAGCACGCCGCCCAGAAAGCCGCTGCCGCAGCTGCCGCGCCGTCAACCAACGGCCGCGGCGCGCGGGCCACGTCGTCGCCAGCCGCCGAGCCCCAGAAGGCGATTCTGATGGATGTTGGCTCCGTGATCTACACGCCCAGCTACCGTAGCTTCTCGCAGGGGAGCAGGACTCCTAACGTGAACTTCAGTCGCCAAAACTGGAAGCCCCGAGCCTCCGCCCGCGCGTGATGATATCCTTCTTGTCCGGGTTCTACTGTATATAATAACGCTATTTCTCTTTGCTCGATGGACGACGTCCCCCCCCACCCGATGTCTCATTGAATGTCTCTTCTGAAATGTATCATGTGTGTTCGAAATCTGTATTATAAAGCATTGAAAAGGGCGTCGAAGGCAGGGTGGCTGTGCATTTTTACAGGACGTTCGAATGGTGTTTTCTTGATTGGGGCGGTGTAATCTGTGTGAAACTATCTAAACTACCAAATGAATCGAAAACCCTTTCTCCAAGCATAAGCATATGAACCTGAACTGATACCCAACCGCTGCAGATCAACACACACACTCTCTCTCTCTAATCAGAATCTACCAACAGCCTGCAAGCTCAACATAAATCCAATGCACTCTCCCCCCACCCCAAAAAAACATGACACTCCAAGAAGAAACTCTAGTCTAACCGAATGTGCCCCATCTAGATCATTTTACAAGTCAGTCCTTCACTTAGGTTTTCTTCCTCCCCGGGTCCAGAGTATTCCGCCTACTCAGCCCATTATTCTCCCCTCCGCGCAACATCGCGTCCCCTTTCCTACCCAGAACTACTTCCAGGGCCTGGATCAACGCCGTGGCATCATACTTCATCCCGACGGCGACCTCTCCGCCGTCCGCACCGGTACTCGTGATCTTGCGTCCGTAGAGCCGAAGGGTTTCAATTCCCATCGCCGCGAGCCGGTACTTGTCCACCGCGGGTGTGCCTGGCCCTTCGAGGTGCAGCACATGCGTCACGTAGGAGGTATACGGCAGCGGCGAGGGGTGGAGATCCTTATCCCCGGCTTGAGCAGGGTCCGGGTCCACAGCACCACCACCATTGCGCCCCCGGCTCTCCTCCCCGGCACGAGTGATCGCCTCGACAAAATCCACCGCCGTGAACGCCGCGGAGGGGGGCCCCGTTTCCCGATCAAGGGAGCCATTGAGCACCAGGATCTTGTGGCGGGCGGGTCCGGTGGCGATGGCGTGGCCGACGCCGCGGAGAATCAGCGAGGGGATGAGGGAGGTGTACAGGGAGCCGATGCTGTAGACGATGGCCTGGGCGTCTTGCAGGGCCTCGATGACGCGCGGGTTGGCGGGCGGGCGGATCTCCTGGCCGTAGGGGTTGATGTACCAGATGCGGGTGATGCGGGAGGGGAGGTCCTCGTTGTCGGATTTGCTGAAGGAGATGTTCTTGTTGCGGAGGGTGGGGAGGGAGCCGGGCGGGTGGTCGTCTTCATCTCCGTAATCTTGATATTGTTTGTGGAGGTTGTTGGTGTCTTCAAGGAGGCCTTCGTCGCTGCTGTTGCCGTCGCTGCTGCTTCCGCCGTCACCGTCCGCAAGTAAGAGACTGGGCCGGCGGGAGCGCGGGCGGAGGGCTGTGGCCTCGCTGGGGTGCGAGATGCTGTTCTGGCCGACGATAATGGTCCCGTCGGCGAGGGAGGCGGAGATGTGGTGCGAGAAGTTGGAGTTGATCGCGGGGATCACTCGCACCAGGTCGGAGGGGACCCCGCAGATACTGCCCAGAAGGTAGATGGCGCTCTCGAAGCTGCCGCTGAACAGCCGCGCGCCCGTCAGGAACAGGTTGCCCACGCTGGCGGAGGTGAAGTCAAAGGTGGATGACGGGGGGCGGGCGCGCTTGAGGATCTCCAGGTTCAGCAGGTTGAAGAAGGAGCGGATCAGCTCCTTTTTGGCGGGGGTGATCAGTTTCCAGATCGTCGAGGTGCCGTCCACGATGGAGTACCATTCAGCATGGGCCTGCACGGCGTCCGCGGAGAGTCGGTGGTTGAAGAGTGTTTTGATGGCTGCTCGTTCCGAGTGAGGCGGCGATTCTGGGATCAGCCGGACCAGTCGACCTATTCAAAGAGATTAGAGAAACAGTGATGACAAGGGGATGGGGGGAGAGGGGGAAGTAGAGGCCGTGGACTGACTGCGTACATCACCGATTCCAGGCCCACCAAAGATGCGGATCAGCTCTGAGGAAGAACCGCCATTGTCGCTAATGGGGATGATATAACTCAATGGACAGTTCTTGGTCTCTCGCACCGAGTCGAAGACGTCCACCAGGTTGTTGGCCGCACTTCCGCCAGAAAATACCACCAGGCCCCGGTTGGGCACCGTTGGATTTGTCATGAGCGCGATGATTCTTGGGACTGTATGAAGCAACGTGATAGATATTCGTTTATGTGTGTATGTTCATGGATTGAAGTCAAGTTGTCCAGATCAACATTATAGACCCTCCCAAAGAAGCCACGAAAGCATCATCAGCAAAAAAAATCACGAGGATTCCCTAAACTGGAAATTTACTGCTTGGTGCCAAGAGAGCCGTGCATTCACCAAAAATTCATGCAAGAAATAGTAGTCGTTGGTGCGACTGGAGGCTGAAAATCCGGGGTATAGCAGGTCCGAATGAATGATGAGGTGGCGAAGGAATGCAGGAGGGATGGAGGGAAAAAAAACAAGATAAACAAAGCCCGAGCCACCCACGGATGACTCTGGAATCTCTCAACTGGACCGCTCCAATTCCTGCCAGTATATTTTCGGATGAGATATACGGAGATTTATGTTGAGACTATCGATATCGTGGTAAAAGAAATACAAAGTATATACTAGTACTAGCTGGAATCTGCCACCAAATATCCGAACAGCTCGATACCGATCCATAAATGATGCACATCCCAACATGCTACGAGTTCTCATGCAATCCATGGGAGCTTCTTAAATTCCACGAGCCTTATGCATATGCGGCCCAGCCTAAAGGGAATTCACATCAGTCAGTCTATGTTCGATGATATAATGAGCCTGCCAAAACTCACCGCAGTATAGCATCGCAAGGTTCTTCTCATCTGTAGCCTGCTGGATGAGTTCGTTGACAGTGGCCGTTACACTCAACGTCTTGCCCAGCTTTTTGGCAACCACGGTGAGCGCGCGGTCTGCTTCGCTTGGCTCGTTTGCAGATCGCTGATCCATATTGCCGGTGATGACTGGAGGTCCATCCTCGTCCGCGGCATTCTGTGCATCTTGCATTTTGTTCAGCCGCAGTGGGGAAACTGTCCAGCTGTACAGCGGGTCGTATCGGAGGACATCTAGAATCGTCATGATGCTATATGATTCTTGACGCAGGGCATCGAGAGTGAACTCGCAACAGCGCCTGAAAACACCCTCGGTCTTGCTGATCCCCATCCCGTCAACTAGGTCGCGTGTTAGGCGGAAAGGTACAACCTCAGGCACTGGAAGCACTCGGCCTTGTTCGAAAGCGACTCCCAAGTCGATATGAACAACCTCGCCAGTCCTCTCATCCAGTAGGATATTATGACCGTGTCGATCACCCAAGCCAAGCACATGCCCGAGAATCGAGATGGCCGCAGTGCTCCGGGTGTAGGCCAGCCGCTTGCTGAACCAATCGTCGGGATTGTTAAACTTCTCCATAAAGAAAAATCTCAACACTGGGTGGAAATGCTCCGTTACCTGCCGATACGTTCGCACTCTCTGCTCGAATGACCTTGTTTGAACATCGCTGATATTCTTACGACAGATGTTCGGTTTCATGTCCCTGGGGAAGTACTTCTGATGTGCCGGCATCAGATAGTCGTGAAGCGGAATTGTATGGGGAACAAATTCAATGATGCCAGCGTTTGAGGTTAGAGGAAGGACCTTATAGGTACGAATGCCCAGGTTCCGTTGTCGAGTAGCTTGATGATCTTTGAGGAGGCTGCTGACTTGCTCAAAAACCTGTTCCATGATGGCATCCTGCCGGAGGTCATCATTCCCTCCTTTGAACTTGTAATTATTAGCACACCATGAAGAATATGAATTGGTCACCGAAACTTACCAATTGCTTGTATCGTCGACCATTGCTGGCAATTGCCGTCACAATTTTCGGGGCACTGACACCAGAGGCGATGGTGAAATGGGGCTGGTATCCCTGGAGCCTAGGTATGTCACTGTAGTCGCAGTCCAGGCGAATATCTATTCTCATGGTTGGTGGTGGCAGTTTCAAGTCGGCTGCATCCTGTTCGAGGCGTTGTCCAGTGGACAGTTTCTTCAATGGCACTTTGGCACCACTCTTCAACTTGTCGTCGGGCTTCTCAACCGCAAACCGCACATAAGTGATGTTGGCATTGTGGACATTGACCCAGGTCGTACCCATGCGTTTATCAATTCTTAAGCCCTGTACCAGCTTGTTGGCTGCTCGAAAACGAGACAAAGCTAATTCATCTCTGCCACCCTTGGATTTGCTGCACGCGAAAATCTGGTACATGCCATGGAATGGATGTTCAACGCAGATTCGATAAATCAATGCGAAGAGCATTTTTTGGAACTCGTCGGAAATGTCTAAAAGACGGGACGTCAACTGGTTCATCAAAGGGGCAAATTTGCGACTGGGGACCTGCTGAAGGTACTTCGACACGGCCATATTTGCAATCGCATTATCCGATTTGTCAAGCCATAATGCGCAAAAGCGAAGAGCATCATTGTTGTATGACTCGCTCTCTCTCAAGCACAGAAGATAGTTCTCAAGGCATTGTTGAAGGAAAGCCTCCCGACTGCGCAGGAGACGTTGGTATTCCCGATCATCGAGGTCAAACCACTGCTTCGTTTTCGATCGGTGAAATCTGAGAGTTTCTCTTTCTCTGCCTGACACCGTAGCCATCATTTCTTCCAACGCTACAACTTCTTGTTCTTTGCGATTTCGAAGTTGTTCGACGCGCCTGAAATCTTCTAGGCCGTCTGGGTTCTGTAATTGCTGGTCACAGAACATTGCAAAGCCGTGATATACTCGGCCAACATCCTCGCCTCTGGAGCGTTGTTTAAGTTCCTTGACTGCCACCGACATGTAATCTTGGATAATCGTTTCAGGCTTCTCCAAGCGCGCTTGCGCAGTACGGTGACCCTGCCAAAATCAGCACTAGTCTTGAACCAATTAAGGAATTTTCACCAAAGACTCCTTCTCGACTTACCAGGGTAACGAGAAGTTCTGCACGGCTTATAGGAACGGCTTGCTTATGCAGATCGTTTCTATCTTTGAGCTGCCGGAGCATTTCGATTGACGCGGCCATTTCGCCCTGGTCCCAAAACACATGGGCCAGGTCGAACTTCGCCGCTCCCTCGGTGTCATGACCTAGTAATGCGCTTTGAGATGCAAGCTTCTGAAGACAAAACGCGATTTTTAGCGAAGCCTGAGATAGATTGTGGCTATGTGCAATTTCGAGCGATTGACGAAGAACCTTAATTTCTAGTAACAGCGCGTCTGAGTCGGATAGGTTGATTGCAGACTTCAATAAGTCCTTTTGCCGGATTGTAGTAAAAAGTGCCTCGCGACATGTCAAAATCTCGCCAACCTCATCCGGACTTTCTGGTTTCAGTGATCAAGTTCGTATCGTATCGAGAACAGTCTGAAACTCACCTAGTGGTTCTCAACCAAGAATTCCTAGAGACTATCCTCTGCCACTCCTGATTGATTTCTTCGGTCGACTTTGTTCCCAGAACGTCACTTGCTTCTGTCATAATTCCCAAGACCCTCATGGTAGTCCTGAGATCGCTCACTGATCGACTGCTGCTATTCAATAATTCTAGACTGTCCAGGAGGCACTCGTTAATGGAGGTGGAGACATCAGCGATAGTCCTCGACATGCTGAGGCTCTGGAAGGTCCGAAAGACTGCTCCAGCCGGAGATGCGTGTAAAGGCGAGACAGGGATATCCCACTGTCGGAGACTGGTTGCTGTCTGAAGCATACTATCGAGCGAAAGCGAAGTATCTCTCGAGTTCCCAGAAGCCGCAAAGACCGAGTTTGCGATTCCTTGGAGATTTGTCGAATGGAGTGCTTTTAAGACACTGTGGACATTCGCGGTCCCGCCCATCTGGATCTCACTATCATACTGTGCACTTTGAAACAACAAATTTTTCAGGCCAGAGCTTTCGTGTTCGAGCTTACCCATAACGGCTTCCAAAGACGAATCCTGCTGAATACCGTAGAAGATATCTGGGTCGTCAATCTCTTGATATAGGGCGTGTAAGATATCTGAAGGAGCTTCGTATTTAGCGAGTGAAGACCGACGAGAAGTTAAAGCCAGACGTGAAGCGCAAATCTCGAGAAACAAGAGCCCGGTCTTTGGCAGAAAGCATCGGCTGGCTGCGGAGGATGCCTCAGCAAAGTCAATATCGAGCCATTCATCTCGTTCTACAATAGTCGATTCATCTGGCCTGGGCTGGTTCCTCAAATAAAGGATGCAATTCAAGACAAGCCGTGCATGAGGTATATTTTCGTCCTTAACCTGTCGAAGCACCTTTTTGAAAACCTCGGAGACTGTATGACGAATTTTTATCTCACCGTGAAGGTCAGCCAACAACACTTCATGAAGAATCTGCGGCAAAATCTGCGCTGCTAGATTCGGCATCACATCCAACAAGATATACAATGGTCCAATGACAGGATCTTCGGAAGCTGCTTTGGACAAGAATAATCCAACATCTTTAGCGAAGTCAACTACTGAAACAGTAGCATCCCACCCTAGCTCGTTGGCAGTGCTCTTTTTTAAATAGCGCGCAGAGATATCAGGGCAGTGATAAGGATCCCACGTCAAAGCGTTGAGAAGAGAAGGCGGGATGATGTTGCGGCATTGGTCAAGCTCGGAGAAGTTGCTTAAATTGCTGAAAATCCGTTGCATTGTATGTTCAATAAGACCGACCTCGGTATGGCTGCTATTCTGAAGCATATCGCAAAGTTGTACGAGGATGCTGATCCGGGAGGAAAATGCTGAGTCCAGGCCTGCTCGAGGGTGTAGTGTCTCAAATAATGCGGGATCTTGTTCTCTTGATAGAGCGTCGCTAATGCTACCTGTGGCAGCGAAAGCTTTCCCAATGACCTTAGCAGCCCAAATTTTGTATTCGACACGGCAATCAAACTTTTGTACGGCCTGACAGACTGACACAGCGCTCGCAATTGCCGCCTCATCGCTTGTATTCATATCAAAGTGCTGGATGTGGTCTGACGGACGATCATCCTTGGCGCATAACAATGATATAACATGATTGGACACATGCCTGCTGAGAAGGCTGTTCCCAGAGTTTCGATCACCAAGAACATGCAGAAGCAATGTATGCTCATGTTCACCTTGTGCCTCGCTCTCCGAATGGGTCATTGCTGAGCATGATTTCATCAACAGTTTGAACAACTCAGACTGCTCAGCACTCATAGCCGAAGACTCATAAGAATCTACAAGTGCTTCGAACCACTGGAGAAACTCTTCTATCCTGCACAGGACCCGCTGTATGAGGTCCATCTGCGTTGGATCCGTCGGTGGCGAGGCGACGAATCTTCTCAATGAGAGCATGGTTGTAACCGCAATGCCAGCCATGAGACCGGGGCAATCGCTCAAATAACCCTTTCCCGCATCTAGCATATACCAGAAAATGCCAAGTGCATCTTCAGCGCAGAATATATCAACCAGATATGGTCTCAGGGCATGAACAATCATCTCGAAGGGGTAATCCCGCAGCATGACAGAGCCTGCAATACTAATCAGGATCCTCATCTTCCGAATTACAGAGCATGCGTGAAGAGAGCCAAGAGCCGGATGTATAGACTCTAGCAGGGTGCGACAAACGTAAGTCGCCAAAGCAGGGGTCCAGATGGTCGCTGGCTCATATCCACTACGTTTGCAGATAAATTCAAGCTCATCCAGGAGATAACGAGCCCTGAATGACGGCTGCTGATTCACTGGTAAAACGGCGCTCGAGCAACTCCTGTCGACGATCGAATTCAGGATTTCAAGGGCTTGCCGATATTTGCCTTGCTTCTGAAGTGCTCTTTCAAATTGATCGTATTGATCGAGAGTTCCAAAAAGTGTTGCTATAATTGCTGGAAAATGCCTTTCGACCAACTGTATGAATCTTTCTGCACCTAGCATGTTTTTCAGCAGCTTCTCCACGCCCTTTGGCTGACTTCCTTGGCTAGGAGGAACGCTGATGTCGCGGGCAATGCTGTAAGCCTCTGCTCGGTAGAACGACGTAGCTAAAAGTTCAATGAACGGCGAGTCGGTACAAGTCGCGAGCTCATCCGCCTCACGCTCATTCCAACGCATCATGACCTGACCGACAGCCTCGTCTTGCACATCGATCAACATCTCCTTGGTGCTGGCATATTCGAACACACTGAAAGGCAACAAAGTAATGGACTGCCCTTCGGTCCATGTGTATATGATTTGAGAACAAAAAAGGTGAAATAGCTCCTTGGCATCCTTGAGCCCAAGTGTTGCCGCAACCTCCTTGATGCACTTTTCAGCATAACGTAGGGAGAGTGGAACATGAGCAGGAGTCTCCACCATGTGATAAATACTCCTACGAAGCAACGTGTGCCACTGTGAAGCAAGGCGAGCTAAAATGAAGAGACGAAGAGCGATCCCTTCAATGCAGTCTGGATCTCGGGGTAGGTTGCTTAAGACGTCACTGAATATGGCATCATGGTCCGTTAGCGAGAACCTGCCGAAAAGCTGTGGAATCAATTCGCCAGCCCTGAATATCACGGAAGCATTTCCTTCTCGGAGTATTGTGAATAGACAGGTACGAGGAGAAGGAGTTGCTGAGCCGCATGTATACGCAGAATTGTGTGAAAGAATGTCTCCCACCAGCTCTGTCATCCCAATAAGAACAGAGGGGGAGGCTCTTCTCTTTGCGAGGAGAATATCCACGAACCACGTGTATATGTCAGTCGCCGAATCATAGAGATGATCATCCTCCTGCCTAGTCCATGATTTGGCAAAGCTCTGCATCATACGGAGACAAACAAGGTGGGAGTTTTCGCAGCGTTCCAATCCGTAAGACTGGAGGCACTTTTCGGCGAGATCCTCAAGTATGCTTAGCAATGAATCGCGACTTAGACCAGCACTGGCTTGATAGACATAGGGTAGGAAATCCCGAGCAGATAGTATGTCGACCTCGTCAAGATGAGTCAAATATTCAACAAGATCCTCGCTATTGAGCAAATTGTCAGGAGATTTCAAGTAGGGGTGAATCTTTCGGAAGCACGATACTTGCACGGTAAGACAGCGCTGAAATGTTGCACTATCCTGGAACAACGGCACTGCTTCTCGATTGTTGTTTAGTATGCCGGTGATATCTGCCAATTGGTCGTTATCATCTGTGAGTAATGGATCATCCAGGTCCATCGCTTCTTCACCACGAGTCTCCACTAGTTGTTTCTGCCGCTGTCGAGACTCTTCCAAGATCTCCGCGAGGGGATCTAACAAGCTGTATAGAGCATCTGACACCACCGACTCGGGGACTGAAAGTAAATTCTCTGGCGTAAGGAAGGGCGACAGGATTGCTAAGCAAGCATTGAGAAATACTAGCTCTCGAGAGTTCATGAACGAACATAAGCCTTTCCACAGCAACTGGCTATTCCTGAGTAAGCCAGACGCTCGCTCTTTGACTTGTTCTGGCAGACATTCTGTGTACAGGGCAACCGCGAGGCAAAAGGACACAATTATCTGTACTATGTCGGTAGTGATGTGATGTGACTTTTCTGTTGACAATGACTGCCATGCTTGCCAGAGACTCTCGGATTTCGTATGCAGTAAGTCAAGAATAATGTGGTCGTTCGGGTCAGGCCGCGCAAAAGACTTTAATCGAAGTAAATCCTGGACGTTATAAATTTCCGCGCTGTCTAGTACGTCCCCGAGGTCGAACAGGTAATTCAGAAGCCGCTGGTTTCTGAGAAAGTATTGCCAACCTTTGGCAACGGCACTGTTAGGTCCCCCAGACCGGCTCCGTGGCAATGAGAGTCGCCTGTTGGTACAGGCAAGAAGTACATTAACAACGTCCAGAGGGCGGGCAAATGATGCCACTTGTGCTATGTGTAACCTATCTGTCATCGTTCCTGCTAAGATTTAGCACAAAAGCTATGGCTGCGGGTGACTTTGAGACAAACCTATTGTCCATGATTCACGAAGCCAAGATGATATTTGACTCGAGGCTTTCGTGACGAGGCCTGGATTAATCTGCGCCGTTTTACGGATAATTGTGGCCCAAAGTGCTAGGGATGAATCGGAGAGAGCAGATGGTCCGTCCAAATTACTAGGAGACAGCATCGAATTTATCGACTGAACAACCACAGGGTAGTCTAGAAGATCAAAGTGAAGAACATTGTGCATGACGTTGCAAGCTGCTCTAGAGGTTACGTGCGAGGCTGAAGCTCTAGACGCAAGATCCCATACCTGCTCCCAGTAAGGTCTCAGCGACATTGAGCCTGCACCAGGACTGCTTGCGATACTGTGATCGATGGGTCAGCTTGTACCTCTAGTGGTTGACTTGCCTAACGAACCTTGCAATAGCAACCATCGTCCATATAGAAATGGTACTGTCATCATCAACCATACTAGGAATCAATCTTTCGAGTAGCGCAGTCTTCGACTCAATGCTCCCATAACAGTTGTGGAGAAAAGGTAGTAACTGCAAGGCGCAAACCCTCTTTGCACCTGACGACGTTGTTGTTTCTCGCACGATCTCATCGGACATCGAAGCCAGGCGGCGCTTTTTCGTTGGTAACTGATCCAAAGAAGCAGTAGGCAGCCGTACAGAAGTATCCTCTAATAGCGCGATCAGCTTGGCTACGACCCACAAAACGGTCCAATTATGCTCTGATTTGGAGGCATCGAGGCGAGGCCAGATGAAGTATTTTTGTTGTTCGGTTGAGGTGTGCCGATGAAAAGAGATATCGTCTAGTTGCAAAAGATCCTTCTCTGGACGCTTTGTGTACTCCGCATGCAGAGTCACCAGCAAATCTTCAATCGTCTGGATTAGAGACTCGGAAGGCTCTCTGTGGGCTGTTTCAGTCAAACTAATTACGCATAGCATAGACGTAACAATGAGTTCATCCTTTAGACCTTGAAGCTTTTTGAACCACAGTCGTCTAATAACCGGCATAAGGTTAAGCAACGATGTCCGAGCAATGTCTGACTGTTCTGGCAATACCTTCATTACAATCCGATTTATGCAATCAAGAGCAACTTGATAGCCACTTCCAGCCAGACTTGATGACCTCAGAGCTTTTGTCAATTCCTGAAGAATTTCCTCGGCTGACTCAAGGAACGAGGCTGTTGGACACCCAACAAGAAGCCGAACACATAAGATAGCCTCTGTAATAGCATTTGTATCTGGTCTAGAATTTTCCCTGGAAGACAACCTGGATGGAGTTGGGATCCTTTTCGGAGAAGTTATGAAGCTGTCCGGAGCAGACAAATGATGGCTGTGGAAACTTTCTTGGCTGTCACTATCGTGCGAGCTTACGAATCGTAGGCAAAACTCCATAAGCTTGTCCCATTCATTATCGCCAAGGTGTTCCAGATGGGGAGGAAAACTCAGTAAGGTAGTCAAGCTTTTGACATAATCCAAACCGAGTATCTTAGATAGAGGAGCTTCAGGAGTCGGGATGGTCTCTGTGACATGATCAACTATCGCGCGGATCGACTTTGCTCGCAGATTTCGCAGGAGAGTATCGATAGCAGTGCGAAAAACGGATGCGCATGATGACAAGCGCGAAGCAGAAGCCCCTTTGGAGCTCGCGCGCGTATACTGGGTCTTCTCCAGCGAAATGCATCGAAACAATGACTCGAACAGCTTGTGGCAAGCTTTATCATTGAGTGCGGTTCTACACGGTTACACAGGTCAATCAACAATACCTCCCAAGATTAAACTTAGATTTCAGTATGGGGATCTGACGTACAGTCTGATGTTATTTTTATTCTGCCGTAGGATGTGCTTAAGATCTATCAAGTGTCAGGAATTCAAAAACAAAAAAAACACCCCCCTCCAGTGCTACCAAGATGATAGAGAGTGAACCAACCGGCTAGTCCATCCGAGCGTTCCCTCAGCTTCTCGGATGCCAATAGCCCAATGGCTCCCTCGAGAGTAATCTCTCCCATTGTGACGAGAACTTAGATTCTCTCAGAGCAGTAAGACCAGCATCATCCCACAGGCCATGTGAGTGTGTGCACTGACGAAATTCAATGACACTGCAAGTGCATTTGGAGTTGTTGTTACTCGTACCGCGGCGATTAGATAGAGAAGATTAGTTAGTAGTTACCGGTACTAGTATGTGGTCTGGGCGGCCGACGAGCTCCGCCCGCTCTTGACCGCCCGGAATTTTGGTCGCGCCCTCCGACCTTTTTTGGCCCGGACAAACACATCTCCACCTCCCCCCCCCCATCTTCCGCTTCGCTGGTGCTCTGTTGCATACATTAGCTGCTGCAAAGGCAAGCTTCCCGCCGGCAATGGAGGGCACAGATACTGTTGCAAGCCTTCGCGGCTTGAATCAGGATTTGCAGAGTCTCTCGTCGGGCTTCGTTGTCAATATCGAGCGCCTCCGTGTCGAGTTGGAGACACACATTGAAGACTTCAAGAAGCTACTCGACAAGCCCGCTAAAAACAATGCAAGTCGGCAAGCCGTCCTCTCGGGTATGTGCTGGGTCTCTGGGTTTGAAGCAAACAGAGAGGCGAAACCGCTCGCCTCATAGGTTCCCAACAATGTGCTGACCGTGCCTGCATTGCGATCTAGGGAAGGTAACCATCGGCCATGTCGAATACTCCATCAACAAGGATTTCCAGCAAGGCGTACTACAGCTTGCGGACACTCTGGACCTTGACGAGCTCGAGGCGGCTTTCTTATTCTTTGATGCGCAAGTTGAAGCTCAATCACTGGATAGACCCTTACTCAATGTTGCGATCATGCGCTTCCACCAGCGCCGGCAGTTCTTGCTCGACTCGTTGCGTCTCGTTTTGCAGGAGTCATTTGAGGTGGAAAGGGAAACAAATCAGGTTATTATGCAGGAAATGATGTCCTATGTACTTGACATCAAGAATGGCCCTTTGCGAAATGCGTCGCTATACACCCGAAAATGCATGACCGCTATGATCGAGGTGGAGAAGTGGCTCGCTACTCTAAGTGAACAGGCGCAGAAGGCAACGGTTGTTGGTCAAGCCGAAGATGCAGATATTATGGAACTCCTGGAGTACCAGCGCAACAGCCTCCTACAGCAACATGAAACGCTTGGTGCTGTTCTAAGCTACCTGTTCAAAGGCCCTTATACCAGCCCCGAGGACCTTCGGGTCCTCGTTAAGCACCTCCAGTCCCTAGAACGCTTTGACAGTATAGTGGTTCACTATTTGTCATGCGTAGTATTCGCCTTCCAACAGCACGGCTCGCCTGAGAAGACAAGCTCCTACCAGGACGCCAAAAGCTTGTACAAGGACATCACCACAACAACGGTCGCTCAGGAGTGGAAGCTGCCCACTCTCCATTCTGCCATCATCATACTGTGGCTCGCAATCTTCAGCGCCTGGGAGTACGATGCTCCGTCCTCCCCTATCCATGGAGGTGGCCCCGCGACAGACAAAGATGAGCGTACGGCTTTGTTCATGACAGCGCTGGATGACGGCGGACTCGATCTCCTGCTTACGGTCTGCTATAGTATCAACAACGAAGAATGGGCAGATCCGGCTCGAAGTGAATTGGTAGCGCTGCTATTGAAGGAAGTTGCTTCGGCAACCCTCGAACTAGATCAATGCTCTGAGTTCTCAAAGACTCTTTTGATGGAGAGCTTGGACGTTTTTGCCGAGGCATGCATAGCAAACATGCCAGATGCAGTCCGGATGTTGAAAACCGAAGAAGACTCGCAGCGGCTTGATCATTTGACAGCTCTGCGAGATGGCTTGACCTCCACGCCTCATCGTGGCGTGGTCGAGGCCCGCACTCACCTCGAGTCTTTCTTAATGGTCATGGCTTTTGCGTACGAGCAGCGTCCTGACTCCGCGCAAGAATTTTGGGCAGATCCTGACTCAAACATGTATGGCTTCCTTCAGTGGGCCTCCAAGCGACAGACCGTTCCCAGAGTCAGCGCATTCTGTGAATTGCTTTGTTCCCTCTCAGTTGGGGACGAAAATGCCACTGCAGCTCACAAATTCCTCTCAGAAGAAGACAAGTTGATGTCTGCTAAATTCAGACGGTCAAGCTCCATGAACTGGACACAAATGTTTGCCGAGCTACAGCTATATGCTACGAGAGTCACGGAGAAACAACCTGCTTCACGCGCGATTCTACGCTCGAGAAAGCTGGATCCGGCTGATATGAGTGAGCCCGAGAGCCCCGTGATGCTTACTTGTTATCTCAGACTACTGGAACATCTGTCTAAGCAGAGCGCCATGGTCCGAGATTGGCTACTCTCTCATTCATCCTTCAACGTTGTCGATACACTGTTGACGCTCTGCAGCGGATCAGTTCCGACACATCTGAGGGCCAATGTTTTTACAGCTCTCGGGGCTCTCATGACGGATCGTACAGCCCACAATGGCAATGAAATGTGGCTGTCTCTTGATCAGTGGATTTCCGGCGGTTTAATGAGTGCTTCTGGTGTCGGAAAACCTCCAGCCAACACTAATGCTTCTGTGTGGTATGAGCAGCAGATCTTTCGAAATATTGGTGAGCGTTTTGACCAGGCTAATGCGTTTGTCACTCTGATCTCCTCACTTGTTACGCCTACCCTCGAATCCGCGGATTTCCATCTTTCGCTACCTTTCCCGGAAAGTCTCGGGTCCTCTTACCGCACGCCCGGCATTGAACCATATGTTGACTTCGTCATGGGCCATGCTTTGGCAAGGAAAGTTCCTGATCTAACTGAACGCCAGAGTCGGTTGTTGACTCTCAACTGTTTGGAGTTTGCGGCAACCTGTCTCAACTCGTTCAATGAGGATCTTGTAACTGTCTTGAGCCAAACGTCTGCGTCACCAGATTCTGCGTTCAAGTCGTCCACGATGGTGACTTACATCCGGCTTCACCCTTTTGCACGAGTTGCAGAATGGCTGTTTAATGAGGATGTCATCAAATCTCTGTTTGCGACAGCTCAACAAGATGTGAACGAGGTTGCCAGAGCGTCGCCAGATTCCACGCTTGTCCTCTCTTTACTCAGAAGCTTGAACGTCATGAATCTGATCCTTGATCTTCAATCGACCTACTTCAATATCGTTAGGCCGATGATCAGATCACAAGCAGGCGCGGACAGAACAAGCGTGGCCAACTCCTCCCTTGCGGCCTTTGAAGATAGCATTCTCAATAACTTGACCATTGTATCCGCACTGTGTCTTTACTGCAGTACTGGGCACGAGGAACTCACAGTCTTGTCCATGGCATTGTTAGAGAAGCTTTCCAGCTCCTCAAAACTGAACAAAGTCACCTCGCCTGAGTTAAACAAATGGCGTTCGTCGAACAAGATCGTTGAGGTTCTCAGCTCAGAGGTGGACCTGGACAATCTGGCACGACCCCTTACGCATCAGATGGAAGTCGACGAACGGGAGCTTGAGGCTGGCGAACGATCTCCGGCTTACATAATTAGAAAAAGCCTCCTGGCGCTTTTGAACAGCTGTCTTGGGTCTACAAGCGATAGGCCAACGATCGCACATCTCCTCCTCGGTTTCAACAGCATAGGAAGCCTGCTTGACGTCTCAGCTGATGGCATGTTTGCTAACAAGATGTCCCTGTTGCATGCCATTATCCAGTTCGTGCAAGCCTTCCCCGGCGCAATGGATGGTAACATCCTGCCATGGCTGATGCAAATGAAGCGCATGGCGTTTCAGGTCTTGAAGAATCTTTGGTCCTCGAGGATCTCGTCGTATTTCACCCTTTCCGAGATGCGTGGCTCTCGATTCCTCGTCAACATGCTCGCAACTCAACCAGTTATTGGGCTGCACACCTCTTGGGATGGGTTGCCAATCATCGCAGATGAATTTTGGTTCTCCCAGTCAACCTCTGCTTACGCAGAATTCTTGCTTCTCAGAAGCTTCCTTTTTGACTACGCCGCAATAGAGATTCGCTCAGCTGCTAAGATTGGAGCGCCCACTCTCCAAGCCGAGCTTCTTTCCACGCTCTTTGGTACCTCGGTCTCAGAGACTGGAGAGACCCTAGTAAATCCTTCTGTGTTCGATCTATTCGACTTCGCCGACTTAGACATTCCTAACTCCCTACCCACACCCGACCTCTTCTTCCTTGAGGGCCTCGATTTTGACCTTTGTGCACGGAAAGGGGCAGACCCCTCCCTGATACTCTATAATCTCGCTGAGGTAACAGAGATGATACAGGTTATGAAAGAGGAATTATTCGCTAGGGGCCAGTTGCACGAGGAGCAGTTCACTGCTGAGGCGGACACTCTACTAGTGTTCATAGAGGCAACGAACCAATCCAGGCAGATCAGGTACAACCGCTTCTTAGCCCTTCGATCCTGGACCGAGCTTATTACAACGATGCTGTCATCCTCGGAGATCGAAGGCGGCCGGCTAACAACCTTTATTTTACACACACTTCAACTAATTCTACCCAAATTTGGAGCAGCCATTCAGGGTGACATGCCCGAGGCTTTAGAATTAGCCAGGCTGGCCGAGACGTTGGTCAGCAGACTGGAAGCTTCCAGATCAGAATCTCCCAAGTCGAAATTGAACGTCACTCGCAAGGGCGGGGATGTGCTTGACGAGAAGCTTCACCAGATGTTCCAGGTTTGCGTGCGCGGCGTGATCGTGGCCACTGGGAATGTCGATCTCAGGGAGAGTCTCTACAATATATGCTCGCATTATGTTGCTCGCATCGTCTCCGCCGAATCGACTCATGACTCACTCAAACAGCAAAGTCAGCAGATTGTCAAGGCAGCCGGACATGCCCTGGTCGAAGCTATCTGTGATGATGCATATGCTGGCCAGGAAACGTGCCGTGTCTCGGCTCTCCTTTGTCTGAATCTCTTGGCCGTCCTAGATAGGCAAACAGATCCAGTTCTGGTCGAAATGATAGCGCAGACCAACTACCTAAGCCTTTTCCTTGATACCATCCGTGTTTTGCCTGTGGAACTGAGCAATACACAAGCAAGCGGTATGCGAGATTTTCTCCCTTGCTTGAATCCATTTACTGACTGCAATCAACAGATACACCGCTTCTGTTGTCTTACTATCAGTCTTTGCTGTCTCTTTTTCAAGAGTTGTGTCAAACGAAGACTGGGGCCACACACGTTCTGAAGACTGGACTTTTCCAAGCTGTGCGTGAGTCGCAGCTTTTCGCCGCCGACCCCGATCTCGGAATTGGTTAGTAGCTGGTTTCATTCTTTGCATGATATGGATTCGTCATTGACCGATGCAGATATTGACAACTCTGATGCTCTACGGAAATACTATGAGCTACTGGATTCCTGTCTGAGAGTGATTGTATCTGCAGCGTTCTCGCGTGGGCTTCACAACCAGCAGATGATGGAGCAGACGCGCACATTCCTCACAGAGAATCGATCGGGCATGGTCGGCATTTTCAAGCGATTCGCTCGAATCAGTGGCACCGGCAACGCAGATCATCAAGACACACTGACGAATCTTGTCAAGTCTTACATGGCACTTATTACCGCCACGGACTTTCTAGATGTACGTGCTCTTTTCTTTGTGATTGAGAGTCCTGCACTGACATTGGATGATCTAGATGGAGGAGCTGGAACTGGACGAACGCACAGGAGCCGCACTCTTCTCATGATGTAAGGCTTCATTTGCGAGTCGGGTTGCTGGACAAGCTATCAAGAGACATTTTGACAAGATTTTGATGTAAATGAATATATGGAGATTCGGCTGGGCGAATTGAATCAGCTGTGGAATGAGACATTAGATGGAATCTTGCACCTGGGGATCATGACGTTGGCTATGTGTAGACTGTTAGTGATAGGTAGACAATGTAGTAGTATACCCTATAATAGGTATACCTAGAGCACCTCAAGTAGGGCCTATGTATACTGGAGCCGCAACCAATCAAGTCTGTAAAAGTTAAACGGAAGTATTATCTTATCTCCGGGGACTTTGTTAGTCAGTGGATGCGCCGGTTCCAGACTGACCAAACGTAAGGTAGGAAGGAAACCCAACACCCCTTCTCACCACCACTTCTCCCCTCTCATTTCACTCCGTCATCGTCATCTATCGCTATCCCCATCTTTCTGTCACTATCTTCGAACCAGCATTGCACACTCCAACTCGAAAATCTGGCCCGAGAAAGGACTTACCATGCATGATAGAGCCCGCACTCATTCTGGGTCCATCCGACACTGAGCGCTCATACCTCACCACCCTCTCCTCGGACAGAAACCGGGTAGATGCAGCAGAACTCAAGAGGCGCCCCCGAGCAGAGGAGCGGTAAGCGCAAATCAATCGGTAAAAGAAAACACTCCGATCAAGAAGACAGTGGCTCGCTCCAGCCTCAGCAGCAACAAGCGACCATCTCCGAACTTCTCTCACGCAATCACCCCGCCGCTCACGGCGATAACAGGAGCCATCAGCACCACAACCAGTCCTCGACGAGTAAACGACTGCGCCTGTCACCTACCCTCGCAGGCCCCTCCCACCCTTCAGCCGGCCCTCGAGAACAGACTTCGTCCGAAAGAATGTACAATTTCACGAATGCGGAGCCTCGGTTAGGCGAGACCATGGGCCAAAGTACGGGCGGGGCCGGGGGTGTCAACCCTGCAGTCAAACCTCGACCTTTCAATGCGGCGTCGCGCCAGGGCAACTTCACTCCTCATACAGGCGCGAAACGGCTGGTGGTCAAGAATTTGCGGACTGGGTCACGGTTGAATCAAGAATCTTACTTCGAGAAAGTCTGGGACCAGCTTGATGCCGCCTTGTCGGCGGTATTCGGTGGCGGGAAGCCGGAAAAGTCGCTGGAGGAGCTTTACAAAGGCGCAGAGCATGTTTGTCGACAAGGGAGAGCTGCCGCCTTAGCCAAGCGGCTTTCGGATCGCTGTCGAGATTATGTCACCGGGAAACTGCGCGAAAAATTGGCGGCGCAGGCGGCTGGAGGCACCAATATTGAAACGTTGCGGGCGGTTGTTGAGGCGTGGTCGCTATGGCAGTCCAAACTGGTATGGTGAATCTGTGGTCCATGAGATGAGGTCAATAGGTACCCAGAATCACTGACATTTCTTGCCCAGGTTACCGTCCGCTCCATCTTCTATTATCTCGATCAATCCTTCCTCCTCCACTCCAAGGAACTTCCCGTCATTCGCGAGATGGGCTTGATTCAGTTCCGACAGCACATATTCTCTGATCCAGTGTTAGAACCGAAGATCTTACAGGGCGCCTGCGATCTTGTGGAAGCAGACCGTGACGAAAGCAAGAGCATGGTGGCCGACTCATCCCTACTCCGGCATGCCATCGATCTCTTTCATGGACTTGATATCTATACATCTGCTTTCGAACCTGTCTTTGTAACCGAGTCCGAACGATTCTTCTCTTCTTGGGTTCAACGGGAAGCAGCGGGTTATCTGGCGACATTCGCGGAGGACAGCCACAAGTTGATCGAGCGCGAGGTCAATCGATGCGAGCTATTTTCCCTGAATCGAAGCACAAAACAGAGACTTTCTGAGATTCTCGATCGAACTCTGGTGGCTGAGCAAGAAAGTGTACTTCTTAACCAGAAAGATATACTCGGCCTCCTACGGGCTGGTAATTATGTCGCTTTGGAAAAGCTATACTCGCTCCTCGAACGAAAAGACTTGGGAGCCAAGTTGAGAACCTCGTTCAGCACTTACATCATCGAGGAAGGATCAGCGATCGTGTTCGACGAGGAAAAAGAAGCAGATATGGTGGCGCGTTTACTGGACTTCAAGAAACAACTTGACGATATGTGGAACAGCTCGTTTCATCGCAACGAAGAGCTAGGCCACGTTCTCCGAGAAGCTTTCGAAACATTCATGAACATGGGAAGGAAATCTGCATCTACGGGAGGAACCGACAATCCAAAGACGGGAGAGATGATCGCCAAATACGTGGACAGACTACTAAAGGGCGGTTGGAAGCTGGCCCCTACACGGACAGCGGAGGATATGCCGTTGGCAGATGAGGATGCCGAAATCAATCGACAACTAGATCAAGTGTTGGATCTCTTTCGGTTCGTACACGGCAAGGCAGTGTTCGAGGCATTCTACAAGAATGACCTGGCTCGTCGGCTGTTGATGGGCAGAAGTGCCAGTGATGATGCGGAGAAGAGCATGCTTTCGCGGCTCAAGACTGGTATGTACTTTCTCATTGCGAGCCTTGACACGTCCTAATGCCTTGTAGAATGCGGTTCGAGCTTTACACACAATCTCGAGTCCATGTTCAAGGACATGGATGTCGCTCGCGATGAAATGGCTGCGTATAGTTCTATCCAACGCGAACGTCGACACCGCCTCCCGGTCGATTTGAGTGTCAGCGTGCTGTCAGCGGCCGCATGGCCGACCTACCCGGATGTCAAGGTGCGGATACCAGCAGAGATTGCGACTAGCGTGGATGACTTCGAGAAGTTCTATCACACCAAATATAATGGGCGGAAACTCAATTGGAAGCACCAACTAGCCCATTGCCAGCTGCGCGCACGGTTCCCCAAGGGTGACAAGGAACTGGTGGTCAGCTCGTTCCAGGCGATTGTACTGTTACTGTTCAACGACCTTCCTGAGGGCGGATCGTTGACCTATGCACAAATCCAGGAAGCGACCATGCTGTGTGAGTGTAATCTGACCCAAGGCTAGAGCTACTGCTGACCTTTCCCGACACAGCCGACCAAGAACTTCAGAGAACGCTGCAATCTCTCGCGTGTGCCAAGTATCGCGTGCTCTCGAAGAAGCCTAAGGGTCGGGAGGTCAACAAGACGGACGAATTTGCGTACAACCCCACGTTCTCCGACCCAAAGATGCGGATCAAGATCAACCAGATCCAGTTGAAGGAGACGAAGGAAGAGAACAAGACCACGCATGAGCGAGTCGCTGCGGACCGGCACTATGAGACACAGGCGGCCATTGTACGAATAATGAAGAGCCGTAAGACCATCACCCATCCGGAGTTAGTGGCTGAAGTGATCAAGGCCACGCGTAGCCGGGGAGTCCTGGAACCGGCGGAAATCAAGAAGAACATTGAAAAGTAGGTTTTGAACCGATCCGATCCACGATGCTACCAACGCCCCTGGCTAACCACACTCTCATGCGCAGACTCATTGAGAAGGATTATATGGAACGTGAGGAAGGGAATCGGTATCAATATGTGGCCTAGAGCGGTTTGTTCTGTGTCTAGTGCTGTGAAATGCTAGTGTCAGGGTTTAAGTTGACATATACCACTGTAATGATGATTCGATTTTGTTTGTATGGCATGATTTTTCCTGGGCGTGATAATTAGGGGAAAGAGAGGCGGTATGGAGGCGATCGTACTTTGCAAGCCGTCAAGACCTGTACCGGATGTGGTTCAATGACTACTAGGTAGGATGAGAAAATTGAACCACTCTGATTGGTGGAATTTTTCCATCCTCCCATAGAGTACTGTTAATTGAAACTGATAGCTGAGCCCAGCTGGAGGTGCGTCAACCGACCACTCATACCGTGACTCCATACTGCACCGCACCTCGGAATAGTTGCTTAATAGTACAGCGGCGCTCCCTCTTGCGTGCCAGGAGCCGATAAGGAAGGTTACTCCGCCTCAGCCTCCAGACCCATTATTTAGTTACTCACGTGTCCCCAGTCCAGGAAATAGTCCCAAACATCATGCGTGATGCAGGCACTAACTAACGATTATAGAGCCATTGTACTATAGGTAGTTACAGGATGATTTGTAGCTGATGTGTCGATTTGGGCGGGGGAATTCAAAAAGTCCAGTTGGAAAGCCAGCCAGCAGCAGCAACAATTCCAGCTTTTCTGTCTACGGGGAGCACTCTTTCTCTCGCCCGAGAGGCTTCAGGCTGTTGAACGGACGAGAAACAGCCTGAATTGAATGACTGACGGGAACCTACGTTGGCAATTCCGTAAAGCCCCAAAGTGGTAATTCGGACAGCGGTCGTATCAGGATTTGCCGGCGAGCTCTGCGCGCTTGTGCCTTGTTGGGGATTCGGGGTTAATCATGGAGGGGATCCCCGCTGCATCGGCCATCGATCTGACAGCGGAGGTTGGAGACACGGCTAATTAACTTAGTGTGTACTATTCCCGTAGGTTACAGGGATGGACTTTTTTTTTTTTTTTTTTTGCAAGGTCCCATGATCGGGTATCTCCTGCATGGTGGGTTCTGTTGGGATTGATCGTCTTGCTGGATTGATTGCAGAGTCAGTCCGTCTATCGCAACTGACTGGCTGTGGACAGGATTGATTGCACCACAATACCTATCTCAGCTTGCCACTGATACGAAAGAGGACTTTTGAGTGTAGAACAATCTTCCTGGTGACATTTGAGTCGGCTTATCGATAAGCGGGGCTGCATTCAGTACACAGTGACTTATCCTGCCGATAACTACTCTCGGTATAGTTAGTCAGTACCTGAGGTTCGTGCTTAGCAACTGTAGGTTTGAATTCTTTCTTCACCTCAAACCTAATCCGTATACTGTTGAAGCTAGAGGCATGACCAGTGCAGGCAAGGTGGACGGGAGTGCCGCGGAATCCCCCCGCGGAATTCCCACAGAGGGTAAGCCGAAGCGCTTGGAGCAAAGGGTCCAGACCCCATGGGGCTTTTCTCTATAGCTTTTGGCGGGGCCGCGAACGAAGGGGATGGAAAATAGAACAACACTACGGAGTAGAGTATATGCGAGATCAATTTGTTCATGTGAGCAGCAAAAAAAGTATCCACGGAAGGAGGACACAGGGGGAATTCGAACTATTGGGGAAACCTGCTCATACGTCCTCCTACCTACTATTCTTACGCCATGTTGAAGTCGTGCATTGCCTCTTCACTCTCTCTTTCCCCGCGGACATTATTTAGCCTAGCTGTTGCGCCCTCAATTCGAGTTCCTCTTCCTGGTCTAACTTTGTTTTCTTTGTACTCTTTGTAAGATTGTCGGTGGGGTGTTCTCTGTCCTTGGCCCGAGTTCAAGTCCTCCATACGTGAACGACTGCTCAGTTCATTACGAATTGTCTTCCCATTGGCAGTCTTTGACTTCTGCCTCGTGGTGTCAAGTGATTGCGCCGTGTGAGTACCTATAATCGAGCAACGATCATCTCTCATTCTTCTCGAAATTGGTCTCTCTTCTCTGAAGCTGACAGCTGCCAGACCCAGAGCGATTGGACTTCTCCACTTCCCCGCCTCGTCCGGCTTGAATTCCGATCCCAACCATTGCGCCTCGTCCAGACTCGCTGTTGTCGCACAGTCGCTACAATCGTTGCGATTGATTCTGCGAGCCTTACGGTCCGAAGAAAGATCAAGTGATCCCTGCAAGAGAGTCTCAAACTCTCCGCGTACTTATATACACTCAAAGACGGGCGTGCGCAAATCCGGCTCTCCCTCATACCCCATATTTCGATCGGTCCCACTCGAGCAACGGCTTGTCTCCATACGCATCTGAACGTCATACGCACTCGGAGACCGTCCATCAAATCTCCCACAAAATGCAAAGTAGGTTTCACGCCTTCAATCAGACCTAGAGGGTTTGTCATCAGCCCACGCAGACCCCAAACCTGTTCCATGGTCATCGACAAAGTCTACATACAACTACTATAGTCCGTTCCGTCCACTAACGCCGGCGCACACACAGCCAAGCACTTCTTCTCCGATCCCACTCATTTGGTCCAGACCGCTCTACATTCCCTCACCCTCACCAACCCCTCGCTAGCATTCGACGCTGAGAACAAAATCATCTTCCGTCGTCCCGATGCCAGCGCAAAGCCCAAAGTCGCCATCATCTCCGGTGGGGGCTCCGGTCATGAGCCTGCCTTTGCAGGCTACGTAGGAAAGGGCTTCTTAGATGCTTCCGCAGCGGGCACGATCTTCGCTTCTCCCTCCGCGGAACAGGTCCGCAAGGCCGTGATGGACTGCGTCAACAGCGACAATGGTGTCCTCATCATCCCCATGAACTACACGGGCGACGTGCTCAACTTTGGCATGGCCACGGAGAAGGCGCGAGCAGCCGGCATTAAGACCGAGTTCTTCGCTATCAACGATGATGTCGGAGTGGGCAAGAAGAAGGGCGGCAAGGTCGGTCGTCGTGGCATTGGCGGTGGCATCCTCATCCTCAAGGTTGTTGGTGCGTTGGCCGAAGCAGGGTAAGTGTTTGCTCCTGGACTGTGCCGGCAGGCAGGCGCAGCGAAACTGATTCCCAGCACAGCGGTTCACTAGACGAGGTGTATCGCCTGGCACGGCTCGCCAACGACAACCTCGTTTCTGTCGGCTCCTCCCTCGAGCACGTCCACATCCCTGGCCGAGGCGCACCCGAGGACACCATCCCGGAAGGCCAGGTTGAGGTCGGCATGGGGATTCACAATGAGCCCGGATCTCACCGGGTGAAGGCCAACCTCGTTGAGCTAGTCGCAACGATGCTGCTTCAGCTGTTGGACCACAACGATCCCGATCGCGCTTGGCTCACCCGCAAACCGGAGGACGACTTCGTACTGCTGATCAACAACCTGGGCGGTGTCAGCACCCTAGAGCTTGCGGGCATCACAGACGAGGTCTACCGCCAACTCGACAGAGATTACGACGTCCGGCCAATCCGCGTCATCCAAGGCACCTTCCTCACCAGCCTCAACGGGCTGGGCTTCAGCATCTCGCTGCTCAAGCTGGTCGACACGGGGCTGGGCCCCGGCCGGTCCTTCCTGGACCTCCTCGATGCCCCTGCAGAGGCGGTCGGCTGGTCGGCGCCCATCAGCGGCGAGACATGGAAGCATCGCACCGACGCACCCGTGCAGATCCAGAGGACCGCGCTGCCAGAAGACACACCAAGCAATGTGAAGCGTAAGCCTCTGTCCCCCTCTTCCCTTCCATCCTCGTATCCCCAAACCCCCCACACTAACCCCCCAAACAGTAGACGTGAACATCCTCAAGAAAGTCCTCCGCAGCGCCCTGCAGCGCGTCATCGCCGCCGAGCCTGAAACCACGCGCTACGACACGATCGTCGGCGACGGCGACTGCGGGGTCGGCCTCAAGCGCGGCGCCGAAGCCGTCGCCGCCCTTCTGGAGAGCCCCTCCTCCAACCTGACCGACGACCTCGTCCACGCCGTCAACCGCATCGTCAGCGTCGTCGAGAACACCATGGACGGCACCTCCGGCGCCATCTACTCCATCTTCCTGAACGCGCTGGCCCACGGCCTCCGCGAACAGGACAACGCCGGATCCCCCACCCCGGCGACCGTCGACGTCTGGGCCGCCGCCCTCGAGCACTCGCTCTCCGCCCTCGCCAAGTACACCCCGGCGCAGCCCGGCGACCGCACCCTGCTCGACGCCCTGGTGCCCTTCTGCCGCACCCTGAAGGAGCGCAGGGATGTCCACGCGGCGGCAAAGGCCGCGCAGGAGGGCACCGAGTCCACCAAGCACATGCAGGCGAGTCTCGGGCGCAGCGTGTATGTCGGCGGCGAGGAGGAATGGGTGGGCAAGATTCCAGATCCGGGAGCCTATGGGCTCAGCGAGTTCTTGAATGGATTGGCAGAGGCTCTCTGAGGGGGGTTGGTGATCTTGGGGGGGATTCTGGGGGGATGGGGTTATTTCATCGTACATGTACTTAATATATCCGAAAGCGATTCGATGTGGGGTTTTAATTCTTAATATGATTAATGATGACAATTTCATGAATTTGGGAGCTCCCAAGAAAAAAAAAAAAGCTTCTCTAGCGCTTTTGCATTCCTTTTCTAGCTTTTCAATTCACAGAGTACCGAAAAACGCCCATGTCTGTTTCACGCCACAACGAATAAAACGGCAGATACACAAGAAGTTTGGGGGGAAAAAAAGGGAAAAAAAGAAAAGAGGGAAACAAGGCCTACCAGGGATATAGACAGGCGCCACACATAGAATCCCCGGCTCCAGGCGTTTGGTGAATGGGAATGGGAATCCCCCCTCCCACGATGACCCGAAAACATGGGGCTGAGAGAGTCCTTTTCCTTTTTCCTCATCTATCCGGAATCGCACGAAGGGTATCAATGTGAGAAAGGATCATGCCCCAACCCAGTGTGCCGTTTCGGCGATTCCCCAAACAGACAGACAAAAAAATAAAATGCACCGGCTTAAGTCTGTCGCTTTCACCATTACATTTACAGAGACAATAGGAGAAAGGAAAAGAAGACTGCTAGCACCATTTCCCCGGGCCCGCACCGAGATAATATAGTGAAGCAAGTCACGCGGAGGGTACCGAGCAATGAAAGAAAGGCTTCTTCTTGTTCAGCTCAGCAGGACGAGAATGACGGAGTCGCCGCGCAGGAACCTGAAAAGGAACCGACAAGTTAGTAGATGATGAGACAAAAAAAAAAAAAAAAAAAAAAAAAAAAAAAAAAAAAAGGATTGATGAGGGAGAGTACATCTTGCTGATGAACCGATCCTTGTTGACGCCCTTGCCCTTGCCGCCCTTGGGCTTCTCCGTCCACATCTCCTTCACGTTCTCGAGCACCATGTTGCAGTGGCGGTCGAAGGCCTTGACGCGCGCCAGCAGCTTGCGGTTGTTCCGGCACGAAATCAGCACCTGGGTGTGTGTGCGTGTGGCGGTTTGCAGGAGGGAGAGGGGGCCCGCGGTGAGCTCGTGTTCCTCGACGAGGGAGACCTCATATTCACTGGGTTGAGGTTAGTTCGGAGTGATGGGTGGGTACTGGGGAGGGTAGAGGGTAGAGTATGGGAGGTGATGGGAAAGAGGGCATCTGGGATAGGCGCGCGGGGTAGGATAATGTTCATCACGGGTGGCAGCAATCCTCAGTGCGAGTGGCATCATACTGTCGCGCCGACACCAGACGATCCGGGTCTCGGTGGTCATCATGTGACGACAGCCCACAGAACTGGGGATTGCAAGGCTCGGAGATGTGTCGAGATACTGCCGCTGGATGACCAATAAGAGACAAAAAGATAAACGTACGTGAGCTCGCTCTTGGGCTTGTTGAGCAGGTCCCTGTTGGGTTTGAGATGGATGGGTTAGCCTGAGATCCGACCAGTTGCGCGGTTGCGCTTCATGTTCACGGGAGGTAGTAGGGATGAGCCAGAGCTGACTCATCGAGACGGAAATCAATTCAAGAGAGGGGTAAAACGTACTGAATCTTGGGATCGGTCGACATGGTGGGTGGTTTAGTGGGATATGGGGGGAATGGGGGTTGGGAAAGGTATAAGTATCAGGAATTTGGCAGCTCTTCAGTCAAGGACTCAAGTGTCTCTCTCTCCGTCGGTCCAACTTTCTTAGTAGCTGCGGTTAATTCATTCCCGCCCGCAGCTTCTGTCCATTGAGTTCTTGGCGCGGGTCAACATCACGTGCCACGCGTGTTTGCCGTGTTTGCCCGTCTGGTTTTCTCGCCCGTCGCGATTGGCTGCGTCACGTAGGCGCGTCGAAACACGCATCTACACCCGATGCTCATTCAAATGCAAGGCGTTCTGCTCCTTCTACCCTGATTTCCCACTTAACCACCACCACCACCACTACTCCACTTTCTCCTTCTCTCCCTCTCCCTCTCTCTCCTTCTCCCTCCCACCACCCTCACTTCTCCTTGAACCCTCAGTCTCGCAGACTAGTCAATCGTGGCAGAAAGAAGAGGAAGAGGAGAATTTAAGGAGTCTCTTTCTCTGGCTAAGCTCTCCTAAATCGAACTTTTCTCCTTCTATCCCATGCCTCGATTTTTAACGGCCTCCCTTTCTTCAGCGCTTGAGTGTCCCGCGCTGGCATTCCTTTAGTGTCTTCCCCGCGACCTTCCGTGCATACATTCCAGTGCATTCTCCCGGTCGACGCCATCGTCTTTCGCACGTTTCTAACTGGTCGGTAATACACGATCACTGTACCTTGCTTTGATTTCGACATCGGTCTTTTGCAGTCTCTCCTATTCGACCTATTCTTGTCGGACTCGGTGTACCCTACGACCACCTCGTTCTCAACACTCATTTTTACCCTCTTGTCTGCTGGCGTTTCTGCCTATGATCAAATCGCTGGAACGGGTGGCATGGAATCTCAGGACGGAATTTCCGTCCGGCCTATGAGGCGTGAGTGTCCCCCCCTCAATTCTCGCCTGACCACCCCACAATCATATGCTGACCTCATCGGATTATAGTGAAGGTACTCTACACGTTCGACGATGCCAGCAAAACCAATTGCTTGGCCCGCTGGCCCCATCTCCTCGATATTCAAACCGCCGCACTCGACGAAAAGCTGCAGATCGGTGTCATTGAGCTGAAAACATGCATCCAAGCCATTGTTTCGGCAAGGTGAGTGGTCAGGATAAGCTGGTTTCCAGGCTATTATACTCATTCGTCTCGTCACAGTCCGGAACTGGTGGCCAAGCTCGGACATGACTACACTGTTTACGCTTACGACTACTCCGAATATGAGACTCCGCTGGTTGGACAGGGAATGCTGTCCTGGGTGCTTGCGTCAGCGTCGCCTACCCCTAATGCTCCCGCCCATCAGTCGAAAACCATGGTCACCGGTCGGGTGTGCAAGAATGTTCTGGGTCTGTTCTCGAAGGGTGCTCAGGAGACTTTGGAGGTCAAATTGCGCTTGGTGCCGGTCCCGACCCTCCTGCAGAGCGAGTATCTCGAGAGTATGCAGAGGTATCGTGAGTTGAGCAACATCATTCCTCACGAGTTCGATGCGCAGGCTTGGACAAGCTTTCTGCGCCAAAACCCCGGCTTGGTGTCTCCCCGCGACCAACAGCCGGACCCGATCGCGTCACCGGTGGATCATGCAGGAATTGAGAGGTTCCACCAACTGCTCAGTGAAGGATCGACGCCAAGGGAGCTGCCCTCCGTGACCGCGAATGCATCTATGCGCTCAGTCTCCCCTGCCCAGTCGGCGCTCGGCCCCGTCAGCAGAATCCCGACCCCGGCGCAGCAACACGAACAACATACCCAGCAGCTTCAGCACCACCACCCCGATCGATCATACAACGATTCCATTCGACCCTCATCCAGTGCTTCGATGCGTGACTCGGAGCTGCCGGTCCACTCGAGGTACGCCGCCAGTCGTCGAGGATCCATCCAGTCAGGCTACGGCAGCTGCGACGAGTCTTCGGAACAACAACCCCGCAAGCGTGCCAAGTTGTACCGTGCAGAGTGGCCGGGGAAGTCCGACTTGAATATCGAAAGACAGCCCAGCTCTCTACGGGTCGCCGCAAGCACCGCTGCCTCTGTTCGCATCCATCGCCCCACTCCGGTCAACCCGGCCATTGCTGCTGCTCAGAACTCGAATGAAGAGCCTGTGCGCCCACCGACCCCTATCTCTCACGCCCCCGATCTTTCCCGTCGCGCACGACCTCCCCCTAGTCTGCTCCGCGAGTCTTCCCTTCACACTCCCTACACCTCCCCGTATCCTATGAGCGATGACCACCCCACTGGCGATAACCACTCTCCGGAGTCTCGCTACCATGGTCTTTTCGAGCCATCTTTCAGCATGCCGTCGTCGCCCCCCGTTCTTGAGTCTGGGTTCCTCGGTCGCTCCAGCCCCGTTCTTCCACCCATGGCCGACTCGGGCTTTATGAGCGGTGGCATGGATGAACTGCTGGATGACGAAATTGGTACTCCTTTGGACGATTCCGTCTCAACCGGCGCAGCAAGGGGTAAGCGGATTGTCCGTACTGCTGTGCACGCCAGTTCGCCCATCACTGCGCCCACGAACATGGAGAACTTCCCAGCCGGCGCTGCTGTGGACCACTCTACCAAAGAAAGGGCTTCGGCTCCTGTTCGCGGTCCCGCCAGCAATGCCGGCTCGCGGCCCTCTTCCCGAGCTAGCATGAGACAGGCTCCAAAGCCGCTTGCACCTGCACCGATGTCGCAGAGCGAATTGGAGCAGCTCATCAGTGCCATTCCCGCAAGCGATCCGATTCTGCCTTCTCATTTGCACACGCAGAATGCACAGCCTTGGGCCGGACCAATGAGTGATTTCACCGCTGCTGAGACTCCAGCCCCGCAGCCTGTGCTCGAGGATGGCAAGATCCGCAGTGGCACGGGTGCCCGCCGGTTGCGACAGGTTCAGGCACGTCTTGATCGGTGCATCAAGAGCGGTCAAGTGCCGCCTTACTGCGAGAACTGTGGGGCCATTGAAACCCCCACCTGGCGCAGGGCGTGGTCTAAAGAGTTTGAGGGCAGTGAAGATGACGCCAACGAACTCACGAAAGACCCTACCATGTTGTTCTGGCAGGCTGTTGAGCGTGACGATCAGGAGAAAGTCATCAAGTTCAAGGTCTACAAGAAGAGCCTAGCCGACACCGACAACGACTTCGTTCAGGTTCTTCTTTGCAACCGTAAGTGATACCTATCTACTTGGTCTGCGACATTCGTGTACTAACATCGGCACAGCCTGTGGCCTCTGGCTCCACAAGTTCAAGTGCATGCGCCCCGAAAACAAGTGGAACAAGACCGCCAGCAACAAGAGAAAGCGCCCGCCCAGGAACCGTAAGGGGGGCGGCCCGCTCTCGACCAACAACAACAACAACCCTGCCACGAGGCACCGCGCCAGGGCCGAATCTTCCAAGGCGGATGAATCCTCTCCTGGAGCGTCCGACGCCTCTTCCCCAGCGGTGGACGATGCCACTCCTCGGGGTGATGATGACAACAACGAGGCTGAGAACCACAACGAGCAAGAGAACGACGAGTTGCAGGGGCAGCCTGCTAAGCGGCGCCGTGCCAACAGCCTGGAGCCGCGCAAGTCAACCGACACCGCGGCGAGTCGCTGGAAGGAGCAAGACCCCGTGGCTGCTCTCCGCAATGCCATCCAGTCTAGTCCTGCGAGAATTTTGGGGACGCGCAATGCTCCGGCGCCGGGCGAGAATGCTCTTACTCCGAAGTCAGTGCGAAGAGTGCTTTTTCCTAACTCCAATGAGAGCGGACCATTGAGAGTACTCGGTGACTCAAGCGTCAACAGTCCACGACGCAGCCCTCGCAATACTCGCATGGCCGAGAAGCAGGCTGATGACAAGGAAAACCAGACTGCTACCGATCTGAACGCGCTCTTTGAGAGCCCCAGTTTCGGGTTCGATATGCCTGTTAGCCCCACCCCACGGCGACGCAATCAGCGGTCGAACCTGTTGAGCGAGAAGCGACACTCCCTGCCGTGCATCTCGCCCTCCGCCAAGGCCCGGAGAGGTTTTGGCGCGGACACGTCCCCTACGAAGATCACTGCGCAGAGACTGCAGCGTATCCAGAGCAGCCCTGGGCCTATTCCGCGTCAGCACAAGATGCCCAAACAGGTGCGATCGAACTTGGGTGATCTGGAGCTGCCTGTTGACGGTTTCGGGTTCGAGGGGATGGACAACATGATTGTGGATATCTTCTCCGATGCGCCCTCGGCAGCAGCCACAGACGCACTTTTTGGAGTCGACAAGTGTGCGACGGGTAATAACTGGCCTGACTGGATTCCGTCCGATTATGTGTCTCCCACGGGTTCGGATGAGCCTGCCACTGGAGACTCGGGTGCGAGCGGAGACGATCCGCGGGATCTGCTGAACGCGCTCATTTCGGACCCGGAGCTCCAGAAGAACAACCAGTTTGATATCTTCAACTATGTGGAGACGAACGTGCTCGATTCGGGGTTTTTCGGCTCTGACGCCGTCAATCCTGAGACAGTGCCGGCACTGGGTGTCAAAGACAAGGCGGAGTCGAGCCGGTCCGAGGCACAGCCGAGTGTTTGATGTGTGATGAATGACGAGACATTCTTTCATTATCGATTATCGATTTTTGATTCTTTTGTATGTTTAGCGAGGCGTTTGGGACAGAGGCATCTTCATATGTGAGGAGCTGGATCATTTTATTTGTGGACCACATTGAATGGGTTCTTTGATTGTGCAATACAGTGCCGTGTGCAGGGATGGAGGATCGAATGGGGATTAGGATAGGATTAGATACCACAGTAGATACCAGGTCTTTGACCAAGCAAGCAATGAATAATCAATAAGCTGAGCTCTAGGATCATAAAGTCAAGTAAGGTGTCGTTCAGATAAGACTGCCCTCCGATACTATCCTTCGCCTCGAATTTACCAATCTCACTCTACCCAGATGGATACTCACATACTACGAGACTGAGTCTTAGTCTGTGGGTATAGTAGAACAGACAAGCGCATATATTCATTATAGAAACATCTCCCTCCGAAACAGGGGTATATCACATCCATCATCCACAAGCCGGTCCATACCAGCATACCAGCACGCGCCGCAAAAGGTCCTCGTTTTCGTCTCCCTCGAGATGACACTGGGCACTCACTCGTTCGCGTCATAGAAGATGGACTTGAGCTTATGCGTCGCATTGACGACCTGCTCGTAGATTTTGTAGTCTGCATGGGTCAGCACTCTCCAACCACTTGTCGAATGATAGCAGCAGCAACAGCAGTAGCAGCAGCAGCAACTCAGAGGGAAGACAAACCACAATCAGCCGGATCCCCCAAGTCGGTACACCCGCGTAACCGGATTCCAATGCCCTATATACGTGGAGTGACCGTTAGCCTGCCTGACAGGAAGTAGTTGACCACACCTTTTGCTCAAATTTGATCCAACACGACCACAAGACAAGGGCAGGGGACTACTCACCCCCTCATCCAAATCCGTCACCTTCCCGATAATCTCCACCAACTTCCCCATCTGCAGACGCGAGTCGGGGTTCAGGATGATCGTCACGGTCTCGCCGGCGCTGCCGCAGGTGATGGTGGCGGTGTCGCCGCGCAGGGCGGAGACGGTGCCGAGGATGCGTACCGTGTGTTTGGAATTGGCGCTGGAGGGGTGGAAGGCGTGGAGGTGGGCGGGGAGGATGCGGGGGGTTTGAAGGGACATTTTTTCTTCTCCTTTCAGTTCACTGGGAGAGAGGGGGCGGTGGTGGTGTTTCCTCCGGGAGTTGGGAGATTAAGGGTAGGAAATTGAGGGTAGTGTGTGGTTGAAGTTATAGTATCTTATACAGTAAGTAGTTAGGTGTAGTTAGTTAGAGGGTAGAGCTGGGTGGTTATCGATAGTTAGTCGCGCGCCGCGTGACGCGAACGCACGTGACTCTGTCTGGTTGCTTGCTTGCTTGCTAACAGTAAAGTTATTCTCCCGTCGGTGCCGTGCCTCAGTGTTGCAGCCTCAGGCAGCCTTCCATCTTCGGTTTAAACCTAGTGGTGCATCGGAGCAAGTAACTTTGACTTCGCCGCCGCCGCCGCCGCTGCTTCTACACCATCCATAACTCACTACATCACACTACCACTACCACTACCACTACCACCCAGGTAGCTACAGCACAGCTACAGCACAGCTTCAGCTCCAGCACAGCCACGCAACCCCCCCCCCATACCCAATACACAATAATCTACAGCCAGTCAATAATAATGCCACCCCCCCTCCCCTCCCAACACCGCGGCATGACCGCCAACCCCCTCAAACCCCAGCGCTACCGGCCCGGCAAAGCGATCGCCGAAGAGCCCTCCTCGGAGGAAGAAGACGAAGACGAAGAAGAAGAAGCAGAACAACAGCGACAGCAGCAGCAGCAGCAAGAAGAAAGACGGCGGCAGGAACAGCAACGGCGCGCTGCAGCGGCGAAACCGAAACCGAAAGCTAGTTCGTTTCCGGCTGGCGGTGCGGGGGTTACGCAGGGTGTGAAGGTCGAGGCGAAGGAGGAGGAGGAGGAGGAGGAGGAGGAGGAGGGGTTTGTTACGGAAGAAGAGGAGGAGGAGGAGCAGGTGGTGAAAAAGGTGGTCGGGACAAGCTCTGTTGCTGGCGATGGGGCTGTTACGAGGGTTACTACTGCTCTGCAGAGGGGAGATGAGGAGGAGGAAGAGTCGGAGGAGGAAGAGTCAGAGGAAGAGTCTGAAGAAAGCAGTTCGGAAGAAGAAACCCCCCGTCGAGTTCTCCTCCGCCCGACCTTCATCAAGAAAGACAAACGCACTACCGCCGTCGCCGCCGCCGCCGCCGCCGCCGCCCAGACAGACACAACAAATACTACCGTCGCCACCGCCGAAACAGCAGCGCGACGACAGGAACAGGCCGACGCCCTGGTGCGCGAGCAACTGGAGAAGGACGCGATTGCGCGCAGCCAGGCCAACCGCGCGTGGGACGACGACGAGCTCGAGGTCGCCGAGGAGGAGGCGATTGATGACACGGACGGCAAGGACCCCGCGGCTGAATATGCCGCGTGGAAGCTGCGCGAGCTGAAGCGCGTGAAGCGCGAGCGCGAAGCGATCGAGGCCGCGGAGAAGGAGCGCGAGGAGATCGAGCGCCGCCGCGAGCTGACGGCCGAGGAGCGCGAGCGCGAGGACCGCGAGTTCCTCGCCAGACAGAGAGACGAGAAGGAGGCGACCCGCGGCCAGACGGGCTTCATGCAGCGCTACTTCCACAAGGGCGCCTTCTTCCGCGACGACATGGAGCGCGAGGGCCTGGATCGCCGGAACGCCATGGGGGCGCGCTTCGTCGACGAGGTCGCGCGCGAGACCCTGCCGGAGTACATGCAGATCCGCGATATGACGAAGCTGGGCAAGAAGGGGCGCACCCGCTACAAGGATTTGAGGTCCGAGGACACGGGCCGTTTTGGAGATGGCGTCAGCAATCGGTTTGGCCGGCGCACTGAGGCGCCGCTGGGGGTCACCGACGAACGCTACATGCCGGACGAGCGGCCGAGGGGTCCGACAGGGGCGAATGCTTCGGCCGTGCGCCAGCGGAGGCGGTCTCGATCAAGGTCAAACTCGCCTCGGAGAGACCGCTATGATGATCGGAGGGAGCGTCGACGGAGTCGCGATCGCTCAACAGACCGCTACAGACCAGACAGCAGCCGCAGGAAACGAAGCCCTTCGCCCTACGACGATCGAGAGAAACGAAGACGAATGGAGGAAGCGAGGTCAGGCTAGCCGGTTGGCTTGCAAATAAAATGGCATTTATATCATACAGGCGTTGTTGGATATAGAGCATGAATAGGTCCGGGCCTTCTGTTGCATATAGGGAATCGACGTTTCTTCCCTCTGTATCAGGCAGCACAATCACGAGTGTCGCTCAGAAGAAATCATTCCGCTGAGGGTACATAATTCGCCCTGCGCAATCAACCTCAACCAGACACACCATTTTGACGCCGCAACAGACCCGAGAGGTCCGAGGGCGTATCTAGATCTAATCCGCTCGGCGTTTCACACAGTCCAGCCTGCAATACCAGAGCGTAGAGCTGACCATAATCCCTGGTACAAGGACACACTGGTCTCCAATAAACCATGAGTCGTAAGCCGTGAGCCGTATTTTCTGAGGTCTAGCCTCACAACAACCCAAATGGCAGCAATTGTTGAGGGACAATTTATTTCACCCCAGCCCTCTCCAATACCTTCTCCCTTTCCATGACACTTTCGCCGAACCTCAGCAAGAATATCGTGCGACTCGGCCACATTTCCGTCGGCTGATTATGGGCAGTGACCTTAGCCTCGAACCCGCACCCATCGCAGACCCCCTCGATCATCCCTGCCACGAAGGCTGCGCAGTTGAGCATACTCATCTCCTTGGGGACACTAATGTAGGTATTAACCAGCGGATCGTTGTCGGTAATCATATACTCATTAGGAGTCTCAGGCGAGACGGAGTGCTCGAGCGCGTCAGCAGGACGATTAAACAGCAACCGCCACAGGGGACCGTGGATGAGGTGCAACAAGGGCAAGATACGGAGGGGCCGGTTAGGCGGCGAGGCGGAGGTCGACGAGGAGCTCGAGAGCGAGGAGGAGGTGGAGCCGGAGACGGTGCGATAGAAGAGCAAATCCAGGAGGCGCAGGCCTAGCGGGTAGCCTTGTTCGTTTAATCTAATTCCCCCCAATGTAACAGTGTCAGTTAATCGCTCTCTGCTTCCGCCCTGCTTATGCAGAGATAGGTCGGATAATGGAGAGGACAGGGCCGCCGGGGAGGGGAGGGCAATCACCGTCTCTCTAAATCCTGAATCCCTGTCACCCGCCGCTGGGCATACGTGACCATCTCCGCAAATAGAAATGCGAAGCTTGCCCGGCTGAGCTCTGCATTCCGGCTGCGGTTCAGGTGGCGGTCGTAGATGGTTTTGCGGTTGGAGGGGACGCGGAGCCCCGTGCTGGATGTTGACGGCGTCGGCATGTGGGTTTGGGAGGAGTGCGGGCGGTCGATGGCCGTGCTGGCGTTGGAGAGGTTGGAGTTGCTGTTACTGTTGCTGAGTGAGAGCACTGTCGCGTGACGCGGGGGTGGTTGGGCCATTGTGCTGTGGTCTGTACTGGGAGGTGGTGGTGGTGGTGTAGGTGTGGTGGGCGTTTCTCGTGATAGTGATGAGCGGAGGGACGAGGTCTAGGTATGTTTGGGGTTGTGCAGAATCACGAGTCGGAAAGTCCCCTTCTGGTGATGTACTCGGGGCTCAATGATTTCGATTGCTCATGCTGGTGAGATGGGTTGGTTACTTGAAAGGTGTGGGTGGTTGATGTGGCTTGGCGGTTTGGTGGAGAGGTATTGTTGTTGGTTGCTTGCTATGTGAGGTGTTTGTACGGGGAGGTGCAGGTGCTTGGGACGCAGTTTGGAGAATGGGATAGCTTCATCCCCTGTCAGAGCAGGCCTCGACGGCATGGCTTGTACTAACAGCTGCTCCTCTATTCGGCTACAGTGGGTCGCTAGGCTTCGTAGGGAACGATCTCTACAAGCACACGGTACATTCTACGATCGAAGCAGGATTTTACGAGAAGAAACATATTCATCCAAATGTTCTGAGATTTCATTTTCATCTTAATTTTCTTTTTTTGATCCAATCTCTATTCAGGGACGGGTAATTGCGAGTATCAAGCTGATAACTAAACTGCACAAAGCTAGTTAGCACTAACTCATGGCAATGGCACGTAAGATAATCAAATATCCAATCATGACCAAACGTAGTCAGACATCCAAGGAAGTATTGCGCACAGAGCACGTCTATATGATGGGTTCATGGCGACGGCTAGCGTGGAAACTGCGAATGTAGGAAAAGTTTTCATCATAAAAGCCCTCGCGAGGGCGTCATGGTCATGATGGAAAGCAGAAAAAGAGAGAAAAAGTGGTAGCTTACCATTAGTCAGTTGCGAACACAATTGATCTCGCAGAACAAGTCGAGGATGAATGCAAGATCCGTCTCATCACATGCATCGAGAGTCACATAAAACTTTCATGGAATGCAGCAGTTTTCTGCATGTTGTGATGTTGTGCGCGTCGCACTCAATGTGCGATGGTTGAGGAATGATGAAGACGAAAAGTTTTTTCGGAGCGGGAAGGGAGTATTTATAGTCGGAGTTAGGCTGCCCGGGTAACCTCCCCGACCCATACGAAGCTTCTGGACACAAAAAAAAAAACTTCACTGTAGACGAGCTCTCCACAACCCAATAAAAGGACGTTCAATTCGTTGGCCATTACTCATAGAAACCTGTCGCCCGGCATTTGTTGTAACCTATTACATGAGATAAATCTAGGACTGATAGTCGTTTATACAGTGAGTGTGAGAGTCCTTCAATAGTTTGTGCAACCTCCATTGTAGCCAAACGCCGCACAAAAAAATCCCCCATATGTGACCGAGTATCTTTGTCGCTTGTTCCATAAACCAGTAGCTAAGCAGATCGGCTTTGCAGGCACCCCTCATTTCCCAGCTTTGTCCTCATGTGGCGGGTCCAAAGACTTTTGTTTCTGTCTCGAATTCCAATTCAGTGTCTTCGAAATCGTATGTACCCAGTCGTCACCCCGTCGACCCTTTGGCAAAACATTGGCAAAGGGGTATCGGGATGCCGAGACTGTCACGTAGTCTCCGGGATGTAACTCAATCCTACATGCAATGTCAGCCAGCTGGTCTGGGGTGGGGGGGGTTCGTCCAGAGAAAAATACCTCTCCCTGCCATCAAAACTGGCCCACGAACTGGCTCTGGCGTCGTACGGCACCCCCATGCGAAGAACGATGGTATCGGGTAGTATAATAGGTCTAAACGACAATGTATGCGCGCAAATAGCGGTGACCAATATAACTGGATTGTCCGGATGCGACAAGGAACCCCCAGCTGCTAGGTTATATGCGGTTGACCCGGTAGGCGTAGCTATACAAACGCCATCTGCAAGGAGCGTCGTGAAGTGCTCGTCGTCCCCGAACAGCTCAATCGAGGACATTGCTAGCCCAGGCCGTTAGCAGCTGGCCAGTATGAATTATAGATTGGAGATCTCGGAACGTACTTGCGTTGGGCCCACGATCCAGAACGACATCGTTCAGTATCTGTAGGACCTTGTCAGGCCTATGGGTCAATGTATCCTCTGCCTCTTCGCCGATCAACTCTTCCACCAGATCCCGCTTGCTGGCGTTCGCCGGCGAACCGTCCGGTAGCGGGTTACTCCTCATGATGGTGCACTCGAATCTCAGGCGCAGGTTGACCACGACGCCCTCCTTGAAGGAGGTGGTCAGGGTGTTCTGGTAGTCATTGAAGTCGAACTTGGTCAAGAAGCCCAACGACCCCAGGGAGAAGGATAGCACCGGGGGCACGACGTGCTGGAACAGCCAGCTCGTGAACAGCACCGTGCCGTCGCCGCCCAGCGTGATCACGAAGTCGAACAGATGCGCTCGCTCCGCCGCCAGCTTATGATCCCAGTACTTGAGTCGACTCTTGGCCGAGGGCTCATCGCGGAGCAGCTGCGCGGCGCCAAACTCCGGGTCGGACTCCAGGCGCTTCTCCACGTAGACTACATACGGCGTGTCGCGCTCCTTGGACAGAAGCCAGCGGGCGACCTCTCTCGTCGAGCCGATCACCGACTGGTCGCCGGCCTTGGTCACCAGAAAGACGGTCTTGACGGTGAGGCGCAGCTTGACGCTGTCCAGCTTCTTGGACAGCTTGCGCACGTTCCAGGCCATGTCTGAGAGCTGCTTCTTCGTCAGGTGGCGCGACTGCATCATGGCCTTCTCGGCCACGGTCATGTCGTTCTCGGTGTCGTCGGAGCTGCCCTCGTCGTTCAGCGCCTCGTTGTCCTTGACGGTGTAGCCTTTGATCTCTTTGATCCGGTTAGTCGGGTCCCCCCATTCGCCCGCGATAAGGGAATGTACGAAGCATGCGGTGGTTTCATCTGGAAACGACAGGTTCGGTCGGGTGTTGGGGTCGTCTGCCATGACCAGGGACGACTTCCGGCGGTGGCTGGACTCCGGGTACAGAACGACCTATGCGGATGCATTCGTGCATGATTAGCTTTGCTTACTTCACCTTCGTGGGCATTGAATGGGGGTTGAGTTTGTAAAGTGGTTTTGTAAAGTGGTACCTCCAGCTGATTCGGATCTTCCAGTTCGCCATCTACCCCTCCATCCTGCAACCAAGTCAGTTTCGACCGTGGGCTATCTTTCGGCAATTGAGTGACCTACAGCACCACCTTGCTTCGGGCTCAGGTCCATGACTGCGTTTTGAAGGGCCCTTCCGTATAAGTCGAATGGCCAGAGGGCGGTGTTTGAGATGAAAATGACTGTCAATACTTGGAATCAACCGATGTTGAAGTCGAGGGTCGCGAACGGAATCGGAGTAGCTGCGGGTATGACGTCGTTGCGCCGTTCCGGCTGTCCTCACCACCGCCAAACTTGAAAGCACGTTGAGGATGTTGGCTTGTCATGATGACTGTGGTGGGAATAACCTGTAGCAGTTTACATATCGTGAAGAGCCTTGTAGTAGTGATGGGAAATTTGTCAATGCTTTTTTCCTTGATAGGAACTTGAATGTTCGTGTTACAGTGTCAGGTCGACGAGCCCCGCGCTGGGCATTCCGGGTGAACGAGATATATTTCGGAACTCCAAGTCACTCCGCACCACTGGGTTCTAATGTGCAATTGTACACCATACGTCGACCTCAGCCACAGCATACATCGTCTTCACCATCGTCTCTCCCCTTATACATAAAGACATACAGGTTCTTAGCATCTTCACAACGGATACAATTCTGTCTACCAGTATTGTCACCAGGACCAAACAACCAAGAACGGAGAGACACACCTGAACTACATCTTCGACGTCCTTGCAGCCAACATACCGTATCGATAATGGGACGAGCCACACCAGAACCCCCAAAAGACAGACTCAGCATCAATATCTCTCCTCACAGGACCCTGCAGCATGAGCATTAAGCCTCCGAAATGGCTCAACCCAGTAAGCCGTGCCGACATCTCACCTTACACGCGTCCCACCAACGATCAAAAGGGAGAGAGACCTTGCTCTTTCCCACTGCGTGACCAGACAAGTCAGAAGCAAATTGACCAACATTAATGATACAGTCGACCAGAGTACCGCTACAATCAGTCAACCAGGTGCAACAGACTCTATACTTGGCCGGGTTATCAGTTGACGCTCGCTCGGCAGCTGGAGGGCGGATCCTGTGCGAACTGCCCGTTATTATTAGAACACGGGCCTACGGGTATGTATCGCAAAATCCGGTAGGCATCTTCCACCACATACACAGTATTCAGTAACTGAGTAGTAGTTCAGTAGCATAAAGTCCACGTAATGTCAGAGACGCAAGATGTCTCACGTTGACGGATTGATTGCTCCACTTTCCGAAGCGACAAGAGAGAGCCAGAAATATGGTGATGCCTAGAGGATCCATCCGTGGGGTCAATTCTGGATACGAAAGCTACGGCCAGGGCAGTGCTGGGTTGGCCTCTTGGAGAAGAGCCAGTTGTTGTGTCAATCCACGCATACTCCGTATCAGGTGTGTGTGTGCGTGTTTGTGACTAGGTATGGACGGAGGTGCCCCATGGGACAGATAGACAGGAGGAGCTAGGATGAATGGATGGATATTGGAGAAGTGGGAAGAAGTTGCCACTTAAACCACATGGTGATCAATGTAGTCTGTCGGTTGTCCATACCTTACCCCCCTCTATTCCGAACAATAGCCCCAAATCCCAATAGTAAGTGGGCTGTCCGGGTTGTGTCATCATTCGTATCACCATGGGATCTGCAGGGAGCCGAACAGATTCCAGCCACAGGCCCTCCCCAGGAGGTCATTGATCGATCGGTTTGTAACTTGTCGCAACGTCCTTCCCCCCTCTCCCTCCAGTCCAGGGCCTAGAATCTTCCTGGATTTCATTGAGCATTGCCCGGACGAGTGGCTCTGCACAATCACATACTGAAATTGGTTCCGGGCAATGCGCTGGAACTTGAGAGGTGTCATGACAAAGGAATACAACACAGCATGTACAAGGCCTACTGTGACTCGAGTCTGTGTACAGTGAAGGTTCAATAAACTCCCCGCCCAAGAGGGCTAAGGTTCGAGATCTTGTAGTCCAGGCGGAAGCGGTCCAAAGCCACGGTCAGCCACTTACTCCTTTCCCATTTCTCTACTATAGTTCCACCACACTCCATACTCCGGATGCCAAAAAATAAACATGGATAATATTTATTTCCTTCTGATTACGAAGTAGGAATAAAAGATCATCATCGCCGACAACGTGCCAGCCACCCACTAATCCCGGGCCCCACTGCCCTGAATTAATCACACAAGACCAAGTCAGTTAGTTATCTGCTTGTTGCTTTTGCTCGAGACACCCGCGGCTCCCGTGAGGTTTTATTTTGCCCCTCATGCGTTTAGTTCTTAGTTGACTTGATAGGGGAGAAATGAGATGACCTTGCATCTAAATCAACTCCGTACTTATCGCACCGACGCAGGTCTTGTAAACTTGTTTTTGTCTTCCTACCTCTTAAGCAGGATCAAGTCAAGGAGAAACACCTACGGAGTAGAGGCTAGAGGTGATGAACCTCGTTCCGCCCGGCCCCTTTCGGATGTCTCTCGTTCTATTCGTTATGCCTTTTCAGGCTGGATCCGCCGAGTCGCTTCTCTGCTTTGATGATCGTTTCTTGTATTTCACTTCCCCCGACTCTAGAAGCAGCGGCAGGGCAACGATCGATCAATCAATCAGCAAGCAACAAAAAGGGAAAGAAAGCGGTCCCAGCCTGATGAGTGGACTATTTGAAGCGGGACGCATAGTCAGCCATGTGGCTTTCCGGACTCCAGTCGCCGAGGAAATACGGTTCATTGTCCATACGATGACGGACTGGTTCGAAAAAGATCCTTTCCTTGAGACCCAGTCGGCTGTTCCTAGACTGGAAGAAGGAGAAGCTAAGGAGCAGCAACGGAGGAAGAAGTAAACATCGTGGAAAGCCTCAGCAAACACAGCCCGCGTGAAAGGTTGATTTGAGTCGGAGTGGAGGCGAGGGAGTGACATGGCCCTCGGAAGTGGAACAAGACTGTGTGCGGTGTGAGAGATTAGGCTTACTGTACCGAGTAAGTCTGTAACTTTGTACAATCCGGAGTCAAGAGACAGAAAAAGTCTCCATCCAATGCAGCGCATGACACCGGGCCCGACACAGTACAGAGGACATTGTCAAACCACTTTACCGCTTGCGGTAGGGTTAGTTGGGCTTTACCGCCAGACTGCGTAAATTGTCGAGCAACCCGCCTATCCGTAACCATTCAAGCGCCCCCCCACCGACTCCCCTTCCCCAAACTAGTACACTAGCTTGAGATACAGATCCCACGGCAAGACTGGTTGATAAAGTGGACTTGCCCCTCCCCGGGTTGACAAGAGAGTTGGATGGCTGGCGCATTATTTGCTCAAATGGAACACACACTAGGCTGGCCCACCAACGGTCAGACATCTTACCTACCAATCGACAATCATCATTGGGTGATGATGGGTGGAGCATGATCATAGAACCTCCAGCTGTGTCCGTGACTCCATGTTATCGTGGAACCCGTTGTCTGCCGAAGGAAATTCCTCGCAAATGAGGGTCCGAGAACCCGGTCTGATGCGCGGCTGACGGGAGGCAAAATCCAGGCGAAAGAGGAAATTAAACCTCAGCTAATTTCCCCTCGTTCTGCGGTGTACAGGAGGCACAGGAGCTTAGTAGAAGGCAGATTTTTTTCTCGCTTTTCACTTTTCGCTTTCGCTTTTCGCTGCGGCAAACGGGGAAGGGAAGTTCGATTCCCCACTTTCGATCTGCCGTGACGATGCAGCCAGGATCTTAAGCAGCAGCAGCAGCAGCAGCAGGAGCAGCAGCAGCAGCAGCAGCAGCAGCAGCAGGAGCAGCAGCAGAAGCAGCAGCTCGAGTTGCTCAGCAGCAAGCTAGGAAGTAAAAAAAGAAAAACACACATCAAAAATCCCAGTAGTTCAGATGGAGGAGTGGCCTCTTTGGTTCCATTTTGCGAGAATTGATTGCCTGTTCCGGTAATACATCGGTGGGACCGTGGCGACTATCATTGACGGTAAGTTAGTAGTAGTTGGGTCACGGTGCGTCGGGTCTGGTGCGATTTACGGCCGATCCTTAAATAGTGATCTGTCAATGTGGGTGTGTTTTCCATTGAGTTCTTTGCTTCTTCTCCCTTTTTTTTTTGTCGTCCCCCATCTTGCGGTTGCCCTGCAATGGTTGTCCTTTAACATTAGACCACGTAGAGAGTACTACTTACTGTATCGCGTAAGCACCCGCGGAGACATTCCTCAAGGGAATAGTGACGACGAGAATACATCAGGCGGAGGGTGACCATGGTAGTGATAGCACAGTAATGATGTTGACCTGAGAGACAAGCCCCTCCCGAGGGGTATTAGACCGGGGCAACCGCCTTTCCGGCGATAATGCGCGCTTCAATATGCTCAGGACTGTTTCTAGGCTGGACTAGTAAGTACTCCGTATTCCGTAGGTAGTAAGCAGTCAATTACAGTAACTAAGGTAGTTACGGAATTGGCGTGCTCAATTCTCAGTCGGTCAGGTGGTCTCCACAATCCATTCGCTGTCTGCAATACTGCATGCCCGTCGGTCCCGGCATACTACTCCTAGTCGCCTCCCTTGTCCGCGTCAAATTGTGCCTGCCTGACACAGTCACACCTTGCAAAGGGAGTGGTGGCCTGACAGCCTTCGCTCCCTTCCATATAATGCACCCAGTTTAGGTACCTTAGACGACATACACCCATAATCCCAGTATCTTATGGGGGACCAGTTCAGTAGGGTTCCAGACCGGCATGGAGCATTCATTGGCTGCGCCTTACTGGCCCGATGACATGTAGGACAAACCTTGTAGCTCAGCACTGACCACATTCTGTGTTACCTGGGACCCTGCTAAGATCTGAACAACGCAATAGTATTCATTTTGCTGCAGTCATCATGGCTGCCACCTAGCAGTGAAGCTCAGGCGACCGCTTTGAAAAAAACACATGTACAGTATCTTCAGAATGCTGTCGATCATAGATGCTGTACACTACAGTACCCGTCCATATTGGAGTTATGGCCGCCCCTCATCTAAAGGTAAAGGGGTTCTCTGCCGTGGTGAGACAGGGAGGGATTGACGACCTGTTTGGTCCTGTTTCCAAGGATTGCAGCCAGGTCTGCCGTCGGGCATATCCTGTTCAAACCCCTTCTTCCCCCGGCAAGACGTAATTCGCTGGGCGGAAAACACCTTAATTCGGTCCCCGTCCATGCATGCATGCATGGACCTATGTATGTAAGCCATTTGACTCATGGCAGCTTGCAGACAACTGCCATTTGGTAGCAGCTCTGCTCGGCTGCAAGAGGTTATACCGCTGGAGCGTTGATGATGCTGAATTGGTCTTGTGGCGGGTATCTTTTGATGTCTCTCGGAGGCAGACAGCTGCTGATTTATCTGGCTTATGAGGAAGTCCCGAAGTCCGAGCTGAGAAGAGATGGCGAGCAATCCTGCGGTGCTGCATACTGATTTCCAGGATGCCGCTGAATGTATCCTACTCGGGAAGGTTCCCTTCGAGCGGTGCAATTGGAGCCCCCTACGTAATCAGGGGGGTACGTTGATCATGCACTGGTCGACTGAGTGTTATAGTGTATGAGTCTATGGCGGTGTTAGACATTGTAGCGTCGGTTGTGGCACATGGCTAAGATCTCTTCTGTGTTGGTCTGATACGAAGCGCTTTCTCTGTAATGACTGAGAAATCGAGAACCGACGACAGCAATACGACGATTGAAACTAGTAGGCTGTGCATAAAGGAGATGGGCGAAGGGTTGACTAGCTTCAAGCATTAACATGGTCGAGTTATCACGAGAGCAAGCAAACTGATGAATGATCCAGGTTGCTGTAGTGTCACGATCAATCCAACCGCAACGCTACCATTTTGGTCTGAGCTCTAGCTGGAGCCCCATGCTCAGACTGACCTGTATTTCCCTTTCGTTTGACAATGCAAGGTAGTCGCAGAGGGGCTTGAAGGCCGACTGAACCTGACGGTCAACACATCGTAGTCTGCGAGCCTTGGGCAATAGTGACCAGTAATCTCGGTTATGGTGCTGGCAGCGTAAGTTGTATCAGATCCAGCCTGGTCCCGAGACCACAGATCCAAGATGCCACCTAGCTACAGTAAGTAGGCACCGCTAAGTGGCGTTGAATTCGTTGTCTGCAACTCGACTCTTAGTGGCAGGGCGCTCGGGCCTAATCCGAAGCTACCTCATTATTTACTAGTCTTATGTACGATATAGATTGGGTCTTGGCCGCAGCAAATCCAATCCACCGAGAGCGCGAACAGCCGAGGCGGGGAAGCCAAGACGATTTATCTCCAAGATGTGACTCGTGGTGAGACGACAATTGATCAGCCAAAATGCGATCTTCATGTCCGAAGTTTGCACAATACCAGCTTAAGTCACTGCAGTGGGCGGATCCTGCCAGGGTTGCAATGTTTAGCTCTGTGTTTCAGGCGGCGACCGCCATTTTCCTGGTTTCTGAATCGAGCCGAGTACATGAACTAGGCGTCGGTCGGAATATGGAGAAGCTAGGGCACCATGCAGATGGATCACGCTTGATATGGATTGGTTAAGGTAGTCTCCAACCCCGGGATTCGTTTCAAGAGTGAAGACTTGAGACCAGTCGCACAGCATACTCCGTAATGTCTTCTGATCTACTGAAAAACTATCCGAAAGCCGACATCTTGGGCCACTCTTCCCATGACTCTCACACCTTGATTATTGCCATGGTTGGAGAAGAACAGCGTCACAGAGCTCGGAGCCTGACAGAGGGAAAGGTTAAACTGCGCTGGAGATCGATAAGGATTGGCATTTGTCTCCACATTGGGGATACGCTTACTTCTTCACCCCTTCTGGTACGAGTACATACATCGATGGGGCAAAATACTAGTACGTAGCTTCAACCTTCAAGAATGATCAGCCCCTGGCTGTTGGGAAACCAAGCACGAGTGAAATGGATTAGTGACTTACTGAGCAGCTCTGTACTTACTATTTCTCAGTAAGCGCCGAAAGCATACGGAGTAGACGACCAACGCCAATGCAGGGCTGCACTGAGCATTTATCACGCCCGACCTCTAGTCTGCACTGCAATGGCGGAGTAGCCGATCTGTTGACGGCAATGATCATCATGATGTATTGTATACAACACGCCCGTCCCGAGTGCACCATACTTCCACTAGATCGAGTGAACTACCATAATTACTTTGTTGGTTGTGCTGAAGTGAGCAGATTTGATCCAAGTCCCCTGCTGGTACTCTCCGTACTCTGTACACAACTGATATCAAGTTTGGAACGCGGAATGCTCTGTAGGGCTTGGTAAAGAAAATGATAGTGTACACGTATATATTATAGAGCAGAGCAACAGTTGACGACCAAGGAAGAATTACAACCTCCCGCAGTACTCCGTACTCCCAACTCCAAAGTAGTCCAGGCTGATTAATGATACATGGCCCTCCGGTCATGGTTCCAGCACGTTGACTATCTGACTAATTCGCATCTGCTTTCAGACTTTCAGACGGAGAGAGAAAAGTCAGCTTGGCAGCAACGCAAAGTTCCTAAGGAAACCCCGGCCGACTGCCGCAGCGAGGGCCGGAGATTCGGAGCCAGACAAGATCCACTATATTGACTAAAATGGCTTCTTTTTCGGCCTTTTCTTTTTCTTTCCGAATTTTGTCGCGCTCAATTTTTCCTTTTCATTCCCATTTTGCCCCTCTAAGCCCCATTCGAACAACCCCAACCGAGAGGAACAGAGCTGACCCCTGACCTTCTGGAATCTTGCTAGTTCATCTCTTCGCTTTCCCTCTTTACGCCGCCCGTCCCCTGCAGTCGAGTGGGCCCTGCACATGCGTTCCGATGGCCCCTCCTGTAATCTCCGGCTTCTGATTTGTAGTCAGAGTTAGACGATGATCTCAATTGTCCGATCAGTTGCGTTCAGTGATATGATGTAGTCTAGATTACATCCGCCCTAATCCGTCGCACGGAGATTTTCTGAATGTCGTTCTGGGGCGGACGGCTTTTCATTCGGCCGTTTGCTTCTTCTATATTGCCTACCGTAGTTAGTAGGACATGAAGGTATTGATTTCCAGCCCATGTGAACTAACTAACTAACGGTAGGAAAAAACATCCCAACGCCTGCCTGTCTTTCCGCCGGGGGGAGGATGAGCTTGGAACAGGGACAGGTTCAACCACATCTTCCCTGTCAAGAATTTCGGGGTTGAACGTCAATGATGGGGTTTCACCAAGCTGATCACCGGTCACAAAAGCGGATTGCCTTCTCTCCATTGCACATTACTAAGAAGGAGGAAGAGGAGGGCCCGACGTACGCAGGGTTAGGCACTTTCACAGGTTCCATTGAAGACCGAATTTCCGGGCCAGGCGACGAAAGAGGGTCGTCAGTTCGACGAAATGAGCCAAAAAATGTTGAACCAGAAAATAAAAGGGAAAAAAGAAGAATCCAGAATTGGCTAGTGAAGGAATAAATGAGAAAAAAGACCTCTAGGCCCTTCAGCCCTCAAGTTTTCAGGTACCTGGGGCTCAGTGGTAGGGGAGGGGGCCCCCCCGGGCCCCCCCCCTTCCCGGGCTCTAAACTGGAATTGGTAAAGCTGAGTTGACAATCCGTCCCAGTTCCGGTAGCAACCCTTGTTCTGGAAATGGTCTCTCTATCGGTTTAATCCTCCCTTGTGGTACTGTACTTCCCGTACTACCCCCATACATGATACAGCTACTGAGCTAAATCAATGGATTAATCCTCCGTTCTCTTCTTAGTGATTGATTCCATTCATAGCACTCTAGTTATCTAATCGTCGTCCTCATTAACTTAGCTTAGTTAAACTAACTATTTACATAGCGTGGCAGTCACTGGCACGGAGACTACTTCATGCGGGAGCGCTTCCCATCTACTGGAGCCTGGGGGCCGTGCAGCTGGAACTCGTCATTCTGGGACACGGCGGCAACATTGAACAACTAGTGGATGTTTAGTACCGGCTGTCTGACTGTCCGCCTGGCCCTGTGGGATTCGAGTCGTCCTAGCATACATATCTGACCTGATACGATGCTTTTACTCCATATCTCATCATTAACCCTCATTCCCGCAATTGGCCTGTTACTTACTCCGTAGATTTCCCCCCCTCTCCCTTCACCCTTTGCTGCTACTGCTGCTGCTGTTGCTGCTGCCCACTCCACAGGGCTTGAGAGCCAGAAGCAGCCAATTGAGCAGATCATGACTCTAGGTATCATTCAAGATACTTCGAGTATGCCAGAATGTTGTCATCTTTCGTAGCCGAAGTTCCCGCTCTTTTGCCCCCCTCCCCATTTCCTTTCCCAGTGCTCCGCAATAAACTATCCCTCTCTTCAAACTTCGAGGTCCTTCCCGTCATTCTTTCGGTGAAGGGCATTTTTGAGACGAGGCCGCATGAGCGGGAGTCTGTCGTTTCCAATGCCGATCGATTCCACATCTCCCCTCTTCAGTCACACAACTCTCTCTCTGCCTTCGGGTATTTTGTATGTACTCCATAGGGGAGTAAATCCAGTCATGATACATGTGATCTACGGACGCAAACTCAAAGCTACTCAACCTCAGAGAGTACAAATACACGATCACACGGAGGTGTTTGCGTCTCGAGTAGTGAGCACAACAGTGCCAGGACTCCGTACAACAAACCCCAATTGTTTACCTGGTTGTGGAGAATAGATGTCAAGTGATAAGAAACACCGAGCTTGGCAGCCTTGAGGCGCACAATACTGTAGTACATAACTCAACTACACAGTAATATGCTCCATGCTCATACTTATCATCAGCATCATTAGTTTTCTCTGTCTGGCAATGAAACCGCTATACTCTGTATATCAAACCAGAGGAAAGCACCCTCTGACAGAGGTTCATCTCTCTCATCGCTATCGCCTCGGGTTTCTTCCCTGTTGCCCGTCCGGCCCCCTAATAGCTTGGTTGTGACAGCCTAGAAGGAATGGGATGCTTATTGCTTGGAGGTTGGGAGCGCGGTGGTACTGCACTAACAGTTGATGGAAGTTAGTAGCAGTGTGAAGGCGGTAGACAACCTACTCCCTCCAATCTACTCCGTATACAGTATCTACTGAAAGGATTGGCCAGGAATAGAAGCTCCACGCACGCCCAGAACATCATACGGAGTCAACCCAAAACTATGGCCCGGATGGAGTTCACTTGGGTGGATATGTCAGTGGTGGTTTATGTGCGCCCGGTGATGCCGATGATCCAAAACCAACAACCCAGAACGGGCAACGGTTCGGGGGGGGAGGGGGTACCTAGTGGTTGAGGTGTGGTTTCCAGCTGATTTGTGCACACTGACGTCTCGCTTTGGTCCCAAGGCTCTGAGACAACGGAGTCAGTTAAGTTGTCTACTGCGTAGGTTTTACTAAATTGCTTGCCTGCTGAAAAGTGCCGAGCTGGGCTGGTAATCACTGGTAGTAATCAAGACCAGGCTCGGTTACGAAACTTTGATCCAGGTAAGTTAATCAGGGAGGGGAGAGGAGGAGTTTTGACGAACATTATTGTAACCCTTGCGTAACGGGCGTTGTGACGCGTTGGGAACGGCGAACTTGTGGGGACAAACGAATGGAGTGGACACGGATTGTACTATGTATTGTACTAGGTTGACAAAAGAGGAGGAGGATGAGCAGAAGGATGAAGGGAAGGAGGGCGGGGGGGAAAGAGGGTGGAGGAGGGGAAGAAGGAGCATGAGTGTAAGTAATTGAAAGTAATTAATGTAATACAGACTGTGGATTTAGTGCTGATGGAAAGCCACACCGAAATCCGCAGAGTTGCAGAGTTGGAAGGGGGACACGGGTTGGCCACACAGACCGGATAGGTTTGTGGTAGATGGGCGATTGATGATGATCGGGTCGGATCGTGGGTCAACTCAAGGCATTCCTTCTCAATGACTAAGACATTCATTCGTTGTTCCTCTGCCTCCTACCTGGTCCCCTGGCGCCTATCGTTCCAGAGTGGTTGGATGGTTGGACCGTTTGTACATTTGAGTGGTGTGTGTCTGGGCTAGGAGGTACAGCACAGTAGACAGGTCTGAGGGGTGAACATGGTGGTCCCTGCGAGGCAGGCAGGCAATATGAGCCAATGCAGCCCAATCTTCGTCAATCTATCCCTGGTTGTGGACCGAGATTGGAGCTGAGCTGAGCAGCCGCCATTGCACAGGGAAGAAGAAGACGACGACGACGACTATGATGATGATGATGGCGATGAGGGGAAAGGCAGTCATTGAGGATCGCTAGGCTGCGTAATCGACTAACACAGAGGTCCCAGTATGGGGCATTACACGGCAGTACTACCTTCCCCATGCCAGTTAGCAGCAATGTCTCTTGGTTTGGGCAGGCTCTGCCGATGTAACAGATCACACACACACATTACCTTACTACCTCCTCCATTCAGACCGCGTAAGAGACGAGTAAGACGAAGGAGAAGAGAAGAAGGCAGCGATGCAGGCTGGATAGGATGATGATCCATTACTCGTAAAGTCGCAAGTGTATCCATGATTCATCCCTGTATGGTAAGGAAAGTAGGTACCTTAGGTATTGTATAGTACCTATGAATTGTGGCTTGCTCATTTAGCCCCAGACTGACTGATTGACTGCTGCTTGGCTCTCCTTCTCCTGCAAAGTAGCCAAAAGTTTAGTCTGATTTGGTTTGGTTAGTTCCGGCATGTCCCAGGCCCAGTCTTCCAGTTTCTGGTTCCTTCTTGAATTCATATCCCGGGCCATGATCTTTGCTTTGGTGGTGCTGCTTGCTTAGGTGCTTGCTTGCTGGTGGCTTGGCTTAGAAATCCCTGGCTAGAGCCCCCTTCGATTCTACTGCTCATACTTTCCCATCAAATCATCTCTCTCTTCCTTTTTCCGGTTTTCCTGCTTTAATTTATTTTTTCTCTGGTTCTGTCCGTCCTTTCCCCATTGTTCGACAGTGCAGTGGACTCCAGGCACTGCACGTCCATGACTGACTGACCGGCCAATGGGTCTGATCATCCCCACTACTTATCAACATTGAGTGCTCTCCCACCCCCCCCCCACTTAGATAGTACACGCTACCACCATCATCATCCATCATCATCCCCATTCTCTCTCCTAGTCCATGGATCCGTACTCCGTAGTTCAGAAAATCCAGTTGCTTTTTTTACCCTTTCTGATTTTCTATCATCCCTATTTTTCGCCTCCGAGTCAAGACAGGTGAAGTGGAGCTCGAACATCGTGTGGCATGGGCTCATCTGAATCACCAGCGGGCTGGATCCCTTCCTTTGTTCCTTTCTTGGTTCATCCTGTCTTGCCCTGGCTCGTTACTAGTCTGTTTTCGTTAGTGTCAACGTCGTGTCATCTCAACATGTGTCTATCCCTCTTTCCAGTTTCCGCACTTTACAGTTTACACTTCACACTTTCACACAGTAGTGGTTAGTAACCCGAATGGATCGTGGAACTGGGGCGGATGGTAGATCAAGAAATGTGACCATGGTGGACATACATGCTCATACTCACATAGGCTACGTTCCACAGCGCCCATGTATCACCTTTTCCTGATTCGGGTGCTTTCCCCTTCCCTTTTGTTTTTCTTTAACTTAGTGAATTAATTAATTCATTTAATTTCTGCTTCCTGTCGCTTCATACCTACTTCTTCTTGAGCTCTTGCCGAACAGCCTATCCATTCAAACTACCTATTCTGGGTCTGAACTAAGGGACTGGGCCTACCTTAGTACGCACGCACGCACTTGCTTCCCGTACCTTGCCTCAACGCCTTGTGACCCTCCACCCCCCCCTGTGTCATCTGTGGATGATAAGTCTCGAACCCCAGTCTATCACTTCGGAGATCCTTCTTACTACTGCTTCCTGCAGTCATCCATGGGTCCTTTCCCGTATTTGATACTACTCATATAACTGAAGATCCTCCTCCCCTCCCCCCCATCCCATCCTGCCTTCCCTATATCTATGAATGCTCACACCCACCATCCACCCCTCTTCAATTTCGACCTCACTTCCATCCTCTTGACTACCACCTACTCTCAGGACCGTCTTTATCCTTCTTCTTTCGCCCTACCCGGTCACCCATATCCTCAATGGCCAATTGCTGGCAACCCCAAGCCTCATTCGTCGACCCAGCCTGGGCCTCCAACAACCAACCATGCATGAGCTCTTCGACCTTTCGCGACATGGTCCATGCCTTTCCTAGATCAAAGCAGACCGGCCGGGTGACCAAGCCCCGCAGTGCTGGCAATAGTCCTGCCTCTGCTGGCAGACGGAGGACGACGACCATGCCTCACAGCTCGACCATGTATCCCAGCTACCAGGCTCCATTCAATCCCGCCGCTTTGGCATCGGCGTTTTCCAGGAGTAGCCGCAGCCGTCCGATGAGCTGGCACCCAGTCATGGAATCTTCCGCCTACGCGACGGCTCCGTACTTTGCCGACTCGACCACCCTGGACACTCTCGCCGCCGTCGGCATGTGCCCTCAGCCACTCCACACTGCCCCCGCTGTGCTGGAAAGTAACGACATGCTGTCGTCGTACGCCGAGGGACTGCCTTTCTTCTCTGAGGTGCAAGATCAATTGCCGCTTCAGCAGTCCACCTTCGTCTCAGATGCGCCTGTCTCATGGGAGACCAGTAGCTCGGCGATGCCCGCTATGACTGAGACCATGTCCGATTGCTGGTCATTCGACATGGCTTCCATGCACAACAGCATGCCATCCGCATATGTTGCTGACTCGACCTATGATGAGAGTGTGCCATCATCCGGATGCCTGACAGGCCCAGCAACCCCACAGTTCCTTCCTATTCAGCGCCCGGATGACCAATTGGATCTCCAGACCGACGCTCTGTCCAACAAGCTCGACTCGGAAGACGAACTTGTCGGGATGGGCCTTTACAGCAAACCCGACGCGCTGACCGAGTCTTCACTCATGGGCCTATGTGGCAAAGGACTCAAGTTGGAAGAGACGTTTACGCCCTCGGCCAACGATGCGGAGGACAAAGATGACGACGATGATGATGATGAAGAAGTTGATGATGACGCCTCTCAAGAACACGATGAGGCACCCGTCCACAATGACTGCGCGGCTCCCGCTTTTACGCAGCCCACCAAACCTGCCACAAATATGATGCACAAGTCCTTCTTCGTCGAGGAAGACGACTTCGAGCAACATGCCATGGTCGGCTCTCAACCGCTCATCAACATGGCCAGTCAGCCCTGTGTGAATTATGGTTATGGATGGATCTGATTTTCGGAAGCATTGTTCTTGCTTGTACATTTGCATTTGCCCTGTATTCGCTATTCAGCATTGCATAGCGTGGAGTTTATCTGTTTGTGGTTTCGGACGGCGTTTTTACATGTACCAAATACCCTTGGGATGGCTGATTGACCCCTTTTATGATGACTATGTATTAGAGAACCCTTCGGTGTTTGATCACCAATGAATAAGAAGAAAAATCCCCCGGGATGACAACTTTGATGATGATCAATGATTCTGGTAAATGGCTAGTAGATGATTGTAGGTGATGGTAGGCAGTTGTAGGCGGTTGTAAGCAGGGAATCAGTTGGCCGCAAGGGAGGGGGGGATGTTGGGCCCACGTGGTGTCGGCGGGAAAAACCTTTCCGCCGTCAGATAAAATCGCCGCGGCCATTCTTATGTATAAGGTCTAGATTTCATGGTCAATCGAGATTCAGCAGAGAAATACCTCAAGGGCAGCTATTCGTATAGGCTCCTACGGGTTGTGCTGTTTCTACTGGGAGGATCAGAAGACGTTGTGTGTCCGTTCCAAGATGGCCAAAGTCATCTTCACGCCATGGAAGGAGCAATCCCAATTACTGGCGGTGCGGGATCAATTCTACCCTCCGCCGCTATACGATGGTCCGGACATGCGGTCCAGGGCCTGCGCCACAGTATGTGACAACAACCACGGGGGGCTTAACTTTGCCAAGCCGAAGCCTTCCTTCACCATGACTGCATATTGACTTGTTCCTGCTTTCTGTGTTCCGGTCGATTGATACCAGAACTAATGGGTTTCTTTTCAGGTTGGCGCATGGAAACTGCGAGGCAACCTCCCTCACCCCGTTGAGGCGACCGCCTTGTTGACGGATGCAATCCTTCATGACGATGCGCAGAAGAATTCCATCTTCTCCATCCGCGCGACCTATGCGGCGGCTTTTTGTCGGTATGTGTTTTGCTGTTGTCCTGTGCCTTGCTTTTTGGTGGTTGTCAACCTCTTTCGGCGGGACTGGGAAAAGAAGGGGTTTATAGTTCAGTGCCGAGAGAAAGATTAACCTCGTCTCATTATATCTTCTTTCAATGACGACACCTAACATTTCCCCATTTAGCTTCGTAACGTGTCTCGTCGACTCCAAGCTCGGCGGCCAGCGTCGGACCATGTTCCAGCGCGCCCTGGACCTGGGCCTCCCCGCCTCGTTCGTGGAGCTGCGCCACGAGGCAACGCACCGCGAGCTACCGTCCCTGACGGTGCTGCGCAACGCCTCGCAGCGGTCTCTTGAGTGGCTGTGGGATTACTACTGGGCCAAGACGGAGGGCTCTTCTGCGGGTCTGGAAATGGCGGTACGGGGTGGTGTGGTTGCGAACCGGGAAGGCGACGAGGGGGAAGAGGAGGCAGAGGAAGTTGATCTCGAGCCGCTCAAGTCGGCTCTGCGGGACACGCTCCAGCAGGTTGTTGCCGAAGGAGTGGAGCAGCCCCCAAGGAAAAAACGCAAGGTCCAGCAGCATCTGTCCGCCGTCACGAACGAGGTGGTGTCTGCGTGTCGCTCGTCGGGGCGGGGGGTGGCAGCGTTGTCAAGTGTTCTGGTGCAGGATTCGTTGTTGGTGTCTGAAACTCGGAGGTGAGTTTTCGGTGTGTTCGGGTTTTCTCCGGCTTGGAAGTGCTGATTATGCTGTGCAGATTAGGTGATTCCATGGCCGATGATTTCGACAGATGGGATCCGTTGCTACAGAGGATTGCAGACGCGCAATCGACGTTTCTGTCGGGTCTGACGGAGGAATTGGTGGATGCATTGGCGTTGACAGCACGGCCAGACGAGGCTAAGACGGAACCCCGCTGCGAAGGGATCTATTTGTGGCTGGACCACATTCTGGGGTCGGCGCAATGGGAGTCGAGGAGACGGCTTATCTCGTATGCGTATATGCTGGCGGCGTGTGAGCAGGGTGGGAACCATTGGACGAATCTCTTGCGGGAGAGGCTGGCTGAGAGACAAGATGAGGGGGTGCTGTCACTCGACGGGGAGGGCTCTGGGCGCGCAAAACGGGGGAGATCTGCCGCGACGAGGAGGAGATTGGCAGTGGATGGGTTGAACTCGAACAAAAGTCAAGCCCATGTAATAAGTGTATAGGTACTTACTCGACCTCTGGATGAGAAATGAAAGGAATAGATATATGGACTCATCGCAAGCGTCTGTATGCCACCGGCCGGACATTCTACAGACCTACTTGTCACAATTTCGAAAGCATTACGGGAGCGCAGTAGAATTGTCAGTCGTGCAACGCCATATATTAGATGTATATAAGGTATGTATATATGTTCAGCCACTGTGGCTGGAGCGGGGTGCGGCAGCTGGAAATGAGTAATCTCCAATCAACAGCTCTGCTTATGTATCACTCATGATGATGGATAAATAGTAATTGCTCCCCCGCATCGCAGTCAGCTGCTCCAACACACACCTGTCCCTCATGGCCCTTCCCTTCACAAGATCAATTCTTTCAACTGTTCGGTCTCGTCCATTGAGGTTTCAATCCACATCATCCAGAGCCATGCATATCCAATCGATTCCAATGTGTAAGCCACCTTTCCAGCTCCCCGCGCACTCACATGTTTACACAATTTCAGCTTGCTGTGGACAACTGCTGAACTCTCTCCAGGGACCGGCAAGGGCAACAATTATGCCTATCTGGTCACTGACGAGCCCACCAAGCAGTCGGTCATCATCGACCCGGCCAACCCGCCCGAGTAAGTTCCAAGCAGCTTGCTTGCGATGCGATGCACTCCGCTTTGCTGACACGGTGACCCAGGGTGACCCCGGAGCTCGAATCGCAGATCAACGCCGGCAAGATTGAGCTCACGGCGATTGTGAACACCCACCAGTAAGCTTCTACCCTTGGGATGACTTCCCATCTTGAACCTCAATAGGCTAACTTTGAACCAGCCACTGGGACCACGCTGGCGGTAACAACGAGCTGGTAAGGCTACCTCCATCAGTCATCTAGCACAAATGGCACCTTGGTTCTAAGGCCTCTTAATCACGGACATGTCCGTCATCACTGTGTATGTCACGAACCAGACTGACAAAACGCCTCAGCTCAAAACCTTCGGCAAACTGCCCGTCATCGGCGGCAAGGACTGCCAATCCGTCACGCAGACGCCCGCCCACGGCGAGACGTTCAAGATCGGCGAGCGCATCTCCGTCAAGGCGCTGCACACGCCCTGTCACACGCAGGACAGCATCTGCTACTTCATGCAGGACGGGGATGAAAAGGTGGTGTTCACGGGGGATACTTTGTTCATTGGAGGTACGCATTACGTCTTCCTTCCTTGAAAGGGCATGTAGGGCTATTTCCCGGCTAATTGAGGGTCTGCGCAGGATGTGGTCGGTTTTTCGAGGGGACTGCGCCCGAGATGCACAAGGCGTTGAATGAGACGCTGGCGGCTTTGCCGGATGATACGAGGGTTTATGTGAGTTTCTGGGTCTACTTTCTTGTGGGGGATATACTGATTGGGGCAGCCGGGTCATGAATACACCAAGGGAAACGTCAAGTTCTGTCTCGCGGTGTCGGAATCCGAACCTATCAAGAAGCTGGCGGCGTTTGCCGAGGCGAACCAGGAGACGCAGGGCAAGTTTACGATTGGGGATGAGAAGGTCAGTCTGAACTGAGGGTTTCGTGGTTTGGCATGAGAGCTGGAAAGAGGGCTAACTCTGGGTGTTTAGCTTCACAATGTCTTCATGCGCGTGAATGTAAGTTGTTCTGGCTGACTGTGGACTGTTGACTGGACTAACCGTTAGAAAGGACCCTGAGATTCAGCAGAAGACCGGAAAGACGGATCCGGTGGAAGTGATGGCGGCCCTGAGGGAGATGAAGAATGCCATGTAGGGGTGCGCTGGTGTCGTGTTGAGACTACTGGTTCGAGTTTCGGGCGTTGACAGGTGTACTGTGTAGGAGTGACAAATGTAGCAGACTGATAAGTAGTGGAGTATTCACTTTATACGAGTAACTTCTGAACATACTGGGACTTATTTAACTCTTTTTCTATTTACTTACCATATACTCCTGCTATCACAATTCTCTCATGACCATGGAAAATAGATCCCACCCCCGCAAGAGCAATCAGCCACAACCGTGACTCTCAATTCAAACCCCTCTTCAATCACCCAAGCCATCGCCGAAGCCACTCGTCGACTTCCACCTTGAGTTGGACGCCGGCTGCCATGTTTACCATCGACTCAATCATGGTGACGTCAGACGATGTACCAGACAGTGAGTTACTTCTTATTGTAAATGATAAAATACGAGAAAGCTTCAAGTTCTCTACACGTTCTGTTTTGCTTCACTATCTTCTCTCGAGTCCACTTTCTTCTGACACCACAACTTGTTCAATAAATCCACCACAATGTCCCACGCACACCACCACAACCCCCAAGAAGAAAAACCCCCCGGCGACCCCCTCAGCACCAAGAGCCGCGTCCTCGAGACCGGCGCCGCCATCGTGCAGGACTTCGCCCCGGTCAAGAACATCTGCGCGCATCTGAATGCTTTTCATGTTTATGCCTCGGATAAGACGCGGTGTGTCGAGGCGAACCACTATTGCTCGCATATCACGGAGGGTACGGCGCGCCCCATAGATCCCCTACTACATACACTACATACCAAACCCCTCCCCAAATCTCTCTTTTAACTCAAAGAACAGACATCCGACAATGCCTCCTCTACGACAGCCCATCCTCCACCGCCCGCCTTTTGGGAGTGGAATACATGATCACCCCCAAACTCTACAACACGCTCCCGCCCTCCGAGCGCCGGCTGTGGCACACGCACGAGTTCGAAGTCAAGAGCGGCATGCTGGTGATGCCGGCGCCGGCCGGGGTGCCGTCCGCCGCCTGGGAGGCCGCCGAGACCAGCGAGATGCAGGATATCATTCCGCTGTACGGCAAGACGTACCACTTCTGGCAGGTGGACCGCGGGGATCCGGTGCCGATGGGCGCGCCGGAATTGATGGCGAGTTTCACGTCGGAGGAGCGCGTGAAGGTCGCCGTGCCGGGCGGGATGGAGGAGCTGTGTCGGGGGAGGGATGAGCGGTTTGGGGTGGATTTCAAGACGAAGAGGGAAAAGAGGAAGGGGTTGGAGGGGGCGGAATTACATTCTGGTGAGTTTAATGATTTCCTATAAGGGGGCGAAGGGCGTGCTAATTTGTGGTTGTCGAGTAGATGCGGATGCGATGTGGGAGGATGAGAAGTGATTTATTTACCTCCTAGGTCTCTACATGAATGAATTGAACTGAAAGTGATTCTGAAGTGATTGAATTGCTTTTCAAAAAACTACGATCTCATAAGAATGATCTGTCTCCCGTCGTTACCACCCAACCGCCCATTCCCATAGCTAAATGGGGTCCTGGTCGGGCTATCGTTCAGGGAAATCCCCAACCCCGTAGGATTGAGAACCATAAAATTCATCTTGCTTCACTGTCCACACTCACGCGCTCTGGTGTTGAATTTCGGCAGCGGTGAGCTCTAGCAATTTTAGAAGCGAGGTTTTACGTGACAGGGTGACTTGACTACCGCACCAATCCATGCAGCATGAAACATGAACTGAAGCTGTAGCTAGACCCATAGGTATCAATCAACATGCTCGACGCAGAACGGACCTATCGAGTGTGATTGTTGTCGTTGCAAAGAGTTTCGAAGAAGAGTGTGCGGAGGAAGAGAGAAACAAAAAAAAAAAAGAAAAACCTGACCCGCGGGTTTATATCCCACTACCGTATCACGTGCCACGCCCGCCCGCCATCCCGCAACGGCCATAGCAGCAACAGCAACAGCAACAGCTGGAGCAGGAGAGCAGCGCAGCAGAAGCTCCGGTCAGGTGCAGTGCAGTGCAGTGTGGACCAACCCGCTCACTTATATATATCCCTCAGCACAGATAGAGCAAGATGGAACGCATCCTCCGCTACGCCCTCCACCGCGCCACCCCAGGCCATGTCTTCCGCCTCACCTTCAACGGACTGGGCCTCTTCTGCGCCTGCACGCTGGTCTGGGAGCACCTCATAACCGTGCAGCTCAGCGAGGGCCCCTCCATGTACCCGACCTTTAACCCGCGCGGCGACTACCTGCTCATCTCGCGGCTGCACCGCCACGGCCGCGGTGTCGAGGTCGGCGATGTCGTGCGCTTCTACCACCCGACCTTCCTGGGGGTTAATGGCGCCAAGCGCGTGATCGGGCTGCCGGGTGATTTCGTGTGTCGCGATCTGCCGTTCAGTACGTCGGCGGGGGCGACGGGGGAGATGATTCGGGTGAGTTTTCCTTCTCCTGGGGAAATGGTTTGTGCTAATCCCTCCCAAATGTGCTAGGTCCCCGAAGGTCATGTCTATCTTGAAGGTGATAATCTGCCCTGGTCTAGGGATTCCCGGAACTACGGCCCCATCCCGATGGGTCTGATTAATGGCAAGATTGTCGCCAGGGTGTGGCCTCCCTCGAGGATGATGTGGGTGGAAAACACACTGAAACCGGCCGAGCTAGATGCTTGAATGCATTTTTTTCTCGGTTTTGATCTGTTGTACATTGTATGTTCGTTGTATCTCTACAAGCATGGCGGGAGTCTGGAGTTGGGAAAGGACTGGTGGATTTGTGCATATTCATACATAAGCTCTCTTGTACAATACAAACACCCGAATGGAAAAAAAAAGTCAACATGGCATAACGAAAAATCACCCACGCATGCGGGCCGTGTTTCTGCGCTTGTAAGGAAGCTTTTCGTCGCGCTTCCGGCGGAGCTCGATCTCGGCATCGGGATATCCGATCGTCTTCATGACTTCGTACATCGAATCGTCCCACTGGGTACGGAATAGGAACGCTCCGATAGGCTTCAGCTTGTACCGGGTCTCCAGGGTGCGGGCCAACAGGTTCTCGCGCGTCGTCTCCTGGGCCTTGATGGCAGCAAAGTCCAGGGGCTGCGAGTCTCGCTGCTCGAAGATGATCAACGACAGACGGTGGTAGGGACTGCCCTTCTGAGCAACCGGAGGAGCCCAGGGGAAAATCACTTGCGACTCGGTCGACAGCTGGGCAAGATCCACCTTGGTGTTGATGGCCGAGATCGGGACGTTGACGGCCATGTAGTGCATGTTGAAGTCGAAGCCGTCCTTCTCGACATTGGGAACGTCAGGGTCAACGACGGCGATGGTGACCAATTTCTCACCACCCTCGAACATCTGCACATCCAATTTGGGCGCCTCAAAGCTGGCCTTCGAGTCGACGAACTCGCCCGGCTGGATCTGTCGGCGGGCAAAGTACAGTTTCGTGTCCAAGATCGGATCGCAGTGAGGGACAACGTCGGGGACCACCTTCATCTGCGTGATTCGTTGCACGAGAATCTTGCGACGGTATTCTCTCCATTTGCGGTCGGCCAGGTACCGGTAGATAGGCTTGCTCATGTCACCTGCCAGCCACAAAGTCAGTCAGCCCAAACACGGTCTCCGCTCTTATGGTCTCCCTCTCACCTTGTCCGTCCTCAAACTTCTTCTTCACAAGCGGGTCGTTGATGTCCGCCTGGATCTTCAGGTGCTCCAAGTGAAGCTCCATGGCCCGCAGCTTGGACTTCTTCACCTGCTCTCCGCCGGCTTGCTCGGTCGTCAGCGCCTCAAGCCTCGAGATCTTCTCCCGCATCGATGTGATATCGCGCAGCTTCTCCTCACGGTCCGCCAGCAGGACCTTCCGTGCCTCCTGGAAACATTGGTAGGGCAGCTGCTCGAAGGGAATGTTGAGGGAGTCCTGGAGGGCCACACGACGACGACGGGATCCGATGGGCGAGACACCCTGGCGTAGCAATTTCCGCTCGAGTCGGGGGCTCGAGACCAAGGCCGGATCGGGAGCCTTGTGAAAGGGTTGCGACTTGATTTCAGTCTGAACCTCTTCGCGCGCCAGAGCGGTGGTTTGGAAGGCGCGGGTCGACTGCAGCTGGAGTCCTGGAAGACCCTTGGTGTAGGTCTTCTGGAGACATTGAAGCAAGGGCTTCGAAGCCCGCTCGCAATGGGCCATCTTGACAAAGAAGGTAGATGTGGCGAGAAGGAATAGGAGAGAGGTGAGGGAGGAGGGTGGGGAGGAATAGATGGCTGGCAATGGGCAGGATTTCCCCAGGTAGTCGGCAGAGTCGAGAGGTTCCTGGCCGGACGGAACTTTTTTCGTCGGGTTTGGCCAAGCCTCAAGGCGGGTTAGTGCCAGACCACCCGAACTTTTGCTGCTGCTTCTCCCTCCACCACACCGCGCAAACCCACCCTGCGATCGTTTGCCCCCCATACAGGCTGATCCTTGAGGGGTTTTCTTGTTCTCATCATATACAATGGCTGGAAGTGAGGCTTTTCGCGCATTTCGATGGCTCACTCGCAGCTCGGGGGGGCTGCTCTCCGGGGCTGAGTCGACAACGGTACGACGGCCTTTTCTCTTCCTTGGCCTCACTTGAGCGACACCCCAGATATAGAAAATCATGCTGACAACTTCCTCCTTTCGCCGCTTAGCAACGATGCCTAACTAAGTCCCTGTCACGCTCGATGGCCACCGAGGCCACCGCTCCCACCGACCACCTGACGCGAGAGATCCCTAAGCCCGTATGGAACCCCGAGCCCGTCAAGGCGACCACCTACTCGTTCCCTTCGATGGAACCCCTGCGCTTCGTCGAATACCCCCGCAATCACCTTCTCATGCCGCTTCGCAAAGACATCCTGCACCGTGCCGTCATCTACGAAGGTGATGCGACCCGGCAAGGTACCGCCAGCACCAAGTACAGGAAAGACGTGTTTGGCTCGAACAGGAAGTTGTACGCACAAAAGGGCACCGGTCGGGCGCGTGTCGGTGACAAGAAGTCTCCCATCCGCAAGGGCGGAGGTGTTGCCTTTGGTCCTCATCCCCGAGACTTCTCGACGGATCTCCCCCGCAAGATCTACGACCAGGCGTGGCGGATAGCCCTCAGTTACCGGTACAAGCGCGGTCAGCTCATCATCATCGACAATGAGATGGCTCTGCCGGAGGACGCCACCCCCTACCTGCTCAAGCAGATCTTCAAGGTCAACGGCTGGGGCCGCGAGTTCGGACGGTCGACCTTGATCACAAACCGCGTGAACGATAACCTCTTTGGTCTGGTGGAAGAGCTGGGCGAGCATGCCAAGATCCTCGACCGTCGTGACGTGGATGTCAAGGATCTGCTGGAGACGGGTCGCCTGGTCATTGAGAAGAGGGCGTTGGATCGTATCCTGGCTCAACATTCGAAGGACTTGCAGAACGAGCCCAAGAAGGCTTTGTATTAAACTGCAATTTGCTGGGCAATGGGTTTATGTATGTTTTGGGAGTGTCTTTATTACCGCGATAGGGTTTTCTTCTGCCTGTACAAATAGAATTGAGCAATGTATGATGGGTCCTTAGGTTATTTTTCTGTCCATTGCTTTCTATACGTGGGGTGCTCGTAGTAGTGTAAAACGCTTGGGCTGATGCTCGAACCGTCCCGAATCGCTACAGCAGCAAAGCAGAAGCAGAGAAACGCCTATTTACTTCGGAAAGAATTGAGCACTCCTTAGGGATTAGAGGCAATACTTTGAGGGGATGCTTCACCTCGCCGTTCGGCCAGCCGCGGCGCAGCGGCCGGCTAGGAAAATCATGGGCGCGAAAAACTCCGAGGTCAATGCAAAGCGGAGAACCGACCAAAGCTGCTGTTGCTTCTCCTCTTTACCGAACCATTCAAACTTCCTCCCCTCTCCTTCCCCCCCCTCTTCTCTCGTTCCTTTGACTCTCCCCTGTCTGAACAGGCTGTGGTCTGCCTGATGTTGATCCGACGCAGCATTTGCCGGTTTCCCACGCCGTCGAGCTGGACCTCGCGGCTTTCACCAGCCATCATGCCTCTCCGCGCGAAGGTCACCAACCCAGCCTTTACGGCTCCTACTGCCATTGTACGCTAAATCACCAGCCCGATGCGGTCTTGGATACTAAAGTTGATGTAGATGAACTACTCTACGACAACCATAGGTGATAGCAAGAAAGATGACGTCCTGTTCAACTCTCTCTACGGCGTGCGGTTGATAGAGCTCAACCGCCCGAAGAAGTACAACGCCCTGGATCAATCGATGGTTGAGAAGATTTATGCTCGCCTCCTGGTCAGCTACTATCCCCGGGCTTGCTTTCCTCGCATGCTATACAGCGATACTAAGAGCATCTGTTTAAACAGGAATTGGAGAAATCTCAGCTTGCCTCCGTGGTCATGTTGTCCGGAGTAGGAGAGAAGGCTCTGTGTGCCGGTGGGGATGTTGCTGCCCTGGCTCTGCAGAACGAGAAGGGAGAGGAAGGACAGGAAGCCTCTGCCAATTTTTTCAGACTCGAGTACCGCCTCAACCACCTCATTGCCACCTACAGCAAGCCCTTCATTTCCGTGATGGACGGCATCACCATGGGCGGCGGGGTTGGCCTCAGCGTTCACGCCCCGTTCCGTATCGCGACCGAGCGCACCTTGGTCGCCATGCCTGAGACCGACATCGGCTTTTTCCCGGACGTGGGTGCTTCGTTCTTCCTGCCGCGTCTTGACGGCGAGTTGGGCACCTACCTGGCTTTGACCTCGAAGCGTCTGCGTGGCGCACAGGCCCTATACGCCGGCTTCGCCACGCACTACGTGGATTCGAGCGTACTGGGCAACTTGACACAGCGTCTGTCGGAACTGGTCTTTAAGGATTACGCCACGCTGCAGGAGCGCCTCGACTTGGTCAACGCCACCATCGCGGAGTTTTCCTCGGGAGTTCCGCCGTATCAATTAAGCCAAATCGCGGTCATCAACCGCTGCTTCGGGCACAACACGATTGAAGAGATCTTCCAGGCTTTGGAGCAGGAGAGTAAGAAAGAGACAAGTGAGTTCAAGGAATGGGCTGAGGAAACCCTGGAAATACTGAAGTGCCGCTCGCCTACCTCCCTCAAGGTGACTCTGCGGCAGATGCGTCTGGGCAAGCAATGGTCGATCCTCGAGACCTTCAAGCGCGAGGCGCATATCGCCTCCTTGTTCATGAAGCACCCGGACTTCGTCGAGGGCGTCAAAACCAAGCTGATCCACAAGACTGGTAAGCCCTCTTGGAAGCCCGCCGAGGTGAACGAGGTCACCACCGATATGGTCGACCGCTTCTTCACGTATTCGGAGGACTCCGAGGCCGCATTCCCTCTCGAGCAGTACAGGGATCTCAACTTCCGGGAATATCCCCACCACTACGGTCTACCCACGGAGGAGGAGATCCGGCGATTTGTCCGCACGTCCGCCGGCGAGGATCCGATCAAGAGCTTTGTCCGCCGGTCTGGGGGCAAACCGGGCGTGCAGGAGAAGGTGTCCGAGGTTCTGAGCCGAAAGGCCAAGAAGGGTGAGGATGGCGCCTGGCTTTGGGAATAAGCTGGGGTGATTCCAAACCTTAATAGCAGAAAGAAAGCACTACAAGGGAGTAATTATCGGGATGGGAATGTGTATAGTCATATGTACCGATTGGAGTTCTGATTTCTGGCCTGATATTACGATATGGCCTGTTTGATACAGTTAGACTTAAGTTCAAGTTCTTCTGGGCCATTTTCATTCGAAGTAGTGTATATGGAGACTGATCTCGTTACTAGAGATTCAAGAATCCACCCAGTTTCTAGTTTCATATCAGTTGTAAGTAAGAAGCATGGGAGCACCAGATCCAACAGACCACACTACAACCACGACCCGACATCCCAATCCTGTATACAGCCAGCCGACTTTTTTTTTTTTTTTTTTTTTTGCATTCACATCTATTATCATTCAGCCGACTCCTAATCAATAAAACCACTTAACCAAAAAAAGACCAAACCAGCCTATTGCCCCCCCGCCCCAACATACTCCGCCATCGCCTTTACCGCCCCCTCCAAGCTCGCCTTCTCAATGAGAATCAAACTCCCCTTCGTCCGGATCCCCAACTCCTGGAACGCGCGCTTCGAGTCCGAGTGCCCATCATCCTGCTTCCGGGAGTACTCAAACGAACCGGCGCAGACAGCATGCTTCTCCAGCACCTCATCCTCGGGGTGAAAGAAAAACCGCTCCGCTTTGCTGCCCCCGGAATTCTTCTTCTTCTTCTGCGGCCGCGCCTCCTCCATGTCCAGCTTGGACTGCACCTCCTCGTACGTCTTGGAGAGGAGCAGGTAGTGCGAGAAGTCGAAAGGCTCGTTATCTGCGACCGCGTGCGCGATCTCCTGCTGCAGCATCGTGTACATGGGCGGGACGACCTCGGCGGGCATGTTGATGAGGCGTTCGGTGAGGATTAGGCCGATGGGTTTGGGGGTTTTGTCTGTTAAGAGGGCGGTAAGGGGGCTGAGGGTAGGGTTGGAGGCGGATTTTTGTTGGAGGTAGGTGAGGAGGGATTTGATGATGGGTTTGTCCTTTGACTCCGGTATTAGTCTCGTGGTGTGTGGGTTTGTTGGCATTGGGGGTGGGAATGTTTGGGTTGTTGTAGACAGTCAGGCAGTCAGGCAAGGCGGGTTGGCGCTCACCTTATGTTCTTGGAGGTTCAGCACGGTCAGAAAAGCATAGGGGTCGGATTCTTTGCCGTCCGTCTTGATGGTCGAGCCCATCCAGGCTTGCGAGAGGATCAGGTCGGTCAGGGCGGACATGTCCAGGTCTTGGGCGTCATTGTCGAAGAGTTGGCGGAGGAGGTTCTTGAGGCCGTGGAAGTCGACTTCCGGGTCCGGGTCGAACCATTCGAAGTCGACGTTGACCATGTCAATGTCCTTCAGAAGTTATTGAGTTAGTTTCCTTCCTGGGTGGATGCATTGCGCGGTGCTAATGCTGGTCATGCTGCTGCTGGGCGCAAAAACGAACCTCGTCGGAGTCGGAGTCGTTCTCCACGCGGGGGTCGGTACCCCCCATGTCCACATCAGTGTCTTTGAGTTCCTTGCGCTTGACCATTGTGTCTATTCTTGAGGGAGGGAGGAGGAGGGATTCTTTGGTTGGGGGGTGTGTTCGCAGGCAGGAGAATTGTAGTTTACTCTACAGGCATCCCCGGAGCGGACAAAAAGTTGCTCGGGACCGGGTCCCCTCACTAACCGCTTTGGATCATTTTTTATCGATAGGCTCTTATCGGCGGTTTTATCTTATCGCTTGATTTGTTGTGTTTGCGCATACTTCGATGCCTCAGGAGTCAACGATGTCCTCCAATGAGTGTATAAGGAGTGCGAGTTTAAACCCATTGTGTTGTCAGAAGCAGCCTAACTTGAGATGTACAAGCAGAGGCTTCGTGTTGTTCAAGGCTTGCTCAAAATATAACTTAAGAGTTGTATTGAGCTGCTTATCCTGAGAACCACCTCTACTGGGGGTTCATTGGGATGATGCGTTGCGGGTGCCAGTGAGTCGTAACGGCTTCATGGACGGCGACAGTGACGACCACAAACTCTGATATCTCGAAGAGATACACAGTGGAGAATCCTGTGAGACCGCAAAATGAAGCACTACACAGTCAAGTGGGCTCCATCGGGCATCTCTCCGGAGCAAAGAGCTCCTGCAAGCACCAGCCATGATTTCAGAGCATATCAGCTGCTGTCTACAGGCTGGAGGTGATCAGCAAAGCGAGCATGTACAGCAACTACTCTCCTGTGTAGAGTCACGCCCGCATTGACCACAACCAGCGAATTTACCCAGAGAAATCCGGCCCAAGAACCGATTCCAGATCGATCAATCCGTCAGTCAGTGTCTCCCCTGGTCGTGCTTCGGAAAAGATCCCAGGCCGAGACAGACCCAACCAGGGTCCAACCCGGTGTCGTCAATTCAAGCAATTAGCCCGGTAGTAACCAGACCACTACATCATATCTCATCTGCAGCATACAGCAGCCCAAGAAAAGCTGTTCTTTTTTTTTCGCGGCGAAGAAGAAAGTGGGTGCTTCCCCACCGGGGGGGGGTATGATCTCAGCGACACTCCCCCATGACATCACCAACCGTCAATCCCCTCGAGGGCTTCTATAAAGTGATTGAAAGTGACCAGCACAACCACGATTCTTCATTCTCCTCAAACATAACACGATCACGACTCTCTCTAACGCAACAACCGCAATTCATCTTTCCCCACTTTTCCTCAATCACACCAACACAAACAGCCATCATGTCCGCCTCCGGATCCGGTCAATCCAGCGTCGGCAGCCGTGCCATCTACGAGGCCGGCGACCAGCGCAACGTCTCCCAGGCCGAGCAGAACGAGCGTACCCGCTACGCCGAGGGTCAGACTCACAGCCACAAGAACCTTGACTCCAGTTCGTGCCTACCTCATCAACCCCCCAAAAAGAAACCCTCAGACCACTAACCACTTGAACAGAGGACCAGCGTTCCATCGCCAACAAGCTCGCCTCCCAAGAAAGCAAGCCCGAGAGCGACCACCACCACAACTTCAACAAGGACCCCGAGGCTGAGCTCAGCAAGCAGGATCCCACGAAGCCCGTATGTTTTCACCTTCGTGGCTCTGGAGTCGAGCCAGAACAAAGCTGTTTGGAAAGTTATCGGAACTAACAACCACATTACAGGCTAAGGTCCACGGTAACGCTCCCTCGAAGGGCGCCCAGATCGATGCCGAGCTCCAGGCCGACGATGAGCAGAGACTCAAGGAGAAGGGTATCAAGAAATAAAGAGGATTATGCTTTAAAAGCTGGACTTTATGTATAATAATTTCTTCTCTTGTTCTTACCCCGTGCTACGCATCACTATATCTGAGATACATGATGACGAGTTCCGAATGACGAATTCTTATTGTCTACGCGCCTGAGTGATTTTCTTCTACCTGTGTAACTGAGTGAATTTTGGTGTAGATTAATTGTAAGCTTAGTAGGTAGGCAGGAACTTTGTGTGTTGCAAACCAAGTCTGCTTCTATGGACAACCCCTGTCACCTGGTGTATCTGTTTCAAGGTGTGCTCTAGACCAATCCAAAATGGCGAACAAGATCTCCTCCCCACTAGACAACCCTCACGACGAACGGGCTCTCGTCCGAGATATGCATCGGGTTAGAATCGTAAATGAATGTACATATACATACACAACAGGTGCCAAGTGCCGAAAACCATGTCGTTCATAAGAAAGCATACCGTCATGCGAAATGAAATCAAAACAAATGTGTGTGTGTGTGTGTGTGTGTGTGTGTGTGTGTGTGTGTGTGTGTGTGTGTGATGTGTGGTATCAATACGCAACAACGAAGAAAAGAGTAAAAAAACAGGGAAGATTTGGAAAAGAAAAAATAAACTCAGCTCTCATCGCCGAACTTGGGATCATCATCATGCGGCTCCGCAAACACATTGCCCCAATACCCTTCGACCTTCTCGCAGATTTCGTCTTTGCGCTCCCAGGTCCAGAAGCTGATCGCGGGGTCGCAGCTGATGTTCTTGATCTCGGCCCAGTACGCGCGCTCGACGTCGTAGCCGAACCGCCGCACGGTCTCCTCAGGCACGACCCAGGCGCGGCCGTCGGACCCATCGGCGCGGAGCGTGGGCGCCGTCTCCCACTTCATACCGAACACTTTCTCGCCCGGGTTGAACTTGGGGTAGTTGGCGTGGATGAAGAAGGCGTGCGGGGCGGGGGCAACTGAGGGGTCCTGCACGCGCCACTTGCCCGCGCTCGTCAGGGCGTGGTCCTCGATCGGGTCCGTCTGCACCATCGCCGAGCCGGAGATCCCGCCGCCTGGTTTGGCGTGGCCTACCGCCTGAACGCGCTCGCTGACCGCGTAGAACGGCTCGCCCACGGCCGCAGCCGCTTGCACGAAGGTCTCCTTGTCGCCCTCGCCGGGAGCGCCCTGCGACAGGAGCCGGAAGTAGTGCGACGGGCCGTAGTAGTTGTAGTATGCGGAGAGGAGCAGGGTCATCTGATGGGTCTTCTTCGAGACGAGGAAGGCTCCGGCCTCCGAGGAGGCGCGCGCCGACATCGGGGGCATCTCCTGGCGGGAGATGTTGTAGTACAGCGGGGAGGCGGTGGACGCCCAGAAGTCCGGCCAGGTCACCAGACCGGCGGATTTGAAGGGTTCCGCGTCGAGCAGGATCTCGGGCTTGGTCAGCGGAAAGCAGTCCGCGTCCATCCAGATGACCTCCTCGAAGGAGGAGAAGAGAACCGCGAAGATCTTCAGCTGGTAATGTTCGATAGCATTTTTACCGACCACGTCGGAGAGAACCAAGCACCGTGCGCCCAGGTCGGGAAGGATGTCGTCACAGATCTGCTTTTCATACTCATCGGTGTCCTTCATGTAAACTTCCACCGGCAAAGTCGAGCCCAAGCGCCGAAGCATTCGTAGAGACGACAGGAACACGGGGAAGTAGGTCCCTCCAGCCGTAGAAACCACTCCTCGAGTTCCGGGAGAGTGGACGGGTCGCAACTTCTCGGATGTTCGACACGCCTCGATGTATCTCGCATGCGCCTCCTCCATAGCGTGTAGATCCTTTTCATCCAAGGTTGTCACGTCGGGACGAGGGTCGGTTGTGGTGGCATCGAAGCCCACGGCGCCGGAATCGCCTATGCGACCAGGCGAGGGGCAGTTGGGCCCGTTCGCTTCAAGGATAGGTTTCAAGACCTTCCAGAAGGCATTCTGACGTTCGACTAGAGGGACTTCGAAGACTGTGCTGGGAACTACCGAGGCCGGAGGAGGCGTCCAATACACATAGACAGTGCAAATGAGGAGTATGGCGCCCGTGGCCGTGATGAAAGACCGTAGTCTACCCGGTCGAAGGATCGGCATCGTTGTCTCTGAGACTGCGCCTTAGCTGATAGCTTCACTGACCCGGCTTCACGGAGCCTATCGATGTCTTGATCGGATGTAGTCACGTCGATCCAGGAGTTTTGTCCGGTTCGTCCGGGAAACTGACGAGAAAGGAGCAGTAGAAACTTTGGACGGTGTGATCAAGCATACGTCAGCATGATAGGCGATCTTCGAATTTAGGGGTTCAAGCTTAAGGAGGACTGGTGGAGGTGATGTTCTTGTTCCAGGAGAGATGCGAATCGCGGGCGACTAGTATTGGGCTATGGGCGGACTCGGGCGCGGATCAACGGCAGGGAGACAAGGCGCGGACGAAAAATGGGGAATGTCGAACAGCCGCGACCATCAGCTTAGGTAGGTCTAGTTTGATTAATGAAGGTCGGTCTCAATTGACCTCGACGCGGTCGAGGTGAAATCCATGGTTGATGGAGGAATGGCGATCGTCGATGGAGGCACTCGGTTGGGCAAGCGGTGGCAGAATCGAGAAATTACGTTGCGCATCGCTATAAATAACCCGTCCACGAGTCATTGTACCGAGTATATCGATAAGGATGAAGAGATACTTCTGAGGTTTATTAGCAGTATCTCCTCCTCAGTAAAGATTGCAGCTATGGTGAAAGTAGATTTTTTGGGTGATTTTGTTTGCTCTGGTTTGGGTCCAGGTCAAGCAGCAGGGCTGTGAGATATAGTTTAAGTTCTGTAGCAGGAGCAGCAAGAGCACGGCTCTCGAAGAGTTCTTAATCGAAGAATGGTGTATCAAGGCTCCGAGTTAAGTTAAGTCCTATATCCGACAAATTGCTTCGACCGAGAGACGCTGAAGCATTCACCTTTCGTCAGTAAGAAATGCACCAGATTGCCCCTAAACAGCAACAGACCAGAATGCCGGTTCCCACTAAGCCGAGTTGGGGGCTGCACATCCTCAACTCCTCGACTCCCCAGCAAGTCAACCATGGGAGGAATCTATCTCCAGTGGAGATTGTGAAATGGAGCGGAGTCTGTTGCTAGAGACAACTTCAGACTGAACGAATACAGAGTCTCCAAAGCCACTGCAGAGTTTCGCTCCACCCCCTTCCACCCATTCACTAAAGACACTAACAAGTTTAATCTCCGGCGTCAGCACCTCCTAACGGCGGATGATGCCGCAACGATCGTCGATTCTGTCCTTCACTGCCCGTCCCACCTTTCCAGCTCCCAGAGCATCCTAGGATGAGTCTGATGGACTCGCGTGATAAATCCCTTATTCTTCGTCAAGTCAAAATGTGCCATTAAACCACCGCAACTTCTTTTTGCTCTTGTACATAGGCTCTACCTGACCACCTTTGTCAGAACACGATTGCTGTCTGCTTGATCTATCATCCATGGGACCCCGCACCCCAGGCCACCTCCACTCGGCTTGTCTGAGCTTGTTCGCGTTTACCTCTCCTCCGGCCCACGATTTCTGGCCGTTCTTGTGATGGAGCCTTTGTCGACAGTGCAGGCGCGTAAAGCGCCGCCGGTCTCCGCCGCAGCTCCGCGGAAGCGACGGAAGCGAACGGTCATCAGCCAGGCGGCCGATGACTGCTTCACTTGTGCTCGACAGGCGATTCAATGCGACAGGAGACGCCCATACTGCTCCCCATGCTTAGAGAATGGTCGCGACTGTGCAGGCTATAAGACGACCTTGACTTGGGGGGTGGGGGTGGCCAGCCGGGGAAAGCTTCGAGGACTATCTCTGCCCGTGACCGGAGCACAGCCAGCTGCAGCCGCGTCGCAGTCTCGGGCCACCACGACTCCAAAATCACCACATCCAACGCAGTCAATAGAGTCGGTCATATCGAAATGCTCATCTGCCCGTCAAAAATCCAAATCGCCAGCCAAGCTTTCGGGGACCTGTCATACACCTTCTGATCAGCGAGCACGGCCTGAGCTGGACGAAGCTGCAGATCATCTGCGGACAGTATCAAATCCGGTTCCCTCTGAAATCCAAACCAATGGTTCATTTTCCGCCTCAGAATCAACACCTGTGTCTTCGTGCCACCGCGCGGCACCTGCTTCTGCGGGATGGACTATGCCGGTGTGGCCAGCCTCGATACAGCCTTCGAGACCAGTCTCAAAGACCGAAGACGATTTGATGAAAGAGGAAGAGAGTGTAGAGGACATGGAAGAAAGTGACCAGAATAGGACTCCTGAAATCCCGAGATATCATGCGCCATCCTTATCCCAGCAGCTATTGGCGCGCTCGATTGGACGGACACCGCGACTGCGATTCCTGATTAGCTATTACGCGGAAGTGATCGCTCCGATGATAGTTGCCTTCGATGGGCCTACCAATCCATTTCGCACGTATGTTCTCCGGTTGGCCCAGGAAAGCGCATCGCTTCAGGAAGCCATTGCAACTTTGTCTCTGTGCAACATGCGCCAGAGGCGGGAACGGGGCACAAGGTCGACCGAGCGAACTCTGCCCGCACGAATGTCATCCTTGGCTCACCAAGCTTTGACGGATGCATCGTTGAGCGGTCTGTCTGGTACTGATGTTATCACAGCTTTAGCACAGGAAGAGCATTTTCATAGAAGTGTAGCGGTCAAGGCCTTGAACGGCGAACTGGCTGACCCGCGTCAGCGGTTGTCGGATTCGGTACTCGCGACTTTACTCGTCCTATGCCTCTTTCATGGGTGTGATACGGGGGTCGCGCAATTCAAGACCCAATTCGCTGGCGTGACCAAGTTGCTGGCTATTCGACTGTGCAACGGCAGCACCCATGTGACTGAAGAACTGAAGTGGTTCATTCGCATGTTTACCTGGCTCGATACCATGACCGCCACTACGAACGACCGGGATGTCCAGCTTCGTGGGGCCTGTCTGGACATTACCGCGATCTCTGACGGGGATTGGGGACTTGAGACCCTGGCCGGATGTGATGCCTCTCTGTTCAAACTCATTGCGCAACTCGGTCGCCTGAATCTTCTCAGTCGAGACCAAGATACCCAGACCCCGGCAGTCTCAGACGTTCATGCCCCGTCGACCACCGTTCCTCCCCAGCTCGCATACTATTCGACGGGCGCACCGGGTATGCTTTCAGAGTCGGGTATGTTGCCGATATTCGCACCTCCGCAGCCGGGCGAGAGTAGCGCAGCTCCATTCTCCCCCACGTTCTGGCTTGAATGGCACTGTTTGCGGCAGAAACTCGAATCGTGGCGCTTTGACTTGGGTCGGCGGCAGTCAGGGTCTTCCTATAATGGGACGTACATTTCGCCACCGTCCTCTCCACTGAGCCAGTCCGGAATTGCGCCGCAGCATCTGGAGGAAGTGATTCACATCTCTGAGTCATTTCGCCACGCAGCGATTCTCTATAGCGAGCGACTTGCTCATCCAGATCTGCCGTCGAGCCATTCTCGTATCCAGCATATTGTGCAACGCACATTGACTCACATCCTGGCTGTCCAGTGCGATGCGTACCTCCTGTGGCCGCTGTTCATCACAGGCTCCGAGTGCGTGCTGTCCAGCCACCGGGCGATCATCCGGGAGCGGTGTCTGTATCTCTCCAAGGACTCCGGATTCATCAACAACCTGACCTGCTTGGAGCTTCTGGAGAAGATATGGGCGGGACATCCTCCCGCATCCGCGGACGGGGATCCCTGCAACCGCGGCGCCGCAGCCGGTCTCGGGAACAGACACATGAAGCCCACCGCGAGCGCGGCGGACGATGCAAACTCGGGCGCCCTGGGCGACGGGCATGGACTTTCTACAGAGACATTCACTACCCCATCGCGCGGACAGGGATTCCGGTGGCACCAGGTGATGCAGGACAAACGGGCAGAAGTCGAGTACATGATCGTATAATGAATGAGGGGGATGTGTACATAGATGTGCGGGGGCAGTCCTTGCTGCCGATCAACCGCTTGGCTTGATGGATGGGGGACATGGATATGGCTTAATGATGGAAACGGTCTCGGTGTATAGCTCAATGATTGGGAGTTGTGTACATACGATACCTACAAAGTACCCATAAATACGATGCGGGTATGTTTTGGATGCTGTCAATGCGGATGACCGACAACTTGCCAACATCCATGTTGTAATGTTTTCTGATTGCGTAGCCTGTCCCACTGCCCCCAAGCAAACGAAAGAGGACCGTCCACTCCGACAGTCCCGAGAGAATTTCAGGGTCGGATGTCTCAAGTTGATGATTCCCGCGTACCTCCCAGTGTACTTTCCAGTTTACTTCCCAGTGTACCTCCCAGGAGTGCAAACTACGTAGGTACAAAGCAGTGACTACTTACTTACCAGGTACACCAAGTATCTGGTACCTACAGTAGTTACAGTAAGCACTAAGGTACAGACCTCCCTCAGTGTGCTCCCACTGTAAGATGGACAATTCGGTTTGATTACCAGGGCTACTTAGTTGTAACCCGGACATGTTCTATCTGTTACTACCTTGGTCTCCGAGCGGCCTGACCTGGCTCAATCTCTTTCTCCCCCAACAGGTCGAAGTTTCGTTCTCGTCCAGTTCTCCAATTCTCCTTCGTCCCGAATTGCTTGTTGATAGAGGTTATAAAAGATGATTTAAATACCAATCATCAGATTCATAAGTTTAAACAATGTATGGTAGAAAGTATCATTAGTAAGTAATAGTAGTTATAACTGATATAAAATTTATCTATTACTTGTAGTAGGAGGGTATCTACACGGTTTACTCACGCTGTCCAATTGGTATGGCGGCTGGCGCACACGAGGCTGTCATACCTGAGTAAAAGGGATTAGAACCGGGGGAGGGGGAAAGGTTGTTTTGGCAGAAATCCGCGCTTGATACATATGGGATTTTATAGACATACCTTGTGGACAACTTTCAGGTGGCCCTATATTCGTGATCTTGACTGTCACAAATGTTTAATTGGGGTCCTTTGTATCGTGTAAACCCACCAAAATAAGGTCAGTCACTTAGTGGAGATAAGTACTGTATGTACATGGCTCTAATTGCTATCATCGCTGTCTTCTATGACACACCTGAGTTCAGAACCAAATGCTGCACAATGGATGGGAGGAAAGAGAATGATGGGAAGAGTCCTCTGATAATGAACGCCCAGGTAAACCAGCTAAAGGGATACGGACACGGGATCTGGTACGAGAAGAAAGATTGAGCCAGCAGTAATTAAGTACTGATAGACCCTTTTGCTTGATCGTGCGAGTCGCGATCAACCGCTGATGTTGAGGGCTATATTTAAGGATCAAATGGATGTTATGCACAACATTATACGGAGACGCCCAGAATGATCATTGAGGGGCATTTTATATACATTACAATGAGCAGCAAGTGCCTTTGAGAAAGAGGCATTCCTTAATGCGGCTGCTTATTTCCAAGCCCACCACTAGACATCTTGATTTTATGGGGGCCTAATCACTGAAACATGGAGCTCGTGCACAATGCGGTCTTTTTAAAGGTCTGGACAAGGCAATCAAGGTAGGGCTATAGGAATAGCTTCTGTAAAGCGTACGAGACGTTGTTCCTGATTCGCGGGAAGAAAAGTATTGGGCTAGTATGGATAGACATGGGAAGAGACAGTGAATAGTTGTATTGTGCAGATTGCCCCAGCTGAATTCCACGACGACTGCCGCTGTTTCTCGCGCTGTTGCTGCGAGAACATGCAGGAGGATGAGGTGGTCTGGCCGTACAGCAAGTACTAAGAGATACTACTGCGCGTGGCCCCGGGGCGGCGGCTAATAGTGTAGGGCCTGACATCGTATCTGCTGTAGAAGTTTTGACCATGCGATGTGATGAAAGGGTTGTTTGGAGGCGTGGCCAAAGGGATGTATCTGGGTCGTCTGAGTAGTGGGTATAGTTTTGTACCAATGTGAAGAAGTGATGATAATGATGGTGATGATTACTAGTAGTTCATCCGCGTATCCAGATGCTCCTGCAGCTTGACTCACAGCAGTCAGTGTGTGGACCTGGCGGGGTCTCAAACTACTAAGCTGTGTATATAAATCTTGAGATCCTACCATGCATGAGTGTTGATGTAGTCTATAGTGGGTAGTAGTATATATCCGACTCTGAGGAATTATACCTTTCAAGAATTACATGTACACATGTAGCCTACTGGATTTTCTCGTGATAAGTATAGACATGGTCTAACAGTTATTTATAGTCTTTTACTACAAGTTCATCAGTATTTTATCTTCAAGGTTAAATTAACCCGGGATATATATTCATCTATAGCTGAGTGCCCCGCCCTGGGTCTCGAGCCATCGAAGCACCTCGTTCAAGACTTCTAACTTAGTTATTTTAGCGGATGATTAAGCTGACTGACTGACCAACTGCTACCCCGCAAGCCCACAAGCCACTCAGAAGCCCATATCAAGAGGTCTCCAGGGCCAACGCTGCCTTCGTTTGCAACGCCAGGCCCGGCTCTGGTTAGTAGACGTGTGGGTTGGTTGGTTGGTTGGTTGGTCGGATTAGATTTGGGACTACTGTATGTGCACTACTCGAGCTACAGCAACCCCTTTGAATATACTTTCTCGGGAATTGAGGATGGGGAACCGGACGGGTATCTTAGCCTCGCTGAGTGGGTTGTGATTGGGGCTTTTCGTTGGCGAGATAGTGTCTATTGCATTGGGGTGCATGGGGCCGCATGGTGCAGTTGGCGAGAGATTTAGTCTGGCTTTTTCGGTTGGCTGGGTCTGCAGGTGGCTGGGTTGCTGTGCCAGTTCTGCTGTGCCGTGGTGAGGTGTCCATCCAGATGGGAAACATGCCGTGCAGACCGAGGATGAATACCTACCAAGGTACTCCGTACCTAGTATCATGGGCAGCAACTAGGGCTCAGAGTAATAGCATCCGTATGTCACGCACACAGTGCCAATGTGATGTTTCTGTACGGAGTACGGAGTTATTGTTTTGGTGCTTAAATTCCAGTCGCGAGGTCGCGCATGGGATCGGCATGTGACCAGGAAATGAATGAAGTAAACACGACAGATCCGCTTGGAACCCGGAAATTGCGGTTGTCGATGCGAGAGGTAGTCGGTCGACTGCAGAGGCGATCTGTACACATCTCAGTGAGGGTACAGACACAGCTGATGGCGTTGATTGATTTCTGGCCAGTCAGATTGACAGTCCAATCATGAATAAGAGGTTGGCAAGTGCAACGCTGAGTACGACGGAGGGTCGCAAGATGATAGCTTGAGTGCTGGTACCATGGCGGTGTATTGTATATACCTTACCGTACAGACATACTCCAACAGACGCTGTAGACAACAAACACCACAACACAATATCCCTACGAGTAGCAGTCTAGACCATCGGCTCCGAAAGAAAACAAGCAAGGGACGGTGAAAAACTCTGCCAGTGGAGACCCGGGCTGTGTGTGGAGTAAGTGGAAAAAAAACTTTCTCGTACTTAATTTGTCTTGACTCTTGGATCTGTGCCGTGTTCTTTCTTTCCAGAGCACTTCTATTTTCAGTCTGTGCTTTGATTAGATACACAGAGAGAGGGCTGCTGAATGGTGGGAGTAGCGCATCGCGCGAAGAGAGTGACGGACATTGCAGGTCACACATTATCCCACACCTATGATTTCACCCCTGCCCAATATCAAGCGGCAGTAGGTCTATCGCAGGCGCTAGTCTCGTTGGGGCGTCATCAGCCATCAGCCATCTTGAGGAGGGAAGTCCAAAGGCATACTAAGAGACCGTTACTATCTGCCAGTGTCTGGTAAGTTATGGAGTACGGAGACTCGGAATATACTCCATACTCCATAGATCAGCTTTGCGCCCACCGGGGACCCTCATCCCGCGCCCGCGTCTCCGTTGCCCGTCCAATGGGTGGAGCATTTACGCGATGGCGTCTATTGACTCTGATAGCGAGGAGTACATAAATATTGGCACAAGCGAGAACAGAGGCAGACATTACTTTCTAACTAGTTAAGTTAACTACCGTACTCATGTACTTTCGTAACTCGACATCAGACGTCACCACGTAACTATGACCTTGGACCCCGAGCGCCATGTGCAACCGACTCGAGGGCAGAAAACGGCAGCCTATCTGCCAGGGGTTGTCGGACCTCACTGGCTGCGCAACTCCGATTGCGTAGCCAGAGTCTTAGCAGTCCTGCTTATTGCTTATTGGGTAGGTTCTGAGCCAGTCGGGACTAACTACGATGTAGATTAATCGTAGTCATTATGCCATGGTCTTGATGAGTCTGTGACCCTCGTTTGCCATTAGCCCTATCACATTCGCGCTATGGCCAGGCCTGTAAGAAATCGAGACTGTCCTCCATACTCAGCATACCTACTGTGGTAGGCACACTTGCTCCGGCCTCAACTCAGATATCTTTTCCCCACCGAACATGCCAAATAAAACAGGGAACTCAGGGATCTGCCCGGTCGGAGAATTACCTGGCAAAGCGAAAAAAAAACACATAAAAAAAGAGAGAAAAAAAGAAACCAACCTCTTTTTTAGACTCCCGCGCTCAACTGTGCAAATTGCGGTCTGTCCAACCGGGGAGCCAGGGTGTGGTTTGCTGCCCAGCTGGTGGGCGGCGGTAACGCCCATTCTATCGATTGCCCAACAACTTAACTCAACTCCTCCCACTAGGCTGAGTTCGCGTGCTCGTGGCCACAACAGGAGATATCCATGCCATTTGGTTCCACTGGGCTGGTAATGCCTGCCTACGGAGTACTGCCTACTGCCTTAGTTAGTACTGCCTATCTACCTGGCTGTCCATCGGTCTGATATCTGGTTTGACGGGCACATCCGCACTGCTGTCCATGGAACCAAATCACGATAAGAGAACGTCTTACAGTAGTGCCTCCGGACTATCTCTGTTTGCAGCCAAGTACTGGCTGGTCCCGCGAGGTCGTACTTTCGACCTTTGGGCGATGATTCGCTCTGATTTTATCGACTGTGACACCAAGTCAGAGAAAGATTTACTCGGAGTATGGTTGTGCGGCAGCGCCATCTTCGCCACAAGCTGGCTTGCGACCCTTGAATGAAGAAGCCTTGGGGCTGACGCTGGTTATTATTATCAACGCTGACTCGAAGACTGAGCCACCCGTGGCAATGTGATTCATGACTCATTGGCATACCAGGCGACCGAATGAAGGACTGTCATCTAGGGATCGGCTTGTCCCCCAAACCTCCGTCGCGTTTTTTTCCCTGCAGCCTCCAACGGTAGGGTACATCCGGATGCCATGCGGGACATCCCCAGCCATGCTGGACGAAGCGCCTGGCCAATGACACATGGCGTGACTCTTATCAATGACGGTGATGAGGTGCGAACATCTCATTGTTCGCCATGTACGGGCCATGTTGACGCGGATGAGTGGAGGGGCAACTTCTTGTTCTTCCTTCGGCCTGTTTCAGAGCATGCCCAAAGATGCTGTAGTATGGAGGGAGGAGTTGTTCAGATGACTCTGTCCGACAGGGTGTGAGGATGAGTAAGAAAGACAGAGCAATGTGGGCGGCAATTCTGCGCATCTCATTCATGCATTTCACTCTCCCCTCTTTTAAGGTGGGTGTTTACTATATAAAGCGAGTAGTTAGGCCCCCTCCCCCCTCCACCAGATCACCTGGGTCGCTTACTGGAAAAGAAAATTGTAGTGGTGATGACGCTGGAAGTGAGCTGGTAAAGGGTGATCAGCTCCTCTCCTCATAGCCGCAATTTCAAAAGGGGTTCCTCTCCCAAAAATTCCTCCATTCCCTCCCTTTGTTGTTTTTCTTCCCGCTTGGGGAGAGAGAGTTTTTGGGCCTGAAACGCGCCCAAGGCAGCCATCCCTCCCTCCCCTTCGATTTGAATACGGTATTGTAAAGCAGTGACCATACGGGAAACAAACTGCATCACCCCCAAGCGAGACTAAGAACTACTAGTGGCTCCGCCGCAGGAAATTACCACCAGTGCATTAGCCCCCACTTTGCAATTCAGTGCAAATCCACCCTTGCAAATCTGTCCCGTGGTTACAAAACCGGTTGTCTCCTCCACCACTACCAGACTTACCACTACTTACAAAACTTACTCTCCCCTGGACTCCATTCGTGTCTGGGTTCAACCTCATCCATATCTACAACTCAATAATCATAATTGCCCTCATCGACCTGGGTGCATGTGTGAAGATTAAGCGATCAGCCGGAATTTGAAACCGCAGCCATCGCTTGCTCGCCACTCTGGTCGAGTCTTCTAGCCATCACAGGGTGCTTCTCTGCATAGCCGCCTTCAACAATTTCACCTGTCCAACGTTCGGTGGAGCGACGACGTTCAAATGCACTCTCAGCACATACAGCTTCATCCCTCCTCTCCCCTAGAAACCGCACCACGGTGACGGTTCCCTCCTCATCAATCTTCCCGATTTCGTTGTCCTCTGCCTCGGCGTCGATCGGCTTCTTACTACGATATCCTGTATACTATATCTGGGTTGTGCTGTTTTTATTTGTGCATTTGACTTGCTGCGACCGGGAGACTCCTCTCACAGTTAAAAGTTTTCGTCCGCGACCTGTTTTGTTTGCCAGCGTGACTCCGATTTCTATGCTCGATTCTCGATAATGTATCACTACACCACTCCACCCCCCGGGTGGTCCTACGACTACATGACCTCTCCTCCCACGTCTCCCCACTACGCTTACTACGCCTCGCCATACGCCAACGCCTACGGCGGCTCCCCGCAGGGTCCCTCGAAGCGCCACAACCGCAAAGCCAGCTACGCCGGCCCCAAGGAATCGGCCGGATGGTATGCTGGGTATGGGCAAGGGTTCTACGACGCGATGCCAGAGCATGGTACGCCACCGCGCAAGCACGATCCAGTAAGTGCTTCTTTTGGTGGCTATTCTCGTCGTCGCAGCACTATGTCCGGGGCCCCTGCGGCGGGCCCGGGGGAACACCCCGGGGCCCACCCGTCGCACAAGCGGCCCATCTTTGTGGATATGGTTGACGATGGGTCCGATGTTGATGCGCCGCAATACGTCTTTCGGGAGGGATCCAGTCCTCGTCGCAGACCGTCGACGTCTCACCGCAAGCCCAAGCCACCCACTGATCAATACTTCTACTATAACCAGGTGCCTGCCCACGAAGACGCTGATGCGGCCAAACGAGCTCGGGCGCGCCGCCAATCCACCTCCACCCGGACACCCAACAAACCCAAGCCGTCCGCGCCCAGCTCCAAGCCATCACCCAAAGCCACCGAAGCCGATGCTGCTCGGTTAGGCATCCCTCCGGGCTATTCGATCAAGAACTGGGATCCGACGGAGATGCCGATCATTCTTCTTGGCAGTGTATTTGACGCGAACTCTCTGGGCAAGTGGATCTACGACTGGACCGTATTCACGCATGGCGCCTCGACGCCCATGGCTGACGTGGCGGGCGATCTCTGGCTGCTGATGATCAAATTGGCCGGCAAGGTGAAAAGGGCCAAAGAATGTCGTCCCCGCATCCGGCGTCAAGAAGCGCATGAAGTGGTGGTAGATTTCCTGCAAAGTGGCGAACGCCTTTGGGTACGGTTCAAGAAGCTGCTCAAGACGTGCGAGCAGTTCATGTGGAAGGCCGCCAAGCGCGAAGGTGGCAAGGGCTCCGTATCGATGGGCCGCAATGCCGGCTGTGAATTCGTTGAGACGATCTTTGGCCGCGACCGCGAGCTGGAAAGCACGGAGAAGCTGATGAACAGCATTCGTCTGTGGAGCATGCGATTTGACGCCAACTGCGAAGAGATCCTCCGCCGCCCCTCAGCGGCCTAAACTTCTTCTTGATTTCGACATATCAAAAGTAATCTTTGTCTTCATCTGGTTTGGTTCTGCGACATTTACATGGGAGCTTTTGACAGCACAAGCTGCGTTGCGCAGGGATTCCAGGAATACATCTGCCGTTTTGCTGACACACTGCCTGGATTCGTTGCTTGTCGGCTTGCATTTCAGCGCGTTCGGTCTGACTCCATCTTATTGGTGCATCATCAGGGGGACCAGTCCCGTCCATCATTTTCAGCGCGATGGTTGTTCTTGGTTTACAATTGAAGTTTTGGTTTTGGTTGCGACTAATCATTTCTTGATGTCTGGTCTCGATTCTGGGCTGGGGATTTTGAGTTCCTTGGGCGTGCCTTGTTCAGTTTCACACGGCGTAACCTGCATTCCTTTGCTTGGCTGCTGCGATTTCTGCGGGCTTTTTTTTTTCTCTTCTGTCGGTCTTTTTGATGATACCATTCTGCGATCACTGTTTCGCCCCGGGACTGCTGGTTGAATCATTCTTTTTTTTTTTTTCTCTGTTGTGGGTTGGGATAGACACCAATGCCTAGTTAGTATTTACCATTCTTTCTCGATAGACATACAATATACCGAGTCATACACAAAACACAGAAACTGTCGTACCAATAATGGTGCTGTCCGGTATGTTTTGGAGTAGTCGCTTACGTCTACTACTATGTAATCAATGACTAGCCAGATTATGCATGTGACTCCTACCCGGCTGTGGCTGTGTTCTGCTCCTGCGCTTAGCCACTTCTCCTGCAGCCACCATTCAGCCCTTCAGCCCTGCAGCCCTGTTCATCTGACATCATGCAAGCCAGTACCCTGAGAGCTTTGACCAAGCCGTCCAATACTGTCTATGTAGTACACTCAGAAAGAGGTCCTTACATAACAGGGGTTTTCCCTCCCCCTAGTGACTCGGATTTACTTAGGACCTGGTTGGCATCACCTCACACCTGCAGCCCCATAGCAAAATCAATAGGCCAAGCCAGAATGACGGTTTTGAAGCCCAGGTTTTCTAGAAAGAAAAATGTAGGATGATTTTGTTACTCATGGTAAGGATAATGACCGAGTAGGAGAAAAAAAGGCACCTAGGCTGGCATGTGGATGTGATGTGATATGATGTGATGTGGTATGCTGGGGTGGAAACTCCCAACCTGCATAAGGAATGTAGATTACATTGTGCATTGTGCATTGTGCTTCCAGCCATGTGGTCAGGAAGTACGTACCCTATCGTGTATGTACTAGCCAGCAGAAGAAGAGGTAAAATCAGAAACCCTTCAGTACTATACTGACTCTATAGTACCAGGGACAAAGTTCCATGTCATGTAAGTAAGGTCCTAGGGAGCACCTATCGTCACTCCAGGCGCCCTTAGGGCTGGACAATGGATTAGCTCTGACAGATGACGTTCCCTGCAGGATGCCATTATCGAGTCCGTTATGTACCGGGGGGATTGATATGGCCGACATACCGACACCGAAGTCGATCAGTCTGATAGGGAGGTTCTCTGTTCCTGATGGGACAAGAGGAGTTGAAATAACCTCTCGAAGAGGACAGAAACACCAGGTTGAGAACTTGTTTGTGCGGGAACTTTGGATAGATAATGGGATAGGGATATAGTACTGTTTGAATCTTCCAGCTTTTAAAGTATATTTGTTGGCTTCATATCTGTGAACAAAGCAAGAGCAGTCAGCAATAGTCCGGCTATTCTGTGACTGGGCGAGAAGTAACACGCTTTAGTGGTGTTGGTTGAGAGGATCCCCTAAGGAACTTCCCGACTTGTGACCGAACTTGGGCGAGGGACGTTTTGATTAGACTCGTTGTCTACTATGTAAAACTGTTGTTTAGTATCATTGATAAACAGCCTCATACCTAGTACCTACCCAATAATAAGAGATATACTTATAATCATGGAACCCGCACCAATAAAGGTAAATTAAAAGGCTGAGAGCTGCAATAATCAAGTCAAAAATTCTATCATCTAATCTAACCACATCTATCTATTTCTCCCCCACCACAGCAATTAACATGATCACTCCTCTAATTCTTCGTCTCCCCCTTCCAAGCAAGCCACCCCAGCCCAATCAGCAACTTCACCCCAGCCGCCATCCACAGGGCCGACTCCATCCCGCCCGAAGTCTTGCTCAACCAACCCCCCGCAATCGCTCCGATCAGCAAGAACACCACCCCGCCGATCCGCCGATTGCGCTTCACATTCCCAGTAGGCACCTGCAACAACTTAGGATCTGACGCAACATCAAAGTACACGCTGGTCAGCACAACGGTGGGGATCTCGTTGTACCCCAGGGCGCGCGACGAGGTAATCGACCCGGCCGACTGGAACGCCAGCAGCGCGATGGGGATCAATTCCAGAAACAGCCGGCCGCCCGTCAGCTTGGAGTCCGTGGAGGTGTGCGGAATCAGGTCGGCCTCGATGATCGCCACCGCGATGATGATCAGGATCGTCTGTGCCAGGAAAGAGAGCACCAGCGTGCCCCGCGCGCGGTTGCCGGCGCGCCGCGTCAGGTTGGCGAAGACCAGCGCCCCGATGAAGAACGAGCCGATGCTCATTAGGGATTTGAGCCAGCCCCAGGGTTTATTGGCTGGTTGATTGGAGGCGCCCAGGCCTAGGAAGATGGTGTTGCCTGTTGTGATGTGAGGGGATTGGTTAGTAGTCTTGCATTGTAGGTGGAGTGGGGGTGGTTTTATGGTGTTGAAGGTTTGCGATAAGAGGGGGGAGAAGACAAAGGGGAATGATAACGTACCGGTTTGCATGGCTAAGAAACAAGACCAGGCGTTGTAGGCGCTACTGTCGCAGAGACCGGTGGTGAAGCACAACAACAGACAGATGAGGTCGGTGTGCTTGGGATCGACATTCTGAGTCCAGCGCTGAGAGAAAGTGAGTTCCTTCTTCTGAGGCTCGGGATTGGAGGCTTCTAGATCACTGCCTTCGGGGCTGGGCAGGGCAGAGTGTTTCTCAGACATCATGGTGGGTGGTTGTGTTGGTGATGTTGCTGATACCACCAACTGATATAGGAGGACAAAGGGAGGGGGTAGGGATGACTGTAGGTCAGTTTTGTCTGCACGAACCCGCCACCGGGAAGCCTGGGGAGTTGATCGAATTTATCACGACTGCTGTTACGCCGGCCTCGGGAGAAAATGCGAAGAGTAAAAAGGCCGAGGCTGACACGCAGCAAAGGTGAAAAGTGAAAAGTGTTGAAGATCGTCACTCGGCGCACAATGACTAGTTACATCTTGGCTAAATGATAAGACCCCCCGGATTGGTCTCTTCCCTGCCTTCACACCGAATGCCACCCAAGCTCCGGGCGAGTCGTCCAGATTGCGCCATCCCATTAGCCATCAGTGCACTACAGTAGACGCTGTCTGCTCGGCGCCGCTTTGTAGTTATGTGAGATGAGTCAAATAGCCGGCAGAGGAGGGCGAGAGAGAGAGAGAGAGAGGAGAGAATCCTGCCAGTGACTCCCTGATCTACCCGGTCGGATAGGGCTGAAAGTGGATGATGCCAGCAGTCGCTGGACTGGACCTCATGCGAGAGCAGGATGCAAGCTGACTGAAGTGAGCAGAGAGTCTCGATAATCTGGATTTCTTCATTGAGTTCTCACCTCGTCCCACTTCATTCCACCAAGACTTCCACCCCTATCGAGGGGAGGCAATCCGGTGTGAATACTCGGAGCATTCTGGTCTGCCGACAGCGATAGTCTCTTCTAACTTAGTCCCTCTCCGCATGTATCAGCATCCGATCGCCAATTATCGCTTATTGCTTCTGCACGGCCTGCAGATTGACCCCAGATAGCCCTATTCTCGGATCTGTTTCGTCTGTCTGTCTGTTTTTCCTTCTCTTCTTTTTTATCACCTTCTCTCCCCCTCCTTCCTTCGAGGGGTTCCCGCATTCTTGGCTGCTTATCGTGATTATGCCTGGTGACATCCGTTGGTCCCTCCCGACCCTATCTATTCTCTCCTTTGTCACGTTGGAACTGTCAGCCATATGGCATGGACTCAACCGTGGATGCGTGGTTGAAAGAAAAAAGAGGGAAGTGATCCGTGGAACAGGAGCTGAACTGACAACCGAACCGTCGGACTGTCGTGGCCAGCCCGAGGCTGCAGCCAATGCCTCTCATCGTCGACTCGCCTCATGACCTCACCAATTTGCGGGGAGCAATCAGCTTCACAACCACTGCATGCGCTACCTTTCTAACAGTCCCAGCGTCATTAACGCATCATCTGTGCCACCGTCGGTCATATAACCCCCCTCTGTGCCTCTTACGGACGATCGCTTCGAAGCCATCACAGTTATTCTGGAGCCAACAATAACAACAAACAACTGTATCTTCACTGGTACGCTGTTGTCCCTCCTATCTCAGGAGTGCTTGGTCGGCGATCTACGAGTTACGATGTATACGACTAATAGTAGCAGAATCACTTTCCACTATGCAGTCCTCAAAAGCTCAGACAACCTCGCGCATGTCGCAGAACACGGAGAGTAAGGCCGGCTCGAAGAAAGAGGACCCCACTGCTAAATGGAGTCCCGAGGAAATATTTGAGACCACCATGGATCGTGACGGCAACCCTGTGCCCGACCCCATCTCCTACGTCGACGGTGCGAGGATGGGCAAGTCGGCCAAAGGCGGCCAAGCGGAAGGCCAGGATGAAGGCGACATGTTTGCCGCAGCCAACGATGACTTTGACTGAGTCGGGGATTTGAATCGGGACTGTTCTGATGATTGTCAGTCCATGACGCAGTCGACTACATATTAGTGACTGCATCAGCCTTATGTTATTCTAATTCTTAAGACATGTGAAAAACGAACTGAAAATGATGTACCTCTTGCGATAGTGATAATTGAAACGTCGAACCTTGAAACAAACTGGGGCTCTTCTTTCGACCCACTGTAACACAATGGAATCAAGCTGGCTTGATCCACTTTGGTTGGTCTCATCGCCTGGTCCTTGAGCAAGACTTGATCTTGGGAAGGAATTGCTATGGCAACGGCAGCCGGGGAGATTGCCTTGTCGCGGCCTCAGGCTGCAGACTAGTCCCCATCGGGCAATCCCCAAACGAGGCCCGGGCCTCTCCATATCGCGGCATTCCCATCATCGCTCATACTGTCGTTCAATTGTCTCTCCTTGTCGGTGCTGTGCATCGCTCTCTCCAGAGGGCGTGTGTCTTGCTTCGACCTCCTTGCGTTCTGTGCTGCGTGTTTCTCTCTTTGACTTTCCATCGCAGAGATCTCCCACATTTCTATCTTGACCTGTTTACAACCAACTCCCGTTTCATAGTAGCTATCCATGCCACCGGCCGATGATTGTTGATTACACCCAAGCGGCAATTGATTGACAACGACAAACCCCATTCAGCCCCCTGGAGGATCGCACCTGCTATTGGATCCAAGGTACCTGGATCTCCCTGCCCACGGGAAAGGACAACCACCCGGTGCACGGGGGGCCACCACGAAGCTAGCAGCGACGACCTGCCCGCGGTTGTCTTGTTTGGCCCTGCCCGTATGTATCATCATCTCTTGCAACGCCGGCGCGAGCACCTCACTCAGCTTGTACAGTTTCTACTCGACGACAGCCTCAAGATGGCCCTAGATCCCCGGGTTTACCACCATCTCGGCTACGGCCTCGGGCCCAGCTCCCCGTCTTCGGTCACGTCATCCGCCATGTCCGCCATCACAGGTATCAGCAGCCCTCCCTCTCACGCGATGACCGCATCTGCCGCCATGCTACGATCGACCGCTTCAAGTCCCTCGCTGCGCGCTCGTGGAAGTGCGCCCGTCGCCGCTCGTCGAGTTGATGGCCTCTCCAGTCCCTCACCCGGGGGTAACGTCCGTGTTGTCGTCCGAGTGCGCACGTTTCTGCCAAGAGGTATGTCCATATCCGTGAAGTGAGGCGGCGCTGCAGAAGGCTAATCGTGGGCTGGCTCTGACCCATGAAATCAGAAATTGAACGCAAAGCTCAATGTTTGATCTCCATGGATCCGCACACCCAGACAACCAAGCTACGGGCACCTCGAATACACCCGGATGAGGACGGAAAGCCCAAATTGCAGGCGCGCGGAAAGGTGCAAGAGGACAAGTCGTTTGTGTTTGACAACTCGTTCTGGTCACACAACACCAAAGATGACCATTATGCGACGCAGGAGGATGTCTACAACTGCCTGGGGGAGGAGTTTCTGGACCACAACTTTGAAGGATACCACACATGTATCTTTGCGTATGGGCAGACAGGATCGGGGAAGAGTTATACCATGATGGGGACGTCGGAGCAGCCCGGCTTGATCCCGCGGACCTGTGAGGACCTGTTTCAACGAATCGAAAATGCCGAAGCCCCGGATATCAGCTACAATGTTCGTGTCTCCTACTTCGAAGTCTACAACGAGCATGTGCGCGACTTGTTGGTGCCGCGCACGGAGCCCCCGCACTACCTCCGCATCCGCGAATCGCCCACGGAAGGACCTTATGTGAAGGACTTGACGGAGGTGACGGTGAAGGACTACCAGGAAATTATGCGATTCATGCGCAAAGGAGATATGTCCCGCACGGTGGCGAGCACTAAGATGAACGATACCTCGTCGCGGTCGCATGCGGTGTTTACGATCACCCTCAAGCAGATTCACCACGACCTGTCGACCGACGAGACTACCGAGCGTACGGCACGGATCCGGCTGGTCGATCTGGCGGGATCGGAGCGAGCCAAGTCCACCGAGGCGACTGGCCAGCGCCTCCGGGAGGGATCCAATATCAATAAGTCGTTGACGACACTGGGGCGGGTAATTGCGGCCCTAGCTGATCCGCAACAAGGCCGTCCAACCAAGCGCAAGGGCAAGGATATCGTTCCGTATCGAGATTCGATCCTGACTTGGTTGCTGAAGGACAGTCTCGGTGGCAACTCAAAGACTGCAATGATCGCGTGCATCTCGCCCTCCGACTACGAGGAAACCTTGTCCACACTCCGATATGCAGACCAGGCCAAGCGGATCCGCACGCGTGCTCGGGTCAATCAGGATCACCTGTCTGCTGCGGAACGCGACAAGCAGATTGCGGAGATGGCCGAGACTATCCGCACGCTGCAGCTCAGTGTCAGCCAAGCGACCGCCAACCGGCGGGAGAACGAGATTCAAAACGAGCGGCTCGAGGAATACCAGCAAAAGGTGGAGAAACTGCAGCGGCTAATGGAGGAGACCAAGATGGTCAGCGAGTGCAAGATCCGCCAGCTGCAGACGGAGAATGAGGCTTTGCGAAACCACCTCAAACTGGCGTTGGATAGTATCCGGAACCCCATTCCGCCGGTGATTGTGCCCGAACGGCGGAGCAGCCTGTACAGTGTGAATCAACCCGATGGCTCCCCGTCAACGCACAAGCGCTACGATCGGGCCCTGTCCCCAGCACCCACATCCGAAGACGATTCGGAGGCCCACTCAATATGGAAGGAAGAAGGCACGCCAGAAAGTGATGAGAATGCGAGTCATGTGGAGGCACACCAGATGCAGGCACACATGGAAGACTTACTGGAAGACCTGAGTGTGTTCAAACGCAAACTGGCGACAGATCATGAGCGATTCCGACCAATTCAAACAGCAAAGAAAGACGGGAAGAGCCGACGAGCCTTGGGCGCCATCTGGGGGAATAATCGGTGATTTCCATTCTGGAAACCAGGCTTGGGTGGCTATTGTGGGATTTGCCAGGCGTTATGCGGATTGGTGCTGGACTAAATGGTAAGATGGTAGGGAGGAATCCGACAGCCTCCGGGTTGTTCTGCGATGTATTTGCTATTGGCGTGATGTCATTCGTTTGCTGTGTTTTTGTTTCATGGATGCCACGATGGAACGATTTGTACGTATTGGTGGGAGATCCGACGCAGATATCCGCCAGACCCCGCCACGATGAGATGTTTGATGCCCGAATGAGCTGTGAAATTTTAAAAAGGAAGTGTTGACCAGAGAAGCCTATATTGTAGAATTGTAGAATGTAGTGTGTAATGGTGACTATGCAATTCATTGCAGTGATGGAGGGTCTCTTTATCCGACGCGGAAAGCGACAGACTCGTGACTCAAGCCCTTTTCTGATTCCCCACATTCCGCTTCCCAATCCGCTCCGAAAAAGTCGCCCGCAACAACCTGATCCTCAACTCACCTGGTCGCACTTCAATGCCTGTCGCGCCGCCCGTCCTCCTTTCCTACGCTATCTCCTGTTGATGACCCCTCCAAATCTACCAGCGCAAGTCCCTGTTTCCGCAACCGCGCCGCCCACAACCACGACCACCGAGATGACGAGCTCGACTCCGACCGCGCCCTCCCCCTCACCGGCAGCAGCAGCAGCAGCTCCCGCTTCCACCCCCGCCTCTAACACATCGTCCTCTTCCAAACCCTCGAAGCAGCAGCAATCCTCTTCTCAATCACAAAAGCCAAAGCCGGCCAACAAATCCAAAGACAGCGCCTCCGCCGCTTCTGCCGGTGGTGCTGCTGCTGCTGCACCCGCCGACGGCGCAACCGCCCAACTGACCCCCGCCGAACTGAAAAAGCGAGCCAAAGCCGAAAAAGCGGCGCGTCGAGCCCGCGAACGCGCCGAACGCGAGTCCGGGGCTGCTGGAGGACCTGGCGGTGCCGGTTCCTCTGCCGGTGGTGGTGCCGGTGGCGGTGGTGCCGGATCGTCTGCCGCTGGGAAGAAAGATGGCGGATCAGCCGCGGGATCTGCTGGTGGTGGTGGATCCAGACAATTACCTCGTCGGGGCTCGGCGCAGAATGCCTCGCAGACTGGTGGCGGCAGTGTTTCCGGTGGCGGCACGGGAGGCGCGACGGGTGGGATGGATAAGAGCGGCGGTGCTGGGGAGACGAAGCATAAGAAGACTGATGACAAGAATGTGGCGGTGTTTGGGCATTTGTATGGGCAACAGAGACGGACGACGGTGGCCGGTGCGGGTAAGGAGGTGCATCCGGCTGTATTGGCGTTGGGGTTGCAGATGAGGGATTATGTGGTTTGTGGGAGTAGCGCGCGGTGTGTGGCTACGTTGTTGGCTTTTAAGAGGGTGAGTTCTCTTGACTTCTGGGGAGGAAAGGGTGTCTTTTTAGGTTGGTTGGTTGGTTGGTTCTAACGGTTGCAGGTCATCGAAGCGTACACTACGCCCTTGGGAACCTCCCTGCCCCGTCACTTGACTACCTACCTCTCCCACCAGATCACCTACTTGTCGACATGCCGTCCTCTGTCGATCAGCCAGGGTAACGCGATCCGCGCCCTCAAACTGGCCATCTCGTCCATCGACCCGTCCACCCCGGAAGCGGAGGCCAAGGCGTTTCTCGGCGAGTTCATCGACAGCTTCATCCGCGAGAAGATCACCGTGGCCGACCAGGTGATTGCCAGCAGCGCGGCGCAGAAGATCCAGGACGGCGATGTGATTGTGACGTTTGCTGGCAGCTCGATCGTGAAGCAGACGCTGCTGCTGGCGCACAAGCAGGGCAAGAAGTTCCGGGTCTCGATCATTGACTCGCGGCCGCTGTTCGAGGGCAAGAGCCTGGCGCGCGCGCTGGCCAACGCTGGCCTGGACGTGCAGTACTCCCTGATCCACGGCATCAGCCATGCGATCAAGGCGGCCAGCAAGGTGTTCCTGGGCGCGCACGCCATGACCAGTAACGGCCGGCTGTACTCGCGGGTGGGCACCGCGCTGGTGGCCATGAGCGCCAAGGAGCGCGCCGGGGGCGTCGAGGTGCCCGTCATCGTGTGCTGCGAGACGGTCAAGTTCACCGATCGCGTCGCCCTCGACAGCATCGTCGTCAACGAGATCGCCGACGCCGACGAGCTGATCACCGCCGAGCCCATGCAGCAGCTGACCGGTCTGCCCGACCCGGTGGCGGCGGCGACGGCCTCGGCGGCGGACGCGAAGAAGGGCGGCGGCAGCAAATCGGCGGCGGCGGCAGCGGCCAATGCGGCGGCCGAGTCGAACACGCTGACGCAGAACGTCTCGTCGCCGTTGACGGGTTGGAAGGAGTCGGCCAATCTGCAGCTGCTCAATATTATGTACGATGTCACGCCGGCGGAGTATGTCGATATGGTGGTCACGGAGATGGGCAGTTTGCCTCCGAGTGCGGTACCGATAGTGCATCGGATGAGTACGAATATGTAGGGCTTTTTGTTGCTGGTTTTATTGGGTCTATGTATCATGAATAGAGTAGGAAAATGTCGCTTCAATGAGTTATTGTTATGATGATGTGTATTTGCTGTGGTGGTCGGCCCGAGTTGGCTGGTCCTGTGGTAGTAGCAGTGATTGGGCATAGTGCGATGGGATCTTTAGCTGATTAGTTTTATAAAGAACCTGGATATCAAGCGGCACCTAAGATGAATCAACACACCTAGCCTCCTCTCTCTGTCTCATATCTGGCAGGAATCTCTACTCTCCATCTACTACTGCTGCTGCTGCTGCTGTTACTTCCATCTCGAAAAGAAGTACATATAGTCAGGCAGTCTGAAGATACACAGTACATCACCTCTTCTATGGATGAAATCAATCCTCGGTCACTTGTCGTCTTTCTACGCCACTAAGTTAAGGCCTACACTCCCTAGTATCAACCCATTCCTAAACCGACTTGGTGTCACCGATAACCCTCCCACTCCATCTCGCATAGGACACATCCATGTAGAAAGACACTACGCAGCAATCACAGTCGAGTCGTGTTGAGCGCCGCTATTTGCTCCTCACACACCGCGTAGATGCGCTGGCGGTTATTTGTCTTGGTGTAGGTGAACAGAACCTGCAGAGCACCAATACCGATCATAGAGGCGACGGGCAATACCTTCCGGCTTGCCTACGTGAGGTGAACAGTTGACACGGCTTCGAGGGCTGTTGTGGCGACATTCACGTAGAACGCAAGACAGTAGAGGTCCTGCATTTTGACATCTCCTTGCTTGAAGCATCGGCGGAGTATAGGCGTCAGATGGGAGGTGGAACTTGTGTGTGTGTCGTATAGTCTAGGCTTTTGTATTTCCTCCCCTGTAGTAAGTAATCTGCGAATAACTCGTTTTATGCTTTCAATCAGTAAGATTGATACAAACTCTGTGGACCAGTTCGGGCACTCGTTGAACTTTATAGAAAGAAGACGACGCTGTCGCGGATGTATTTTTTATTCGCCGATATTCATTCCATGCTGAGTGAAGAGGTTCACTGGCTGACTTTCTTCGTGTTGCTATTGTCGTATGCTGCAGCGGACTCAGGTTTTCCAATGCCTCAGCTAGTAGCAGTAATAGTGCTAGTTGGACTTACTCGGGCAGGAATAGTCTCCTCATCGGCTGCCACTGTGTCCGGTGCGAATCCTGCGATATGGGAGGGTCCTACTGTCCTAACAATGGACAGTGCTGGTCCCATCCCATAAGACTTCTTGGGTTCGAAGTTATGCCGATGTGGCCAATACCATTGGGCACAGCGTAGGAGCTGGCGTCGGATTCCAGTTCACCAAAACAGTCGGATGGAGATGGTGGAGTACCTCAAAGTATCCTTCTGAGGCTAATGTTTGTTCTGACACTTTTCACTCAACATAGGTGTTTCTAGTATATCAATGTGCCATTTAATTATTCTCTGCATCCTGCTGGGGAAGGCCACACTCGATGGGATAGCATTTGTTGAAGGTAGATCGCTGTGCTTACTTCTTCAGTCTTTAGTAAGAAGCAGCGCTAAGTCGGACTAGGCTAGTCACTGTCTCTTGTCTCCGTCCATTCATTCTTATCTCCGCCAAGCATCAACACCACCACCATCAGCGCTACAACCTCAACCACAACACCACATCGCCAACAACCACACCTCACTGCCTAAACGAACATTCATAACATTTTATCTAGCACGTTAAACAGAAGAACCAACAATCCACCTGAACCAGCTGAACCCACAACCCGCCCTCCCCAAAATGGTACCTCCCTATCCTCCTCCCCTACCCCCAAGAACAAACCAAAAAAACTAAACCACGATCAAAGAGCAAAGACTCCACCCCTCACCACATCCACATGCACCACCCGCGTCTAGCAGACTACTTCGAAGACTTCACGCGCCCGCACCACAACACCACCACCTCCCCCACCTCAATCCTGCATCTCGCCTCGTCCGCCTCCACCAACAACCTCGCTTCCTCCTCCACCAACCTCTCCTTTGCCGCCGCCGCTGCCGCTGCCGCCGCCGCCGCAGCGAACGCCAATCCGCCCGGCACTGGGACGCCGTCGTACCTCCCCATCGAGGAGATCTACGTGGCGCCGCAGTTCCAGCCGCCCAACCCGGAGGATGAGGATGATGTGGTGCCGGATCAGCATGCGGCGTTTGGGATTAGTCGGGCGATGATGATGAGGGGGTCCGGGGCGGGGGGGTTAGGGGGTGGAGATGGGGTGGGTGGTGGGGGACATGCTGGGGTTGGGGGCATTGGGTGGAGGGATTTGGGGTTGGAGGGGTTGGTGAATGCTGGTGGAAGTACTCGTGGTGGTGTTGGGGCTGGTTCTGGGGTTAGGGTCAGGGAGGAGGGGAGGAGGATGGGGGGGAGGAGGAGGGTGGTTTGTTTGCGGTGAGGTTGTGGGGTTGTATGCCAGGCTTGCGGTTTGTTTATATGGCGTTATTTCGTTTGAGGTTGGTTTTCTTCATGGGTAAGAGGGGCATAGGGTTGGCTGGGTGGGAGTCTTGATTTTGTTGGCTGGGAAATAAGCATTTGCATCGGTCATGAGCAAGGGGCATCGGAGTACGGGTCGGCCTGGGGCTATGGCTGGCTATGGCTGGGTTCGTTCATTATACCTAGGTATTCACCTTTACTATGAAATATCGGTATCAATTCCCAATAATATGGTTTATTTGCAAGCTCCATTCATAAGGCTTCTTCATGCTCGTTATATCCGGTTGATGTCCACGCGTGTCCGTTCATACAGCTTATGACTGATCTGCTTCTGGTCTCGCTCCTCGGCGCTGATCGTCCGTGGGTGGATCGCCAGCTGTGCATACGTCCCTGCCGCTCGTCGTTTCGATAACGTCCCCGGATTGATCACTGTGACACTCTCGACCACCTATCATATAGTCAGTTGGGTCACGGCAATTACCACAAGCATTATCAGAAGGGTCGTACCTTGACAAATGGCGGTAACATGCTGGGCACTATCAACACGTCCGGCCGCACATTCCACCACTCGCCTAGCTTCGAGTAGCTCACGTCCAGCATCGCCCCCGTCGCCAGCCCCGTCTCCGTCCCCGGCCGCGGAAGCATCTCTCGCGCCGTCGGGGGGAACATCGGGTGGAAGTGTCGCTGCTCGATCAGGTATTTCGGCAGTCGGCTCAGCAGGTTCCCCTCTTTCGGTTTGCCGTGCAGCACCTCCTCGCGCCGCAACTCGTATAGCACATCGTGCGAGCACATCCCGACGACCGTCTCGTTCAGCGACAGCGTCACTGGGTTCGACACCATGCGTGCCTGCTTAGGCAGGCCGAGTTCCTTCTTTGGGAGCTGCTCCTGCGGCCAGGAGACGTGTTTGCTCACCGCGTCGCGCACTGACGGCACCAGCACGATTGTGATGCTGGGTACCGCCTGCGCCAGCCGCTGCAGCGGGGCGGCGACGCAGTGTCGGAAGACGGTCGTCAGCGTTGCTGTGTCAGGGTCAAGACCCGGGATCTCGGGAAGGTCAAAATCCCCCGAGGCTAGGAGAGGGTGTTCCACGTCTAAGAAAGGTCCCATCAGGATGACCCCGTCGGCGTAGCTCTCGGCGGCCTTGCGGCAGATCTCCTTCAGTGGTTCGAATGCGAGGTTGTCGTCAGCCGTGTAGGGCCCTGAGGCGAGGAGGATGTTAAGCGGGGAGGAGCCGGCCGCATCGAGTCTCTCGTTGATGTTCTCAATGTTGACGATCGAGGACGCTGCCGGTGGGAGTAGAGGTGTGGGAAGCACCTCCTTCACCGAAAAGTAGTTTCCCGAGGCGTTGATCCCGCGCAGGGCCACCATCTGCCCCGGGAAGAAGTTGGCCGAGGGCACCGAGTCGAGCTTCAGTGGAACCCGCACGCCAGCGCCCGTCCGTCGCGACGTCTCGAGCACGAGCGACGCCGGGTTCAGCTTGCCCTCCATACTGTCTGATGCGATGCGGCCTACCGCCACAATCTCGCTCGTACTTTGCGTTGCTGCACTACCGAATGTGATTTCGTCGGACTCGTATTGCTTCTGGAACAGGGCCGTGAATTCGTCAATGCGGTCGTCGAGGATCTCCGAGGCCTCCGACAAGCGCATCGCCATGGGCTTGTAGCCAAATTTTTTGAGGTCGGTGTTCGCGGTCGGCTTGATCCGCGCTTCAGCGTAAGGTGCGATGGGTGTTTCGGGGAGTGAGAGGTGGGAGTTGATCGTCTCGAGCGTCTCGCCTGCGTTTTGTCGTTCGTTGAATGAGATCGACCTGTTGGATTCCTTGCATCAGCTGCCTGCTGCTCCCGTCATATGCGCGCAAAAACATACGGAATTGCCTCTGTGTTCGCCGTCTTGACTGCTGTGCTTGTGCTCATGGGAGACGCGTTTTGACCTGTCCGTCCAATCTTGTGCATCGAGGGCGACGCAAAATCCGACTTGCGTTTTGCTGGCGTCCGGCCGTGGGAGGCATTCGGTGTGAGTCCATCTAACCTAGAAGTACAGGTTGTCAGATCAGCCTTCACACAACCGCATCGCTGACCTACATTCCAAAGACGTCGGATGTGTTTGTAGCCCGCGGCGTCGCAGTGGCTGCCGCTCTTCTGTCAGTCTGGCGTCCAGCTTTGCCTCGCGATTCTCGCTCCAGTGTGTCTTGAACATCCTTCTTAAATAATCGCACAGTATCGAGATCCAGTTTGAGTTCATCTGGTCCCATCTTCAAGCAGTAGGACTCCCATTTGTAGAAAAGCTCCTGTGCGGAGATGGCGTGAATGCGCAGCAGCGACTCCAGTTCCGCCAGAACATCTTTAGGGAGTCCGTTTGGTGCGGCCGCTGCGAAAAGCTCATTGAGCTCTTCGGTGCTGTTCTCCATAGTTGTGAGCAGCTGTGTGTGAGCCCAGGCGTTGTGCTGAGGCCGCAGAGGTACCAGTAAGTAAGACCAGAAGTGGGCTCTATCTATTCATTATCTTCAATCAATTAATTATCGGAGGGCGACGCGGAGGACGCGCGTGTCCGACGCGGAGCGGAAGTGGCAGTCTACCGCCTGCTTCTTTAAGCAAAACATCATTATGACAGGCCACAGGCGGTGTAGGAGGTTTATTGAAGGACCGACGATCTGCCGGTGGGCCTGTCGATCGAGAATGAGAGATTCGGTATGTTTTATTATTCCCGGCATTTGGCCAGATGGTCCATCAGTTCGTCTTGTTGATTGTTCAACATTTCCCTCCCCCTTTTTTTTCCGTCTCTGAATCTGTCACCATCCCCCGGACACGATCTTTGAAGAAGATATATAACCAATTGATCCCATTCAGTACCTAATAAATAGGAGACACCCTCTTTCCGCACTATGAGCGCCGCCCCAGAAACCCAAGCTGCGCCTGCTGCTGAGGCTCCAGCTGGCAATATCCCAGTTCAGTCGCAGACAGCTGAATCCACCGTATCCGGCAACGAGCCCGTCGAGCACCAACAAAACATTGAGCTGGAGTTGCCTATCTCCGCCGCAGATGGTCTCATCCAGAAGCCCTTCGCCCGCCCTTTGAATACCGCAAAGCCTACTCCGCCAGCGCAACTCACACCCGACCAGCAAGCCAAGTACGCCGAAGTTTTCAAGACGGTCTCCGCCTGGACTGAGCTACCGACGACCTCGGCCAAGAATGCCCCAACGGCCCCTCTCACCGACAATGAGCGCATGTTTATAACTCGCGAGTGTATCCTACGATACCTGCGCGCGAGCAAGTGGAATGTGTCTGAGGCCGCTACCCGTTTGCAGCGCACTCTGGTCTGGCGCCGCGAGTATGGGGTGGAGAAGTTGACGGCCGATTACATCTCCGTGGAGAACGAGACGGGGAAACAGGTTATCCTGGGTTATGACATTGAGGGACGTCCCTGCCTCTATCTCATTCCATCCAATCAAAACACAGAGACTAGTGACCGCCAGATCGAGCATTTGGTCTTCATGCTGGAGCGTGTGATCGATCTCATGGGGCCTGACCAGGAAACGTTGGCTCTTCTCGTCAACTTCAAGGAAACCAAGTCCGGTCAGAATGCTACCATCGGCCAGGCCAAGCAGACTCTCAATTTCCTACAGAACCACTACCCAGAGCGGATGGGCCGGGCGCTCGTCATCAACAGTAAGTGACTCGTTTCTAGCTGGTCTCACACCCGTACTCGACTGACCACCTTGGTAACCTAGTGCCGTTCCTCATCAATGGATTCTTCAAAATCATCACCCCATTCATCGACCCCCAGACCCGGCAGAAGCTCAAGTTCAACGAAGACCTGCGCCAGCATGTGCCTCCAGAGCAGCTGATGAAGTCAATGGGTGGAGACGTCGAATTTCGCTACGACCATGCCACTTACTGGCCCGCTCTGAACAAGCTTGCGGACCAGCGCCGAGCAGCCTACAAATCACGGTGGATTCAGGGTGGTAAGCGCATCGGAGAGTTTGAAAACTATCTCAAGACCGGCACCAGCCCCAGCCTGGCTCAGTCTGAGGGAACATCCAATGGAGCGGTGGGTGAGACGCAATCTACCGCTTAGAGCATCATTGAAGAACTCTATCCTGAGGCCGTACATGCTGTTTTTCGAGCATGTTACAGACTGTCTGAGGGCGCCAACTTTCCGTAAATAGACCGTGTCTTTCCCGCATTATACCTGAATTCGCTCGCCCTGAGTCTCGCATATCCGGGGTCTCAATCGACTCATCAAAATAATAGAGAATATAATTAGAAGGATGTATGGTTATAGGTGAAGTTTAGATTATGTCGAATTTCCTATGTCTCCATGTATATCGGTCATCACGTGAGCTATAGTGGGGCATTCTGTAGCCTTAGGCATCGAAATGATAGGAGATGAAGCATTTTCGGTGATATCGGAGAGGGGTTCGGTTGCAAGGTCGCAATGGAGGCGCAATGAAAACAACGTCTCGCGATGAAACGAGAGGAGGTCAGACACGAACGATTGAAATATTATCCACTATATCAGTCAGTCAGATCACAGATCACATTTCCAGCACTGATGGCTGTCAAGGATCGCTTCGCATCAATTATGTCCGAGGGGTCTGAGAGGTAGTTAAGATGGATCGATCGGTTGAAAGGTACTTTGTGTCGGCAGAGACATCATCATTCCAGCTGAGAGGATTTATCAAGTGATCTGTCCAAGTAGATATAATTATCAATCCTCCTCCCTCGACTGCTTGCTCATCTTCAACCGCACTTCCATCCCCTACCCCTTCACTTCTGCCCTTTTTCTTGTCTTCGTACTTGTTTAGCACGCAAACACCGGATGTGCAGCACTGGCGCAAACGAGGGGACCTTGGCCCTGAATTTTTAGACTGGACTGTAGTAGTATTCGTTGTTTTTGTTGTGGTTGTTGTTGTTGCACAGGCACCGTTTTCTATTTCTCATTTCTTTTTTTTTTTATAACTCCCTGATTAGAACTCACCCACAGTTCGATCGGTCTCTCCACACCGGAGCTGCAACTGGAAGCGGTGGTCGAACCATCGATCAATCATGACGGAGGACTTTCCCCAGCGGCGCCGGCCAGTCCCCACGGGCAGAACCAGCTCTACTTCCGGCCTGCCGCTCTCAACTACTAACGTTACTACTACTACTACCGCTTCAACAATCACCACCACCACCACCACCGACAACTCTCTCTTCTCTTCCGCTACAACGGCTACTGCTACGGCTATTGCCTTTGCAAATCCTACGCCAACACCTTCCTTTCCCCTCCTCACTACCAGCACTTTCCAATCTCGATCTCGATCTCGGTCGCAGCCTTATACTCCTTCGCCCTCCCTCCCAATCGCCCTTCTCTCCTCCCACCCCTCCTCCACCTTAGACCGTCGGCCAGTCCGTGCCCACGAGGGAGGTTTCGTGCATCCCGCCTCCTTTCTCCGGCCACGAGGTCTGTCACAACCAATGCCCCCAGCTCAGCCCGAAAGGGCTATCGATCGCGAAGAGCGTCAGGGCCTAGTGAGTCGCCTTATCTTCTGTCCCTCTTGCCCTGTGGTTGCAGCGTGATTCATATCCCTCTACCCGTCCGAGCCTTGGTGCCTCAACCCCTCATCCGCAAACCCAAACACAACACGCAGCATCTGTGAGCCAATTCGCTCGCGACTATGCTGGCAGTCGTGTCTCGAAATTTGCACTTCCGTGATCACTCAATTGCTTGTGCATTGGCTAATAGAGTCGTGGATCTGTCTTCTCCCATTGTAGCGTGCCATCCGCAACTTCCTCAAAGTCCGTACCAGTTACGATGTCCTTCCGCTTAGTTTCCGACTCATCATCTTCGACACCTCCTTGTCGGTCAAGGAGAGCTTGAACATCCTCATCCAAAATGGCAGGTGTTTCCCTTGTCCGTCTCTAGGCGGGATAACTCCGTCTGCGCCAGCGCCGGCCCAAGGCGACGTCCCGATGCTGGATAAATAGTTTGCTGACCGGATTGTTGCGCTGGATTTTGGACAACAGGTATCGTTTCGGCTCCATTATGGGATTCGAAGGCGTCGACCTTTGCTGGTCTCTTGACCACATCTGACTACATCAACGTTATCCAGTACTATTTCCAGAACCCTGCTGCGCTGAACCAGATCGACCAATTTCGACTTGATAGTCTTCGAGGTGCGCAAGTCAAGTTGTCTCCCCTGGTTCCCGCAAGACTGACACTATAGTCAGAGGTCGAAAAAGCTTTGGGCGTCGCCCCTCCCGAGACAATATCGATCGACCCTGAACGACCCTTGTATGAAGCCTGTCGGCGCATGTTGGAGTCGCGTGCTCGCCGCATTCCCCTCGTCACACGCGACAGTCAGACCGATCGATCTCTGGTCCTGAGTGTGGTCACTCAGTATCGCATTCTCAAGTTCGTTGCGGTCAACGTTCCAGACACCCAGAAGCTGCGCAAGCCGCTTGGGGAGATTTTGCTGGGTTCGTACCAGAACGTCGCGACGGCATCTATGGACACACCTGTCATTGATGTGATTCATATCCTGGTTGAACGGAGCATATCCAGCGTGCCAATTGTGAATTCGGAGGGTAGGGACGGTCTCTTCTATGCGGACACGGGTCATCGATAGCGGATCTTATGGCTAACTGACTTTGTCCCATTCAGGAGTGGTTTACAACGTATTTGAAGCCGTCGATGTGATTACCTTGATCAAAGGCGGCGTGTATGATGATCTTAGCCTTACCGTGGGCGAAGCATTAAAAAAGCGATCTCCCGTGAGTAATCCTGAGACTCTGTATGCAGACTTAGCCGGCTAACTGGGGATCAGGATTTCCCGGGAATTTATACATGCTCCTTGGACGATGGTCTGGATACCATCTTCGACACGATTCGCAAGTCTCGCGTGCACCGCCTGGTTGTGGTAGATGAGAACTTCCGGCTCAAGGGCGTCCTGACTTTGAGCGACATCCTACAGTATATCCTCCTCGAGGGCGAAACTGATGAGCTATCATGAATTTATGTCATTTTTCTTCTTGATTTCCATTTCTTCTGGCGCCGTGGCGCTGCCATAATACTCACAATTGCATAGGGCGGCGTTTCTCGGTTGGGGCTAATGTCGGTGTCGGAGCCTCTCGCACTGGGTTCGACAGATGGTAGCTGACTTGTGACCGACGCATGTTACTCCTGGCTTTTCCTTTTTCCATCTTGTTGGAACACACGCTGCAAAAGTAAACCTACACGACATCATATGATGTCTACACTTCTTCACTTGGTCTCCGTCAGCGGCAGGGGACCAGGAACCTAGCCTTGGCGCTGGGCTTGACAACAATAGATCTCATTACTTGTATGACTCTCTCTTGTGAACTAACTGATTCGATGTTTCTCTTGACCTGTAGGTTTGTATTTTGTATGTTTGACTGTAGTTAACAGCGGCTGTGTATCGCCATATGTTATGGTGGCATGGTCGCTCTTTCTTGTGCACACGCCTATCTAAGAGGAAACGGCGACAGGCTACAGTTACCCTCATGGAGGCCTCATATTCTAATTTCAGTTTACGTTGTTCCTACTACGCAGTCAGTGTGTTTTGTACGAACCCGGATGCACCCTAGCCTTTTCATTATCCTCAACAATGGGCACCTTGAGAGATACTTCAGTCAACCGTCGCCGTGCTGGTAGTCAGCCTGTCAAAGGCACGGTCGCTGTGATCAGAGCAGAGCTGTCATCGGGGGCTGCTACCACAACTACGGACGATAGCCTCGTGAACCAGACAAACCCGCTCATCTGCCAGCAGCAGAGTCCAGTCGCGCTAGCCGAAACATCCAAATGTCCTCGAAGTTCGCGAAGGCTTACTGGGCTCAGAACTCTCTTTCGCTTTCGCAGATATCGGCGACCGGATCTAACTTCGAACCTACTGGCCGAACCTACCACAAGTCCGGAGAATATCAGTGATTCAGGCAGAGGCACCACTGTGACTCGCAGCATTGTCGAGAGGTATTGCGCGGACTCGATGTCCAGGCCGCATTGCAGCGGCCATCAGGATGAGACTAGTGAGGACCGCAAGGTGAGTGACAACACCATGTACTCTCTTCATTCGGATAAGACGAGTGCGACGGTGTTCCACGATCCCTCCAAGCGTCTTTCCATGCCCATTGCCATGGTGGACCCATCTCTGTCTCAAGACCCATTCGCGGATCCTCGAAATGAAGTGGACGACTCAGAAAGTGGCCGAAATCATGCCAGGAATGCAACTCGGTCGACAAGACAATCTAGCTCTGAGTCGAGTCAGACTGGGCCCTCGTCAACCTACGACGATAGCGAAAGTTTTCAGCAGCTAGCCAACCCGTTCGCCGCAGCCAGCTCCATCAAGTCGGGGAGTTCGTCGCGAGACAGTCTCTATTTTTCGACCTCGGACGATAGTTCAGTGATCGCTGAGATTGAGCGGCGCGCCGCCGTGCTGGAATTCAACGAACTGGCTCAAAAGCTTCGTCTCCCGCATCTGCCACTGAACAGCAAGGGAGACGGAGGATCGGGCGACGGCTCGCATTCCCAGTTTTCGGGTTCGTACGGACAGGTCAGATGCGATCGACGCTTGGGTATCCAGCTAACTAGGTGCTAGAGCAGACTCCTCCAACCGCTGCTAGTGAGACGGTGCCTCCCGGACGGCGCGATCGATTCTATGGTCGACTTCGCACGATGCGGTCGACGCTGCATCTGGGCTTGTCGTCGGAGGGACCCCGCACCACGCGAACTTTGCGCCGGATGAAAACGCTGGCGCATGTGGGCGCTCGGATGAACGAGATGACGTCACTGACAGGAATGTCACTGGAGGAGTTGGCGCGTCTCGGGGGCTATAATCTACTGACGCTGCCGGCCGAATTTGCGCCTATGAAACTCCGGCTACCGGTCTGTTTTGTAGCTACAATTACCCTTCTGGGACGATTTGGTAGGTCGTGGCCCCATCTGTACCCCACCAGTGATACAGTATGCGAGGTGTGCATGGTATGGAATGGTCTCGCTCATCTACGTCATTGCTCTAGCTGCTCCGGTGCGCGACGTGTTTGTCGATCCCGGCCATCCGAAAATGGCAATGCGGATATATGACCATTTCGCCCGGTCGGTGCTTGCTGCTCTTCGACAACCCAATCGAATCCAGATGACGGTTGGACGTAGTGATCTGCCCCTGGCAGTGATTGAGCCTAGCGCTCGTATAATGGACGACACCATGGTGCAAAGCATGGCACGGGCATTCCAGGCGCTCCTGGCGGGTCTTCCCGGGGGCATTCTAGGTCTTCCGGCACTATACCGGGTGCTAGTGAGTATTAGCCAAGCACCCTTTGTGGGTGACGAGATTGAACGGCGCCGCAGCTGTCTGGCAGGGATTTCGCCGCAAGATTACGTCAAGGTCAAGTCCATTGGGCTGGCGCTGCTGGCCCTGACGAACACCATGCAGCTGCACCTCATCTGTGGGGTGATTGGTCTCAGCTCACTACTCCTGCATGAAACGCAGCGTCTACGGCAGGAGGATGCTTCGCGCTCCGGGCCCGAGGAGATAGACGGAGAGACAAGTGGGGTCCTGGGGCTGTTGACGCTGGATCGGTTGGGTCGCGTGCTCGGACCGTTGCTAACGAGACGAGAAGAGTCTGGCGACACGTTCGCGACCATCTCCCAGGAGATTGAGAGCGAACGAGTGGTGAAGATGCTCGTGGAGCACTGGCGCGGAATCAGTCGTCAATTGCGCATCTGGGAGCATCGCAACTTGCCGCGACGTCGACGACGATCCATGCGAACGGGACGTGCCATGGTCTCCTCTAGAGAGGTTTGTTGTTGAGAGATTTTCAGGGCGTTCAACAGGCCCGGAGGAGCATTCCGGCGGCGCAATGCTTGCTGGTCGGACGGTACTTGTAGTCTGAAAGGACAGGGGAGCGACAGAAGATTTGCTGTGAAGTCATTGGAGGACGTTGAAGGAAGTCACAGATCTGGGCTTCTGAGGGCTTCTGGAATTTGCATTGATTCTGTCCCTGCGTTTTCTATGAAGGTTGTGGTGAGATGATCCTTTCAGGAGAGTGTTGGTGTCAGCAAAACTTCATTTCTACCTGTTTCAAAGAGCAGCGCCAGGACAGAGCATCAAGTTCCCCTGGATACTCAATATCTGTATAGTAGGCCACCTGATGAGGACGTCGATGAGTGGTGGATTCTAGCTACGTGAGGCTATCTGAGTAACAAGCTAAGGCCATCGAGGTGGGCGATGAGAGGCAGCCTAGCGACAACCGCCATCACCATCTACTCCGGAAATTGGCTGCCCTATATGGAATAAGCCGAAGTAGGAACTATGGCTGTAATCATATCCTCAGCGGACGTAGTGATAATGTCCTGATCATGCGATAGTTTTTCAAGGCAGCTTATCCAGCCCAGTGCCCCCCTTCATGGCTCGATCCTACGCAACTCAGCATCCATTCACATCGGAAGGGAACAAAGAAATTAGAAAACTACGGTGGCACTCACCAAGATACTGGTCGGCATGAACTTAGATATGAGCCTGACCGAGAAAGCCATAGCCCCACGCCACACTGGACCTGAGCCTCCACTCAAGATATCCTTAACAACCGCGCGGGCAAAGTCATCGGGCGCAGTTTTATTTGAGACATCCTTCCCGACACCGCGTGTTTGAATTTCTGGAAGTGCCTTGAGGTAGAGCGAGCCTTCAGGCAGGCTCAGGTTCGAATGCGACATGACATTGGTGGCGACGCTGCCAGTAACCAGAGAGATAACCCGCACGTTGAAGGGCTGTAGTTCCAGCCGAAGGGTCTCGCTCCAAGACATTAGCGCGGCTTTCGAGGCGTTGTAAATGCCTGGTGCGATTGTTTTAATGGGGCAATTTCTTCTGGGGGTTGTCACCGCGTCGGGATGGGTAAAGGAGCCATACTCATCCAGGGGGCATACAAGAAGCCCGAGATGGAGCACACGTTCACAAGGGTACTGCCATTCCCAGCCGCCTGTAGTAATGGCATGAACGCCTGGGTGATAGCGACGACACCCCAGAAATTGACATCGAACAGGCGCTTGGCCTCGTCGATGGAGGTGTCCAGCGCAGGATAGACGAGGGATTGACCGGCGTTGTTGATGAGGATGTCAAGGGTATCACCTTGTGAGGCTAAGTCCTGTCGAATCGTATTCACAGCATCATCAATGCTAGCCGGGTTGACGACGTCGAGCGTCACAAGAGTAACACGGGGAAGTTTAGCAAGGTGATTCATCTTGGCTGGGGAGCGAGCGGTCGCGTAGACTCTCAGCCCGTGGGCATGAAGCTCCTCCACTAGGGCCGAGCCGATCCCACCGGCGCTGCAGCCGGTGACAAGGGCGCAACGGGGCATTGTTCGTGAAATCTATCCACGTCAGGAAGTAGGGAAGCAAGCAAGAAAGAAACGAAGAAACGAAAAGAGGACAAGCACATGAGTGAGGAGAACATAGCTAGGGATTTTCTTTCCCTTCTTTTTTGGGGTTTTCCAATTTAAATTAAGAATATCTGTTTCCAACCATGGACTTCTCCGTGACTAGCTAGAAAGGGAAAGTCCCGGAAAGATCCATCATGGATCCATACAGATGTCATGATGGATGGATGGACCATGGACCCAGTAGGCTGAAGCTGTGAGGTGCCAGTACTTTTGAGAAATTAGCTAGCCCAACCGAAAGACCACTAATATTAAAAAGAAGTCCCCAGATCATTTGCATATATTGTCATAAAGCAGTGGAAGCCGAGAGCGTGGGAGCTGGGCTATATTAGAGGCGAAAAATCTCGATAGGGTAATAGTAGAATGTTCATAGGAGTACTGCGAGACATGGTGCATCTTTCTTCAGCTCCTCATATTTTGGTGTAGATAGCCCTACACATGAGTTCGCTGACCATAGCCAGTGTTCACCATAGACATTCGGGTCACCTGCGAGAGAGGTGGAAGATGGCTTTATTCTTACTATGTGAGGCTATCTGCGGAACTAGCTAAGTACCACCGAGATGGGCAGTGAACAGCACCCTGGGCGAGGCCGCAGGACCACCGTCATAAATTACTATGCTAATCTTCACAGAGGTCCCTCCTAGTCAGCAGATATCGGTGGTCAATGATATCTGGAGCTGGGAGAAAGAAGTGTGTGCGTCACAGGGTGGCTATAAAGAAGGATCGGCTCTTTGTTCGACTGTCAAGGTACTGGCTGAAGCAACAAGTCTAGATATTACCGCCACGAAGTGACTGCTCCAGCTTATGGTTGAAGAATAGAATCATATTCATAATCAGCTCACGACGGAATAAGTCGAGGCTGGATGCTGTCTGGTAGTCAAGCTCTACATGAAAGGGCTAGAGTATCAGATAAGGGGAAATGAGCTGCGGAGTCGGACAACCCTGCGCTATGACGATAAAGAGCCTACCTCTAGCTTGTAGTCTGGGACGGGCTGATCTGCTTTGAGAAAAAATGGTCAGGATCTGTGTGCATGCTGAATTAGTTGCTAATGTGAATAAAGAGGACGGCGGAAGCGGGTAGTGAGCGGCTTTTCTGTCGGTGTCCTTGGTATCAAAACAATTGTTCAAAAGTTGACCATCCGGGCAGCGCATATAACATATTTTTACAAATAGTATCTGTTCATCAATATTTGTTCTTTTTGACTGCTGCGGGGACAACCTGGGCTTTATCGACGACATGGCCAATCTCGGTTAATTCCGATTGCGACTGTGGAGTGACCCGTGGCCATTTCGGATATTTCCCTATAAGGCCGGCCGGGCTAATGGCAAGGCTGGTGAAATCAAACCTTAATTCTCTGCCCGTAATCGTTCAAACTCGGACTGCTAGTCCCCTTAACCTAGGTGTTGTATTCTCTCTGTGGTAGGCTGTCGTACCGGCCAACCTTGACACTCGCCCCCCTCGATTGTTTGAGTGAAGGGGGACGCAAAAAAGTGGGACTAGACCGACTTCCGACGCTTACCTTGTCCTGTCAGGGAATTGAATGGGCTCTCTTGGACGGTCGCAGCATATTTACAATGAAGGATTACGAAGGGCCTGAGCAAACGCCAGACGACAGCTATAATCAGTACTCCGTACTGTGGCGAGTTCTGAGCACAGAGGTGGGAAAAGCCTGCCCATAAAATCTATCGATCGAGCGCCCGTGAGTTGCCTCTTTGACCTTAGATAACCACTACTACCTAGTAGTCTGTGACCTATTTGCTGAAATGCACCACTATTATCATGAGCCAGTAATGCTGCTTGAATGCTCACTCGTGTCTTAGATTGCGTTTGTGATTTCCGCCGGCTCTATGCATGACCGGGAGATACGGGAGAAAGGAAATGATGCACAAACAAGTCGGGCCTTCGGCCATAAATGGCAAACTTGGCAATGACTGCACTGCTGTATCCGAGTGCTATATCTCCCAAGGTTCTACCACATTCTTGCCGAAGAAGCATCTCAATCCAGGTACCGGACGGGAGGCCGAATTATACTGCTCAGGTTCCTTGGGAAGCCGCGCGACCGACTGCCAGACTAGGTAGTAGTTAAATATTCCCGCCAGCCAACCACCAAATTTAGCCACGAAACAGCCAGTTCGGCCGCCGGCGGGTTCCCCGATCCTAGTACCTTTTCTACGTGGTTCAGATCAGACTTGGTTTTACGCGATTGTCGCCCCGCTTATGTGCTCCGATAACATGGGTATCGTCGCTCCATTTGTGTGCCAGGGCAGTGTTAGTGTTATTACAATGGTGTTTGTTAACGCAAGACCTGGTCTCCGTGAGTTTGTAAGTAAGCACTAGACCAAATAGTGGCATGGTGGGTACGTGTACATGAATTGGGGCGTAACCTATCAACTACTGGGTACTAGAAAGTACCTACCGTCTCTTAGGGTCGTACACCATCCAAGATGACTCCCCGCACGATTTAGCGTGGTTGAATCTGGTCCTGCCCTAGAGCGGTCCGTCCGATGGCTTCTCGACGCTGAAGCCGTTATCTTTCTGAACCCCGTCTACCCGACCATGGGTAAGTTTTGGATGATTTCAAAAGACAAATTTCTCGCAGTATACTCAGTCATCTTTCATAGCTAGATAAGATCTCTTTTCCCCATGTTTGGAACCTTGCGCTACTTACCCGAGAACCAGGCGGGGGAGTTCCTCGAGCGGGAATCAGGAGTAAATGGAAATATACCAACCAACAAACCTCAGCACTCAGCCTGCGATAACTGCAGAATCAAAAAGGTATGGATGAGCCCTAATGCTTCCACAAGAAATGCATTGCTGGATTTATCACCATCACCCCTCAAAGTTTCAAGCTAGCCATCCAGAGTCTTTCATAACCGCGCCTAGATAGATCCGCTGCAGTGGCCGAAGAGCAGGATGTTCGCGGTGCAAGACTCTGTCCCTCCCTTGCAATTATACACCCACCCCCGCGCGGAAAGGCAGAACCAAGCCAGCCTCAAATTCGGAACGAACGGACCATAGGTTTGAGAATGGCGGCCGACCGGAATCTAGTGCGGCCCCCGGCAGATCTCCCGCCAGGGAGGCTGAGGACGCTGCCCCACCAGCTGCGGTGCAGCCCACCCTGTCGACCATGGAACCACCACCACTGTATATGGTCGAAGAGAGTTATATCGGGATGCACAAAGCCATCCAGGGGAGCCAAGGGAACGCCGGGACAGTCCTCAATCTAATGAAGGATACGTTGACCTGGTCCAATTGCCTCGATTGGTCCCCAGGAAAGGAGGTTCCCTGTCTGCCGGAGTTCGATTATCTGATGACAGAGAATCCACACCTTGCCGTCGATTCTCTTCTCGCTGGGTGGGTATATTAAGCTCCGTATCCCCGGAGCCAGAACCGATACTCCAGAACTTAGGTCACTGATGAACAATAGTTACCCTGGGACCGGAAATACTGTACAGCCGCCGCCACCGCCCAGTGCACATGGGTTCGCTCCGCTGGATATGCTTCCAACTCCTTCGTTGACGTCCCATACCCTTGTCTCCACCGAGAACACAACCCGGTCACGTGAAAGTCCTTGTACTTCTGAGCTAGCTATGGAAGAGCTAAATTCGTGCTTATGCCTCGGGTCCGCCGTCTTCCTCCTGGACGAATTGGAGTGGCCCCATCACGAAAGCAGCCCTGATGAGTGGGGTCTAGACTTTATCCTTTCAATCTACCAGGAGGTGCTTGTCCTCTGCAGGCGCATGATCATTTGCGACGTCTGCCGACGAAAGTCAGAGAATATGATGGTGCTCACCATGGTGCTGGAGAGATTGACTATTCTGTGTGGGGAGGTCATTGATGCTTTTATCGCCCAACGGGGACTTAATGGGCCGGGGGTCACAGCCGTCCCTAGCGCGATGATGAAGAAACAGCCGTTGGTCGTGGGTGAGTACCAGATTGAAGGGGGAGACTACGAGGTCATGATGGGGATGCTAGTGACACGGCGGCTGTTGGAACTGGAAGGCCTGCTCGCCCGCATCAAGATGATAAACGCCTCCACCCGCCGCGCTCACCAGCAGGCTAGATTGGGGCGTGTGGATCAGCATCTTAAGAACCTATTTCAGAAGCTGACTTCCGTCTGTCCTCTGGTCACCGAATGGAAGGTCGACCTTAATCGGTCGGTGGTCGCAGACAAGACTTGGAGAAACACCTAGTTTACGAAGTGTGCTTGGGTAGGATAGTTGCCATAAATTTATATTAGAGTGCATCTACTGCTCCAGGAAAGAGGTCAATCGACTGTACTGCGGCAACGAGAATCTAGCTACCCTGCCCAAATCGAAGAGCTTTAATGGGATCAGACAGCCAATTAAGCAACCAGTATCTTCGTTCTTAGGTTGATATTCAAGTGGTCTAGCATCCAGACATACTAGTGGTACTATGTATATTGGCCTATACTCCCTATTTGGCACTGTCCAAGACGATTAAACTTGGGTTCGAGGAATCCGTCAAGTGATTTGAAGGGAAACACCGGGCTTCCCAAATGCGGAACGCACCTTCGACTGCCAGGTGCAGTGGCACCAGGTGTCATGCCCCCGAGTAAGGAGTAAATACCGCCCGCGCACCACCTCAGGGTTCGGGGTATCTAACGCAGGCTCGGATACTTTGTACCGGGTCCTCAATATGGGCAAGTTCACGTCACTAGCTCAGCTCTCGGGAGTTGCCTATCTTAAGGTTGGACAAAGATACTCCTAGACTACAAGTAGGCACCATCTGCCAACCTCAGCACTTATTTTGCCACTAATGGTTTAAGTAAGCAGCTATATATCACGGCCGCTGGAGAACAAATTGTAATATTGCCTTTGTGTGAAATTCTACTACACAAGATGTTGGCCAGCTTGGCGGATAAGCCTAGTAGTGTGCTTTTTATCTTTATTATGATATCAGTAAATCCTTCCCTTGTGTCTATCTAGCCTTTCTACTGTGTCTGGTTCACTACTGACGTGGAACCTAGCTACTAATCTTCACTATTTTGCACAGTCTGTATAATCTCTATTTTTCATTCTCTAGCTGGTTTTCCGGGTCTCTTACTTGCTTGTATGTTACTGGTAAGCTCTCTATTTCACAAATGGTCCCTATTTCAACTTGATATTGACCTTTCTACTTACCCAGGCATAGAGAATTTACCATTTCATAGGTGGTTGTTTTCACCGAGGCCCTCTTCGAACACGGAACGGCAGAATAAACCCATGGCAACCGAAGATATACACGAGACGGTGTTGATCGAGTATACGGACGGTGAAGAAGATAATATGTCATGTACAATATCTTCGATTGGGGGAACTGCACGCGAGTGTCGCAGCCATTCCTTATAGCCACTGTAAAAGTTGGGAATGCCTAGAAGAGAACGCGGTATCGTTGTCCTACACCGTGGCAGCTCTGCCTCGCGGCCTCCAGCTGACTGTTCTTCCCTGACTGGGATCTGAAAACCACATACGTAGGCTCGCACCGACGTTTCCACGTGGATGAGTAGCACGAAGATCATACGAATTCTTCCTCTTACAGAGAAGTCTCTACACTCCAGCCGGCGTGCAACTCACTTGCAGATGGCCGAGTCAACAACATAGGTATCATTTCTCAAATCTTGTCTACCTGGTATCTGCGCGTCATATCTAGTGACTACTCAAGTTGAACCTGAGCACACCTAAATGAGACATACCGGATCCACATGATCGGTGCTCATTCGGTTTATCTCTATATACAAGGTGTCCTGATCCTTACTCTAATCATGGCTGTGATATACGGGGTAGAATTCGAGGATATCTTGTCGCGATGAATGAAAAGAAAGGTAAGTGGGTGCCGATGGCGCAAGGTGAGAATACACCAGATAGTAGCCAAGTGTATGAGAAAGAGTTCCTGCTCAATTAGAAGAAAGTGTTGCCCAAAGGAGAGGAGTTACGTGCTAAATATATTGTACGGAAAAGACGGCTATATACAGGATTGGTCCACGCTTTAAAAGATGTGGTAGTAGAAAAGAAATGAAAGGTGGTCTGAGAGAGTAGAGTTGTCAGTAAAATTAATATCTGAGGGCTAGAGAGGTCGCCGTTTGCATTCGAAATCAATGGTTCTATATACTAATGATGAGTAGTATCAAGGTAGTGTGTTTAGCTTTTGTTTGATCCTGTTGGATTGAATGATATGAGTCCGGTGGAGAATCAGTGGGTTAGGATAGTTGTAGATTGTGCACTATTGTCACTTTTATTAGTAGTAATAGTGGTCAAAAAGTAGCGGACAAAGATACCAGAGATATTTAGAAAGAGTTTATTAGATAAACTACTTCAGCAGTATAGTATTTGTTATTTAGTAATAATAGACATATAAATTCGATAATAATTAGATATCTGTAGAAGCAGAATTCTAAGCCTAGTATTTAGGTATAAGTATTCTAGCTCTTCTTATGTCTGTGAATAATCGCTGTAAGCGAGGAGAGAATCGATGAAGAAGTTGTTCATTCTACGGAGGGCCTGGGAGGCCGGAAGGTTAAGTATCCCACACCATCGATCCAGGCGATAGGAAGGCACGGAGGCTTCTATACACCAAGCCGCGGAGGCGGCGGCCACAATGTCATAACATAGTATTTCTTAATAATGATAAATAATAAGCTAGGAAGATAAGTAGTATTATAGCTTAGCTTAAAGAATAACTTTGATAGGGCTATATTCATAATCTTTACCTATACTTTAGGAAGAGATATAATCAAGCTTAATATTATTTGATATATATACAGAATATCAAAAGGACTCAAAAGTTGATAATTATCTAAAAGCAGTTGATTGAGTGAGAAGTATAGCAGAGCAAGCAGATATTTTCGGCTTACGGTAGATCTTGTAGGAAGATAACGCAGTTGATACAGTAGGCATAGCAGGCACTCCACAGACATAAGTACTATAAGTTAAGTTAGTAGTGAGATTGAGCAATGAGGTAAGCCGTCTTAGCCACGTAAGTTAGCGTTTGTCCTTAAGCAGATTGCCAAGGCGGAAAGGTGGCAAGGTGCTGATCTGTATTTCCACGCAGTAGATAGCCAAAGGGCAAAGGGCGCTATGCCTAAGCAGGGACGCTATACCACTTCAAGTAATTCGCCGTCACCGCAGACCACGGAGTAGTTAGGAGTAGTACGGAGTAGGTTTGTGGGATGGTCTTAGCGGAATCAAAACCAGGTTTTCCTGCAACTCTTGGTCTTGGAGGATGTGATGTACAGTGCTCCGTACATGATGTGGAGGGGCCTTGATGATTGCTCATGGGAAGCGGGCCGCGTGGGGAACACAGTGGACGCAAGAACAAGAAATAGCAGAATTAGGGTACTTTAGCTCGGTAGTCCGGTAGGTAAACCTCTCGGAATTGATAGCTCGAGTTGGAAGCCACCCAGCTGGCTGCTTCAGCTTTCCTGCAATCCATCTAACTAGTTACTCTTGTCCTCTTGTCCTCTTGTCTACCTACTCGACACGGTCGATTAACGGCCGGTGAGTCGCCGGATGAGGAAGCCGATGCGGGGGCAGACATGGGTTCGATCCTTGTCGGTATCACTTCTTGTTTGGTGGTTTCTTTTTCTTTTTGCTAATCAATGACGACGGTCTCTGGGATGGGATTCCCCTTCAGGGTGGTAGGGTTCCCACTAGTCAGAGGGTTGAGAGGAATTCAAGTAAGGGTACTGATTTCTGACTAGTCGGGGGCTTGGCTGGACCTTACTTACAGTAAGTACCTAGATATTTTTGCTCCACTTGAATAAGTTACAGTGTATTGGGTTGTCACTTCTCACAGCACCTGCTAGCCCGTTGCTACTTACCTCGCAGTAACTATGTTGAAAGTCCTACTGTACAAACAACTTTGAACTTGAACCTTCTGACTCAGCTTTCCATTATTCTTTTATTCCATGGTTTAGGAAGCTGATGTTGGAAGAGATTGATTGGTGGATTGCGATCCGCTATCCAGCAGGATGATGACTCCAGAAGGGGTTAACCGCCAATCACCAACCAGAGAATGTCCCAGGCAGCTCCAGGCTATGACGTGTGGTTACTTTTGTAGGTACGGAGTACTGAGTACCTACTAAGCTGGAGCCCGGAGTACTACAGGTCGGTATAGTAGAAAGTGAATGGCCTGGTTCTTCAGGACCTCCACCTGCCGCATTCGGAGAGCTTCATTGTAGCTCAGCCTATGTAACTGGTGTATGGACTGCCGTTACTGGACTGTGGATTTGCACAGTGCACTGGCTGCATGTGATGTCAATGGCCAAGGGTCCCTGTCGTTCTGGTCTTCTTCCACCAAGGTTCGCTGCACCCTCCACGGGCCATTGCAGTGTTCCTTTTCTGACACATTCCAGGGCCCAGCTTAAGATCGACTGTCTCTACTGTCTAGACTGCGGCTTCCAAGCCCTGGAGGTATCACACACAGGGCTTGATACCGTTGTTCCAGTCTTTCCACTCTTTTCTCCCCTCCTCATTCTCCCCTCCCCTCCCCTCCCCTCCCCTCTTTCTTCTCCTTCTTTCTTCTTCTTCTTCTGCTCTTGTTGTTCTATCACCACCCTTCTCACGCCTTCTTCTTCCTTGACCTGATCTGACTTTAATTCCTTCTCTACTGCTTTTTCTTCTACTTCTCCCCCATCCCCCAATCCCCCAACTCGACTAATCTCTTTTCCTACTACTACTACTACTACTACTACTACTACTACTACTACTACTACAACCGACAACGACAGACTTGTACTACCTACATACTGTACTACTATACCTCCCACTCACATTCCACCCCCACCTTCCGCACTATCCGCCCCCTCGCTTCTATCAAACATACTCACTTACTTACTTACTTACTTACTTGCTCCTCATCACCCCCCTCATATATACTCATTCACTCACTTGTCATCCCTCCCTACACTCTCTATACTCATCTGGGATACGTTGGTGACCATGAATCCCAACATCACCCGGTATTCCCGGAACGCCCACGTGCGGAACGGACAGCCCACCCCGCCGCCCTACGACGACAAGCGCAACTTTCAGAACATGCAGGTCGCCTACCCCATGCAGTCGTATCAAGAGCAGCAGCAGCAGCAGCAGTCGCCTCCGTCGCAACAGCAGCTCCTCGCTCCTCCCCAAAACGACGAACGGGCCAAGCGCGAGCGGTTCCTGGAGCGGAACCGGGTGGCCGCTAGTAAATGTCGACAGAAGAAAAAGATGTTCTACGAGAACCTGAACCAGCAGCACTCGGAGCTCGAGGAGCTGAACAGCAAGCTCCATTCTGAGATCGAACACCTTCGCGGCGAGATCCTGACGCTGAAGACCCAGTTGTTGCAGCATGGCGAGTGCGGGGACCCGGCCATCACCCTCCATCTCAGCCACATGGTCAAGAACATCACCGCCATGGACCATGCGGCGGCAGACCGCCGTCGTGCCTCGCAGACTATGGACATGCTGGGCCTGGGGGGCGGCTCTACGCTGGCTGGCACCCGCAGCTCCCCCCCGGGTCTGTCGCCCTCTTCCACTGCCACTGCGAGCTCCTCGGGATCCGGCCATTGCGCCCCTCTCCCTACCGTTTCTATTGGTTTCGGGTTCGATGCTATGCCTATTGTCGCGACCAATACCACTACTACAAATAGCAGCAGCGACCAACTTGTCAATAAGACAATCGGGGATGAACCATTGAATGGACCACTGGATCCCATGCCTGAGTACGAGTTCCTCGAAGAGCTCTTGGATATGTAAGAGGAACCATTGTGACTGATTAGTGTGATGATTCGTTGCCGGGATCAGCGCGCACCTGGCTGTACTGCATAGCGGAGGCTTGCTTTTTCTTTTGTCTATTGCCCTCAAAAGCGAACGGAAGTTTATTCGAAACTTCTCTGAATTACCGAAGGAGGGTGCATGTGTGGGTGGTTTGCTCGGGGTTCTGGATCTGTGACAGTGGGAGGCTCCGTGATCCAGACTTTCATTTATCTTGCTTTAGCGATTTGCTTTGATTTTTATGGGCAAGGCGTTTTTGTCGGTGTTTCTGAGGTTCTGGGGGAGAAGGGAAAAGGCGTTTTACGGACGGCGGACACAGCATACGGAAGAGGTCACTGCCTGGGATGGGGGAGTTACATTCGTTTTTTTTTTTCCTTTTTCCGAAACCTGGGTAATCTGGGCGGTCCCGAGCTGTGGACAATCTTGTTATCGCTAGTTGTTTTGCCTGTGGAATTATCCCCTGTCCTGGATGGACGAGATCAGATTCCTTGTGAGATGCTACGAGACGAAGCCACCGATTTTTGTTGGGGGTTGTTTTGATGACAGAAAGTCCAATTCTTGTGGTGGTAGGGTGGCTCACTGGCTAGAGCCGGCCAGACCGCGCTCGACTTGCTTACCTGCATCAAAGTGTTGTGACTAGTTGCTGTACTTAGGGACTAGTAGCAATGTTAAGAAAACTAATTGATGATCCTGACTACTGCGGTAGGCAAGTGGGAAGATTGTGCTGGAAGAGGTGACTTATCTATAGCGAGTAAGCATACAAAAGATAGCACTATCGTGTATGTCTGGCCAAGCGACTCCTAACTTACAAAGAAACACAGTAAGTCGACTGCCCTGCACCCTTAGTATTCTTAACATTTGGTTCCAAGGTGGGAAGGGGGAAGTGGGGGGGAGGGGGGGGGGATTTATCCAGATTAATCTATCTAGAACACGAGTTATCCTCTAGCTAGATAGTATGTATCCTGTACAAGTAAAGAGCACAAAAACCAAGCCAGAAAAACCCAGCAAGTATGTACACAGCAAACGCAGTACTACTCCGTAGGATATATCCCTTTCAAGTCGTATGTCCAAGCAGATTATCACCCATAACCCTCAAACTGTCCTACAAGTTTAAACTTATTTCTTCTTGGGTAGGTAGCCTTTCTCCGGCGAAGATCCTCCGGCCCCATCGATTCCCCCGACAAACAAATGACGTCGACGGGAACAACCGCTTCTCGATCTGCCCCTCGCTCTCTCTCTCACACACATACACACACACTCTCTCTTGAAGTGTTATTGTTCCTGTATGACGGAAACCGGAGGGAAGATACAGAGGTGGAATTGAATCAAGGAGGGGTGGGGGAGGGTATGCAGGTGGAAGCTCTGGAGTTTTCCGAATGTACTCCGTACAGTAGGTAATTTATCTGAGTGGTAGTGAGAAGCTTGGCTGGTTAATTGATTAGCTTACCACTGTTCTACCATGTCTACCATGTAGTTCCGTTTACAGTCCAATATCACTGGGATTCTTGTCTTGGATGCAGTGAACCCTTCCAACCTACTGTAATATTTGAAGCACGTACTCCGGCTGTCCCTGCCACAATTGTATGTTAGTATAACTAGTATACTGAGCCCAGTGACAACATCACCGTACCAAGATATCAGACAGCTTTGGACTCCTGTATTATGCTGTAGTTAGTAGGAAACTCGGATTGTGCAGTACACAGAGTTTGCAGATTCCAGTCTACAGCCCACAGTACGGTACAGTCGAGTACACAGCTAGGACAATCTGAATGAGAGTTCTGTTCACCTTCCGGCCGACTGACCCTTCCCTTCGTTCCTTGGTTGCGTCGCCAGGGAATCCATCCGCCTTGCCATTAACCACAAAGAGTCTCCGAGTTACTAATAGGTAGGTAGGTAGGTAGGTAGGAGAAAGCTTCGGATGGAACTGGATCAGGTGGTGGTTGTGGTCTCCGGTTGGCTGCTGGCTAACTGGGGTCCTCCAGACAGCGGTACAGTAGATGCGCTGGGGCTGGGCTGGGCTGGAAGGAGGCCGAGTTACTCGCGAGTACCTGGTAGTTGCAAGTTGGGCTGTTTGTTGACCCCGTCTCTACTGTCTCTTTGTAGAAAAAAGGGGATAATCTTTGTCTACAGATCGCATGGCTTGATGGGATCGTATGTTTTTACTCAATCAACATCTTACAGTGGCGTACATTCTTTTCTTGAGGTACTGCAGCAAAGGCACTTAGCTGGGTGGAAGCTGCCAAAAGCTGCCGAGACTCCCGGAACCTTCACGAATTCATCCCCCGGCGGCCGCCATTTCCCACTTCCCACTTCCCACTTCCCCCCTTCCCCCGGGCCCGGGCCTGGGCCTCAATCTCATTTCCCACTTTAAAGGAACTTTCCAATGACCACAGTCCGTAAGGTTCAGGTAAAGTGATCCGGGTCCAAATCGCGGATGTTCTTAGCAGAGGCGATGTAGGTTTGCTGTTGCTGACGACATGATCGATTTGCGTGCGTGGTGTTTAGGTCTGGGTCTGGACTCGTCGGTAGGGTTATAACTACCTAGTGAGAGTATAGTATTTACTAGTAGCGATTTTGGAGGAGGGATCTACGATGTTAGGAATGAAAGTGGTGGTCCGGAAAGGTCGAAGGTGGAAAAGGTCATGAGAGCACTGTGTGCTGTAGTGAGCAGAGAAATCTCAGCTAGAACGATGTTACCCTACTGCCTCTCGCATGTATCCATGGGTTTCGGAATATGATCTACTAGTGTGCTTGTACAGAGAATGGGGATCGCAGCTAAACTACCGTACCTTATGTAACCAACACCTCTCAGCTGCCCCCCTCCAGCCCTATAGGGTTCACCCTCCTGCCCCGGTCAACCCCCGGGTCTACCGGTCTACCAATCTACCGGCCACCGTCGAACAAAGAATCAATCTCCTCCAACCGCATCCCCCTCGTCTCGGGCAAAACCCCATACACGAACCCCGCGAACCCCGCATCCAGCACCCCGAACAACGCGAACGTCCCCCACCCCAGTCCCTGCAGCAGATACGGCGTCGCAAACGACCACCCAAAGTTCGACAACCACTGCGCCGCCACCCCCATCGCCACCCCGGGCTCGCGGATGCGCGCCGACGAGAAGAGCTCCGCGCTGCACGGCCACGGCAACGGGCCCCATGAGAGATTGTACGCCACGATGCTGAGGTAGATGAGCGCAACCGTGAAAACAGCAGCGGGTGAGAGCGAGCCAGCCTCCGCATCCGGCGAAGCAGTGCCCCGCAGAACAGCCGCCGTGGCCAGCATGCACACCGACATGGCCAGCGCACCAGCCACAAGCAATGGTCGGCGGCCGAAGCGGTCGGCCACGAAAATCACAAACACCAAGCAACTCACCACTTTCAGGAAGCCGAAGATGCCCGTTAGCAGCAGCGTGAGCCGCGCGGTGGACTCGGAGGTCGTGGACGCGTCACTGCTGCCCCCGACCAGCAGCGAGAAGAACTGCGGCCCGAAGTACGCCATGGCCGTGGCCCCGGTGGACTGCTGACAGACAAACAACGAAACTCCCAGACCCAGCCGATGGGCGTTGGACCGCTGTAGTAGTTCGCGCGGAGAGAAGTTCGTCGTAGCGTGGGCGTCGCGCTCAATAGCGGACTGCATCGCCCGGAACTCCGCCTTGACCTCTGCTCCTCGCGAAGCGCGGATCCATGCCAGGCTGTCCCAGGCCGCCGACGTGCGATCGTGCGAGAGCAGCCAGCGCACGCTTTCATGCAGAGTGAGCATGCCCGCACCCATCAGCGCGCCGGGAATCAACTGCAATGCTAGTGGTATTTGCCATTGCGCTGCAGTCGGCGTCGCGTACTGCATCCCGTAGTCGATCCAGTACGAGATCAGGATCCCGATGGTGAAACTGAACTGGTAGCAGCTGCCCAGGCGGGCACGCATCGACGTCGGACTCATCTCCGTCAGATAGATCGGGATGACAGTAGCAGAACCACCAATACCCAGCCCGCAGATGACACGGCCGATGTAGAAGACAGACCGAGCATGGCTGTCAAGGACCTCGAAAATCACCCCGATACAAAAAATAAACGAGCAAATGGCCATCGCAGGGCGACGGCCGAGCCGGTTGGTCAAGGGCCAGATAAGCAAGCTACCGACCAGGGCTCCAGCCTGCTGGACCCCCACGGCAATGGCACTCACGCGAGTCTCATTCTTCGAGGTATAGCGGAAAGACCGGTGGAAAGAGTCGAATGTCAAGACCCCTCCTGTGTGTATGTGTCATTCATATGGCCTTGCCACCGGGTCGGAGATCAAAATACCAATCACGCCGGAATCGTAGCCGAAAAGCAGGCCGCCGCAGCAGACAATGGCCGTCAGCCAATAGAGACGGAATAGTGCATGGCTGGATGGCGGCCTAACAACACTCAATTCCTCTTCATGCTGAATGAGGGGATCCTCCGGACGGACCTCATCCTCGGTCGCTACAACAGAGGATCGCATCTTTGGATCGTACCCTGCAGACCAGAGACGGACGCAACCGAAGAATTATATACCCAAAAACGACCCAGACAATAAGGAGGTCAACCACTAACTTAAAGGACTGCGAGTCAGATGACGTACGTACCGCGCTTACGTGTTGCATGTAATTAGCGGTCAGTGCGCCGATCACGATCGGCTTATTATCAGATCATCACGAAAGAATCAGTAAATAATTCCCGTCGCACACATCGCGAGTCCGCCCATGTTCGTGTTGCGTCCTGCCGTCTAGCCATCTCCTTCAGGAGGAGATGAACATTTTCAGCGTGCGGATGTCGCGTGTGCTGATTCTCGCCTCGGCTGTCATCGCCGCACTGGCTCATCTTCTGGACCTGCGACAGAATCCATCGCCGCTGCTCAAGAGATGACTCCAAGCCAGCCACAAATAAAGGCCACACAAAGCCCGCAGGCAAATGTCGCTGCTGTCCCTCAGTCGACTGGCTTTCGACGGTCGCTAGATGTATAATGCCCTCTACGGCCCGATGCACCCGATCAGTTCGCGGATAGATGGCGAATGCGACCCGGTGCAAGTAGATGAAGATCGCCAAGAAGTTGGCAACATACTGCCTGAAAATTTGACATGTTTCTCGCGCAACAGCAGGCTGTAAAGTGTCATATAGCTCCTCGGGGCTGCTGTAGATGTCGAGTACGCGTGGGCGTTGGTTCCACAGCGTTTCCAGGTCTGCGCTTATCTGATGAGCAAGCTGAAGCACCTCGAACTCATCACTGACGGTGCCGCGGTTACGGTGGTGCAGATCAATGGAGACGATCCGCCGGAGAATTTGCTGCGTCTGCACGTGAAACTGAAATGCCGGACCGGTGACGGCTTCGCGGATGAGGAACGCGGGCTCGGGGCTTTCCTCATCGTCTGCTATGGTACTGCATTGCTCGGAAGTAGCGCTTTCCGAGGATTTGTCTGTCGACATGAGACCTCCGTAGTCAATGAGCGGATCACCCTCGCGCCCAGCTATCAATGCCTTGATGTCCAACAGTGAGACCCAAGCAACGATTATGCGGCTTAGACCGGTCCAAGCCTTGGTTCGGTTGTGAAAGCGTTGCAGTAGTGAGTATGCCGAGTGGAGAAAGGACGTGCCAGCGTCTCCGAGGGCCGGAGTCGATAGAAGCTGTTTTGTGAGCCCATGATTCACAAACCGCATGGGAATCACCTACCTCGGCAAACATCAACAGCAGCACCGTCGTAAACACCTGCTTCAACACCGGTTGGTCCACCACCCCGACTAGACATGACTGCATTTGAGAGCACGCTAGCCGATGGTACTTGGACTTGCGTTTCGACGTCTTTCCCTCAACTCGCGTCTGATGCACCTCCGAGTAGCAGTAGATGCCAAGCAAGACAGCTCGACAGGATCGAGACTGGCGTACGATGTGCGCCTGCACATACTTCCAGTCCAGGCCGATTGAACCAAAGATTGCAGGAGGCGGGTCGCTCGTCACGAAATGGGTGAACAGACGAGCCTCATACGACGTCTGCTTGTCATCCAAAGCTTCTATTTCTGCTGGTTTGGCCGAATCACCAGGAGCAGAGCTGATGTCAGCATTGGTAGCCCAGCCCATCGTTTGCCCGTTTTGCCTGACGCTCTGTGTCACAGCACTGACATATTCTGGCCCCGCCGACAGGCCGGTGAGTCCATGAGCAGTTAAGTCAAGATGCTTCTGATGGAAATCCGAGGTAATTTCGCCTATGAAGCTCAGAATATCCAATGAAGAATAATCGACAGCTGTTTCAGGAAGCGGACGCGCAGGAGTAGGCTGCTGTTGCTGCTGCTGTGGTGTTGACGCTGCAAGTTGGCCGTCACAGAGAACGGTATGGAAGAAGTTCAAATCGGAACGGTCAGACGAGGTCGCGTCCACGGTCGCGGAAGCTACAGGACGAGCCTGTCTGTTAACCCGGGCGATATGGCCTGGTACAATCGTCTTGTAGGCGCATTGCAAGCGCAGACGACTGCAGTTCGCACAGGTCGGCTTGATCTCATCGCACCGTACTTTGCGCGACCGGCACGTCAGACACCCGGTGCGTCGGCGGGGTCCTGACCGTCCCATGCCCCGTGCTCGAGGAGCCTGGCATAGTTAGTCAGTATGTTGTCTGTCTAGAGCTGGTAGGACAAGAAAAGAGATTCTACCTCCATGACTTCCGAATCTGCAATGATGCATGCATGGTGGCGGGGTGTTGGTCTCGAAGGCTCGGAGGTGAAGTGGGAGCGACGATCCCCCCGGCGTTGGTTCAGGAACCGTCGCCGGCAACACCCGTAACGGGCCGCGCTGCGTCTACAAACGAAAGAAAGAGACAGGAATCGAGTCGGTAGGATTGTCATTGCTACATCATTGAAAGAGCTATTATTCAGGGTACTCTGTGGTAAAGCACATCTCCGGGTGAGAGTCGCTTCTTATCTCCGCCCAGGCATTTCGACGTATGGAGCAAATGTCCCCGCTCCTTGCGCACATACGCCGCAAAGCAAGCGGCAGCCATCGTGATAGCACCGTAGCTGATATACACCGGGTATTTGAATTGTTCCGGTCGAGGGAAAGCAATGGTTGTCGCAAAAGACAAAAGCTCGAAGATATTCTGCAAAGCCATCTCAGTCGCGGAGAACCGAGCCCGGGATTCTTCGTTGACTCCCTGCTTTCGGTCAGCATGGTTCATCTTGCTAGCAATAGCCACTCCTTACCTCTTGCACCAGAAACTGCACGGACAGATCGAATCCCCAGAGCCCGATTCGACTCAAGGCTACTCCCACAATCAAACTGACAGCGACCACCTGAGAGGCATTGTCAAGGAAGGCAAACGCCGCTACTGCTGTCACTAGACAGCTGAATTGCCAATTCAAGAACCACAGTCCAGCTCGGATGGCACCGACCCTATTCATTATGAACGGAGCTGCCCAAGTCCCAGATAGCTCTGCCGCAACAGCACCGATTCTCATGGCGCTGACCTGAAGGGGGGTGAAGCCAGTATGCAGCAGGTAGGTGACCATCGTTGCTCCAAAGGACAAGACCGTCAGATAGAGAAGGCTCAAGGCGAGGCTGGCTAGAAAGAGACGATTCTGGATATATTCTCTCCAAGGAAGCGCCGCGTTTTTGATGCGCTGCACGAATCGCTGAGCCACGCTCCGAAAGTCATTCTCATCGCGCTGGAAGCCTATGGTTTCAGTAGCTGGCTCTCGACGCACCAAGTGAGGAACTGAAGCGTAGACCTGAGAATGATGAGCGACGAAGCGACCACGAGGAGGTTGGTTCAGTGTAATACCTGTGCGATTGCAACGTATTCAACAGCAACACATGACATATTGATGCCCAAGGTCGTCCAGATTGCAGCCATGGTGGAGAACCCGTCAATCAGGGAGATAAACAAGGGAGCTACGAGCTTGCAAAAGAGGTCTATCCTTCTCATCGACGCGTTGAGGTCTATTCGATTAGCAAACGCCTGGTCAGATCATGTCCGAGAGCCTACCTTGACGGGGAATCTCCAATGCATCTGCCACAACGATCGCCTGTCCAGCACGTCAGAGTATTCTCTTGAGCATTGTAGGATATAAACTCACCCAGTCTCGCTCCACGGCTACTGTATTAACCGTAGCGGCTAGCTTTTCAGCACAGGCTAGCACCACCGTCGTCAGGAAGAGCAATATCTTCAGTATCGAGCTTGGTGAAACAAGTAAAGTCACGAAGCAAACACAGGAGCCCGCTACGGGTAGTCTCTGCCAGACTAGGACGCTATTAGCGGACTAGTTACCCTGGAAGGCCACTATTCTCTGGCGTACCGATTGATTGTTGAAGTGCAGTCAACCGGTTGGATTGATCCACAACAGTCCCCAGCCATGAGGACAAGATAACGGCCGATAGGGACCGCACGAGCGCGTAGATTGAGGCGTAAAGCAAGGTTCCGGGGAAGATAGAGGCCAGGAATAAAACAGCCCCAAACTCAAACATACGAGAGTTCCATGTTGAAAGGAAATGAGAGACATAAAGTCTAATCAGAACTCGTGATGAAGGTTTGGCAGATGGAGTTTCTAGCCTCTCCAGTCTATGGAAATGTGGTTCGGAGATGGACGGCACCATGGCGTGGACGTCAGGTGTAGGGTAGGCGGCACGTCGCACAGATCACTTCGAGTAGTTACAGGTCTGAAAGATCAACGCATTGCAAGATTCCAGCACCCTTTGTCGGTTATGTAGAGGTGCAATTGAAGCTGAGCCAAATGCCATACTAGTACTCCCTTTGAAATAAGAGGTGGAGCGGAGGCAGAGTTCCGAGTGGGCTGAGGAAAGAGAATTCAAGGTGAAAGTAGCCGTGATTCGCCCGGGGATGACCTCGGGAGAATCACTTACAGCCTGTACAATGCCCACCGTGCAGGACACTGGCAGCCCGCACTGTGCACCAACCCAAGTGAGGAGTACTGTACTGAACACGTACTACATTAAATGCAATACATGCAAAAAGAGTTCTGTCAATAAATCCCATCATATGTCATTCATTCAGCTATCTATGGAAGTGCCCGCAACGAGACCAGCAACGTTGACGAATTGCTTTCCATGAGATCCTTATACTGTTCAACACAATTTTGGGCAGAAGAACGGTTTCGCTGCAATATCCTCAAAGCAAAAAGGCGATGTAGACTTGATCCCGCTCCCTCACATGCATTGCTAAGGTATGATCTTCAAAAATGTACAGCAGACTCGGTAAAAGTTTCATATCCAGATAGGCAGCAGGCAAGGGGGAAAAGAAGGACGGATGAGAAGGAGAGATGCATCGCGATTCCTGTCACGAGTGAGATGAAACAGTGGAGAGACATTAGGGCGCTGGAAAATAGGATTTGAAGCTTTCTTGTGTCACACGGACTATGAAAATACCCTCACACTTGAATCCGCACTTCCCGTGGCCAGGATGCACCGAATCTTCTTGTTCACCTCTTGTCGTGGAGCCCCGGGACCAGCCTCAGTGGTCTCTTCTGTCGTAGCATCATCCGTCACCACGTCGGGCGCCCATTTTATGCAGCTGACAAAGTGTCCATGTGCATCGCTAATGGTCTTGACAAGTTTGGCTTCCTGGGAGAGGTCCCAGCACCGGATTGTCTTGTCGTCTCCCACACTGACCAGATACTTGCCGCCCGGATGAAACACTAGGCCTCGGACCCAGTTATCATGGCCTACCAGGGTCTTAATCAGCCGTCCCCGTGAGTCCCAGAGCCTGATCGTCTTGTCGCGAGCGCCGGTCGCAACAAATTCGGCAGAGCTGGTCGCGGGGGGAGGCTTCTTGAACCCAGCCAGGGTCGCTAGGTATTTGTAACTGGCTGGTGGCGCAAAGACACAGCATTCGAGATAGTTCTCATGGCCCAATAGGGTAGCTTTCGCCTCCGCGGTAGAAACCTCCCACACGGTGGCGGCTTGATCTCGACCTCCCGAGACCAGCCATTTTCCATCGAAGGAAGGAGAGACGTCCCGAATCCAATTATCGTTCGAACGGATTGTCTTGACGCAGTAACCGGTGGATGCGTCCCATATACGGATCGAAGCATCGCGACTGGCCGACACGAGCAGATTTCCGTTATTGGGCAGGAAGCTGACCGCTGAGACTGAATGGTCATGCCCGGAAAGCGTTCGGATATTGGCATAGTCATTGCTGGGATCCCAGAGTTTGACCGTTAGGTCACTTGAGCAGGACGCCAGTAGCGTATGTCCTTTTTGCCCGCCATAATCCAGCCCCGAAACCGCCCGCATGTGGCCTTTGAGTGTCCTCTCCAGTTCCCCCAGTTCCCAGTCCCAGATCTTGATAGTGCAGTCTTCGGAGCCGGACGCTAATGAGGTGTAGACAGGGTGGAAGGCAACGCAAGTCACTGCATCGCGGTGCGACTGAAATTTGTGCCGCGCCGGTGATGAGGGGAGCCAGCTCGTGGGGTCTTGATTGGATCGGGATCGGGACGTCAGGGCCATAGAATCCAGTTCGTTCTGCAAGGTTGACACCTTCGACTCTAAGTCCATGATCTGAAGGTCCGTTAGCGCATGCGAAACTTTCTGCTGCTAACCAAGCGCCCGACTCAAACGGTATACAATTTCGAGCGGGATACAAAAAAAAAGGGCCTCTGACCTTCCTCTGTAGCCGAGCCACGCTCGTCCACTTCTTCTCCAGCAGCCCCTCATATTTTTTGCATGCAGTGTCGTCGAAGCCGTCCCCGATCGGTAGCTCTTCGCGTATGGTCGCAACGCTTCGGGCAGCGTTTATGGAAGATAGATAAGCTATTAGGGACTTGTGCCTAGCCTTGTATCAGTGAATCAGCAAACAACTCAAATTGGAGTTCGCAGAGAAGCTTACAGCTCCTCTGCTTGTCTTGTTGTCAACGTTTGACTCATGACGACAGGTATGAAACTTGGTGGTTAGAAGCGATTTCGGGTTGCGGCCGCCAGAGGGCGACGCACTTCGTCACACAGACGAGCAATCGGGACGGTGTTGTTGTGGCAGTCACTACGGCTTCGCAGGGAATTGGGAAAGGGAAAATTCCGAAGCGCGGCAAAGATTCAGGGAGGCAGGAACTTGAAGGTTCGGGTGGTCAAACGCAAAATTGAGTGAATGGCAATCATGAATTCCAGTTCGCTTTGTATACAGTTGATTTCGCGCGTGCAGCGCCCAGGGGCCGCGGGACCTGTGGGCACGTGTTTCGATCTAGAGTAGGCGGTGAAGCCAGAAATCCAATGAGAGTCCCATTAGGCCCCAAGGCGGGGTACCGTGCTGCTGAGTCAGGTCAATGAGATGTGCTGCACAACAGCCACTTTGGGCTGATCTCTTCTACGGAGACATGGTACGGACTTCGGCCTATTCCTGGCAACTTTTTTCATGGTATCATAGGGTCTAGGAAAATCTAATCACAGATATGGAACGAAATCTCACTCGTTCCTTTTCACTCCCATTGTGTGCCCTTCAAGCGCTGCATCAAGTAATCAACCTCGACGACCTTGGTGAGGGGGATGACATATTCCTAGCAGATAGTTAGTGATTTTCTCAGGTCATGAAAGGAAGCACCCTCACTTTATACATTGCGACTACCGCCTCAACATTGATCTTGGGTCCGCTCTCTGTAGAGAAAGCGGGATCGGTACCATATGTCTTTGCCTTCAATGCCAGACGCTCGAGAACCTTCTGCTCGACCTTCGCATCTGTGATAGCAGCATCAATCCCCACACGGTCGTTCGCCTTGATCATCTTGACGAAGCGCTCGGGTTCTTTCTGGAACTTGGACTCGGCGACAAACTTGCCGAAATGGATGCGACGCGACAAAGCCTGTAGGCAGCTGACGTCGCAAGTAGCGGAGGAGCCGTAGTTCTCCTGAGTCTCGCCACGGTCCTCACGGCCGAACTGTGCGCAAACAGCCGGAAGAATGTTCTCGATATAGCGCTGCTTGATGATGTTGTTGACGTTCACGTCATTGTCATGTAAGATCTTGGGGTATTCGAGAGGTGCCAGGATAGGTTCTTCTAGGGCATCCGGGAAGAAAGGGTATTCATCGGGCGATTGGTAGCGGCGGACACGCGATTGGATGCGTTCCTGCTCGCGAAGCAGGTAGTCCAGGAGGCTGACATCAGTGCCGGGGATCGATACACCGCCGGGTGTATAGACGGGCTTGTTGAGGGGGAATTGAACCCGTTCAATCAGGTGAAAAGTGATAGTATCTTCAAGTCGGCTATACAAGGAATATTAGTGGTGTCATTTGTGAGGCCGGCCACATGAAGAAAAGGTACGTAGGTGATGGTGGAGGGTTGCAGCAGGGATATTGGAAAGCGACGGACGGAGGAGCAAAATAATTCCCGACTGATCGGCGACTCACATGAGCTGGAAGCGGATGTTGGCAAGGTCCAACGCCTTGGAGGCGTCGGAAAGATCGATGGCTGTATCCATGATGTCGCAAAGATATGTGTCTACGCAGTATGCGGAGGAAAGTATTCAAAAGCTCACTATTGTTAGCAGAGGATCGGCTAGAGGTTTCAATGTTCCTTGGGAACGATATCGGCTTTAAGTTGCTGCGCAGGTTACAGAATCCTACAGCACTAGTTTTGCGTTTTGCCGATCTCCACGGATCTGACTCGAATTTGAAGCAACTTGTGGTTCGGAAACCGACGGCGAGGCAGTTGATATAAGTTCGATGCCAGACAGCAGGCTGAGATCTCGAGATCCAATTGAATACTCGTCACCGACTTATAATCTTCTGTAGGCGTCCTGATGATGACTACCTGGTATTAGTCTGACTTGTGCCAGTCATAGATCGGATGTTATACATCTATACGGTATAATTACAGTTATGGGGGTACTACCGGGCGGTGGGTAATTTATGGTAGTAGTCACAGGTTTGTGGCTGGTGATGCCGTCATGTCCTCTTTCCTTCAAGGATCCAATCCCTGTCTTGCCAACGTGAGGAGAAAGGCTATGATGATGATGGCAGGAGACTCTTCAACTTGGAGATAAGAAGAAAGAGTTTCTCCGTCCAGTTTTATTCTACACCATATCAATTCATTTTTGCCTCTATTGCCAACCCTCCTCATTCTATTCCGCACAGCCACCGTTCCCTTCCATCTCTCGTGGGTGGAGACCGAGCTCCAGCTCTCTCCAGTAAAATACCACCCGAAACGCCGTAATTCATCGCGTGCCACTCCGTCCATCCAGAACTTCTTCCCCATTTCTCAAGGCTTGAAGAAGTTCCGACCAACTGCCCGACCGACGACCGCACCCTCTTCATCAGCCACCCTCATACCCTCCGAAACCTCAACCCTTGTATGGGCTTGATAGCCTCATACTAAACGTCACCCTCCTGGTCGGTGTTGCTGTCATGGACAGGCACCGCCGTGATGAGTCGCCTTCCGGTCTATCAGATATTGTCGAGCAGGATGGTCTTTTAGGTACCGGCATAACGGTAGTGTTCCCTTGACTTTAATGGTGCCAACAAAGGTCACTACTGACATGGCACACTCTCTGCGACGCAGACTCGTCACCTTGAGGCTTTTGGGCGGAAAGTTACATCGACTGCTGGGCATTTGATGGGACCTACTTCCGAGTCTTCCAACGGCGGCCACTACCACAACGCTATGGTCGACATTCAGCGCGAGCTGCGACGGCCTGCCGCGCAGCGCAATGTTTTCTCCTTAACCCAAACCACTCCAACCGATCTGGTCCGCTCGAAATTGTCTACCTCCGAGATTCAATCGCGAGCGATCTCCTCCCTTCCCGATGACCTTCTCATGAACATCCCTGAAGACAGCAGTTCCTATTCGCTCTTCCAAGGATTTCAAGCCTCTCAGGATGACATTGAATATAGAAAGGCTCATCGCCGGCGCTCATCCAAGAGCAAGAAGTTATTGAAAGATGGGGAGGCACACGCCGCCCTGCCTTCTGCGCCCGCGGATTTGAGAAAGGAACGGGATCTACTCAGTCGTAGGATGGACCTCATGGGTGTTCGCAAGAACATGTGCAGCTCGGAGATACATGAAATAGACAACAAGATTGCGAACTTGCACAATATGCGCAAAATTGTCTTAGATCGTTTAGCCCATCTAGAGATGGAAGAAGCCGAATTGGAGCATGAATGTGAGTCTCGAACATGGTCATTTGATGCAAACGTAATTGGTGGCTAACCAAAATCCAGTGACGGAGGTTGATAACAAACTAGAAGACATCGAAGAAGAGGAAGCGGCACACGCGCAGGCTCAGGCCCCAACAACCCCGAAGTCATCAGAAGCAAACGACGACTCAACCGTCTCGGAGGATCCTTCAATGGATGCATCCTTCATGTCGGAGTCCATTTACCAAAAGATTCCTTCCCCGAAGAGTGTCAAGCAAAGGTCCATAAGTAAGCGCAGCTGTTCGCGACACATCAAGAGAAACATGACTGACAAACCAGGGAAACGCTCGATGCCTATTCTGCATGAACACTTTAGTCCCGGGTCCGAGATCAAAGAAATGGCGGCCCATTCTGACATGGTCACAGCAATTGATTTCGACTATCCTTTCGGTACTATGATCAGCGCCGCGCTGGACGATACGGTGCGGGTGTGGGATCTCAATGTTGGCCGTTGTGTTGGTTTCCTGGAAGGTCATAATGCTTCCGTCCGCTGTCTCCAAATCGAGGATAACATTGTTGCCACGGGTTCAGTGGATGCATCTGTCAAGCTATGGGATCTAAGTCGCGCCCGAACAATGACCACTCGCGACAACCGTATCACCCGCCGCGATGACAGAGATGAGGAGACTGTGCCAGCCGATGACGCCTCGGTAGCATCACATTCTACTACGCTAGAGGACTGCTATGTTTATTCACTAGATGCCCACGTTGATGAGATCACCGCGCTTCATTTCAAGGGTGACACCCTGATATCAGGCTCTGCTGACAAGACACTGCGACAGTGGGATCTCGTCAAGGGGCGCTGTGTTCAAACGCTCGATGTATTGTGGGCGGCCGCGCAGGCGTCGTCGCTGGGCGGGGATTCGCAATGGCGCCCGTCGGGACGCCTGCCAGACGCGTCAGCGGATTTTGTCGGGGCCGTTCAGTGCTTCGACGCCGCCCTGGCCTGCGGCACAGCAGACGGTATGGTCCGTCTCTGGGATTTGCGCAGCGGACAGGTTCATCGTAGCCTGGTGGGCCATACTGGCCCTGTTACCTGCCTACAATTCGACGATGTGCATCTGGTCACCGGAAGTCAAGACCGCAGTATCAGGGTGTGTTGTTCTCCTCCTCAATTTTGTTGCTCAAGTGCTAAACGCCACCAGATATGGGACCTCCGAATGGGATCGATCTATGATGCCTATGCATACGACAAGCCCATCACCAGCATGATGTTCGACACCAAGCGGATTGTTGCGGCTGCAGGCGAGAACGTCGTAAAGGTCTATGACAAGGCCGATGGTCATCACTGGGATTGTGGCGCTGGAGTCGGCGCTGATGAAAATGGCCCATCGCCTGCAACAGTCGAGCGGGTGCGCCTCAAGGATGGCTTCCTTGTTGAAGGTCGCAAAGACGGCGTCGTTGCTGCTTGGACCTGTTAAGATTTGAGATGACCATGCTTCTATGACTTGCAAAACCCGCTGCCACGTACATGTTAGCATTTGGATGGCTCTGTATTTTGCGACTGCTTTGATCGCCTCAGCGACTGTACATTATCTTTCCATTTGGCCAACATAGAAAGGGAAACAAGGCGCCTTACGGCCGGTGCCGCGATTGTATACTAGTTTATTATTGATACAAGGTACCCTTCTCGTGGCTACTCCACCATTCGATAATAACCTGTCCCTTTGTTCAAAGCTGAAACATGCTTCTAAGAGGCCATGCATAAAAATAGCTAAGCAAATAAAGAACGCTGAAAACACCATTGGTGATCGTGGTCGACATGAAACAACATAAAGAGCCACCAGGAGCAAATGATTCAGTGCTCAATGCCTAAGGACTGTCGCCATGAGCTCATCCTCACGCATGCCAGACATCTATGATCCTCTCTACAATTCATGCTGAAGTACTCCGTACTTCGTAATGTTTGTCCGTTCTGTGTACGGCTATTTACTGTGAAGCGGGCTGGCGTTCGTATCCACCAGTCCTGATTAGGCAGCCAAATGTGTAATGTCTCGGTATCTGTAAAATCGACCTTCCTCCGCCAAATCCACTCGGACCAGTTCCCTTCCTCATCTTCGCTCCGGCATGCTTCATGCCTGTTCTTCCTAAACAGCATCTTTCTTGCAGAGCTCTACTTGCTTGACGCGTCATTCATAGGCGCAACTCTCTCTGTACATTACTGAAGCATATATCTGTGTATACATCCACGGCACCAGGCATTAAACAGTGGACCGCGCGCGCGTCCAGCTGTCCCCGCCGACCCTGGCCCTCCATATCGAATGAGGAGAGGACGATCTGGTTGAGGCTCTCAGAGCAAGCCTAATAATCATTTTCTTTGAGTCGCATTGCGAGTCAAATTTGACCTCGGTTCTATTCTTCCTATGCCGGGTAACAAAGGACTCTTTTAATACTTTGTTCTTGCCTACCTCTGGTCCATTGCTCGGAGTACATCTAGTCGCCCACGCCGCATTTCCCCAAACCCAGCTCGCAACTTCCAGCTTGCACAGGCGCATGATTCCAAAAACTCACCCAGTAACGACTCTTATCTGCATATCGCAAATATCCCTCGCCTTCCCTCTCTTAGGTTCTATTGCGACTGCCTGCGCACTCGTCGACAGTTCTTCTGAGGTTGCGGAAAGCTGGATAGAACACGGATTACAGGTGAGAAAGCGACGCTTCCTTTTCTTTGGACGTGTATTATCGCGTGTGTTTGGACTACGGCTCAGTGCACCTTTTCATGATACCAAGTTCTAACTGTTACGAAAAGAGGCAGATCTGGCTTTTTGAGACAAATCGAGATGCCCCCCAGACGCGGCGCCGTCAGGCAGACGGGGTCAACGCCCCGCGCCGAGGGCGCTCTCTCTTTCTTTCAGCACCAGCTGATGTCGGATAGTCGAAACCAGGCCTTGCCTAACCTCCCCACGAAACAGTCATTCGCTTATGGCTCGGCTGAAACGCCGCTCCTTCCACGGCAGCTGGTGCTCAACCCTCATATGGACTTGGTAGAAATGGCCGGCCAGATCGATAAGGGCATCGAAGACGCGAAAGACCGAGAGCAAAGACAAACCGTGTCGAATGCGGATCGTAACCGTCGACGGCGTTCATCCTCAGCCAATATGTCACCGGTGCGAAGAACACGCCGAGAGCCAACTCCAGATCAAACGCAGCTACTCGAGTCGCTGCGTGATGCGACAAGGTCACCAAGTCCTGTCAATGACTACCACGCAAACGACCAGTCAACTGCGACTCCCACTCCTCCTATCCCACATACTATTTCGACGGCTTCTAGTCCAGCACTGGATCCTGTTCCTGAATCTCGATATCCCCACGTGCCTGCGGACAAGCTATACCCTTCACCCCTGCTGCGCTCGGGCGTTCCAGCGCATGATGAGCCGCCTTTGAGTAGCTTCTCTGGGGTTGACAACGAATCCGTGATTTCGTATTCCATTGAGCGGGATGTTCATGACGACGACTTGCGGCGGACGCTGTCCGATGGCAAGAACATCACTGCACCCCCTCGCCGAGTATCCGGGATGGCATTTGTCAAAGATGTCTCAACTATTCATGAAGAGGACGAACCTGACTCAAGACTTTCTCAGTACCAATCATCGCCGTTGAAGTCACCTCCAGTGAAACCCCTTCACCCGCTGAAATCCGTAGTGCCACCTAAGGCGCCGTCTCCAGCAAGGTCACCTTCGCCTTCTTTGTCACCTTCACCTAGTCAATCATCATCCCCTCTGAGGTCTCTTTCACTCTCAATATCGCCGTCGCCTGAAAAGTCGCCTTCACCCCCTCGACGTGTCTCGCCTCGAAAGGCACCAACACCCAAGAAATCACCACTCCCGGTAAAGGCATCAACACCCAGGAAATCACCACTGCCGGCAAAGGCACCTACACCCAAGAAATCACCATTTCCGGCAAAGGCACCAACGCCAGCCAAGTTGCCTTCTCCTTCGCCAATGTATGAAGATATCGAGATGGAGACTACACCGGAGCCCGAATGGGAGCCGCAACCAGAGTTTCTTAGAGAAGAATCACCTATCGCCCAACCACCAGCCCCCAGAAAGACTTCCATTCCAGAGTATCATGCGGAAGATGCATCTGCAAGAGTACAGAGAACGCGCAACCTCAAGGCACTCCTGCTTGGTGTGCGTACCCCGAGTGAGATCCTAACCGCTATTGGTCGGGTGATTGCACTTCTGACCATGGCGATGATTGTCCTAACTGGTTTCAACTATTTGAGTGAAGTTATTCCTTTCGCTCATCCTGAGTACTATGGATCATTGAATGAGACCGGGTTGAATGCGATCAGCAGTCTCAGCGCACAGGTGTCCAGCCTAGGGTCTCAAGTATCCACTCTAGCAAGGGACATCCAGACAGTCAAAGCTGATCTCCGAGCACAACCGACAACACGTGTATCCCCTGTGACTGGGTCATCTTCTGGCACGTCTTATGGCACCTACATTCCAAAAACCAATTTCTTGACTGTAAATCTCGGTATCCTTGTTGATCCTTACAAGACAAATCCTACCGTGACGCAGTATACCACTTATAAAGGACAAATGTATAATAAATGGTTTGGTGATGAAGTTCGCCGCCCGCAACCACCTTTGTCCGTTGCCTCAAGGTGGGACGATATCGGAGACTGCTGGTGCAGCGTCTTGCGCGATGGGATGACACAGATTACTATTCTCCTGGGCCACCGTATCGTCCCGGAAGAAATGGTTGTCGAGCATGTTCCCAAAGCAGTGGCGCTGACCCCCGGGCTTGCCCCCCGAGATATGGAGCTATGGGCCCGGTTTCGCCGCGTTTATAACGACACTTTAGTATACCCTACTCCACCAAAGTCGTGGGCCGATTGGTTGAAGTCCAAGGTTACCCCGTTTGCTCCCCCACAGAGTATTGCTGGGCAGGATGATATCATGAACGATGAGCGGTTCGTCTTGCACGAGCCGGTCATGCATGCTCTCTCGTTGGCCTACCCCGGTGAAGCGGAAGAACACTACTGGGGTCAGCATGATGAGTTGCTCGGGCCGGCGTTCTATCGTGTTGGGCGTTGGACTTATGACATCAACGGCGATTCTCATGCGCAAAAGTTCATCCTTGATGCCGTAATTGACGACCCGGAGATCCGCGTGGATAAGATAATTGTTCGCGCGAAAAACAACTGGGGAGCCGATCACACGTGTATCTACCGACTGGAACTGTTTGGCCACAAGTAGCTGGCCCTGCTTTCTCTACCTCTTTCCCCCATTTTTTTGCAGTTTACTTCATTTTTATCTTTTGGCCTTTTAGCCTTCTTTGCTTATTGGCATTACCCTTTGATAAGTTTTCTTTCTTGCAGGCGTTCTCTTTCTAGGCGGGATACGGATATGACCAATAGATTGGGGTGTAATTCAATCAAACATCAGCTGGCGTTCTGGTCATCTTGAGGCGTTCTCTTTACCTTTGACGGATTGCGGACGGTGTGTCTTTCCTTTCTTTGCATGCAGGATTACTCGATTTCAAGCGGGCTTCTGCAGGAGATACCACCAGACGAGTTATGCATTAGCAGCTGAACTGGATTTTTGTGTTTCTTGTTGTTATTGCTAGATACCTTATCTTCAGATCCATAGACAGTGATAGTATGCTAGGATTCGAGCGATTGCACACAAATCTTTAGTCCATCCAGCACACAACTGGATCCGCTACCCCGACCACTCTCCTCGCGATCTTGTCTTCTCAAGCTTGATCACTTGTTAATCCAAGTTTCTCTTTCGGTGGACATCATCTAAGTATAGGACTTCTGCTCTACAGGGAAACAGATCGGTATGCCACTCATTGGCTCGGCCGCAAGAACAGGACCAACTGTTGCTCAATCTGCGAGTGACAATTTCAACACCTCCACCAGATCCTCTAATAGCAAGCATTAAGGTCGTGCACAGGTGAAATTTGTAGAGATGAAAGTGGCTGTGAGGATCAGGCAGGATTTTTTCCGGAGTCGGGATTGATAGTACTGTAGTTTCCTCTTTCGGCGGCCGCTTGGAATCCTCAATCCAGCTTGCGACCAGCGGAGTCACATGGTTGTAGACCAATACCCTTAGGATGCATAGCGGTCGACCCTTTTACCTCCCTCTCCAGAACCACTGCATACACCCTACCTATCCATATTGATGTATCAGTCTCCGCTCGAAATAAGCATCGGATACCACAAATAGTAACGTATCACATCCCCCTTGCATAAGTGACGAACGCCACATACGACGACAAGTGAATCAGATACGATCCATCGCTGAGGCAGGCGACGGAAGAGTTTTTCAAGCGGAAGAAACGTCCGGAGGATATTGATCGATGACACGCGGGGTCTTGACGATGTGGCTGCATATTCTAGATGCTGGATGGCGCGCGACCACTCCAACGGGCCAGTGCCGAGTGCAGGGTGATGCTGATACGACGTAGTAGGGTGCGAACTACTCCGTATATCTTGCTCGCTCTCTCGCCAACTGACCTACGGAGTATAGTTACTCTGTTAGTAGAACCTTGATTCCACATGTTATGCATCCTTGCGTTGAGGTTATGTTTATCTAGTGGTGCCCTTGCGGTGCGTCTGTGAGCTAGTATAATCTGACGTGCTCAAGGGGCCGATGGTTAAAACCCTGTTTATGCTTTCTGGAAAGATGGAATCTGTTAGTGGGGATGTATCCTTGCAGATGGAGTGGGGGAGGATGGGTTCGGGGTTCGGGATTCGGGTTCTATGCTTGTAGTTCGCCGTGAGGTGAAGATTCCGGGTCCAGAATCTGTTCAAAATGTGTGTGTATTTCGTTTTAGTTGGTAGATTGTGATCGGTCGTTTGTGATATATGTTGCAATAAGCCAGCAAATTTACTTTCTTGTGTAGAAACCTCTGGACTTTAGTCGATTGAAGCGTTCATCGATGTGTTGTTCCTGATGTGATACGCAGCCTAAGGCTGGCTGCACGGCATCGCCGACGGCAGGGCAGGCGTTCCTGAAACACAAGAACACCATCGCACCCCCCAACTATGGAGACACCGCAAACCCATGCTACCGCTCCCTAGGCAATCTCCATGACACGTGTGGATATCTTCCCTCTTCAGATCGGAGACAATCTTTTCCCCAGTGGTGTTCTGGGCCTTTGCCGGACTGGTCGAAGATCGACCGGGCGGGCAGTAAAGAGAGGGTCATGGACATGGTGAACCTTGAAGGTTCCAGGGGGGGGAGTCACAGCTTATACATCACTATGGATGAGCAGTAGGATATTTGTCGAGTGTTGGTTTTGGTTGACATGGGGGGAAGTATAAGGCGTTGGTCTGAGAAAGGCAAAAGTCGATGCTGCGACGGCGGCCTGGAAGTGCCGTGCTGGTGACCTGGCGAGGGCTTGAGGATTTAACTAACGGTCAAGGATTTGAGCAAGTCGTCCTGATCCTGGACCGGGGTTCCTCTCTTCCCTCTCATTCCCTATATCCTATATCTCATTTTGGTTTCCATGAAGATTCTTGCCGTGGGATTGAGGAGAAGAGCCGGCTCTCTTTCGCATGGAACAGGTGTTAAACGCGTGAGGTCTGAGTTACGGATTATCCCCGTTGCTGGTCGACTTACGATTCGAGATATTGCTGCTTTGCTGCTTCTCAATGTCTTAACTTATAACTACTTATAAGCAACTATTACACAGTAGTCTGGCAACTGCTCCGTACTCAACTCCGGAGTAGGGCCTCGGAAAGGAGAGCATGCTTGATCATGCAACCAGGGGCAGCCTCAGTTCATTGATGAATGATAACTTGGTCGCTCGCTGAGTGGAGAAGAGCTAATGCAACCCCCATGATCCATGCTCCAGTTCGCCTTTGCACGTTCGACTGGTTCTCGAATCGAGTCGGGGTTTCGACTCGGTGGTGTGGACCGGATGCTGGTCAATCAATGTAGATTGCTATCTTCCAGCCGTCTTAATTGATCCTACGTTTCTCGGCGACTGGCTTACCGCGTGGCTGCAGTCAGGCTGGGACACTGTGCTCCATCGAGTAATTTACGATGGAGAAGCACAAAGCTTTCATTAACTTACCTCCATTTCGCGCGATGATGAGACTGATGATGCCGTAATGTACCCAAAACTCATCAATGGTCTACTCCGTAGGTAGCCTGATACGTAGTCTCAGAGCCTCGGCTGCTGTCCCACTTGCCGAATGACAGCTCTGCTCCAATCCGGCATGGATTGGCATTGTCAGTCCCTCATCGTGGCACCATACAGTATTTGATGGAGCGACTGACCCGCCGCCAGAGCAACAGCCTCAATCTGTACCGCTCGAGGTCATTAGAGAATGGAGGGTCAGTATGTATGTGCGTCTTGGGCGGCCATGCCGTCCGTGCCATTGGAATTAATTCAGCCTAGTCAAGCCCTGGAGCCTCCGGTCGGCCGTCGCTCGTCATTTCGCTTGATTAGTTAGTGGCTGATGATTAATGGGTTGCGTGTCAAAACACTGAATGCACCTGCTGTCAGTACCCGATTCCGAGTGGTTCCTGAGTTCGCAGGCCCAGCGTGTTTCAGCAGCCTGTGGGCTCCAGTAGTTTATTCTTAGAGTTCGAAGTTTGACAACACTGGGCTGACATGGTGTGACAGGGAAAATGCAGCTTGTTGACGGTGCAACAGGGAAGATTGGATAAGGATTTACTTCAATGGCTGCTGATTTAGGTTGAGGTGGCTTCCTAGGATAATCACATACCGTCTTTGCAATTTTCTTTCTGAGCTTTTTCTTCTTTCAATCTGAGAGGCAATGACGATTGTGATTTGTGCTTAGAATTGAGGGGAGTACGTGGAAGGCAGTGAACGATAGCCATTGAGTGTTTTCCAATCGCATGCCCAAACCTGAAACATCCACCAAAAGGTTGGAGGTGTGGAACAAGAAGCATTGGTTGGGGCAGAATTAATGGCTCCATCTGTTTTGTTCAACTGCTCCGGACTGCCGGTGCCTGAATCGATATCCGATATCCATCCGCTGCGAACCGTGGAAATGCTTTTGCCGGCAATCCGGCACCAGTTCAGGAAAAGTCAATGGATGAATCGGGAAAAAGATGATGGACGGGTCTGATTATGTGTGTGTGTGTGTGTGTGTGTGTGTGTGCGTAATGTGCTTTGTACAAAGTGCTGCAGTGAATGACTGATTGACTCGTAGATTCAGTCATTGATTGATAGAGGATAGACAGACACCTGCAAAAGAATGCAGATACGTAAATGTTCTGGACCTCTCTCTTTTGGGCTTCTCCCCCTGGCCTCGTAACTTTAGAGCTAGTACTCTTGGAGCGTTGAGCGACCGTACCTGACGAAAGAAAAAGGCCCGAGTACATTATTCGCTTCGTCATAGTCATAGTAATCCTCATCATCATTACCATTCTCTAGGTAAGCATCAGCAACAACAACAACAGCAACAACAACAACAACAACAAATCCACAACCAGTAACTAACAGGTTGACGGAGATCCAGCATTCCACAGAGGAGAAGAAAGAGGCCAGAACTCCGTCAGTCCTCGAGGTCTCCGCTTTCTCTTCTCCTTCTTCTCTATTTTTACCTTTTGCCTCTTTTCCAGACTTGTTTCAACATTAATCATGGTTCCCGAGTCATGAAAATGAACCCTCCTCCCAGTTACCTTAGGAGTATCGCCAGTAGTAGTGTACTATCTACCACCTACAGTACCTCGTCAGTAGTAGTAACTACTTTACTCCTTTTTGAAGCTAGTGACGGTTCCTGACTCTCTTTTTTTTCCCTTCTCTCACTCCACTTTCCCCCTCCCTCCCCCAGCCCCCATTCGCTTCAATCAACCTTGATGCCACCAATTAACTTTTACTGGTCGTCGTTCAGGAGTCTCCTTCCGCGCCAACTCACTTAGTACTGGTGACTGCCTGCCATTGCTACATCTTTTTCCTTCCAGGGTGTCTTCTGGCACCCTAGGAGGTTTGCCTTAATTCTTCTCTTTCCTCCTCTTTCTCTTCATTCACTGCAGCTTCACACCTGTCACTCCTTGTCTCCCCTCCTTCTCTTTCCTCCCCCTCCCCTCCTCCCCTCCCTCCCTCCCTAAAAGAAGTACCACAATTTACTTCTTTCGGATCAGCCACACTGCATGCGCTTTGGGTGCAAGTAGTGGTCGCAATCATTCCTTTACAAGTGTTTGTTCCCTCACTTCCTTTGTTCCCACTGCAGCCACCCCGGGCTGGAGTCCGCTCTCTTATTTCTCTCGCTGGCTGGCTGTCAATTGAGGAGGTTGTCTAACTGCGTATTTCTTGCCCACAGATATTTGTTGTCCCAGTCGTCCCTGCGATCAACGGGACTTGTTCATGTCGCAGATTGTCGCCGGCCGCCAACTCACGCGATTCACTCTCGAAACATAATACTTAATCACCCCCCCAATCCTCAACAGCCGGCAATTCACCACTGATGACGCCTCGGAACGTTCCATGACCGACCAGTAACACTTGATCACAAAATCACAATTGGTCTGCCCGACCGATCACAGTTCCATTCTACTATAAAGGCCATGACGGGTACGCCACCAGGGTCACCGTCGAGTGCGCCCCAACGACCAGTGAGCACCATCATGCGTTCGCAAAGAAGCAATAGTCGCCTCAGTATGAGCAGTAAACATGGCGGAGGAAGTCGAGCTTCCGATGAAGATGGGAAAACTGCGGTCAAAGTCGGTGCGTTTATCGAGCCACCATCATCTGCAGCATGCGTGGGTCTGTTGGTTGGGCTGAGGTTGTTGTGCCATGGCAACACTCACAACCCAGCAGCGCACTCCAATGCTGCATTCCGCCCTCATGTTCTGCATGCTGATACGAATAACTAGCTGTACGTGTCCGACCTGCTTTAAAACCGGACGACCCCAACTATGAACTGGTTCCACAACGCTTTCAGCGGCCGATGGTTCATGTCATCAACCCGACCAGTCTCGCAGTAGACGTTCCCCAGGGCCGCAAGTTATTCGTCTTCGACCGCGTATTCTCCGAGGCTGTCGATCAGGATGGAGTTTGGGAGTACCTGAGCGATAGCGTGACTTCGTTCCTGCAGGGTTACAATGTCTCCATCCTGGCATACGGTCAGTCGGGCGCGGGAAAGTCCTATACCATGGGAACCGCCGGGCCCAGCGAACAGCAAGACCCGAAATCCATGGGTGAGTCTCATGTGCTCGGACGACGATGGTCTGGCGCAGCTAATTAGTGTAGGGATTATTCCTCGTGCCGCGCAGCTCCTGTTCGAGAAACTGGACGGTCCACCCAAGCACAACCGCCACAGCTCCTCCGGTCTTCGAACTCCAGCTCGATACTCGGTCGGTTCGACCGCTAGTTTCGGGAAAGCGAGTGTCGAGAAGAACTGGCAGCTAAAAGCTACTTATGTCGAAGTACGAGCCTTGGTTTCCGTTGGTAATGTGCATCTCCCGCTAACCGGCTTAGATCTACAACGAGCAATTGAGAGATCTGCTCCTCCCGGACCACACGCCTTTCAGTGATCGCAGCGCGGTCACGATTCGTGAAGATCCTAAAGGTCGTATTATCCTGACCGGCCTGCATCAGGTCAACATCAATTCCGTGGATGACTTGATGGGCGCATTGAGCTTTGGATCCTCGATCCGACAGACTGATTCCACTGCGGTCAACGCTAAATCCTCCCGATCGCACGCCGTGTTCAGTCTGAACCTGGTTCAAAGGAAGACTGCTAACGGGATAGTGTCACCGAAAGACAAGCGTATGTCTATGCCGGGTGATATGGCAGCTGGGTCTGATCACACCATCACGGTGGACAGCAAGCTCCATTTCGTGGATTTGGCGGGAAGCGAGAGGTTGAAGAATACGGGAGCGTCGGGTGAGCGGGCTAGGGAAGGTATCTCGATCAACGCCGGTCTTGCTGCACTGGGCAAAGTCATCTCCCAGCTTTCGTCTCGACAAGCAGGCTCTCACGTCTCGTATCGCGATTCGAAGCTTACTCGGCTCCTCCAAGACTCCCTCGGTGGAAATGCCTATACGTACATGATTGCCTGTGTGACACCTCCCGAATTCCATCTGAGTGAAACGCTCAACACCGTTCAGTATGCGCAGCGAGCTAGAGCAATTCAGAGCAAACCGCGGATCCAGCAAGTCAATGATGAGTCCGACAAGCATGCGGTTATGGAACGACTGAAGGCAGAGGTGGCATTTTTGCGTCAGCAGTTGCGCAACGCAGAAGAGGCCGACCGACGAAGCGTTGCGCCAGCCGAACGAACGGAGCGCCAGAATGAGCGGGAGGTCGAACTTCAAAATCACCTGCTGGATGTTCAAGAGAGCTATAATGCGCTGAGCCAGCGCCATGCCAAGCTGATTTCAGAATTGGCACGGGACTCCGAAAAAGGCACTGATATCGATGCAAACGACTTCGCCACTGCCGTCGGTAAAAGCTCAGTCGAGAGACTCAAGAGGTCTCAGTCATTCGCCGAGTCTATCGAGCAAGTGGTCCTCGAATACGAGAAGACAATTCAGAGCCTGGAAACGTCTTTGTCGAACACACGATCCTCTCTGTCTACGACTGAAAGCACTCTCCTTGAGCGTGAGACCAGATGTACCTACGTGGAGGCCGTTAATTCGCAGCTACAGTCCCGCATCCAGAAACTCCTAGATCGAGAGGGTAGCACGGAATCATATCTGCGTGAATTGGAATCAAAGCTCGATGGACAAACCTCAGGCGAAGAGAAACAGGAGGCTATCGTATCGGAGCTGCGCAAAGAACTTAGCCGTGCCCGTGAAAGCGAAGCCAACTGCGAAGACTACATCTCAACTCTGGAAGAGCGTTTGGCTGAAGCGGATCAGGACATGGAGCTGATGCAAAGAGAGCTGGAGCGGCTGGAGCACGTTGTCGAGCGCCAGCGAAGCTTAGGAAAACTCGATAACCTTCTCTATGAGCTCGATCATGTGCAACAGAACGGCGACCAAAAGGCCGACGAGCTCGTTGATGAGCGTGAAAATGTTCTGAATATCCCTGCCAAGGGTGCCTACAACCCTCGTCTACGAGCAACATCGCTAGATGTATTGACTGAAGCCGTAGAGACCGCTATCCCAGAATCTGATGAAGGCCTAAGCGACCCAGTCGCTACTCTTGCGGATGAAAGTCTTGCGGATGCCGAGTCGGTCGCCGAAGAAGATGAGCGCGACTTGAAGACCTTGGAAGACGCGACTAACCAACTTCAGCCAGAGGTTGCGAATGCGCAGAGCCGGCCTCCAAGCCCGACTCAGTCCAGGGTTGTTGCCGAGAAACTAGACACTGTGACACAGGAGCTTCTTGACTTGCGTTTGCAGCACGAGACGACTCTGAATGACTATGAGCTTCTCGCGTCCAAATACGAGGCTGCAATGAAGGCTCTGGCAGAGCTTCAGCAAGATGCTGCAGACGAGGCCCGTCATCCTGGATCAAATCTCCAGAGCCTCCTTTCTCCGACTGCTTCTTCCCGTCCAGTTTCTTTTTTAGAAGATGCGAAGATCCCCGAGTCGAGAGTTGGAACACAACGTTCCTTCTCGCATTCACTCTCTTCGGAGTTATCCTTGGCCGGGGAGCCTGCTGCTTCGCACGAATCCTCTAATACAAACGAGCAGTTGACCGAGCAGGAGGTCCCTAATAGTGCTCGTATTTCTGAGATAGATGACGCCAGAGCCCAGGAGGTTGAGCAGATGCGTCGTCTGCTCTCTGAACACCAGGAAGGCGTCAGCATCATGACGCAAAAATACGCGCAGCTACAAGCGGAGCACGAACAAACACTTGGCCTGATCGAAACGCTCAAGGCGGAAATCCAGAAACCGAGGTCATCGCCGACGACGCCGGGCTTCAAGTCTCCAGTGATCAGACGCAAGACTAGCCAGAGTCTGATTGGTAGTGTGGACCGTGCTCAACGATCCTTGGCCGCCTTACGCAACCTCGCCTCGGAGGAATTCGAGTCTCGTCCTGATACGATGCAGAATTTCGAAGTGCACCTCGATTCTGCCATGCACGAATTGTACAACCGCATGGAGCGTATCCAGGCGCTCGAGGCTGAGAACCAAAGCGTCAAAAAGGAGATGGAAATGAAGTCCACCATCATCTCCGGACTCACTAGAGAGAGGTCCAGTTTGCAGGGTGGCGCTTCCCAGGTGGATATGGGACTCGTTTCCCAGCTGCGTGACCAAGTCGTTCAGCAAGAAAATATCATCATGGAAATGAGAGAAGCACACGAGGCTAGGGAGAAGTTGCTTCTGGCCGAGATTGACGAACTCAAAGGTCTTCTCAAGACCCAAGAAGAAGCCGCTAAGGCTTACGATGCTGGTGCTGAGGAACAAGACCGGAAGATCAACTCCTTGAACGGGGAATTGTTCGAGTGGAAGAACAAACACCAGAACGCTGTGCAATCACTACAGTCTTCGGAAGAACAACTTAGTGCGACGCTGGCAGAGCTTGACAGTGCCCTGGCCTCGTTGGACGCACTGCGCGCTGAACAGGCTGCGGCAGGTGAAGCATCTGCGTCAAAAGAGGCTGCTGCAAGAGAGCTGGAAAGCGAAAGAGCGGAACAGGAAGAAACCGTCACCAAGCTGAAGCGGGTCATCGAGGAACACCGATCCACAGCGAACATCAACCTCGAGCAAATTGCTTCTTTGGAGAAACTGTACGGTGAATCTCAGCAGCAGCTGTCCGAACTCCAGGCCGCTAAAGACAGCGATGGTAACGAGGCGGCGATACATCAGTCTCGCATGACCGAGTTAGAGGAAGAAATTGAGTCTCACAAGTTGCTCGCTGACACCTACAAGAAGAATCTTGATGCCTTGCAAGAAACCCACAGACAAGAGAGGGAGGAATTGGAATCCCGCGCAAGAGCCGCCATGCAAGCCGAATATGAGACACGTTTCACGGAGATGAACACCAACCATGAACAAGCCATGGACAATCTGAGATCTGAGATCATGGCGTCACGCGACGAATTGACGAACTTGATGCAATCGGTCTCGCGACTTTTGAGCTCCGATGTCACTGTTGACAACCTAACGGACCAGATTCAAGATGTTCTGGTGCAGAAACAGCACTTTTCTGACAGATATGCAGAGCTGATGGATATGAATGATGATTTGCGCAAGCAACTCGGTGAGAAGAGCAGCGAAGCCGGACGTCTCGACGAGCTTACCCGGAACAACGCAGCCAAAGACGCCAAGGTGAATGAGCTTGCTCTGCTGGTCGCTACCCTGGAAGATACTCTTCTGCAGAAGGATGAACAAGTGAAGAAGAAGGAGGCTCTTCTCGCTGAAGTCCAAGAAGAAAAGGAACGGAGTGTGCGTCTCGTCGAAGAACTTGAGGAACAGATTACGAACAGCTTCGATCAACACAACAACCGGCTTTCTGTGATTCAACAAGAGCGCGACCAAGCTCTAGAGGACGCCAAAGTCAAGATCGCCACTTACGAGAAGGAGATTGAAACCTACCGTTTGCGGATCGAGCAGCTCGAGCTTCAACTCAAGAACCACGATAGCTCTCATGATCGCAGCAGCTCGATCACATCCAATCTCCGCAAGAGCGCCTCGGCCACCTCCCTTCCTTCTCCACCCCCAGCAATTCCTCTGCCACCACTTCCCAACATTGCATCTGCCACCAATGGCACTGGCAGCATTTCTCCGCCAAGCTCGCGCCATACCAGCAAAGAATTGGTTAGCCCGCAGATGGTCGAGGACCAGGAAGCGCGTATCCGTACCATTGAGAAGCACCTGAACGCTGAGAAACAACTCACGGCCACTTTGGAGGAAGCTCTTGGCGATCTTGAAGCCCAGAGCAACAAGGTCAAGGCCGATTGCGAGACCTGGAAGAAGAAGGCCTGGCAATTGGAAGAAGAGTTGACGACATTGCGCAAGGAGCGCACCTCCCAGCGCCTTTCACTCCAAGCGGTTGAGGAGGAGAGGAATGCTCGACGGGAGGCCGAAGCTGCCAGAGCACAGCTTGAAGAACGCATGAACGCACTCAACAAGAAGAAAAAGAAGAGCACGCTTAACTGCTTTTGATTGATGTGCTCGGATGCATGGGAGGCTTTTGTCTGCGTACCTGTTTTATTCTTATTTTGTCGATGGATATGAAGTTTAGCCTGTCGACTGTGCCATGATGATTTCCACGTCGATTATTCCCCTTTTGGACATGATCGATACACTTTTCTCTTCTCCTGTGTGTATTCCACAGTTACTTACTACTTTTGAGTCACTTTTGCACAGTTGTCTTTTTCTTCACCCCCTGTGTTTTATGAATCCCAATTTATGACCTCGAGCAAATGGCCTGTTATTGTACTGTACACTTCTCGACTACCCTGTCATTCCACTTAGACATGCATTGAGTGGTCCTGTTGCTCTTAGTTGTCCAGCATAGCTTTCTATAGCAGATCAATTAGACTATGGAGCTTGCAGTTTCGACCTGATGTCATCTTGTAGACTGGAATTGTCAATGCATGACGTGGATAACTCACTACCTAGTAGTGATAGCTCCAGTGCCTCTTATCATCACATGACCTGCGCTAATCAGCTTATCAATTGGACCGATAGTGGCCGCGTGTACTCTTTCTTCCCCCCGACACAAAAAGCTATACAGAAAGATTCACATTTTCCTTGAGATGGCCTTTTTCTCCTTGAATCTTCGAGTCAATTACTATCCTACCTACTAGCAGTTCACTCACCCTCCCAGACTGGGTATCTTCACAACACAATGGCCCCTCCCACCCCGCGCCTCCCCAAAATCACCATCATCCACCCGGACCTCGGCATCGGCGGCGCCGAACGCCTCATCATCGACGTGGCCCTGGCCCTCCAGAACCGCGGCCACCGCGTCACGATCTACACCTCGCACCGCGACAAATCGCACTGCTTTGAGGAGGCTCGCGACGGCACCCTCGACGTGCGCGTCCGCGGCAACACCATCTTCCCCGCGCACCTCGGCGGGCGGTTTCACGTGCTGATGGCGATCGCGCGCCAGGTGCACCTGACATTCTCATTACTCGGGGAGGTTGGTAACGGCAGTAGCACTGACGATCCTCAGCAGCAGCAGCAGCAGCAGACTGAAGAGGAAAATGGAGAGGAGGACGAGATCTTTATCGTAGACCAAGTCCCCGCTTGCGTCCCAATCCTGAAGACGTGGGGTGCGATGAGACGTTCGCACCCCCGGCGAACTGCAGGCAAGCAACAACAACAACAACAGCCAAGGCAACGGATTTTGTTTTATTGCCATTTCCCGGATCAGTTGCTGGCCCGCAAAGATGAGGGCGGGGAGTTGCTCCGCGCGCTGAAGACCTTGTATCGGGCCCCGTTTGATTGGTTTGAGGGGTGGGCGATGAGTGCGGCCGATAAGGTGGTGGCTAATTCAAGGTTTACGAGGGGGGTGATTACCGGGGTCTTTGGGGAGGAGAAGCTCGGGGAATTGAGTGTGGTCTATCCTTGTGTGGATACTGAGGCTGGGATGGGGGGCCAGGCCCAGGCGGAGGCGGAGGGGTTGGGTGCTACGGGGGAGAAGGTGTTGTGGGGGGGCAAGAAGATCTTGCTGAGTGTGAATCGGTTTGAGAGGAAGAAGGATTTGGCGCTGGCGATTCGCGCGTATCATGGACTGGGAAAGGCGAAGAGGGTCGGGACGAGGTTGGTTGTTGCTGGTGAGTTTGGAGGATTCCCATTTCTGTTTCTTTTCCTCACTCACTTGGGTGAGTTCTGCTGGGTGCCGTTGCTAATGTGTTGTTGTTGTTGGTGGTGGTGGGTACAGGTGGCTACGATCATCGGGTTCAGGAGAATGTGCAGTATCATAAGGAATTGGATCAGCTGGCGACTAGCTTGGGCTTGCAGACCGCCACGGCCAAAACGGTCGTCTCGGCGCTCTCGGTCCCGGACTCGATCGATGTGCTTTTCCTGCTGTCGGTGCCCACGGCCTTCCGCGATACCCTCCTGCTGCAAGCCAAGCTGCTCCTCTACACGCCTGTCAACGAGCACTTCGGGATCGTCCCCGTCGAGGCCATGCGCGCCGGCATCCCGGTTCTTGCGTCGAACACCGGCGGGCCGCTCGAGACTATTGTCGAGGGAGAGACGGGCTGGCTTCGGGATGCGAAGAACGACGCTGAATGGACGGCCGTCATGGACAAGGTGCTCTATGAGATGAGCCAGACGGAACTGGACCGCATGTCGGCTGTCGCCAAGAAGCGGGTCGAGAGCGAGTTCTCCCTCACTGCCATGGGTGAGAAATTGGAAACTGAGATCACCGAGATGCTTCGCAAGGAGAGGCGGCCGTTCAGTGGGTACCAGCAGGTCCTCGTGCCTCTGGCTCTGCTAGGCGCTGTGTTTGCCCTCTTGGTCGGCTTGCTTCTCCGGCTGCTTTGATTTGGTTTGCTCATCTAATACCCTTTCTGCTCTGCAATGTATACTAGGAATGTCTATTACTCGGGGAAATACAACTGAGACTGGGATAGATCCAATCGATATAATATATAGATATGGGTTCACGTGATCGCGCGCCTCGGACGTGACGTCGCGACACGTTCCCGCCAGGCTTTCATGATCTCTTATCCTCCGCCCTCGACCTTGGGTTAACTGTTCGCTCATCACAACATAATGCCAGAGGTTATCAGTCTTCTCTCTTCGACGCCGCCTCCTCCGGTAGACCGACACGAATTGTCCTCTGCGAGACGAGCCCACTCCACTCCGCCCGCCCCCGCGTCCTTCGACGAGGTTGACCTCTCCGCTTTCACATGGGAAGACGATCTCGACCTCGACAACCCAGCAAAACGTCGCCGTCTGAGCCACGAAGCCCTTCAACCTCCTCCCCCGCCCCCGCGTTCCCGACAGCCCTCCCTCCCAAAAACATACAAGAATGACCTATTCCTATTTTCCGACGAGGATGTGATCTTATCGTCCGAAGGCCCTGGCCCAGGCCTTGGCCCAGGTCCCGGCCCTGCCCTCCCGAAACTTCCAGCATGGACCGGGGAGTCCGACCCGATCACGTTCACCTCCTCTGCCCCCGAACCCAGAGACACTGCTCTTGCTGCTCCAATCTCGCTACCGTTACCGCCCCCTCGTACCAGGGATATCATCGCACTCGACGAAGACGAACAGGACACCCTGCGCGAACAGTTGCCCGCGGCGAGGTCTAATAGCCGAGTTGATCGCATCGATCACCACGAGCACTCGAGTGCGGCAAGGTCCACCAGGCGGGAGAATATTGAGGACTTCAGCAGTGACCAGATTCATTTTCCCGACATCGACGAGCTCCTTGAACGTCCTTGGCAGCCTCCGACGACAGCGGGCGCTTTCTCCAGTCGCACGGCGGCTTTACTCGCTAATCTTCAACAAACCCAAGACAACACCACGGGAACTGGGCCTAGAAATACCACGGCACCTCGACGGCACAAGAAAGATAAGGTTGCGGACGATGTTATCGAGGATGATGAGATGGACGGTCCAAGTACGACTACCGCCCGGAAACCACGCAAAGCCACCGCCCGCACGAGCGCGGAGAAGGATGCTAAAGCGCGCGAACGGGAGGCCGCCAAGGCGCAACGAGAAGAGGAACGGCGGCGCGAGAAGGAGCGCAAACAGAGAGCCAAGGAAGAGAAGGCCCGCGAGAAGCAGCTGGCGGCGGACATCGCCGAGGTCAACAAGTTGAAGGTGGGCCGGAAAGAGTCGACGCCCGAGATGCTGATCGACCTTGCCTCGACGTTTGAAGGGACCAGTATCGGAAACCAGACCACGGAGTTTATGAAGCATCTCGGGGTGGAACTGTCCTTCTTCACGAGCTCGATCCCGAGTATCGTCAAGTGGCGTCGCAAAATCAAAGCCATATACAACGAAGCCCTCGGGTACTGGGAGCCATGCGCCCCGCATATCCGCGAGGAGAAAGAGCATGTGCTCTGTCTCGTCCCAGCGCAGGAGTTGATCGACATGATCATCACCCCCGGTAGTGCTTCGCCACAGACGGCCAGCCCCCCGCTAGAGCAACACATCCAGACCCTGAAGTCCGCATACCCCGGCCGCACCCCGATCTACCTCATTGAAGGCCTTACTGCGTGGATGCGCAAGAATAACAACTCCCGCAACAGAGCCTACGTCGCCGAAGTCCGCCGCCAGTACGACGAAGCCGCCGCCGCCGCCGCCACCACCACCACAACACAAACCTTCTCCTCCTCCCGCCGTAAAAAGAAGCAACAACCACAGAACACCGCCGAAACCACCCCGCCCGTCGACGACGACACCATCGAAGACGCCCTTCTCGGCCTCCAGGTCACGCACGGCTGCCTGATTCACCACACGTCCGCGCCCGCCGACTCGGCCGAGTGGATCAAGAACTTCACCGAGCACATCTCCACCGTGCCCTACCGGCGCGAGCGCATGAACGTCAACGACTCCGCCTTCTGTATGGACGTCGGCCAGGTCAAGCCCGGCGAGAACCGCTCCGACACCTTCGTCAAGATGCTGCAGGAGGTCCACCGCATCACCGCCAGTATGGCCTACGGTATTGCCGAGCGGTACCCGAGTGTACTCGACCTGGTGCGCGCGATGCGCCGTGAGGGGCCGGCTCTGTTGGAGGATGTGAAGGTACGCCCCTGTTCCTCTTATTCTATCTTCACCGAACCCCCTCCCCCCCGGACAGCGAACTAGGCAAATGAACGGAGCGAATGCATACTAACACTGTCTGCATAGAAATCCGCCAACAAGAACGGCGCACTCACTGACTCGCGCATCGGCCCGGCGGCGAGTAGACGGCTGTACAAGGTGTTTATGGGGATGGATCCTTCCTCCACGGATGTTTGATGCGTAGACACCTACAGTACATTGAGATTTCTGTATTGAATGGGGCCTTTGGGGGGGGGGGGCTATATAAGCACCTCCAAGTCACGTGCGCTTTGTTTCGCTATTCTTACGGGGAGCGGCGCTAAGATCGTGCCTTATCAACCTGAATCTGCAGACCAGTCTCTTCGCAGTCATGACGTTCAGACAACCGAGCAGTCAACATGAATCCTTCCGGGGGTTATCCTTAATGAGACTCAGATATGACATGCGTTGATGGAAGCTTCGCTAGGCAATTTGAGGGCTGGCTCGGAATACATACATAGATCACTGCAACAGCAAGCCCACCGACCCCGCTCATGCTCGCAAGAACTGACGGTTTGAGAGGATTGATAAAAGAATAAACAGCATGGCAACAATGAAAACGAGATTCGAAGAGCAATGCACAATGGCTAGACAGGTCCCCTATGCTCGAATTGTAAACCAACTCCCCACAGGAAGTAAATCACGATCTATATACTCAACAATGTCAAGATACCCCAAATATCACCAGCAAGTAAACCAATTTGCACCAGGACTCAGATATGGTAGGTAGCGACAAGACAAATGAAGGTAGATGGCAGACAACACTTTCTACCTGGAATGAACCATCTCTCTCAGACTACAACCCCCCGCCTCCGCCACTGCCTCCAGGCAAGCAGCCAGGCCCCGATGGCCACCCAGACACTCACGGTGCACCCAACGGCCCAGAACCCATAGCACCGCCAGCCGAGACACTGGCCGTTGGGCGTGCTGTTGCCGCCGTCCGTGGCGTCCTGGTAGCCTCGCGAGTAGATCAGGCCCCAGGCCGCGGCACCGGCGGCGGGGACCATGGCGACAATGCCCCAGTTCGTGCCGAAGTTCTCCACGCCCCAGACTACGGAGATGATGATGGGGACGAGGGAGAAGGCGCTGCCGTAGCCGAGGCCGACGAGCGCCGTAGTGATGTGGGTGAGACCGGGGTATTGGAGGGGCAGGGGGGAGGCGAGGAGGAGGTAGCCTAGGGACAGCAGGAGCGCGGAGGGGAGGAGGAACGCGAGGCGGGAAAAGGTGACTCGGTTTCCGGGTCCCGTCGGTGAGGCTGGGCGGGTGATGTCGGGGTTGCCACCGGGCAACAGGGGACGGGCTTGCGGGGCGAAGAAGTCAGAGAGCGAGCCGGTGAGGAGTCGGGCAATCGTTGAGGTTAACGCAACGGTGGTGACATGGGTGGAAGGTAGACCTGCGGGGGATGGGGCATGAGGAAGGGTTGTGATCGGGTTCAGAGTTTGTACGATGGTCCCCAGCTAAATGAGTTAGTGAATGCCTGACCGGCTGGATCTCAGGTGGTGATGCTTACATTGTTGATGTAGGCCTCGCCGGGCCCTGTGACCAGAAAAAAGCCCATCGCGAGCCACCACATCGATCTGTCTGCAAGGAAAACCTTCGTCTCATAGTTCAAAAGCCAGTTCTTCTTCCGCCGCTCCTCCTCTTCCCTCTGCTTGTCGAGTCGTGCTGCTTCCAGCTCCTCTTCCGACCGGACCAGTGTACGCTCCTCATCGGAGTCGGTGGCGTCCTCCGCTCGCGCGAATGTCCCGTACGCCGAGCGCACCTCATCCCTCGACCGGAAGAACTCGCTTTCCTCGAGGAGCCCGCTCCTTTCGAGTTCTTCGACCGCATCATCGATGTACTTCTCCTCGTCCTCGTCCACGATCCTCAGGGCAAACGTACCAACGAGTCCGATGCAGAGCAGCAACAGAGAGAGGAAGGCGAAATATCTATACACATCAACATCACCACGGCTGCCATCCTCATTGGGTTCATAGAGCAGGTATGTTCCCACTTGACTCTGCCACATGCCACTCAGCCCGAACCCGGCGATGGGAACCGCAAGCATGATTCCCTTGTGCTTGCCCCGGCCGAAGTTCTTTGCGCACGTCGTCACCGCCGCCAAATACATGCAACTTGTGGCCGTACCAATGGCAATGAATGCCACGATCATCGCCCAGAAGGGCCAGCCTTGACCGCCGGCATCGGGCGGCGGTCCGCTACGATAAGCAAGGGCAGCTAGCCAGTAACCGATCCCGAACACGACCCCGGATACTAGAGCGAGAGGTGACGGAGAGTATCGGTCGCAGAGATAGCCAAACAGCGGTACAGGGAGGTACATTGAGACCTCCGCGGCGATTGCAACGGCGTTGACCCGCAGTTGGGTGTAATGAAGGCGGGTGAGTAGGAGGGGGCCATAGAGAGAGAAGGCCGTGATGCTCCCGGCTCCTAGACTGAGAGCGATCGATTGATAGCTGATGAGCAAGACGTCTGTTTGAAGCGCACTATTCTCTGCCGATTGGACTCACCAGGTGATTACGCCCCAGACAAAGCTCCCAATTCGCACAACCTCCTTGGCCATCTTTTTGCGATCTCGTTCCAGGATTTCCTCAACCACACCATTTAGTAGCCCGTCCTCTTCGTTGGCCGCGCCTAGTCTCGATACGGGTCGTGACTGGATAGCTCCGCGCTCCTCCCGATCCGCACCGTTATCGAACCCGTCCAACAGCGGACGGTGAGAGTCGAAATCTCGCTTGTCGATGACCGGGGTTACTTGCCCATTGGATCCTGGCATGCTGCGTTGAGTCCCAGAAAAATTCTGGGATGGGAATGGAAGGAGAGTCGGTGAGGAGCGTGTGAGACAGAAAGGAGTGATGGTCGCGAATGTGACTCCTCAGGTGGAGGCGGACACTATCGTCGTCATCCGGAGCAAAGGACCGAGCGAGTGGGGATGTACTCATAGACCAGAGAGTGTCCGGTCAGCTGAGTCTATCGAATCGCCTGAGATTGCTAGGCCAAAAGAATGAAAGAAGGTGCAGTCAATGCAAGCTTAACGATGTCAACAATGTGGATTCATATAAGAAGAGCTGAACTCGTGGGTAGAGGAAGTACAGCACGTAAGGAGACGAACCGACCGAGGAATGATGGGCGATTAGATAAGGTCCCTACCGCCTTATCGTCCCGACACGGCACGTGATTCTATCGTTTTCTTACGCAATTGTCCGGGGCCATACCGAGTATACAAATTAGGAGTTCTTGTCTAGCCACTACGCCCATATGTATGTACACAAGCTCCACAAGTCTCAAAACAATACCCTCTCGCACTAGGAATGATGAAGGAATGAAAGAAAAGTATAGGAAGAAGAACAACCAACAAAGAACACAATTAAAGATCCCAGAGCTTTGCACCCACTTCCAGGAGGTATAGAGCAGTAAAACATGTCCAAGAAAAGGAGCGAGCCGGAGTCGACCATCAGAAACAGAGACAAAGGAAAAGCTTTCGAAAACAATTTCGTACATGCCATATGCATATGGTCGCAGTAGATAGCCCTTCCTCTACCATGCTCCAGGCATGAATAGGCAGAGCTTGATTAGGGAGCATAATGCCGTGATTATTCGTCAGTATCGTTTGGCTTGCCACAAGATAACCTTCTACAGTTTTCGAACATCGATCTCGACTGCGGTGAGAGTTTCCGAAACATCGCTTGGTCGAGCATATTATGGAGAAGGTGCGGCAAGGGTGCGAGGCTAGGCTGGGGCAGATGATTCGAGAAAGAATGCTTTACGCACAAGGCCACCATGACACAGCTCGGAAAGCCACCCCTAGAAGCTGACTTCACCGGGGTCACTGTCCAAGACGCTGTCATCCCAGTAACGCTCTGATGACTCGTCCTGCTCCGAGTGCCGGGATCCCAGGGCGATAGCCTCACCCTCGCCTCGTTCAATGTAGTCGTCGTGGCTGACCTCTTTGAGAATCCGTTGAAAGTACATCCGTAGCGTCCGCAGTCCGCGCAGATAGCCACGGTCGATATCGTCCGGATGCTGGGGCGGACAGGGAGCATCGGGAGATATCTCATCCTCGCCTGTCACGCAGTTTGCGAAGTCCACGATCTTCAGCTGAACATCCGGATAACCATCGTCAGAGCTCCGACGTTGCAAGTGATCTCGCATGGTGCCAGATCCTGATCGACTGTTGGCGGGAGACGCTTTGGCCGCCGGGTTTGGGTCACCATCATAGAGAATCAGAAGGCTGCTAGCGTATAGACGATAGCGCTTGAGCCTTCGAATCATATTTTCCAACTTCGCGAGTTTCTCCAAAATAACAGGGATTTTCTTCGTCACACTTCGTTGACTCGCGCCGTCATAAAGAAACCGTGTAAGAGCATCCTGGAATTCACGCCCTGCCTTCAAATCTCGGCCAAAGTATTTGTCCTCAAATGAGTACTCTTGTTTCTTCACATTCCAGGTTTGCATGCCACATAAGCGCACACCTAGCTGCTGGGAAGTGGTTGACTGGCACTTGCGTCGTTGAGATTTGCGCTTCTTCTCATCAGCCTCAATGCCATACTGACGCGTTCCCATCTTCAAATCCAGTACGCAAGGCTTGTTCATGCCGGCTGTCAAATCCTCCAGCAAGAGAAAGAATTGAACCCTGTCATCTTTGCGTGTCTGCGCCTCTTTGGGGTTGGAGGGAAGCGGTACATGATCGTCATTTCTAGAAGCCAAGCCTAAAAGTCCGTTGGAGGGCAGATCGGCAGACTTGGCTGTAGCGGCGGCTTTGGCGCTGGGAAGCGGCGGGCCGAATTCATCTGCAATTCGACGTTCCGATGGCGATTTAATAGGTACATCACCTTCCATCGGGAAGACACCGTCCTCTTTATCACCCCCGTAGCCATCGTCATCATAGAACAGGAGCTCTCCTCCACCTTCTCCGGAGCCTAGGCTTCCCCGTCTCTGCAACCCGCTCCCTGAACGGCGGCGTCTCATGGGCCGAGTTCGAGAAAGTGAGCTAGCACGTGGAGGCGTCTCTTCAGTCCGGACCTTCTCAAGCCGATTACGAGCCGCTTCCAACGCTGTGGAGGCCGATGAAGACAGCCCGGGTCCATCGTTTGTCTGCTTTGAAATACTGATTCCAGCAGATTGCGGCAAGGCATCTTCGACAGAAGCAGTGCGCCGGCTTAAAGTTCGGTCTTCCGAGAGATTAACTCTACGGCGAACGCTATCCGATGATGTCCTCGGCAAGTTGAGGTGGCCGCGTGCGTGGCGTCGATGGTGAATAGCAGGGGGACTAAAAACTTCACGAAGTACTTGCTCTTGCAATTGTCTGTTAACGGTCGTGGCGCCCCATTGCTTTTTCTTCAGCGCCTGGGGAGATAGTTGACCATCCGCTGAGCATTCATGTCCATTCGGTCTGCTTGACATAGATTCGATCCCGGTCGAGAAGCGCCGCTGAGTCATGGATCCATCGGCAGTCTTTGGACGCTGACAATATGAGAACAGATCTGCTGGGATGATATGTCTATTGTTTTCCAGTATCACCTGCGGAATAATGCCGGTGACCTGCTTTTGGCTGAAGATGCGTGGCTGCTCCGTGTTGTTAGAGGGGTATGAGCTGCTTGCCCCTGTCGTATCTCTGCTATCAGCAGGGTTAGGATGGCTTGCAGCATGGTTGGCATCTCTGTGCTCTCCATTGGTCTGAATTGGGTCTTTGGGTCGTTTGGGTGTCTTTGAGAAAGTGACGTTGAGGACGCCAATGTATCTGTCAATAGTGTTAGTTGAGGCCGTTTTCGGCGTCCCAGTAATATTGAGCGGGTGGATTGAGAACATGATATACGTACCTTGGCAGAAACATCAGCATCTCCGGGTGTCTGCGCTCGATACGCTCGTAGAATTCGTTTTCCCGGTTGTTGAGCTGCTTGCAGACTGCCCGTCTAGAAAATCGAAAGACGGTTGTATGGCCACCGACTTGGTGACGATAAGGTTTGAGCTCAACTGCACCAAGGGGTGCCGCATTGACATGCTTGCGCCGCGCACGCGGAAACCGCGGGCCTTGAGTTGGGGTGGCAGTGGGTGTGACATCGGCTTCGTCCGTCAAGCTTGACTCCTCGTCACGTACCGACATCCCGCTATCGTCAGCGGAAGCGAACTCGGATTCGGTGGAATAATAATCAGTGGTGCGCTCGGGAATGGAAGCAAAAGACTCTTCATTATGTTCTTCTAATGGAGCATTTGGCACGCTCTGTAGGTCGCCGTGGAGGATTCTACTATCATTCTTAGAGCGAAGAGATATGTCCACATGATTACCTTCCGGCTCATCAGAAACATGTCTCTGTGGCATCCGCACGTGGCCATTTTGCGCAGTCGAGATATCGATCGGCGCCACGCCATGATCAGTGTCCGGATACGATGAGATGGAATCAACCTCCTCTGCTATCGTGACGCGCTCATGGGGGAAATAGACGGCAGACGATATTTGCTCTTCTTCCTCGTCCAATGGGCGAGGCTGTTCCCGGTCTGAGTCGGATGTAGACAGGTGTGAGCCTAGAATGCCGCTTGCATGGTCTTTGGAGAAATAGTCCCGTCCTCGTTCAGCAAACTGGGTGGGGATACTCCGCGAAAAAGACGTGCCACGGGCGCCTCCGGGCGTGAGATGAAAGTTGCGGATTTCCTCCAAAAGACTTCGAGGGAGGGCTCGAGGCTGTGGTTTGATGACGTTATCCCCATGCCTCGTCTGACCATTATCGCCCTCGATACTCGGCAAGATCAGTGGAGCATCAGAGAGCGACAGCTGCGTTAAACTCTTGGCACTCCTGAGTTCTCCATCTTCCAACGGGGATGGCAGTTCCAACGGAGAGTCACAATGCTCCCGAGCGAAGCGAGGCTCTGATTGAGTGACCAGGTGGTGTGCATCAGGGTGATCTGCAGAATCATCATGTCTGCCTGCGCGCTCCTCTCGTCTTTTTCGATCGGGAGAGGTAGTATTTTCCTTGAACAGGCCCAGGTAGTGACTCGACTTACGGCTGCGCACATGAGAGGCGGGTTCCGCATTGGTCAGGTTGGCTTCTATAGACTGCTCAACTCTGCCACGCCGACTGCGACTCGAACTACGTTCCAGTCTGTTCTCACGCGCACCCTCATGCATGTGTGACTTGGACCAGGGTTGGTGAGCCGCATCGCCACTGGTGGCAGGGGAGTGAATGCCGGGCGAAGAGAGTGAGGAGTGTAATGGTGGCAAAGGCGGCAATGCCGCATCATTCAGGGAGGCTGATAAAAGGCTGCGATGGGCTAGATGATCCGCTAGAGCAGCCGGCTTGTTAGCCGCAACATCAGACGAGACTTTTCTAAGGGGTTGAAAGCTCTCCCAGGCAGGAATTGCGGCACTCCGATGTGCTAGCCCCGATTGCTCATCCACAATCACGTCCGAGTCTACCGGTAGCAAAGGAGTGGAATGAGGGATTGCCGGCGGAAGCAATGAAGGAGAGTCTAGCGGGTGCTTCCTGCGGACGTCAACTTCCATGTGGGAGGTGCCGACGCAATTAGAGCGGGGAAAGACCTTGTCAGGAGAATCCGAAGAAGCAGAAGCAGACACATCCTCAAGGAGAGGACTTAGACATGCGGGTGGTTCATGACGTGTATCTTCTGAGGGCGATAGCCGCGGAGTGGATGCAGGGTCGGTCTCGGAGGGAAGGTAATGAGTTGCGAAGATACTATCTCTCTCAGACAACTGAGGGCTATGAGAACGATCGGGACGGGAAAGCCTCTCCACGGGGGCTGCAGTGGGCCGTTTTAGAGGAAAGGTAGAGGCGGGCTTGGCCCATTGATGAGCCGTGGGAGATTCGGCGCGGGAGGGAGAAGGAACTTGCTGGGCTTCTTGATGTATGAGCTGGCTCCGAGCATCGTTGTGGCGCCGCTGCTGGTCGCGCGGGAGGTCGGGCGGCGCTTCAGAGCAATCATATTGGGCAGATGCATCAGGTGTCACCAGGGGTCCTGACCAGGTATTGTCTGTCGCAGATGGAGGTCTTGACATGGGGAGGACATTGGTCGGGATGCACGATGAGAACAGAGTGGGAAAGGGAACCGAAGGAAAAGGGACGAAAAAAAAGCGCTGGGATTTGAGGTTGAGAGATTATGGTTGGTGTTTCAGGTCTCGAAGGAGAAGCGGGAGAAAGGGAGTTTGGCGTCACGGCGTCGCTGGAAACTGGGGACGATCGAGAAGATCAGGGAACATTAGCCACGTTCCGAGGCGTAGACACCTTACAGGCTGAGAAGGAACTTTTAGTGCGGAAATTTTTATTTTTTTTTTTTATTTTTTTTTTGTTGTTGTTTTGTTGTTGTGATTGCTGAAATATTTTATTTTAAACAGGGACCGGAAAGATGGGAACTCACTGACAGGCACGAATGAGGCGTTATCGTGGCTTGGAAGAGAAGTAGTACTGGACAATGAGGTCAAGCGGGAGGAGCAGAAGGAAGAGAAAGAATGACGGAGGCGACTATTCTAGACTAGTTGGATGGGGAGAAAAAGAAGTACCTCAGAAGGTCGGTAATCTTCTAGAGCGACCAGGTGCAGTAGCTTTGGAGGAGAAGCAGGGAAAAAATGAGGAGAAGAGGGAAGAGAGGGGGGAACTAATGGAGCAGTAAGCCGCAGGAGAAGGCAGATAGATTGACTTGGGGATGATTGAAGGAATGAACTGAATTGAAGAAGTTTTGGAGTTGGGAAGAAAGCTGGAGATGCTACTTCTCTCCGTCTCAAAGCAGTAAAGTAAAGCTGAAGAATGGAGAAATGGAGGAAAGGAAGGAAAGCGTTTGGTTGAACCAACAAGACGACAAAATGACGCGGATCCTCGTCACCGCCTTGGGTGGGTCTCGAGCTCGAGTCTTTCTCGATAAGAGAATAGGGAAAAAAAATGGATACCACCTTATAAGGAGCTGCACCTAAAAGGGAGAACAAAAAAGGAGTCCAGAGCAAAAATGGGAATTCAATTCAGAAACCTTAACCAAAAAAGAACAGACTACGGAGTTAGAAGAAGCCAACACTACTCCGTAAATGCTTGTTCCTTATTCTTGCTTTTATCTCTTCTCCATCTCTTCTCTGTCTGCCTCTACCACCACCACCACCACCCATCAACAAAACAATAGTCATGGGCAGGGTACAGGCGGAAGAAAACCAATAGTCACCAGGCACTGCGACGACATTGAGTCCCTGGATTTTCCATCATTTTTTACTCTGGATATCCCTGGACCCCACTGCCTCCAGGAGAAAAGGGAAATGGTTTAGCTAATAATAATAAGTCTCCAAGCTAGCAGGTGAATGTGAAATGTAGGTACTGAAACCTTAAGAGACGCAAATTCTCCCCCCAGTACAGAGGAGTGAGTGTCGGTAGTCAGCAGGCTACAACTGTTGTTATGGAGTTTTACTCCCTATTCTTAGCACACCACTCCGCCCCCCTACAGATCATCACTGAATATTACACATCCATTGCAGGACTTTCCCCTTCCTCATAACAAGTCTCTTCCTGGCCAGTCCTGGAATTCTACCAGATACTTCAGTGCTGAACCCCCGTGGATATTCTCTGGCAGATGATTGATGGCCGCTACTTTTGGACCACCTTTCATGACTCTCTGTCCACGTATCCTACAGCAAGGACTGTCGGGATACTCGGAATGCAGACCATGACGATAGTGGTACTAGATCGACTGCTCACCGGACTGGAGGGCGATGTCGTCAACAGTACTGTACCTGTCTAAGATGATGGGGATGGTGCAGCAGAGTTGATCATTGATCAAAATTCGCTTCCCTGCATATGAGACTGGTCTTCTGTGGCATCATGTCGAAGTATGAGCAATCGTCTCGTACAACCTCAGTGTTATGTTGAATGGATTCTTGGAATGCCTTGCATACGTACCGGGTTTGGGGACCGGTGGGGTTTCGCAATTTGGGGAACCCGCCAAATGCGATGTTGGACGGTCCGATAAGCGACAGATGTATACGGGGCGCAGTGTCTATAGCAGGTACCGTGCTGTCGCTGATTGACTAGTAGTGAGAAGAGATATCTCAGATAAGACACCTTGTCTCATTTCTCCTTGACAGACATTGCGCATGCTGCTTGGTTGATTTGTGATAGTAATAGTAGTAGTAGTAGTAGTAGGATAAGGCCGGAAGAAGGGGGAAAGCGTAGGAGAGGTAGGTATGAATGCATTATTCTCTACCGAGAGTAAGTTGCTCATGTTACGCGTAATATTGTACTGTACTCCCGCACTCCGTGGTTCATAGTCCATACGTACTACTTAGACATCATCCCCACTCTCGCCGCATGACCCGTTCCGCATTGGATCCCAGACCCTCCCGGGGCAGTTGATCTACCAATCGTTGGGAAACGTGACCATCCTGCTGGTCACTGTGCACTTCCTCAGGCATCCAGAATGCCGGAACTACTTAGTGCCTGATCCTTGGTAGTGCAGTGGCAGCTTCTTCCCACCCAGGTCTCAATCTCGATCTGGGAACAGATCACAGATTCTCGAGGTTTTCTCGAGGTTCATGTTTCAAGTTGCCTTAGTACAATCCTCCTCATTGAGAAGGTTGGGATATTCACATGCCGATGTCTTTTCATCAGTGTATGACTTGATAGGAGCTATCTTATGCAATCTGCACGCCGTGTGAAAGGGCCGCGTTAGCTATGACTACGGAGTCTCCGTAATCCGTACCATGACCCGACTTTGGACGGCATATCATCTCGGACTGAAATGGCCTTATCAGTCATTGTACGTACCGGTATTCTCCTTATAGGTACAGTTGGTTTGTGCATACCGGGCGTATCTGGGGATTGCATCCCACTGCATGAGTTCCTTATCTCTGCATTCATCCCTGCTATTTATTCGATGATCACAGAGTGCATTATCTACGGAAGATGGAACAATCAGCATATTTCTCAACAAGGGGCGACCAACGATACCTTGCATCGCTGCACTCAGAAATCTGCTGGTTGGCCCTGGGAATGGCTTATCAGGCAGGCAGAGTTCTATGCGCAGCGCATCTCACTCGGAGGTGGTCTTACGTGCTTCGCCTGGACCCAGGTACTTTGTATGGCTCTTCTGCTCTCGTGCTTGGCAATGATATGCTGCTCTCGAACTGAGGAAGCTATCACCAGCCGTAGCTTTATATCTAAGATTCGAATCATTTTGATGTATGCATGTAAATGCCTGGCCAGCCACTGCATTACAGAGGGCCATCTTCGGGCTGTCCTGGGTTTATGGTAACATTATAGATATCCTTGAAACATGACATTTGGTCTACAATACTCTAACCTGGGTCCTCATTCATAAATTACATCAGCTTAAGCTTCGGGACTGCACCAATTGTGCGGAGTGTACTGCCCCAGGCCATAAATTGAATATCTTCGGCTTTGAGTCCATTGTCAATCGAGAGGACATTGTCGTAAGCAGTCGCTCCCTTTCCATTGGTATACTAATGCATGTAGAGCTGGACAATGGCCAGCTGCAGCCTGCTGCTCTCCTTCAGCGATGTGTTCTGTTGACTAAGGAGGGAGTGACGGAGCAAACATCCTGAGTCAGTCCTAGTCCTACTCCTCTGCTTGTCATGTGATGGATGGCACCTGCACCCAGCGGCTATTTCAGATGGGGATACGAGTTTCTCCCGACCATATCGCCTAATCACCCAAACAAAGTACAGCCTCCATGAAGATGGAGTCTTTGAGTAACCGATTCTCAAGGTGAGACGCAGTCTGGAAAAACAACATTCGGACATCGAAGGCAATGCTCAGCTCATGCCACCCACCCAGCAGTCCCCTCGCTCCCAATCATCCACTTCTCGCCCGGTCATTTCATTTAACTTCAAATCCAATCATTCGCATTCTCATCTCAATGGACGCTATATTACCGCCACGCTAATCATGGTGCCAGTGGCTGGTGGTGGGATTTGCGTTTCTGCGGTGCAATGCCTGGATTCCTCCAATGTCATTGGGACTTGGGCGCTTCGGCACCCATCGCCAATGTGACGGCGCCGACCGTGATGTGATGAGACGTGCTTAAAAGCCCAACGGGAACTTCCGAATAACCACCAAGCCAACCGAAGTGGACACTGATGGAAGGGCCCCAGAATGGTGCGGCCTAAGGGCTGTTCGGCGCAACGACTACCCTGATCATTGAAGCTCTGACCATTTAGATCCTGGTCTCCCCGCTATGAAGTTCTCCATCTCACGCGCTCTAAACTCCACCCCTGCGAATCGTTCTCCCAATGCACGCTACACATAATGCACTCGCCTCCCACGTCGCTCTTGCGTCGTTTCTAGTTCTGCCTGCATCTTAACGCCTCAAGTTTTGGGGATAGATGACCTCTGCAGATTACTTCCAAGGAGGGACTGCAACGCTTCAGTACATGTAACGTTTCATGGACGATCTATATGCGAGCGATGAATTAAGACAATCATTACTCTTCCCTTCGAGTGCGCAACTTTGAAACTCACCTCATGTGCGCCCGCCTGGAGCTAGAGATAGGCCACAGGGAACGCATACCGTCCACAATTGAAGGAGACTCGCACCCAACGAGATCGCCAGAATATCATCAGGATGAACAGGCAGCTCCATCTGGATACGTCCAATCTGGATGGTGGGGATCAGAGGTACTCCTTCCTTGCGACACCATTGGAAATGCGTGCCCCAGGAGGGGTGTTCAGACATACGCCTGTGCCAGCAAGCGCACCCACCCATCTCGCAGCGGAACAAGGAAACGTGCCAGAGCAAGTACAGCCATGTTCAAACGAGAAGGCGCAGCACATAAAGGATGGTTTGAACTCTTATGACTTGTTAAGCGGGCCTGACATCCAGCAACACCCTGCAAATTATGCTCCTTTTGCCGATGACATACCCCGGTCAGAGAAAGCTGAGGCAGTAGTACCTGACTACGCACATGCATGTCCTCCGCAGAGTCCTGGGCCGCTTCCGATCAAAGTGAACACAAATTCCGCAGAGCATACACTAAGCAGTCATGCCACGGCAGTCGCACCAGACACGAACCCATTGCATTCGACTTCACTACCCCAGTTCCCACCTCCAGTTGCGACGACCATAACCGCTACTCCAACAGCACATGATATACTGGCTTACCATCAGCCAGGGCAGATTGTACACCCTAATCAAGTCGTCAAAGGGGGCACATGGAGGACCAGTTTATGCGGGTGCACAGACATCGGCTCCTGCTGCCTAGGACTAATATGTCCCTGTATACTATATGGGAGAACGCAGCATCGATTGCATACAATGTCTCGTGGAGAGGACCCCACGAACATGCTCGATCATCATGTTTGCAATGGGTCATGCACTGCGATGGCACTATTCTGCGGCTGTCAATGTGAGTAGAGCACTTCCCCCGACCTGTGAATTCATTTGTCTGTGCGACGAGCTAACGCGGTATCTTAGGGTTTCTGGCTTCTGTCCAGCATCGGCGGGTACGCAAGGCATATAAAATCGAGGGTGATCTCATATCCGACTGCGTTCGAGCAACGTGCTGTACATGCTGCACTTTGATTCAAGACGAAGTTGAGATCAAGAAACGCGAGGAGGAACGTGGGAATCTTGCCAGAGCTTCGGGAGCAGCTTTGGTATCGCCATACATGGCTCCAGTACAAATGTCGTACGGGCCACCCCCTAGATGATGGTTCAACTATTCATATAACGTAAAAGTCGTACTTGAGACAAAGTATATAATTGGAGATCATACAGGGGCAGTGTATCAATCAAGTAAGATATCCTTGTTAGCCAGAAAGCACACGATATAGAAGAGGTTCTTCTGATTTGAAGTCAAGCTGAAATTGGAAGACCAATACTACTTCCTCAACTGACACTCAATACTGCGTGCTGGCGGGTATCCGCTATATCCGACTGCTTGTACAGTACATTCGCTGACAGGCTTTTGCCTTTCTTTCGCTTCAAGACGCGTGCTATATATAATATGACCTGTCGCACGTCACAGATCATATACCTGGACTGATTATTGAAGTTAAGATCATTGTCCGGGTGTTCAGCATAGTCTCGTATATAGTTTAAGTCTAGAGTACGGAGTAGTCTCCACTCTCTCAAGGCATCTCAGACTCGGCCTTGAATGCTATGGCATTCGACCCAATACAATGGAGAATAGCAAGTGGACTGTCATGTTCTATGGGTGATGAATACTACTGCGTACTGTAGGTATAGTACGTAGTCCGCAGCCGCTTAGGCGGTGAGCTGCGGAATCAGCCCGGGGAATCTGGACCGCGCGGTGGCGGTTCTTCTGTTGGATTTCACTTTCGAACAAGCCAAGTCCCTGGGTCATAGATCTGTCTCAAGTTGCTGATTCCGTCATTCTCTACTGTGATCCCGAGTCTTCTCGCCGTCTGAAAAGATTTGCTGGACGGTCGCGACATCCACCGAAACTCCTTCCAAGCTGTCTCAAAACTCGACGCCTTACAGGCAGCCACGGTCGCTCCGTGCTTGACTCGTATATCCCGACCGTCGGCAATCGATAGAGCGCTTCCGACCTATCGCCATTATGGGTGTCTGAATTCGCCGTGGGACGACAGACTCTGTTGGGCATTGATGACAATTCATACATATGATTCTGTGGCGTGCTTGGCCTGCTTTGACCTCGACGTGAAACGTCCTGGGTTGCCTGTGCTATCATGGAGCATGACGGGCATCTGGCCCCCCGCCAGATTTGGGCACAGCCAACGACAACGACAAGCAGAGTATACGAATCAGGCTGCACTCCATTTCTACTACCAAGCGATGGTATGTAAATCGCAAATACCCCCTCTCGAGGAAGGCTGCCCATTCCACTTGGGCAGGTGGCACATGCCACCTCCGCTTCCTCCGTGCTGTGACATATGAACTCACGCGATAGCGACGAATCTTACTAGGTCACGTTTATTTGAACCGTTCTTATACGATTACCTTGACCGAAAATGCGATCTACGATCCCGTGTGCACGAGCACAGCAACGGCTACGCAGCATGCTATCGCGGCGCTCGACACCACTGACCCCTTTTATTCTTCGATAGCGCCTCAGTTGTACGCCATGGGCTGCACGACTGTGGTCAGCTACTTGCTCGTCATAATTCTGCTTATCACGCCGCGCACGTTTTACGTTGGTGGTCCCGGTGGTGGTGCGAATCTTCTCGGACGGCGCGGCATGATAACCGGCTCATACAGCGGGAATTCCTCGGTAGTCGGTGTTGGTGGTCGTCCCTGGCTGCAAAAGGTTGCCGCGCTGTTGGTGGCTGTATCACTCACCATCGCTACGGCGGATTCTTTTCGGGTCGCCGAACAACAATACAACTATGGCTACTCTGACGCTGAAGCCTTGGCTGACGAAGTCATTGATGGAATGGAAATTCGAGTTGTCCGAGTCATCTCAAGTACCTTCCTCTGGCTTGCCCAAGTTCAGACTTTGATTCGCCTGTTTCCGCGGCATAAAGAGAAGGTCATGATCAAGTGGGCCGGATTTGCGTTGATTGTTTTCGATACCACCTTCAGCATTCTGGACAAATTCCTTGTTAAATCTCATACCACGCGTCCGCGGCTATACGAAGATGCGATACCTGCACTTAGTTACCTTTTCGAGCTTGCTCTGAACCTACTTTACGCCGCATGGGTCATCTTTTACTCTCTGTCGAAACATCGATTTGCTTTCTTTCACCCGAAAATGAGAAATATCTGCCTGGTGGCACTTTTGTCGCTGTGCGCCGTTCTCATACCGGTCGTCTTCTTTGTTCTTGATATGGCAAAACCAAAGATTGCCGGTTGGGGTACCTACGTCCGATGGGTGGGGTCAGCTGCAGCGAGTGTCGTTGTCTGGGAATGGGTGGAACGGATTGAAGCCCTGGAGAGAGACGAACGGAAGGACGGCATTCTGGGACGGGAGATATTTGATGGAGACGAGATGCTTGAAGTGACTCCCTCAGAGGAAGTCGATTGGCCTCGCTACAATCCTAACAATAATGATCGTGGCGGTGGGGCTGGAATGTCCTCTGGATGGGGAGGTATGATGGGTTTGGCCCACCGTCCTCTCCGAACTAGAGTTGGGCGCAATTGGCAAGCCAACTTGGAAAGTCAAACAAATATCGCCTCCGCCGATGCAAGGCGTAGGAGGATAGTCCCTCGACCTACCCCTCCACCTGCAGCCCTGACTCCCGTTAGTCGGGCCGATACCACGAGTGCAGCTAGTACCGTGTACAACGTACATTATCACCCCGTGTCCAGTCCAACGCCACCAGTTGCCATGCCACATATGGAAGAGGAGGATGAGGATATGGATGACGAAGCGGCTGCAAAGGAGATGACCACAGTTGTGGAGAGTCAACAAGCTGATATGGTCCAAAATAGATTGTCAGCACAGCCGACCAGGGAGCAGTCTCCCCAAATCGTCCACATGGACAGAGGGTGGCGGACCTTGTTGAATCCGTTCAAAAGGAGGCGTGCTTCCCTGCCAAGGGAGGTTGCGTCTGCGCAAGCGGAGGAAGAGGCCCCTGGTTCGCATATTAGGAGAGAAAATAGTAACCCACCGGGCAATGCACTTGAGGACAGTGATGATGAACACAGCCTCGGACCCGATCGAGCTGGAGCTTTCTTTCCGATCCCGAGGCGGTTGCGTCCCAGTTCTGGACGCCAGGGTGCGGGGTCCCCACTGCCCATCACTGTCATACCTGCAAGACGACGCGGCCAGCAAACCTGGTCGCCGCAGCATTTCAATGATAGTGGTCTTTTCGAAACCACCAACTCTAGCCAAAGGGCTCCGTCAGGCCGTGCTGAGGGCCGTGCTGATGGCCGTACAGGCCTGCCTTTAAGAGTCATTCAGCCGCAAACTCGAACCGCTGCCCCTTGGAGTGTAGATGATAGCAATGCGTATCAAGAGCTGCGTTATGATCCCGAGGCAGCGGCTCTAGTTGACTTTGATCCTTATCACCGTGATCGCACCTCAACGCCTGCTGGATATGTCACACCAGAGCCAGCCTTGAACAACAACCCCGATGCACACCAACCGACAGGTACAGACAGGAGCTCAACAGAGCCATCGCCGCCATCACATTCTCCTCATGCTCATACTCATGAACCTCTGGTGGATGGAGATGTACGATCTCAGCAGCAATGATGGAACACCCTAATACTCTGGGTTTCATGTTCTTTGCACTTTTTTCTTATGAGTAATACTTGAATTAGCGGGGAGTATCGGATCTAACACCATCTTTTCCATATACCACGGTCATCTATTTTGCATCCATCGAATTGTTGGAGCGACCTTCTCTACGGATGCCCGTCTATCTGTTATATATTCATGGTTCTCGTTCCGCCTGCTCTGGATGTTCCTGGGTTGGGTCACCTCGAGAAGAGTTTGCTGGTGCTCTACGCCCTTCACACTTTTCAGGCAGCTTTGCCGACATTGGAGGTACCTGGCGCATTTTTGTAAAGAAAGATACCCCTTGGGATGCATGTACTTACGGGCTTGATATACATATATATTGTTTTCTTGTGATTTCGCTTTCTCTTGGGTGCTTCCGACTCCCCTCTGGGTATCTACTGCTAACACTTTAGCGACTGAGTTTTCGCTTAGGATCGGATGCAAGTACGTAAGGACAATTGCGGTCCAGCCCGCTCTGCGTCCCACTCTCGTATGGCCAACTTCCACCTCCATTGGCCTCAAGAACTATACTATATTATAGCGATGAATTGTCGGCAAATCTGCAAGCACGCCATCTTGCATGTCAATGATGATTTGCATGAGATGCTACAGTATTGTGCCACCTTGGATGAAAATTCATACCAGAGCTTGCCAGTCGGCCCTACAAATAGCTACTATGGCCACCACCTTATATTCGCACACACACGCACGTCTGCGCTGTTCAGCTATTGAGACTTTGGCCATAGTGAATGAATCTCTTTCCCAGCGCAATGGCATCTCATCACAATGTCTCCCCTGAGCAGGGCAAGCGAACATGGTACCACACTACCTTGTTCAATGCCTTCGTGATCGGTGGAGTAGGCTTTCTAGCCCCTGGGTTGTGGAATGCGATGAGTTCGCTTGGTGCTGGAGGTGCAGAATCGCCATTCTTGATCAACGCTGCCAATGCACTGGTGTTTGCTCTGAGTAAGTTCTTTCTCAAAAGGGGTAATTTGACTTTGAAAACTGAAATGCGAGTGATTCTTATAGTGGGCTTTCTGTGCATCTTCGGCGCACCAATTGCCAACCGCATTGGCTTGAATTGGACGCTGTTGCTGGGGGCAGTAGGATACCCGATTTATTCGTAAGTGCCTCCTTGTGAGCACTCTCTCTTGTGATTTTGACGGGACTAAACGCCCCCCCAGCGCAGCATTGTATACGAATAACCGTTATGTGGGTTTTATTCTCTATTCCATCGAAGTCATGTTTCTGATTGTCGACTTAGGGTAATGTCTGGTTCGTGCTTCTCGGATCGGTTGCATGTGGTCTATCGTGAGTGGAAATCCTTGAGCCTACAATCTGTTGACCCACCTGTTCATGTATATCAGAGCCGGTCTGTTCTGGGCCTCCGAGGGTGCGGTAGCACTTGGGTACCCGGAGCCGGGCAAACGCGGCAAGTATATGAAGTATATATCCATCACCAAGGGGTCATATAAGGGTGGCTGACACAAGCAGTATCTGGCTTTGGTTCCGAACCGGCGGACCCATCTTGGGTGGTGCTATCGTCCTGGGACTGAATCAGTAAGAGCTCCCGGAGAACTTCAGTGGACATTGCTGACGCAAAATAGCACCCCTGGGGGCAAAGGCAAGGTTCAGCCTGGTATGTTGCAGCAAATCGCTATCACAAAGCTTATGATACTGACTGACTCGGCTCGTAGAGGTGTATCTCATTTTTGTTGCACTGCAATGCCTGGCTGTCCCTGTCGCGTACTTCCTCTCGCCTCCCGAAAAAGTTCAACGTAGCGATGGCAGTCCGGTCAGAGTCATTGCACAGGGCTCATGGCGCGCTGAGATATACGAGCTCTGGAAGCTCTGCCGTCAGAAGCATGTAAGTAATGCTTTCGAGTCAGTACCTTAACTCAGGGTTTCTAGCTTACGTCATGTGTACAGGTCCTCTTGCTACTGCCTGTGTTCTGGGCAGCTTACTTCAACCAGTATTCTGGCAGTATGGAAACTCGGCTGCGCATTGGCTTCACCCGCTGACCTACCTATGTAGATTTTGAAACATATTACTTCAACGTTCGAGCTCGAGCTCTCATGGGTTTTGTTAGTACGTATCTCCTTCTGGACTCTCTCTGTCGGTCCGCAGCTTACCCTTGCCAGGCAATTTTGCCAGCCTGCTATCATCTTGGATCATCAGTCGATTCCTGGATTACAAAGGTCTTCCGGTCAAAAGCCGCATCACTTATAGGTATGTCAATGGTTTTCCGTCTCCAGCCCCATCACTAAGATTCGATAGCTTCTACTATGTCATCGTCGTCCACGTCGCTGCCTGGACTTACGGCTGGGTCGTTCAGGAACAATTCACCGCCAATGCACCAGTTCTGGACTGGACGAGCAAAGACTTTGTCAAGGGGTTCTTTGTTCTGATTCTCTGGCGTGCGTCTTTCCCCTATCGAACGATATTCTAAACCCTCTAATTCGTCCTTGCGTCCAGAGTTCTCCCAGCAAGCTCTACAGAACCTTATGTACTATCTGGTCTCTACCATGACCGACAATATCACCGAGCTGGGTATGTCTCACACATGCTGACTGTAGCATGTCATGTATGCTGATCGGAGCGGTAGCGCGTTACTCGGGTATTCTTCGCGGTCAGGAGAGTTTTGCTCAGGCTGTCTCCTTTGGCCTCAACACACGCGATTGGTATGGCGGACGGGTTCCTCTGGCAGTGAACACGATTCTCCTGGGTAAGTGTCTGTGTTTCTTGCAGCTATGTTTGGACAGTCTGGCTAATGGCCCCCGTGACAATCAGGTCTTGCCGTAGTCCCCACGTGGCTAGTCATTAAGGACCATACTCCTATTGAGCACAGCAAGGATGAGCTTAGCTCGTCCAGGGGGGATGATGAAGAGAAGGGGCCTGAGGTTAGATCTCTCGATGGCGGGAGAGAGGGCGGATATGTGGTGAGGGAGTCGACTGTGACAAAGACGGCCTAGATGAGACCTTTTTTTTCCATTAAGGAGAGAGCTCCAATGCATGCATAGTGTCAGAAATGGGGAAATTCCACGTAGAAGAATTTAAAAGATCCGCGGCTACCCCAGTTCAGCGTCGGCTAAGCTGTGGTCCACGTGGGGAAGTGGTCGGATTGTGGTCCACCCATCCGAATCTCTCTCCCGAAGGCAACTCCGGGGTAGAATCAGAGTATAAGTCAATAGATAGACCAGTCATGATGATTGGCCTCTGTTTGATTGAGCTCGAAGCTGACCTGTCCTTGCTTTTCATCACAAAGAGATAAATATGGGTATGTGACTTGACGCCTCTCGATTCTCGTGACAATGGCATAGCAAACCATACTAACAGCTAGTTACAGGATTGACACCGGTCCACTTCTTCTCCCATGGCTCTACCATGATGCTGGGAGAGGAGAGCTCCTCAGCCGATTACTGGCGGAAGTGTGGCGATGAAGCACTGGCACAAGGGATCAAGGGCGTTGTGATCATGGTAAAGAGACCCCAGACAACAAACCCAAGACACCAAACCCCACCCCACTAACCTCTGCGCGACAACTTCTTCTAGGGAGCGCACTGGGACTGCTTCAACGACCAAATTCAAGTAGCCACGAATCCCCACCCGGGCAAAAGCCCTGTCGCCTACGTTGACCCTGCCAAATACGTCGACTACCATCTCAACCCCGACCTGGCGACCTCACAACGCTGCATCGACTTCCTGGCCCGCGAGGGCTTCAACGTCAGCGGCAACGACTCCTTCGACTGGATTCACGATGTCTACCTCATTCTGATCCGGATGTTTCCCAACGCCTGCCCACCCACCACCGTTGTCTCGCTGAACGCTCGCTACGACCCGCACTACCACATGAAGGTGGGCGCCGTGTTGCGCCCCCTCCGCCGCGAGAACTACCTGCTCATCGGCACGGGCGGCGCTGTGCACAACCTGTACCGCAACCGCTGGGCCCCAATGCTGCGCTTCCGCGACAACTTCGCCATGGAGACGCCGCCCGAGCCTTGGGCGCTGGAGTTCCGGCAGGCGGTCGAGGATGTCCTCATGAAGACCTCGGGGCCGCAGCTGCGCCGGGCGATGACGCGGTTGATGAAGCACCCGGAGTACCGCGATGCGCATGCCACCGACGATCACTTCATGGCCGCAATGTTTGTGGCCGGCGCAATGGGCGACTGGGAGGATGAGGGGAGTCCCGCAGTGCTGGGCGCGGAGACCTGGGAGTTGACCAATATGTGTAATTCGCAGTTTACGTTGGGTAGATGGCCGATCAAGGTTTAGGGGTGTTTTCGGGAACATTTTCCATTTATTAATCAGTTGATTGACTAACTAGTTATCTCTTTTGCTTTTGAATGAGACCCTTGCCTGAGTTATGTGCATAAGTCATGCTCCGTGCATTAATCGGGCATGCCAAAGGCTGGCTGTCATCACGGAGAATATGTCTGAAATGTGGAGACTGTCAGAGATATCCAGGACGATACGACACTATATTTCAGGTTTTCTTACAAGTAATTGAAGCTCTCAGAGTACACCCACTTGGACTGGAGGAGATCGAGAATTTGAGGGAGGGGATGGAAGCCTGAGTCAGCCAAGCATTAATTTGTTCCCCGGGATTCCAGAATTCCATTTTCCTTCCCTTCGCTCCGTCACTCAGTTTCCCTCCCTCGTGCGTAATCAATGTCTGCCTGTGCCTGTGCCTTGAGCTTGAGCTGTCTTTCTTCTCCCACTACAGTCCATGCCACGCCCCTCTCCCCTACAGATGTCGCATCATGGCGACCGTGAATCAGAACATGTTTGAAGCCAGCGTCACCACGGATCGCCCACAAGGCGCCCCGTTATTGGTGCTGCCGCTGAATTTGATTGCTCTCATCATCTCCTCCGTGCGTCTCCCGCAACCCCGATTCGACTCACAACCACCAATTTCGGTCGGAGAGAATCGCTAACTATCAAGACTCTCACAGCTTGATGATCCTGGTGATCTTGCTCGTCTTTGTCGAACATGCCGCGTGCTCAACTACATGACTCTTCCCCAACTTTACAAGAACATCACCTTGACCTCCTATGACAAAATCCGTTATCGCGATGACCAGCCCGAGGGCATGGGGAGCGCCAGCCCCTTCTCCATGGGACTCAACGCCGTCATCACGCGCCCCTACGCCAACCTGGTGCGATCGCTGACGCTGCGGGGGAATTGGCGCGAGTCGGAGCTCGAGGAGCATGCGCGGGTGGGCCGGGTGCCGGATTCCTCGATGATGCTCAACATTGCGGTGCGGGCGGCGGTGGACAAGATGCCGGATCTGGAGAGCTTCAGCTGGGAGCTCAACACCAAGATGATGGAGACGGTCTACCTGGGGCTGGCGCAGCTGCCCAAGCTGACCTCGTTGACCCTCCGGTTCCCGTCCAGCCGCCATCCGCGGCCGACCATCGTCATCCCCGCCATCCCCCACCTCCGGTACCTGAAGATCACCGACATCGACCCGCTCTGCTATCCAGACGATATCTCCACGCTGCTGTTCCGGTGTAGGAAGCTGCGCGAGCTCAAAATGCACTGGTCGCCGCGCATGCGCATCGAGCAGGAGCCCAGTGTCATGCTCCACGACTATTTCCGCAAGTGCATCGCCGCGAAACGACCCTTGTCCGTCCGCAAGATTGGGCTGCAGAATCTGTATGCGCTGCACACCGAGGAGTTCAAGCTTGCTTTCGCCCAGCATCCGATGGAGGAGGTGACCATTCTCAATGACATAGGCTCGGATGCCGCGTTGAACACGTTTGTGGATAACACCTGGCCGACGATCCCGCACGCTGAGATCCATATCAAATGCATCCGGCAAGATGCCTTGTCGCGACGACAAGCAGATTTCCTAAGTCACTTCACCGGGCTAGAGAAGCTGTATTTTGTGAACGCCAGCTCCAACTCCCGCCACGACATCAATTCCCCGCGACAGCCTGTCGCCGCCCCGGCGCTCACCCCACCGCAATCTGACACCAACGGCTCGGTGGCATACTCGTCCGCCGCGAACACTCCGATCAACTCCCCCAGTCTGCAAGCAAACATCCGCGACTGTTACCTCAACAACATCATCTCGAACCACGCCTCCACTCTCCGTCACCTCCTGCTCCCCGCGCGCTGGCCACTGTCGGCCAACACGGTAGCGCGCCTTGTACATGCCAGTCCGCAACTGGAACAACTAGGCTTCGCCACGGAATTTTCGACCATGGACACCCTGGGGTTACTTCTACCTTTCCTCCGCCAATTGACTGCCCTCCGGATCCTGGTGCCCACTGGGTCAACCTCCGATCAATCCCGCGGCTCCCAAACAACCTCGACTAAGCTGTTGACGGACCAATCTTCCAAACCTCCTCCATCTCTCCCCACGAATCCTGTGGCCGGAGCGCGCTCCTTCCAGGCGCTCGTGGAAGCCGACGACGATATCCTCATCGAAAAGCTCAGTGCCGCCCTCGCCGACCAACAGATCTTTCACCGCCTGAAGGTCCTCGGTCTCGGCCGGAAAGCCTTCTCTCTGGGTGACCATTACACCATTCCCACGGAGCGGCCGAACAACCACCCCGTCGAGCCACAGACTCCGACCGCCTCCCGGGCCCAAAGCGCCGAGGCCGGTCGAAGTCCTTCACAGCACCAGCACTTCAATTCTGCCTTTGCAGCGGATAAAGAGTTAAGTAATGGCAATCATCACCACCACAAGATGTACAACGGCTCGATCATTCCCGCCCATCCCACTAGCGGCAATCAACCTCCGACCTCTAGTCTGGGCAAACGCCCGCGGCCCGACGACGAGGAGACGCCGCCTGCCCGCCCCGTAGAGACGATCAACACCCCGATCGATGAGGAGGAGGACCTCTGCACGCCGAGGGTCTTTTGGGACCCGCGGGGCCGCGAATGGCGCCGCCAAGTGCGTCGGGTGGGGTGGGAAGTGCTGCAGCATTGGGAGATCTGGGCGTTGGATAAGCAGGAGCTATGATTGGTGTTTATATTTGTGTTGTTAGTTTTTGAAAAAGGAGGAACATATATACCCTGGAGTTATCTTGTGTGTTTGTTTTTTTGTTATTGCTGTTTCCAGCGTGAGGTGTATAGTTGATGTGGCTGTGTATAGGTAGTTTTGGATATACTAATGATTGTGTTTGCTGCGGATATGTTGGGGATGGAAATTGGGATGCGATGTGGACTGGTTATGGTTACTATGCATACTAGCATATGTGATTGAGAACAGTGCCCCCGGGGGCTGTGGACCGGCCATAACCTCCAAATCATGTAGTCAGTACAGTACATTTGTTGATTGATAGAAATCCAAAGCAAAGAACCTTCCCCGCTCATCTTGTTGGTCGTCCTGGGCTCAGTCTCTGTTCTAAAATGTTTTTCTTCCACTTCAATTGAGACGCTACATGCTCTCTAGGTACTCATACTCATACTCAACTCCAAGCTCAACCCATAGCTTTCGTGGTCGGCCACCACTGCTGCAGCTCAATCAGCACCTCCAAAGTCGCATTAAGGGAGCAGCGCGCGCGCCCTCGAGTTCTGCGGAGTCCCCCCAGCAGTAACTTGTGGAGAAGCACCGAGGAGGAGACGGTGGACATATGGCCGATGGGTGGGTAGTTTTGCTTCGCAGCTTATGATCTGGCGGGCGTGGTGCAGGAGGTTGCTGAAGGAAGTGGCGTGGTGCTTACAGCGGCGGATGTAGATGTAGATGTGGAATTTTGGAGTTTGTATCTGTATCTGATTGCTCGTCGTGATGGCAGGATAAGTGCATACCTAGTGATGAATAGGCCGCCGCCTCCGGACTGCTGGTGCCGGTGCCGGTGGCGGTTGGGCACCGGTCATCTGCGCGTCAGAAGGAAGATTCGCCCACTATGCTTCGAGCTGCAGGCCTAGGTCTTCGACTTGTTGGTGGATGGAAAATGCTGTGCGGTCGATCATGAGCCTTGGCTAGATACAGGTCACCCAGCTCGACCGCTGTCACCCTGGAGAGATGTACTGGGCTTGGGGATGGGTGATGATGTTGGACTGGCTCGGTGGCAGGGTGCTGCTCTTCCTCTCTGCTTCTTGCCTACGCAGTTCGGCACTACATACCTCGCCAGGACCTAGACGGATGCATCTGCACTTGGAAGATTGGCATTGCAGACATGCTCTTGGAGCTTTTTATATTGAAGCAGGTGAAGAAGTATACCTACTTACCTACTATACTAAAAAGATGTCGTCTGAGTGGTTGGTGGAAAACATCCTGATGGGTCCGTCCGGAGCAGCCCGGCGGCCCCACACCCGTGACCTCCCCATACTTCGAATTTACTGCTCGGCCATTGGTTCTTTTCCGGTGTGTGTCTAAACCACTGTCTGCTCCAATGTATGGAGTCAAATCTTTGCAATGATACAATGATATCAGATGGCTTCCCCTTGACATTTTCCTGATCATGGCCGCAAGATGGAGAAGCGGCCAGAACGATGCTGGAGACTGCGCGATGCGCAGGTTATCAGGACTGTTAGCACGCCCTTTGTATTACAGGACCTCCGATCCCCGACTCGATCTTCCATCTCATTCCTGCACCGTTCAGTCAGCAGCTTTCGCACAGTCCTACCCACGATGTCACGCCTCTTGGAGCCTAGCGCGGTCGCTGGAAAGCTTCCACTGAGGGATTGCGTGGTCATGGGCTCCATGACCCGGAACCGCTGCGTCAACAAAGGCACTTTTGTCGAACTGGACTGGCTGCACCTGGCAATGGTCGTCCTTCATGATTGAGCAGGAGCATGCCCGATGCATGAACGGAAAATGACTGACGCGATTCATGGAGCCGGCGAGAAGATCTTCTTCCAAGCCTGACATGCTGGTGGAAAGAAAGTGCTCACGAAGACCGAATGTTGCTGCTGTGTGGTACTGATACGGACATAGGTCGTGTCCAACATGATGAAATGCCCATCATGAAGGAAAAGGGCGGACATGTTCTGGCACCATCTTGTTCTGGCACCATCTAGCATCAAGGCTGAGGAGGGAGAATATCGTGACCTTCCGGGTGTCCGGTACAGGGTCATTCGAGTGCAGAAACTTGTTTTCTCTTGAAAACATACTAGTTCTGTTTCCACTCAGAGTTACATGCACTATGGGACTTTCAAGACCCCGGATGAGAGCTTACCATGATGACTGACCTGCGACTGCTGCTTAGTAAAGTAAGAATGTGTACAGATAGAGTGTAGAGCACGCCGCAGCCAAAAAGAATCAGTCAGGGCTTCGGGCTCATTTTTCCCCCACCGCACGCCTTATCGATAACGCAGCTATCACGTGACTTTCCCCTTCGGAAGCTGTCACAGCGTTCGGTTGAAGCTGACCTTCCCACTTCCTCATTTCATGTCGCTCAACGGCTCTGGTACAATTCTCCTTGCTTCCTTCACTCCTCATCGGGCTCTATAGTATGCTTGGTCGCTATCTGCTCTGCTACTGACCATGGCGTCTGAATTTATCGGCTACGATGTGCTCGTGACTTTACGAACGCCCCCAAATGCAACCGTGCAAGGAGAAGTGGCCAATGTCATCGGCCAGCGTCTGCTTCTTCGGAATGGTAGGTCGAGCAGACGCCCTTTCCATCTCATCAGATCTGTACCTACTGTGTTCAGGCTGAGTCAACTTACGCTAATCAATGAGTTCCACCTCGCAGTCAAGCTATCTTGGATTGGACATGCGCTTCCGACCTACTCCGTCGACGCCCCGGACATCGCGGACCTCTCTCTAGCACCCTCAACCCAGCCCGCCACCGAACCGGTCCCCGCAACCCAAGAGACAGTCAATACCACCTTTGCGCCGCCAGCTCCGCCCGCAGCACAACCGTTTGTTGATCCCGCGATTCTGAGCTACTCGAAACCCCCGCTGAAACCAGTCGGCCAGAGCCTAGAAGCAGGGGCACCACCGCCGCTTCAGTCCACCCCCGTTACCCGGTCGGGCACTCAAAATCCTCAGTTATCCCAGCATCCCAGTCGCGACCAGGCTGCAGTCCTGACTGAACCGTTCAGTAACCTCGAGTTGGATGTAAACAAGACCGCACTCGACAACACACCTGCAGCGCAACCAGGGACTCCCGGGCAGCCGACCTTACATTACGGCCCCAAGGCCAACCGCCGCGGCGGTGCGCCTAAGGCGCCAAAGGTCGTCAATGAGCATGATGGGGCGGCCAATACGAACCCGAAGACCAGGGGCTGGCGCCAGACGGCCTTTACCGAACCCTCGCACCCACAGTTGGCGGAGGCTCGCAACAAGCAGCGCCGGAAGAAGAAAGGCAGAGCCAATTATGCCGAGGATCCGAATGGTTGGGCGACAGAGGACGCCACGGATATTCAGGAAATGGGCGAATTTGATTTTCAGAGCAATCTGTCCAAGTTTGACAAGAGACGGGTCTTCGAAGAAATCCGCAACGACGACACTACCGCCGATGAGGAACGCCTGGTCAGCTTCAACAGAAGACCAAAACCGGGGACCAATGGTGGCAGGAACCTGCATTGGACGGAAAACGTGCTCGATAGTCTTGGGGAGAGTGAGGAAGAGCTCACCACTGACCACGTCCCGAGCGACGCCAAGCTTAGCAGCGGCACCTATTCAGGCCGCGAACGAAAAAGATCCTCCATGGCGCCACCCTCGCGCAAAGGCAGTGCCATTCTGGGACAGCCATTGGTTCCTGCACAGGTCAACTCACTTGGTCGTAGTCAATTGAGCACCTCTCGAACCACCAGCCCACGCCCGAACAAAACCTCTGTTTCAGCATCGCCGATAAGCGGCCCCGGTGTGCCGGGTGCTTCCCTGCGACTCACAACCACGAACAGAAGCTGTCCAACCGTGAGCCCGCTACAGACGCTTGAGGTTGAGCAGATTGCCGTCGCCGAGCTCGGCCTCACCGAGGACATGCTCACAGAAAACACCGGACGAGGCATTGCGGAAGCCGCCGTCGGTCTCCTGGCCAGTGATGCAGCCGCCCCCACCATGCTTATTCTCACGGGCAATCACCGGACTGGGGCAAGAGCTATCTCGGCTGCTCGCCATCTGCGCAACCGTGGCCACCGTGTCACTGTCTGCATGCTAGGCATCGAGCACGAAAACGAGCTGCTGGAGAACTGTCGCAAGCAACTCGATGTGTTCAAGAAGATTGGCGGTCGAGTCCATCGATGGGAAGATCTCTCCGCCCGACTGTCAACCTCCGAATTTGCGCCTGACTTGGTCGTCGATGCACTCTTTGGAATTCACATCGCCTTTGAAGACCTCCGCACCGACGACCAAGCAACTGCTTTCGAAATGATTTCGTGGGCTAACAGAAGTAACCTCGAAATCTTGTCTGTCGACGTCCCCTCGGGTCTGTCGGCGATTAGTGGTGAGTGTTCTCCGCGTTTCCATGCCGGCTTGGATGTGGCTAACTCTGTTTATGCATAGGCGAAGTGACAGTGGTGGAGGGTGGTCGAGTCTGCATCAATGCCAAGTCGGTGGTTTGTCTCGGCGCTCCGAAGACCGGTATCGTCAATGCCTTACTCTCGGGCGAAGGCTTATCTTGGAACCTCTCGGTGGCAGACATTGGGATCCCACAGATTGTGTGGAGGAAATACGGCAGTCGACGACGCCACGGCATCGACTTTGGCAACCGGTGGGTGGTGCCCCTACGTTACCAGCCACCCCCTGTATAAGCAAGATTTGCATGTATGTGATGATTCAACGACCCCAGAAAAAAAAGTCCTACGGCGTTCTTTAGGAGGGAAGAGGATTGGAAAGTAGATCAGGTATCCGCTTCGTTGGAGATGCTGGCGCGAGATGCCGAGGGGTGTGTGTGACCTCTGATTCGAATAGTCGACAACCAACGCCAACTTTGTATTATAGTGCTGTAGTTTTAGCAACTGAACTTATTGTGTGCAGATGCCTCGGTAGTATAAGTTTAATTCCCTTGTGCCTTACATAAGTCACTGACACCCAGAATAGATAGATATACTTTGATTCTCAGGATAACCGTCAACAGATCTGTATACTTATCATTTTTTGACTGACTCAGATGGGTGGTTGGACATTCTTCCAAAAATAGCGCAGCTCTTTCCTTGGCCCGAGAGAAACTGTTATGCATACGTACCCTCATCACATTAACCACGTTCCCCCTCAACGATTCGTGGCTAGTACCGCGATGAAGCGTTCAACTCCTGAGACACTGACCAGGGGGTTGTTATCTTGGCTGCTGGCGCTACACTTCTTTCGTACATAATTCTTATAATCAAGTCCTTTCACTGATGTGTTCACCGCCTTCTCTATATTATATTAATGATCCCTTTTCACTTAATCCTAAAGCTATAATTTTCTAGTACTCCTGCTCCTCTGTAGCAGAATTACCTATAGTAATATCCCAGTATTGGCCCGGTAGCTGATTGATTCTACTATCTATTTCCACTTTTGGTGGATATCTTAATATTATGTATTATATAGTATTTTTGTGGCAACTGAACGCCCTGCTTATCGCGGATGTCACTATTCTGCCGTTTGTTATGGTGCCTTCTACCTTGAATTAATCGTCTCGGGCGGGATTCTTCTCTGTTGACAATTACAAAGATATTAGATAAGAATAACTTTCATTATAACCAATCTCAGTACCTAGATGTTCAATTACGATTTTAAGTAAGACTTATACCTCTGTATAGTGCTCAGGACTATTTAATAGCTGAAACAATAAAGCTAAGTAATGGTATTAACCACTTCGGTTCTCCCGCGGATCGCAATCAAAAACAGACTCCCATTTCTGGTGGATTGTTCGGATCCCGACCTGCTTCAAAGTCTAACGGATCTACTAAGGGCTCAACAGGCTCAAATCCTCTCGGTTCCATATTCAGCGATCATCATTTCCAAACATCAACTAATACCCCAAGCACCACAGACCACATCGGGTGAGGTTCCCCATTTGGGGTTTATCAACTATGCCTCCAAGCATCCAGATTGGCAGCATCCAGATTGGCGTTTCTTTCCTCATGTTTTGTCTTTAGTCAATCCATTGATGTCCTTACTGTAAACGATACAAGCCATAGACTGTATGTTCTGACCATCTTTCGAATACCAAGCCGTACTATCATGAGAAGGATCCTGCTTCTAGTAATACGGACTTTTATCAACACAACTCCTTGCTCCAGCTGTTCGCACCCTTTTCTGCGGAAGTGAGTCGTCTATTTGCCTCGCGAACCAATGCAAAATGATGCTAACGAAAGACAAAGGAACTTCGACTCGGGGACTATGAACGGGGTGACAGAGTCAACACCTCATCAGTGGCCAGCTCCTTGTTTGCCCATGGACCTTGTGACCAGCATTACCTATGGGCTCTGGAGGCTGAAGATTGTCGCGCTCCGGATCGCTTCTGTTTCTCTTGCTGTCTGTTCATTGCTGTCTGTTCAATTTAGTATTACATGAAGTGGATTAACCAGAGTTGCCAGCAGCGTATGACACGATCAAATATGCCATGGAAGTTACTGAAGTTACTGGATTTCGACAAGAGCACTCAACCATAGACCGAGTGTGCGAATCACGCTCAGTTGCTATAAATAGGTTTGCGATCCTCTTATGTCTGAGAGAGGGAACAACACTCTACAAGAAACCAAACCCATGGATGTCACATCGCTTTCGCAAATCCCACCGGCCCTCTCATCTGTTTCTTATCACCACGAGAGAACTACTCACCAGAACGACACTCTCACGCCAAATCCACTAAGTCCCACCCTCCTCCCCCTGACAAGCAGGTTCGCCAAACGAACCGCGGCAGTGAAGACCGCCACATTCGAAGAACTGGTATCAAATTCCACCTGCCCGTTGATTTCAAAAAAGCGAGCTTCGCCCAGCGGCTGAATCTCGAAGGCGATCCGCGCGCGGTCTCGATACAGAAGCACAGTGCCCATGCGCGTCGCGCACAGATCCGGCCACGCCTGTCGTCGCCCCTGCCAGTTTTGCTGGGCACTTTGGAAGGCTAGCTCCCAGTTGTTGGCGACGATAGACGAGTCGCTGGGTAGTAGCAGGACCCCTAGGCCGGCCTCGCTGCCGGTCGTGGTCTGTGCCGTCACGGAGGAGAGGACCCAGGCGAACAGGTTTGAGGTCTGATCGGGAGGCAGGGACATGGTTTCTGCAAGCGGTTGTTTTGGTCCAATGAGGCGGTAAACTTGGATGTTGATGCTGTTGAAAGGGGGGGGTGCTTCTCTAGGATTTTAGGGTGTTGAAGGGAGACGAGCGGAGAGGGGGATCTTTTATCCATGATGGGATGAAGGAATTCCACGTATAGTATACTATATCCGCTCCCCTCCCTTTTGCTTGTTTGTCTATTCGACTGTGAAGAGATTGTTGTTGCACAGACAAACGCTACAACGCTGCTTACCATAGGGCTCGATATCACGACCGTTTCGTGACCAGCCCTGCTCGGCTGTCTGCAGACACTGACCTCATTCCCGCACTTGACCTCGCAATGAGGAGGGGCCAGTGAATCTCCTTCTCATAGAGAGCTCCCGCCGCGAAAGGAGTGGCCTACCGCATAGAGAAGTGCTGTCAATGACGTATCCCTAGCTTGTTGTTGTTGTCTTGGAGTACTTTCTGGAGAACAAGAACAGCAGGAAAATCTGAGCGTCGGAACTGGAAACTAGGAACGAAGACGTCGGAGTGGGGGGGGGTGTTTAGACCTCCTGTGCGCAGGAATAGCACAGAATGCAGAATCAGATATCTTTGTAACCTCACTGGCGAAGTATTGAGAAGGCAATTGACAGCAGAACCGTGACAATTTATGGATGATGTACCTATGGAGGTATAGATAGGGCTCAATGAATGCTACGCTATGGTACTCCGTGATTGGTTGACGGACCAGTCCATCAATCTAACCCGACTAGGTTAGACTCGATTGCGGGCTACATCATCTGCTCTGCTGGAGAGCAGCGACAAACCCGCGGAGGAGAGCAGCTGGCTCTGTCACAAATTCTATCGCAGTCATGGGTAAAGGTAAGCTTCCAGCCTCAGCCTCAGCCTCATCCAATCCGTTCACTTCAGAATATCTCTAACAACAAAGTACCCTACAGGAACGGACAAACTATATGTACGTCGTCTCCCCCAGCATCTCTCGTTACCTTATTTCTTCTTGTTCCTCTCTAATCTCTTATCGCATTCGCGGTGGTTCGGCTGACCCAAAAGTCTCACACAGATCACCCATTCGGAATGGGCCTCGGAGGACGCATTCTCCGCCAGCGCCGGCGCGGGCGTCTCGCGCGCGAAACGCGGCGGCGTGGACACGAGCTTCAAGCGCCTGCCCTTTAACTTCTGCTCGCTCTCGCTCCAACCGTTTGCGCACCCGGTGTGCACCCACGAGGGCACGGTTTTCGACCTGACCAACATCCTCCCCTGGATCAAGAAGCACGGGACGAATCCGGTGAACGGGCAGCCCCTCAAGAGCGCCGACCTCATCAAACTCCACCTGGCCAAGAACGAGGCGGGCGAGTACGTCGACCCGGTCACCTACAAGGTGTTCACCGACAACACGCACATCGTCGCGCTGCGACCGTCGGGGAATGTCTTCGCGTGGGACACCGTCGAGCGGCTGAATATCAAGGGCAAGCTGTGGCGGGATCTGGTCACGGACGAGGAGTTCACCCGCAAGGACATCATCACGCTGCAGGATCCGCAGAACATCGAGTCGCGCAACCTCAGCTCGTTCAACTACATCAAGGAAGGGGAGAGCGGGTTGACCGACGAGCAGATCCGCGAGCGCGAGGATCCCGCGAATAACGTCAACGCCAATGCCCTAGGTAGTTCGGCCAAGATTCTCAAAGCCAGGGAGGCGGTGGCCAAGGCTCGTTCGGAGAGGGCGCAGCGCGCAGGCGTCGCGGGTGCTGCCGCTGCTGCCTCGAAGGACTTAGCGAAGACCGGCGGGTCTGGTCCTGCTGCTGCCTTGTCACAGGTGAAAAAGTCGGCCGCCGCGGCCGGGAAAGCGACGCCCTATAATGCCGCTCGGCATACGACGGGGTTGGCTGCTGCCTCGCTCACGAGCACGGGGATGACTCCGCACACGGCGGCTGACCTCGCGCTGCTGTCGGACGAGGAGTACATGCTGAAGCGGGGTCGCGTGAAGCAGAAGGGCTACGCGCGCATCTCAACCACCTCCGGAGACATCAACCTGGAACTGCACACCGAGTATGCTCCCAAGGCGGTGTGGAATTTCATCAAGCTCGCCAAAAAGGGCTACTACAGGGATGTTACCTTCCATCGCAACATCAAGGGCTTCATGATTCAGGGTGGAGATCCGTCGGGGACTGGGCGAGGAGGGGAGAGTATCTGGGGCAAGTATTTCAACGACGAGTTCGAGGGGCCGCTCAAGCACGACTCTCGGGGCACCCTCAGTATGGCCAACAAGGGCAAAAACACGAACAGCAGTCAATTGTAAGTGATTTACTAATTCCCTGCTCGACCTTGCCGCTGACCTGAACGCCACCAGTTTCATCGCCTACCGCGCTCTCCCTCATCTGAACCACAAACACACCATCTTTGGCCACGTCATTGACGATCCGACCCCGTCGTCTCCAACCTTGAACAAGCTCGAGACCCACCCCACCAACTCTACGACCAACCGCCCTACCCCAGACATCCGCATTACCGACGTGACCATCTTCGTGGACCCGTTTGAGGAGTTCCTGAAGCAAAAGCAGCTCGAGGATGCCAAGGCCAGGGGCCACCTTACCGATCCGGCGGAAGAGGAGCAGAACGCACGGCGTGAGGACGACGACCGTGTTACCTGGACGGGGAAGAGGGTGCGTGGTGCTGGCGCTGGGTCTACGGAGGAAGGCTCGGCCGGCGTAGGGAAGTATCTCAAGGCCGCCCTGGCCGAGCGAGCGGGTCAGGCGGAGGATGAGATCGTCGAGTTTGTGGATGATGAGCCCGAGCCGGAACCGGTACGGAAGAAGATGAGAGGTGGAGGAGGGTTCGGAGATTTCAGCTCGTGGGATTGAGATTGGGTGTATCTCGGGAGTTTAGGGTTCAGTGCATCGTCTATTGGTCTGTGGGGTTTCTCTGGGATGGATCTTGGCTCAGGTAATGACCAGGTGTGGGTGAACAAATGAATGAGTGGCGTGGTTCAAATGTGTCACCATGATGCTGCAGGTGTTTTAACTTACTAGTAGTAATTAGCTTAGTTAGTTGACCGTGTATGTAAGCGAACTAAAAAGTTGCCGATGCACCGAGTGCCAAGACCAAAGCTCCTCGTCATCGCCGGCAGGCACAGTAGTAGTTCTGACCGCTTTCCCCAAGAGGAAATCCAAGGGAAGCACGCAAGAAGGAGTTAGTGATTGTTAATTAGTGAAGTTAGGCGGTGCTAATAATAACCCCCCGCCTCACTGCTTGCTTACTGCCACCAATTGCGCTTACTGCCACTCCACTGTCTGCTTAACTCCGACCCCATCCATTACTTACCACCACATCCTCCCCTCCCAAGAACCACTCCTCCGTCGTCTCCTCCCTCTCTCTCAACTCACTTCCATTCTCCATCTCATCTTTACATCTTCTTCCTTTTCCATCTCTCCTTCCTTCCCCTCGTGGATTATTTCTCAAGATCTATTCTCGTGAGTAATTCTTGAATCTGCTCCTTGATATGCGAGTCCGAGATTGTCATCTTGCCTTCTTTCCCCCTCCCTTCCGAGTCTCCGGAGCGCGCAGTGGGGTTGGCCTGCAGACGAGCCCGTGACGCTGGATGGACATATTGCTCAGTATAATTTTCGACATGTCTTGAACCATCAAATTCTTCCTTCTCCAGCCCCGTGTTTCATTCCTATTAGCTGCTGTAATGCTTTTTGCCCAACGGGCGTACTCTCTGTTTCCCTTCCCTTCCCCCCAAAATAGTACATACATGCCTCCTGCTACCTACCGTGTGGTGTTGTTGGACACGAAAGTCATCTATCCGGCATTGTTGGGTCATAACCATCAAGTCTTCAGAAACTGCGAGATTTCACTAGCTTCTACTTAGGGTCGATTGTTTACTGATCGCAAACACTGACGTCTCCAGGTTACTCAGCTCTATTCCCTCGCTTCCGCCGCCGAACTCACTCTCACCCTACGTCAGTTTCCGCCGGCTAAAGGACCCAAGGCTTTCCCTCTGCTTTTACCCCCCCGCGCCGCCGCCGCCTCCGCAAATCACCACCACCCTTTCCCCTTCAAAGCCACTTCTTCTATTCTCTCTCTCCCTCCCTCAACGTCCCCCCTAAATCCATTCTTTACCCATCTCCCTTCTTCCCAGAATCCCTCAGGACTACAATCAAGCTGGCAGGAAGTAAGCGCCGAAGTTTTTCTAGCCAGGGTGGGTTGCTGAACCGAATGTTCAGTGGCTCCTCGAGCCCACCCAAAGATAGATCCGACACAACAATTGCCCGCTCCGGTGCTATTGACACGCCGCCTCTAAGCATCCGCACCGAGGATTCCAGCACCCCCAAGAAGTTCTCTCCCCCGGGCGGCTTCTTCACACGGCGGACAAGCGAGGATCACGCTCCGGGCAGCGAGAAGAAGCGCCGTAGTAGCACGGTCACGAAAGCGGCCTCCTTCTTCACCAGCGCCAAGAACTCCTTGAGCCTGTCAAGCAGTCCCCGTGAGAACTCCTTCACCTATACCATCCAGGAGCAGCCAGGCGTGGCCAAGTTTGGGAGCATGGACCCTGCCCTGAGTGTTCCTCAAGGGTCATTAAATAACTCGGCTGGTGAATCGCATCCCACTGCACGCTCGTCTTTCAGAGTCGGTGTTACCGAGGACAAAAACCGAAAATGTCGCCGGACTATGGAAGATACCCATGCCTATTTGTACAACTTCCTGGGGACTCCCGCACTCTCAGCCCAGGGTGAGACGGGCACCAAAGCGATAGCCATCCCAAGCGGCACCTCCTCCACATCCGAGAGATCCACCAGCGTGGTTGAAACCGACAACGGATACTTCGCCATCTTCGATGGGCATGCGGGCACATTTGCGGCCGAGTGGTGCGGAAAGAAGCTGCATCTGATCCTCGAAGATGTAATGCGCAAGAATCCTACCACTCCGGTCCCGGAGCTTCTGGATCAGACCTTTACTAGCGTAGATCAACAGCTGGAAAAGTTGCCTTTGAAGAACAGTGGCTGTACCGCAGTCATTGCGCTGTTACGATGGGAAGATCGAGTGCCCAGCTCGCATTCCGCCACGGGGTCATCGGCTCTCGCATCCGCCGCCGCAGCCGCCGCCAAGGCCGATACCGATTCCGATGAAGCGGGCGATACGCCTACTCAGGCTGCCGTCTCGGGCGCACTGCCCAAATTACAAGAAAAGGCTGCTCGTCAGCGCGTTCTATACACCGCCAATGTGGGTGACGCACGTATCATCTTGTGCCGCAATGGCAAGGCACTACGTTTGTCGTACGACCACAAGGGCAGCGACGAGAACGAAGGAAAGCGAATAGCAAATGCCGGAGGTCTCATTCTGAATAATCGCGTCAATGGCGTTCTTGCTGTGACCCGAGCTTTGGGCGATGCGTACTTGAAGGATCTCGTGACTGGACATCCGTACACCACAGAGACGGTGATTCAACCAGAGTCAGACGAGTTCATCATCTTGGCCTGTGATGGGGTAAGTCCACACTCTCCTGAATCGTATTGCAACGATTGCTGACAGATTATTCCTCAGCTCTGGGATGTGTGCAGTGATCAGGAAGCTGTCGACCTGATCCGGAATGTTCCCGATGCCCAGGAAGCGTCCAAGATCCTGGTCGATCATGCCCTTGCGCGGTTCAGCACCGATAACCTCTCTTGCATGGTCATCCGGTTCGATACAGAACGCGTCAAGGAAGTCGTAAACCGTACAGCTGAACCCATCGGCGTCGAAGGCGATCAAGTAACCGAACACGGCGTCAGTGAGGCTGACAAGATTGTTGAGTCGGCTCGCAAGAGCATGGCCAACGCGGGACTGGCCGACAACCCAGAGAAGGCCGAGAAAGTCCAGGAGGAAATCTTCGAGAAAATGGCGAGCGAACAACCCGAGCCTGCGCCACCGGTTAAGGAAAAGGAAGACAGTAATGCCGCCGCAATTGCGGATAAGCTGAAAGTGCCTGAACCCCGGAATCCAACTGCATAAGCACTTTGGAGTGAAAACTACAATGCTGTGTGATTTTCTGCTTTAGGTCGATAGAAGGACTGGGGCGCTGCGTCCCGGCCCATTGTTTCCGCGCAACAGGGGAGTTTTTTCGCTTATGCTCTCCTCTTCCACTTTGACCCTTTTTTATCTTCCTTCTTCCTGACCATGAGTCTCTGGCGTCGATCGCGGGCTTTCGACCTGGTTTATTTGTTCTTCTCTCTACCGGGCCAAGGAATGGACTTTGCGCTCAGCCGTCCCCTATCCCGCCTGGTCTTCTGCCTTCGTTTTTACCCCTTCTTAGCTGTACTGGATTCCATCCGGCAGATTCACTTCCACTCTCGCTCCAAACCGCTTCCTTCCGTGTGATTTGAAATCGAGGGCCTTGAGTTCCCTGCCTTGTCGTAGACGCGGAAAGCGAGGACAGACCAGCTGCGCAACTTCACTTTTGACACCGGAAACATGAGCTGATGTTCTTGTATGCTACATATCGATGTATATTTGATCCGCAGGTCTAAACCAGAAGAAGCATGAAACAAGCCTCCTCCGCAGACGTCTCTACGTATCGTTCTTCAATTGTCTGCTGGGAATGGATGAATGGGGACATCGAACTAATTCCAATTGAGTGTCTGTGTTGCTAAACGCCATTTGCATCATGTTCTCGAGAAAAGGGAGGAATAACTAAAGATCTAAAAATACATTTTGTATCATGTAGAGAAACCAGGCGTTTGAACAAAAGTATGTAATATCCACTCACACGCGCACGGGGACAGCCATCAAAGTACAAAAAGAACAGGAAATCCGGCGAGCTCCTCAGTTGGGCTGGGCAGCCTCGGGTTCTGTCTCCACGCCCTTCTCCTTGAAGGCGTTGTGGGCCAAGACCTCGATATCGGACAAGACGGGCTTCTGGCCGGGCATAACGTGGTCGCGGGTCATTTCCAGCTCGCCGTGAAACACGCGGGCGGGCCACTCGGCGGCGTAGTGGGCATCGTGGAGATCCGTCCAGAGGATCTTGACGGCGTTCTCCTCCTCGAGGCGGGCACGGGTAACCGGGTCCTCCTCGACGACCTCCTGGATCTTGTAGTCAACTTGGCGGGGGATGCTGAGGGTCTTCTCGAAGTTGGTGACGCGCTCGAGCTGAGCGGCGGCGACGGCGGCCTCCTTGATGCGGGCCTGGCGGCGGCGGCGACGGGCGGCGCGGCTCAAATAGCCGCGCTCCCCAGTAGCGAACCCGTTCTTGATCTCCTCGGCCTGGATGGCCAGAACGGCGGCGATGTCGGCGACGGAGGTGCTCTTCTGGTCCATGACGATGCGGGCGCGGTCCTTAGGCTTCATCAGCCACCCCTTCTTGTCGGCGTACTCCTTGTCAAACTTCTCGGCCTGCTGCGGGTCGCGCGGCCGCTTGCGCTGCAGCCACTCCTCCGTGATGGTCACCATCTCGCGCGGCGGCGCCAGCTGGCGCTGCATGGAGAACTCGCGCAGCAGGTGATAGGCGCGCAGCCCCAGCTGCGAGCTCGTGAAGTGCACCGAATAGTAAGGGACCCACATGTCTTTGCGGAGGGTAGCGGGGACGGTCTTTTTGCCATGATAGATCATTTGTCGGAGAACATTGTTTTTCTAAAATAACACAGCCATAATTCAGTAACCCTTCTTTTAGAGCCCTTCTGTCTGGTCGTTGGCTTACCTCCAAGTATCTCGTCAACGAGTACACCACCTGGTTAGTCCGGATATTGTGATAGACGAAAATGTTCTTGCCGTGCGTCAAGGCCTGCAGCGCCTTGCGTAACCGCACACCTTCCTTCTCCTGATGTGTCCGGAAGGCATTGGAGCCCTTCTCGCGCGGCCGGCCCTGGATCACGGTGTGGTTCTCGATCGGAGGCCGACGCACGACGTTCCACGTGCCCATCTTGGTCGGGTCCAAGATCTTTTGCACTGGTTGCACAAGTTTCTTCATCTTGCCGGCCGTGGGGACTGCATTGGTGGTTGGGGTGGCCATTGCGGCCGCGGATTGGGAGTGGTTTGGCTTTCGTTTGGCTGGCTTTTTGCGTGAGTCGGAGGTCGTCCGCGGGGTTTGGTTGACTTCTCCCAATTCTCTATCAGGTCCTTTCCCGGGAGTCTGATAGAGGGGGAGGTGGGTGGGAGATTTGGGGGGGGAAGGTGGTGGTTGTGATCAGTGAGGATTTCAAAGTCGGTGGTCCGTGAAGTCGAATTGGGTTCAAGTCGGGGATCCTGAAAGGCGGATCAATTTTTCGATGGATTCTGCCCATTCCGCCTTTTGGAGCGGCCGGGCGGGCGGCCAACAACAACCACTACTGAATGGATGAGCTTCCCGTCCATCGCTGCGGGCGGCCTGCGACTCCCAAACCAACTTGAGTTAACTTACTATCTCCCCCTCCTCTTTTCTAGACATCATCAGTTCTTCAGAACTGATTCTACCTTATTCTAATCACGCTCTCTTCTTGGGGTTCAGTGACTTCCAGGAATCTGAACAGTGTACCAGATCGCCGCCAATTCGAATTCCTACTGTATTACCGTCCGATCTTCATTGCCTGACTGTCCCCCGTCTAGGATGATCGCATCAATCCCGCCTGCGCAGTGCGACAGCTAAGCTTGCTTTCGCCTCTTAAGTCGCCGACCGCAATGGCCGACGACAATGCAGGCGACCGTCGTGATAGACCCTGGCAGTTTCCATTGGTATATTCTACGGTGTTCATTGTCTCTTCTCGGCTAAACACTAATAAATGATGGTCGCTCTAGAACCGTAAGCTGCGACATCTCCAGAGCATCTCCGTCCGCAACCTCGTCGTCACACCACCCTCCAAACCTCGCGGAAAAACCATTGATGACGAAGATGTCCCCAATTCCCTGCAGTCGCCTTTCAAGGTTCCTATCGCCGATGTGAACGACTCGCTGCACCCTTCACGGTCCTTCACCGATCTCAAGTCGTCGGCAACCACCAACTATCGTCACGGAAACCATGAGCCGGCCGCAGCAGCAGCAGCAGCAGCACCTCCAATGCGGCAATGGCATCGAAGGAACACCATGCCATGGAGCGCCCCTAATCCTCGCGCGCGACAGACCAAACTGGAAGAGATCACAAGCAGTCGCATGGCCGACACCTGGTTCTCCCTCCACTGCGACGGGATCGAGGAGCCGGTCTACATCAGCGAGCCCGTGGAGCATGCTACCAACCCCAGCTTCCGCTCCTTCGATCTCAACATGTGCGGGCCGTCAGTGTCTCGTCGGGATCATCTGGTCGTGAAGCTTTGGGCCAAGACCCGCGCAATGGGTGATTATGTGCTGCTGGTGGAGCTGCGATTGTGTTTGCAATCTCTACAATTCTTGGGCAAGTCGCTGGATACTTTCCACCAGCCACTGCCGGCCAACTCCATCCTCTTCCACTTTGCAGACGGTGTGTACACGAACCTGACGGATCTCCCACCGGTCCTGGCCGCTGCGCCCCTGCACCACCCCAGAGCGGCGGATGGCGCTGCCGTCTCCACCTCTTCGTACGAGGCGCTGATGAAACTGGCCAACCTGGACGAGTGCATCCAAGACGCGCTAACGACTCGGGATCGCATTGAGGCGCAGATCAATTCCATCATTGAGCGGGACCAGCGTGAGGTGACTGCCCCGGGTAATCTCTCGCAGGCCCGTAACAAACTCGCCCTCACGAAACATGCCATTGCTACTGAGCGCAAGCGTCTTCACAGTGCCGCAAGACGCAAGGAGGATTTGGTACATAGTATCAAGGTCCGAAGGGACGCTATGGCGCATGGGCGTGATAGCCAAGCCAATTCGCAGAGCCACCTTCCCGACGCGCAGTCCAAGCTGCGCTCCAGTGCCAGGCTCTTAGAGAAGAACACCGAGGACTCCAAGGGCCAGATCCGGCGCATCTCGGAGGACTTGTTGGCGATTTACCCGATCGAGCCCATTCCAGACCAGCCACTTGCGTTCACGATCGCTGGTCTGCCATTACCCAACTCGAACTTCACCGACGTCGACCGCGACGAGGTGGCGGCGGCCCTGGGATACACCGCCCACCTGGTCTATCTGCTATCCTTCTATCTTTCCACTCCCATCCCGTACCCGATCAATCCGTATCTCTCCCGGTCGTTCATTCAGGACCCGGTGTCTGTATCGCTCCCCCAGAGGACGTTCCCGCTTCACCCGGCCAGCGTGCAATACCGGTTCGAATACGGGGTGTTTCTGCTGAACAAGGACATTGAGTTCTTGCTGAACCGGCAGGGGCTCCGTGTTCTGGACATCCGACATACGCTGCCAAACCTCAAATTTCTGCTCTACATGCTCACGGCCAGCACGGGGGAGATTCCAGCTCGAAAGGCCGGGGGCATCCGTGGGCTTCTCCCGGGCCGGCTGACTCCCAGTCTGTCTCGACGTGGCAGCGAGGAGAGTGTGGCAACTCGCGAAACGGTAGTCTCTCGCAAGCCGACGGGCCCCGCGGCTTCGCAGATGAATGGGGGCTTGATGGTTTCTAACTTGCCCAGCACAGTCACGGCTTCTTCGGTTGCCTGAGTGCTTTACATACCCTGGTGTGCTGGTTGCGATTCTGGTCCAGTTGGCACATATTATCTCATACTGGCTTGTTGGCGCAAGCCATGATTGCGTTCGGTTTCTCCTACTGTTTGCCTTGTGGGATGGACTTTTGGGAGCGCTGCATTGATTGGGGAGCGTGATTCGAGGATTCCAGTTAGTCTGGTAGAGATGGCCCTCTTTTCAGTGCTGCCCCAGAACTCTTCTGGCTGTTTGTGTGTTGTACATATCTTAGAGCATCTACCCTCGGCAGTCCCGGTGGTGATTAGGAATAGCCCGGAGTTTATTGGGATTACGATTGATAACAGATATTTACCCCGCATTCTCCGCTGACGGAAGAACTGGCCAAGTTGTAGTTGTGTGTGTGTTGTAACTTGTTGATGGAAGGCAATCGTTAGGAGGTTTTGTGTGTTGTTTACTTGTGGGTGAATCTTGTTTTTTGTCTGTTCACACACTTCACACATACTTTTCCCCCTTCTCTCCCTCTTTCTCAGCACTTCTGCTCCGTTCTCAATTTTGATTTCGTGTCTCAGTAAATCCAAAATCCTCCTCCGAGAAATAGGGTTTGTTGCGAAAGAGAGTTTGTGTGGGAGAGAGTGAGTGAATGAGTGGAAAAAGACGGTGTGAAGAAGAAGAGGAAGTGACAGGCGGAGATAAGGACAAGCAACAAACGGTGCTGCCTGGGGCCCAACACCCCCCTCCCTTCCACTCTCTTTCTCTTACTCTCTCTTGTCTGTGTTATTTTATCCCTTCCCGCCCACCGCTTTTTCTCGCTTTGCATCGGCTCTTCCTTCCCCCCTCCTCCCCCCCCATCGATGCCCTTTCGGTCACAGTCCGCACTGTCGACTCCGGTATAGGAGACCTCCATCATGGCAGCCCCTGCGAATACCGGCCCTCAGGAGCCTCTCTATTCGCACAACGGCCAGAACCACCATACAAGGTCTCCATCGCCCCAGTCCCAGTCCCAGTCCCAGCATCGTCGTGGATACCAGGCCTGCGATCCGTGCCGCAAGCGCAAAGTGAAGTGCGACCTTGGCAGTGAGATGATCCCCTCCCCTCCGATCCTTTCTTTTTTTTTTGCTCTTCCCTTTTCGACCTCAAGTCCCCCCCCACCAAATTAGATCTAGTGTCACACTTCGTTTCAAAAAAAAGAAATACAAGTCGACTGGTTAACTCATCATCTCCTTCTCAGGTGTCGATAATCCTCGTCCTCCGCCTTGTGTACGATGTCGCCGTGAAAGCAAGCGCTGCGAGTTCTCCGCGACGAGGCGCAAACGCAAGCCCTCCGATGCTGACGATGAGTCGGAGGATGCGGCCCTGCGTCGCGATAAGCGTATGATGGTCGGAGAAGTCCTTTCTACCCACAGCTCCAATAATCGCGATAGCTCGCCCTATGTGCCTTCACTAGAGCATGTTCCCTCGTCTGCCACTGCCACTGCCGCTGCTCTCGACAATAACACCCCTGGTCGTCCGCGACTCAAGTGGTCAGAGAGTTCGCCTGCAGCTAGTCAACTACCTCCGTCCACCGCCAGCAGTCATCATCGTTACACCTCTTCTACCGGCACCACCACCGCCACCACCAACCACCCGACATCCACCACCCAGTCCACGACAGCGGCGCATTTCGCGGATGCGCGGGGTAACCGTCGCTCAGTCTTCTCGGCCGGCGACAGAAGTCATGCGCCCAGTTTCAGCCTCGAGGGCGGCCAGCCCATGATGAACCGGACCGCCGTCGAGCTGCTGTCGCCCGCCATCAGTAACAGTCACGACGCGTTGCACCTCCTCTCCGAGGCCGCCGGGCGCACGGAAGATCTTAATCGCCAGAGTTTAGAGAACCGATACGGCGCGCGACAGTCGGTCTCCTCGTTCAATTCGCCCATGTCCCCCCTCACGCAGGCTGGCACTCCGCGTAGTGCGGGCGGGTCGTTCTCGAGACCGGCTCGCTCCGGTACAGTCCCCGGTGCGGGTGGGTATTATCCGGCCGGTGGCTCGGGGGCGCTGGATGCGCAGCACCCCGATGGTCGTGGCCAGGCGGACTCGACGGAGAATGCGCCGGATCCGGGCTTCGCTGATGCGGTCCGGGCATGGTCGCGACTACGCTTTGTGCGGGCCGGCTGGCTGTCGGTTGAAGAGGCGATGGCTTACGTTGCATAGTATGTTTTTGGTGCGCCTTGGAAGGTTTTATGTCTTTCTGTACTGATGGTGGTGGTGGCAGCTACTACGAACATCTCGCTCCCCTGAGTCCGATCGTCATCCCGGATTTCTCTCACCCATCCGCCCATCGCAGTCTGCTTACGGATGAGCCTGTCCTGGCGGTAGCCATCTTGACGACTGCGTCACGACATATGAAGCCGAAGGGCGATGGGGCCTATACACGGGCCTTTTACATCCACGATCGGCTTTGGTCGTATCTCCGCGGCATGATCGAGCGTCTCTTCTGGGGCCAGGAGAAGTTCGACAACAACGGCATGGGTATCAGCCGGCCGCGGTCGTTCGATCTCGCGCCCACCGCTGCCAAGGTGAATCACAAAGGAAACCTGCGGTCGCTGGGTACGATCGAAGCGTTGCTTATTCTCACTGACTGGCACCCTCGGAATCTGCATTTCCCCCCCGGCGATGACGAGAACGCTTTACTGGATCTGGACGCTCATACCCAGAGTCGGTACGAAAGAGAGCTGGAGACCGATGCGGAGAACACGGCAAATCGTGCCCCCAACAACGCTGCGGAGGGTCGTCTGGCCTTTCAGAAGTGGCTTGAGCCCGCTTGGCGGTCGGACCGCATGGCGTGGATGTTGCTGAGTACGGCGCAGGCGCTGGCGTTCGAGCTGGGAGTCTTTGATCAGAAGAACGATGCCAAAGCCGCTGTGGAACCGCTGTCGGAGCAAACCCGCAAGCGCCGTCTCCGTCGCCTGATTCTCGTCTATATCACGCAAAGCAGTGGCCGTCTGGGCATCCCGTCCATGCTGCCCCTGCCGCAGTGGACCAGCGATATCCAGCCGACGCCCATGACGAGTACCAAGGGTAGCGATGCCATCGTCGACCGCATGCATGACTGCTGGATTGGAATCTCCAAGATCATGTATCAGAGCAATCAGCTGCTTTTTGCCTCGAACGAGCAGACGTCGGAACTGATCCGGAGTGGACGATACCGTGATCAGATCGATCGCTTCCAACCGTTCCTACGGGAGTGGCGGCATAACATCGACACCATTGATCGTAAGTGCTCTTTTTCTTTCCCTTGTTGGTGGGTGGTGATGCTGACCGAGCCAGTGGCTCCGCCTATGAGGAATATCTTAATGATCGAATATGAATATACTCGTGAGTTGTGCGGTCGTATGTGTTTCAAAGGATTTGAGCTGACGGTTCAGGGCTCTACGTCAACTCTCTTGCTCTGCAGGCGGTGGTGGACCGGTGGACGACGATGTCGAACGAAGCGGCTCAGAGCCAGATTTCGCGACCGAACGCCGGCCCGTCGGCCAGCGGGGTTGGGTTTCACGTGCTCATGGAGTTGTATCGCGTCAACGAGCCGTACATTCAAGAGGTGGTGGATGCATCCCGCAAGATTTTGCAGACCGTGCTGGACGTTCTGGTTCCCGGCGACCATCTCAAGCATGCGCCGGTGCGGACATGCTTCCGCATTCTGTCTGGGATGATTTTCATCCTCAAGGTATGGAGATCTGGGTGCTGATTCGCCGACGGCATCCGCGCTGACTTGCATAGACTTTCACCCTGGGGGCCAAGGAAGACGATGTGCGCGTGTCCCTGGATCTCCAAGACCGCACGATCGAAGCCCTCCGGACATGTGTGGTGGACGACGTCCACCTCAATCACGCGATTGCGCGACTGCTGGAGTTGTTGACGACGAGTATCCGCACGCGATTCCTCCGGTTCGCCCCACTGGACCGCGGTGGGGACGGGGAGCAGGAGCGGCCGTCAGCGCCGGCGTCACGACATCAGTCGCCGCGGCCGCGCGACGGAGCCCCGGCCCGTCGCGAGGGGTCCAGCAGTCACGCATGGACGCCGTCAGCGGCGGCGGCGGCGGCGGCGGCGCAGCAACAGCAGCAGCAGCAGCAGCAGAACAACCTGGGGTATGTGGACGGGACGAGCCAGACGGGCACGAGCATGAGCTCCTCGGTGGTGCATGACCCCCTGGCGGCGATTCCCGCGCAGTCGATCAACTCCTCACACATCAACGTCTCCTTCATGCCGCCCCCGCCCTCGATGTACCACAACTACTACGACCCCAGCGCGACGCCACCTGCTGGGGATGTGGAAGGCCCGTCCGCCTCCTCGGCGACGACGGCCAACAACGTCCCCTCGATGGCCGACCCTGCGGCGGCCACCACCTCCGGCGGACTCCCGGACTGGTTCGCCCTGCCGCTGGACCAATTCTTCAACAGCTCAACGGCGGTGGTCGATCAGGGGTTGGGCGGCACGGGCCCGATGGTGGGGGAGTTTGACATGTTGGAGGTGTTGCTGAATGAGCAGTACGATGGGGGCGTGGGGCCGGGCGAGGGGGGAGATGCTACTGCTGGGGGGGGGAATCTTTCCTCGCAGTTTTTGCCATGACGAAATTACTGTAGGTTGGATACGATAGTAGAGGGGGGCAGTGTAATTATCAGATAAGGGGGGTGGTATGACTGTACGAATTACGATAGTTATCTTTGGTGGTCTTGTTCTGTTTTGCATTGGTGTCTGCATATACCGCGGTATCTGTTGTGGATGTGGATGTGGGAGTGGGGTCTGCCGAGTTGCAGTCTCAAGTCTGGGAGCTCCTGCATGTCTCAGATGGATTATCTTGGCGGGTGATTTTGCTCCTGTTCTTTTCAGGGGGGTGGGGGGAGGGCGGAGGTCGACTCGGAGTCCGGAACCTTTGTTGTTTGGAGCTCAATTGAGGTTGCGGAGTGGACAATTCCATCTAATCTTCTTTGCCGTCAACAACCATAGCGAAGACAGTACAGTAGGACTAGTTAGTAACGTAGGGTTTGTTTAAACTGATAACAGGGCGATAGTAAGACTACCTACACTAGATAGGAAGGCAGACCCACGGTGCATGACTCCGCGATCGTAGTCTCAACCACTACTTGGGATCTGCAATCATACAACCTTGAAATCGGTTGTGAGATGCACGAGATGCACTCGAGAAAGAACCACATGCCAGTCATGCTATATCATGAGGCTTGAACCCCCACATGCCACCTCCTCAATCCCGCTCCTCCGTCGGACTTCCTTGTCCAGAGTCCAACAGAAAACGGTGGGCAGTGGGGATGATTTCTGCAATGCAACATTAACTGAAGTATGGAGCTATCTCTTAGACTAAATCCATTCTAAGTTAGTGCCTGAGTAACTTACTGTATGTCAAGTTAGATACTGTAGTGAGATCCTTGTGGAAGACACAACGGCTTGCACGGGTCAAGTTACTCCGTACAGTAAGTGAGATTAAGATACGGTTTGGACCTCGGCCTCGGCACGCTTCCGCCCTTCCACTTCTGACTATGACTGATGACTGACTGACTCGGACTGATAGGCGATGTTCGCGGCCTAAAGACACTTAACTTACTGTGCATAGTTGCAACGATCTGCAACAAATCAGAGAACAGGAAATTCTGCAGGGTCAGTCAGGGTCCTGCACTACTACTACTAGGTAGATACCCTCTCGAGGACTACTACTGGCTACTACTACTACTGACTAAGAAAGTCCTGCAGGGTCAAAGAGGAGAAAATTGAAATTCAAAACAGGGCTGCACTGCACATGCTGCCATGCTTGCCGCCAATGAACGTGGCTGGACCCTGATTTTCTTTTCGAGAACGTCTCCTGATGGCTGAGATGGCTGAGTTGGGATGGTTTTGGTTCCTGGAGTGAGTGGGACATCACGGCACTGGCCCTGGCAGTATCCATAGCCTCCCAGTGAAAACTGTACAAATGCACTTGTTTGTTTACCGGGGTGGTTTTCTTGGGACGGGCTGTGTCCGTCCATATACATACATAGAAGAGGCGGTTGTTAAGTTGGACCCTGGGCCTTGGGGTTGTTAGTCCCGGTTCTGGGATTGGATGGTAACGTACTAGTACTGGCCAAGACTAGCTTAGTGCAGTTTCTAGCTTCATGTAGGAGTATAGTCTGGCTTAGTGGAGCATGTCGAGGGCATATTCTTGCGGAGTGTCAGTCAACATGCAAATGTGAGTATAGCAACGAGACCCCCTTCCCCTCCTCCCCATTCAAGCAGTCAAGCTACTACTGCCTGGTTCAGGGTACTCACTACCTAGTACATAGAGCCCATCAAGCTGGAGATTACAGGGTGTGAGTAGCATTTTGAGTGGCATACTGCGTAGTGTAGTTTTGGAGGGATGAGTGGCCTGAGTATTTGGTTTGATGAGGGGAGTGACAACCAGTCGCTGGAGCAAACACCCTCTTGCTCCTTCATCCTGAAGAGTTCTTGTTCCGAATCAAGCTACGCGCGAAGGATTGCCAGGGACAGATTCTCCCCCTCTGATAGTAAGTGGTCCCTTGGCACCTCTCGGCGGGAATAACCTCATGCGGACAAAAGTAGACCATTGGAGCATCCGTAGATTGGCCGCCATGATCGTCGGTCTTTGCTTCCTGATGGGCGATTAGTGGCTCCGGGTCTCCGTTGGTGCATGAGCAGTAAGTGAGACATTTGATATTACCACAATGATCTATGATAGAGGATGAGCAGGTCTATGCTGTAGGCTGGGGGGGATGAGCTGTTATGCAGAGTGTAAGGAACGAAGATGCAAGCAAGAACAAAAGTATAAAGAGGTCTACCACACCCGCGATCTTTTCGAAAGGCTTCTCATCATCATCATCATCATCCATCATCCTCCCTCTTCATCTAATCTCCCCCTTCAAAATGGTCGTCTTCAACAAGGCTGCTGCCCTCCTCTTGGGCTTGACCACTGCGGCGACAGCTGCCCCCCTGGCCGAGGAGGCCGTCGCTGCCTCCTCGCCCAAGACCTTCTCGGTCAAGCAGGTGGCCAAGGCTGGCAGCAAGGGACGCACGGTGAATTTGCCGGGGCTGTACGCCAACGCGCTGGCCAAGTACGGGGCCAGCGTGCCGGCCAGCGTCAAGGCGGCGGCGCAGAGTGGCAGCGTCGTGACCACCCCCCAGGCCAACGACGAATCGTATCTGACCCCCGTCACGGTGGGCCGCTCGACCCTGAACCTGGATTTCGATACTGGCTCCGCCGACCTCTGGGTCTTCTCCTCGGAGCTGTCCGCCTCCTCGCGCTCCGGTCACAGCATCTACACCCCCGGCAGCACCGCCAAGAAGATGTCGGGCTACAGCTGGAGCATCTCTTATGGTGACGGCAGCTCCGCCAGTGGTGACGTCTACAAGGACAAGGTCACCGTTGGCACCGTCACTGCCGCCAGCCAGGCGGTCGAGGCGGCCAGCAGCATCAGCTCCGAGTTCGTCCAGGACACGAACACGGATGGTCTGTTGGGGTTGGCCTTCAGCTCCATCAACACTGGTACGTCCGAGCCCCCCTTTTTGGCTGTGGAAATGCGATCGCGATAGACAGTACTGACTCCCACCACTCCAGTCTCCCCCGTGGCCCAGACCACCTTCTTCGACACCGTCAAGTCCAGCCTGGACGCCCCGCTCTTCGCCGTCGACCTGCAGTACCACACAGCCGGCACCTACGACTTCGGCTTCATCGACTCCTCCAAGTACACCGGCTCCCTGCACTACGCCGCCGTTGACGACAGCCAGGGCTTCTGGCAATTCACCGCGAGCGGCTACGGCGTGGGAGATACCGCCTCCAAGTCGACTGCTTTCTCTGCTATTGCCGGTGAGTGTGCCCTTCATCTCCCCTCCCCTTGTTTCCCTTCCATACACCACCATACTTATAATCTAATAATTGATAGACACCGGCACCACCCTCATCCTCCTCGACGACTCCATCGTCTCCGACTACTACAACAGCGTCCGCAGCGCCTCCTACTCCGACAACTACGGCGGCTACGTCTTCTCCTGCTCCGCCTCGCTGCCCGACTTCAGTGTCAAGATCGGCTCGTACACGGCCGTCGTGCCCGGCCAGTACATCAACTACGCGCCCATTTCCTCGGGTAGCTCCACTTGCTATGGTGGCATTCAGTCGAATGAGGGCCTGGGGCTGTCCATTCTCGGTGATGTGTTCCTCAAGAGTCAGTATGTGGTGTTTGATTCCCAGGGACCGAGAATTGGGTTCGCTGCGCAGGGTTAAGAAGTCGAGGCTCTGTGCTGAGGAATAGGAATTGAAGCTTGGGCTTGAGGGAGGGAATGGTGTTGTACCCGGGTGGTGATGGGTAGGGTTGAACATATGGATGGATGGGGTGATGAATATATGCTTCCTTTCGATGTGGATAGTGATGAATGGATATGCTTGTTTTGTTTGTGATCGGTTCTTTGGTGGGGTCTCGTGGTGTTTGGAGGGATGGGTAGTTGTCGTAGGATATCCTATTGCCTGGAGAATAGTATCTGGCATTACCCTGGGACCGATAAAAGTATACCTACTGTAGTATAGATGGGCATCTGTGGATAGGTAGTAGTGGAGGGATACACGCGGGCCAACTATGAACCCTAACCCTAGTAGGACATGGGACACAAGACTCCGTGTGTAATACTCAGACAGTCTTGTCAGCCTAATTATACTTGAGGGTGTGGGAGTGGCGAGATAGTAGCTTATGAGAAGAGGGGTTGCATCTATTTATTCCACTTTCTCGCAGGATCTTCTATTCGTAGGTATGGCTAGCATTGTCGATAACTTTGCAGCCTTGTACCAAATGCAGGAGTAACTTAACCCTCTCCAGATGACCGCATCATTGGTTGTAAAGAACATATACAGCGTATTCAGGGTATTCTGATATAAGCGCCCGGATGGTCTAGTGGTATGATTCTCGCTTTGGGTCAACAGCTTAAATGCGAGAGGCCCCGCGTTCGAATCGCGGTTCGGGCCACTTCTTTTTGTCTTTTTTTGGTCGTGGTTTTATGCCGCGGGCCGGGAAGCATGGTAGAGTGCGGCGCATTGGGTAAAGCTGGGTTTAATTATCTTTTAATATGCTTACATTGTATGCTTGGTCTTGATGATGTGGCTTTGTGTTTGAGTGATTTTATTTTTTTGTTGTGAGTGTTTCGCATGTAGACTGTACTGTACAATTGGAAATGTGCTCAGGGATATATACCGTCGTACTACTACACGGTGTGGTTGACAGTCACCTTGATTCCACCTCATCCTATTTCAAACAGTGCTCAGGGAGAAGTAAAAACAAAAACACATATGCACCTCATCCTGCCTGCGGAACTCCCCCCTATGCGGCTTCTAGTCCTGTTGGACCCACCACTCCCCTGGTAGGTCGCAGCTGCCGCTTCTCAAGGCCATGCGCAACCCACACGTTTATACATACCGTATGCCCTGAAGGACAATCACTCTTACAACTGCTGTCATGCTCCTGGTGGTCACGCGGGGAGAGGACAGTTCGTGAGCTAAAACCAAAATTCTTCAGTGAAAGTCTCGACCAGTTCAAATAAATAGACTTAGTATGTCATTCCCACAAGCATACAAATACGCGCATATAGCAGCAGTAGGAGAGGGGATTCCATACCCTGCCTGCTGTGTAAATTAGTACTATTCATGCATCCAATCGCTAGACAGACACATCACTAGACATCTATCCAGATTCCAGTAGTACGCGCACCGTGACAGCAGACCTATATAAAAACTCGATTGTATATATTCCGAAAAGTAGTATGCAAGCCGAGACCGGACCATCAACCACAACAGCAAGCGGGGATCAATCAGAAAGTCATACTGCGACATGACCCCAATCGCAAATAATCAGACTATAAATAATCATTCTGCTAGAACACAGATAACCAAAGACTGCACACTGGGATGGTCCATGTCCATCGCAGTCCTGCTGAACAAGCACTTCCGTTGCCCTGCGATCATGATGCCAGAAAATAAGCGCATGACATCATCAAGCCCGGGTGGTCTAGTGGTATGATTCTCGCTTAGGGATTCCAAACCCAAGCATATCTGCGAGAGGTCCCGCGTTCGATCCGCGGCTCGGGCCTTGTTCCTTTTTCTTTTATTTGCATCTGTTTTTTTGCTGTATGCCCTTTGAATTGTTGCTCTCCCTTTTAGTCCATAAGAGCGGTATGGATTTATTACTTGAACATAGGTCAATGGGTGAAATTGAAACGACGTTTATATCAACCCTACTAGTGTAACACTGCATGAAAGATGCATCAACAGAGTGGCTGGAGCCACCGACGGTAGCGGAAAGGTTATCCGTAGTTGATTCTTACTGGGGATAATAACCCGAGCAGAACAATGGGTAGGGCGTGATAGTCTGCATGGTGTACCATGGATGCACTGTGGTCTCTGTTTCTATTGACATAGGCTGTGACAAATAGCTTGTGACATCATAAGAGCCCGGATGGTCTAGTGGTATGATTCTCGCTTTGGGATACACATCTTGACTGCGAGAGGCCCCGCGTTCGAATCGCGGTTCGGGCCACTCTTTTTGTTTTCTCCCACTTACTTCGAGTAAGGTCTTAGCGCTGCTTACTTTTTCCCTCTGATAGAAAGATGGTACAAGGTGTTCAACTTGATGAGACTGCTGTCTTTGACACGGAGGCTTATCGAATCCGGAGCCATCCTGCTATATGCTCTGCATGATGTAAACCGTATACAAGCCCAGCCACTGTCAACTACCACAACACAGCTTTCATGCTCTCCTGCATCACATCTAATACATCCCAGATACCTATAATCACTCTAATTATCGTCTATGCTACATGACTCCCATCCCACCATCAGACAACACCTAGATATCAATATCTATCTGCACGATCAAAGTAGTCATGAGTCGTGAATCCAGCTCGCCGACCCCGCGAAGAAATTAAACCGCTGTAAAAATGTACTCACCCCCCGCGGTGTCCCCGTCACGCCGCACCAAAGAGCTCCTCGAACTCCTCCTCGGGCTCCTTTTTGGCGGCCTTCGGCTTTAACACGTCGGTGATGCTGACCAGCTTGGAGTAGAACTCGATGACCCGCGGGTGGACCATGACCTTGCGGGCGTCGAACCGCGTCACCTGCAGGCCCGCCTTGGAGGTAGCGCGACTCAGCGCGACGTACGCCTGGCCCTTCTCGAACACCTTGCCCAGATCGACCTTGACGCGCTGCAGGGTCTGGCCCTGCGCCTTGTGGATGGAGAGCGCCCACGCCAGAATGAGCGGCACCTGCTGGCGCTGCGCCTGCACCTCGCCGTTGGGCAGCTCGATCTTCCACGCCTCCGGCTGGCACAGCAGATGTCGCTCCGTGCCGTCCGGCTGCACGAAGCACACCAGTGGCCACTTGCGCGTCGTCGGTGCCGTCCCGCCGCCGGCGGCCGCTGCTGCTGCTCCGTCCTTGTGCGCGAGCGGTTTCAGCTTCTTGCGCGCCCGCGCCATGGCCGCGTCGGCGTTGTCGAGGCTGTCGAGCCCCCCGTCGTCGTCCTCGTCCCCGTTCCCCCTGCCCCCGCCGGAGAACTCGTTCTCGTTCTCGATGTAGTAGTCGAAGGTCGCCTCGTCCATGAACGCAACCACCCGTCCGATCGACCCGTTCACCAGCGTGTCCTCCATGTTCTTGATCAGCATCACCTGCGCGCCCTTCTTCAGGTGGATGACCGGCGGCGCCATGCAGTTGGAGAGGAGCTTCTCGCGAAATTGCGGGTCCTGGATGGTGCCGGAGTCTTGCGCTTGGAAGGTCATGACTTCGCCGGACAGCCGATTCATGCGCGCGCTGTTCGCCTGGTCGACTTCGTGACGCGTGGGGAAGCTAGATTTTGGTCAGTATCGAACCAGTCACGATTGGTGATGTGATGCAGGGGCAGTGAGGACTTACAGCTCGGTCGCCTCGAGGGCGTCATGGAAGTTCAGCGGGCGGGAGAGCTGCTTGAAGGTCTCGATCGTGCGCGGAGTCAACTTGCCCAGGCGCATCTCGTTCAGCATCTCGGCAAACTCCGGGTCCTTCTGCCGGAAGATGTGGGTGAGCAGGATGGTGTGCTGAATTGAAGTGTTCCAGGTCGCGGCCGCAAAGGCGAATTTGGCCTCTCGGTTGCCGCCCTCGGGCACCGGGGGCAGCTGGAAGAAATCGCCCGTCACGACGAGCTGGATCCCCCCGAAGGGTCGGCCGTTGTTGCGGATGAGTCGGGCGACTTCCTCTAGCTTGTCGAACAGGTCGCCGTCCACCATGGACACTTCGTCGATGACGAGCACCTTGGTGCGCAGCCAGCGGTTGCGCGCTTTCTGATTCTTTTTGATCTGTGGAGCTGTCAGCATGGCTTCTCTATGATGGTTGCTGCTGCGGTCCGGCGAACCTTCTTGACAAGCTCGGGCACGGGCTCTTTGCCGAGTCCGATGCCCGCAAAGCTGTGCAGTGTCACACCCTCGATGTTACAGGCGGCGAGCCCGGTCGACGCTGTTACTGCGACACGATCGGGTTCTCGTCGGTACTTGTCCCGCAGCTTCTTGATGATCTCTCGCATCAGCACCGATTTTCCTGTTCCAGCCGAGCCCGTGAAGAATATGCTCTTCCCCTGCTGCACCACAGCGTCCAGCACGTGTCGTTGCTCGTCACTCAGGAAGATCGACGCCACCTGCGCCCGCGGCGGCGGTAATTGACCCGTCATCGCCTTCATTGTCTTGTTCTGCCGGCGAAGTTCCCATCGCTCATCCTTGATCGCGCTCGCGGACTTGTTCCAGATCGCCGTCTGTTTCGGCCGCGCGGGTGTTACGGGCTTGCGGGCATGCTGGTTCGTCTCATCCTCTTCCTCTAGCCATGGCAGTTTCCGGGGCTTCTTAGCGGGAGCCTGGAAGTGGGACGGCGGCGACGAGGACCAGGGGTATTGTATGCTGCTCGAGGGGGGCTGGTTGTCGTCGGGCACCGCCGGGAGATCGGGGTATTTCACGGCGGAGGAATCGCGGACGGGTGTTTCCGTCAAGTCAACGAACGAAATGTTGTCGTCTGCGAATGCACTGCTCAAGTTCGGATACCCCGCCGTCTCTTGCCACTCCTGCTTGTGCTGTGGTTGTTGCTGCTTCATGACTGCGGGTGACTTCGCGGCGACGGGGCGAACGAACGGATCGGGCGCCTCAAAGTCCAAGTCGTCGTCATCGTCAAAGTCATTCTCGTCAAAGTACACCTCGTTGTTATGAAGCGACCCCAGCGTCGACTGCGCGCTGATCATCTCAATCTTCCGCTTGACGCCTGCAGATGCTGCCGCGGAGGCCGATTTGTGCAGCGGAGCGGCGGCGGCGGCGGCATTCCCGTTGCTGCGCGCCCCGAGCGTGGTCTGGAGCGGAGCCGCCGGCGCTGCAGGGTACCTGTTGGCCGCTCGCTGAAACATCACAGCTGCGTTGCGACCTCGATTGGACGGAGACAAAGGTCGAAGATGGCGACGAGGCGGCGGTGGGGAGGATACGAGTCGACTCGAGGCGGATCGCGGTGGGATCAATAGTGGACCATTGGCGGTGGTGAAGCGACGATGTAAACCTGAAAATATCCGCACTTGGTGTCTAACGAGGAACATATGCTGGCTGCGGCCGACTGACTCTCAAGGAGAATGTTTGAGACGTTGCTAAGCGATCATCGATGAGGGGAAGGAGTCAATGGAGAATTCAATGCCGCGCGTTTTTCTTGTTGGTTGCGATACGCGCCCGCGCCACCGCGGCTTATCACACGTGATGCATTGATAAGAACAGTGGCCCTGAGCACGTGAAAATGGGGTTTGCGATAGACATTTCTCTCTCTGACTTGCACTGGAATTGTCTTGCTAGAATTGATTAGTGCTGGGGAGATTGAAACTCCATTTGATGAGATGCACAAAGTGTGCCCAATGGTGAGTCTGTCCAGCTGGTGACTGAGGCAGCACGGCCACGTGACCACCCATCGCTTTCCAAGCGCGGTTCGGCGCGAAACGTCGGGGACGCAAACCACAATTCACCACAAGTTCGCCGTGTGACCATGAATGATGGCTGAGACTGCGGGCGCAAGTGAGTTTCCTTTCTGCATTCCAATTTTCTGAGTTAACGCACTAATCCCCAAATCCAGACAAGGAGCTCCCTCTGGCGGGGGTGGTCCTCTGCTTCACCTCGATTCTCCCCGAGCAGCGGGTAAGTCCCTATGCCCCCGCATGGTCCCCGGGCACAAACCTCCGACTAATGTTCTCGCCTTGAGAGTATAGTCCGAAATTGCTTCCGTTGCGAGTCAAATGGGCGCGACCCATAAGTTCGACCTCACTTCGGATGTCACTCACCTGCTGATCGGCGAGGTCAACACGCCCAAGTACAAGTTTGTCGCGCGCGAACGAGCCGACGTCACCGTTCTGAAACCCGAATGGGTCGAAGCCGTGCGCCAGTCCTGGATCCAGGGCGGCGATACGGATATCCGAGCGCTGGAGGCCGAGTACCGGTTCCCGATTTTTGGAGGCCTGTCAATCTGTCTGACGGGATTCGAGGATAGTGAGTGCTGGGACACCATGATGGGACATACCCGGTAGGAGGGCAGACTTGCAGCTGACGGCTTCTACTTCATGCAGTGTCGGTCAGAAAGTACATCCAAGACACGGTCACGGCGCATGGCGCGGAGTTTCGGAAAGACCTGCTGAAGAGCACCAGCCACCTGATTGCGCGGAGCACCGAAGGGGACAAGTACAAGTTTGCGATGCAGTGGGGGATCAAGATCGTGTCGATGCAGTGGCTCACCGACAGCCTGGAGCGGGGGATGGTCCTGGAAGAGACCCTGTACGACCCGCAATTGCCGCCGGACCAACAGGGCGTCGGCGCATGGCATCGATCCGTGCCTGCACCCAAGCCCAAGGCCCCAGCCAACAGCGAGAACCCGTCGAACAACCCCCGGCCCCGGAAACTGCGCCGTATCGCAAGCACGAAGCTTGGGGATCAGAACGAGGGGATCTGGGGCGACATTATCGGCATAAACTTCGAGGCGGGTGATTTCGGCGGCCGTAGCCAGCAGAGTGAGAAACGAGCATTGCGGAAAGCCACCTCAGGACTGCAGGAGGTGAAGTCATTCGCAAGCGAAACGACCATGGCGGAAGCGCATGAGGCCCGTCAGCCGCCGCCAGAGCCAGCCGCCGATAGCAAAGATGAAGGGTTTCTCAGCGGTTGCTTCTTCTATATCCATGGGTTCTCGTCCAAACAGGTTTGTGTCTTGAGGGTTGGCTATCAGTCTGGTCGGATGCTGACTTTTGCGTAGACGAATGTGCTACGCCACCACCTGTCTTTCAACGGGGCCCAGTTGGTGGGTTCGCTGAGCGAGTTCGCCCGGTTAGACATTCCGAAAACAGGCCATGGGCTTTATACCATTGTACCTTTCAAGATGCCCAAGGCTCAAGTTCCTTCTACGGACGATTTAGCGTTCGAGTGCGAAGTGGTGACGGAGATGTGGCTCGAGAGGTGTCTTGACGCAAAGACCCTCGTGCCTCCAGAATCTCACGTCGCAAACACGCCCATACCCTCGGTTCCAGTCCAAGGTAGGCCTCTTTCTTGTCAACCCGGAGTATGCTCTGACAATTCTAGGATTTGATGGTCTCAAAATCTGCTCCACCGGTTTCTTTCGTATCGATCTCCTGCACTTGTCCAAGCTTGTCAATCTTATCGGTATGGGACCATTTCCATCTTTATGCTGAGACTCGACTAACCTTCCAGGCGCAACCTACAACGAGTATCTGACGCCCAAGGCCTCGGTTCTTGTCTGTAACGACTCCAGCACCGTGAATCAGGACAAGCTGCGACACACCCACGAATGGGGGGTCCCAGCAGTCTCTGCTGACTGGCTGTGGGCTTCGATTCGGTTGGAGAAAAAGCAACCATTTGAGCCGTACCTAATACAAAGGCAACCCACTCAGAGTGGCACGTCTCTGGACATGCGAGCTGGCTCGCATCCCGAGCAACAACGGCATTCATCAATGAGCAAAACCACGAACGTCACGAAACCCACTACCCACCATGGAACCGACCCGTTCAAGTCTAGAACGGATGGAACTGGTCGCGCACTTCGAGCAACTGACGCGAACCAGGAAGATGACCCTCCTCGGCACGAAGTCACGTCGAAAACGAAGTCAGCCGATCCTCAAGCCCCAAGCCCTGTCAAAGAATCGCCGATCAAGAGAAACCCAGTCTCCTCCGCCACCTCCTCACCCCTCAAACGCAAGCTATCCGACCAGTCCATCGACTCGAATGCGCAATCCGCCTTCGATATCGCAGTCAGCGGCCTCCTGAAGCAAGCTCGCACCAATCAAAGCAAGACCGGCCCAGAATCCTCGGGGGACCGCATCCGCTCCCGCGCCCGGAAACCATTGCTTGGACGAGCGCCCTCCCACGGTTCGGGCCGCACCAACAGCGTCGCCTCCCTCGACCAGCCGCAACAACCGACCGCGAAAGGATTTTCCTTCTCGCGCGCGAGTTCCATCGACACCCTCAACGACGATGGCTGCGGCAGCGCCATCCTCGACTCCAACCACGCGGAAAGCGGCGGCATTTTGTCCCGCGCGAACAGCACCACCACCCGACTAGACTATCTGGACATGGAGGGCAGGAGCGGCGGAGGACTCGTAGACTCGATGATGGTCATGGCCGAGTACGAGTATGACCGCGAGTACGCGGACGAGATCGAGAACGAGGCGCCGGCCATGACGCAGCTGGACTACGAGGATCCGGACGCGGTGGCCATGCGCGAGCAATTCCTGCATCAGGCGGGGAAGGCCGTCGAGAAAAAGAAGAGCAATAATCTCGCCGACCTAGCGGGCCAGCAGCTTGTGCCTGAGTTTCGGGAGCTGGAGAACGTCGGGTGGGGTGGAGGGCGGAGGACGAGACAGGCGCAGAAGGCTGTTGAGGAGGGTTTTTGAGGATGCATTCTGGGTTTATGAGGGTACTGGATATGATCTTTTGTTTTATATGCATGGCGTGGCGTCCCCCATCATCATTCACTAGGCATACAAGGTTTATTTGACTTTGATCTTCTGTTCTGCATTCGCGTCTTGTGCCTGGGTTTCATGTAACTTGGTTAATGCAATGAGAGGGAAGGATATCATATGGATCGTGTATCTTCAAGTGCATATAGGCTGTCTCAAATATTTTGCTGGCACATACGACCACAGGGTGTGGAAAATAGGGCTTCCCGTCCGCTCAGCCGTACTCAAGCCACACGCCGGGAGGTTAGTAGTTGGGTGGGTGACCACCAGCGAATCCCTTCTGTTGTATGTTTTTGTGCCTTTTGATCATTATTCATCGAGCAGGACAGTTATCTGCTCCTGTGCTGGGCATTTCCTGTGTTTTTTATGTGGGCAGTCTTTCCCAGTCGGCGATTGTCGAGCTTTCGTCTTCCCAATTATCTTCTCGCTCTTCCTTCCCTAGTCGTCCAATTGTTTCGTTTCTCGCACCCTTTAGGAGCTGGGTGTGCGAGACGGATTGTGAGGTATGATAGCAGGATCAGAAGACACTCACGCTGGATGGGAGTTACAGTGGTACATGGCAGCCACAGTGTGAAATAAAGATTCCACAAGCAGAATATGAAGCAGTAGCAATTGAATCTACAGAAGACTTCAAAGAATCTCAATACAAAAGAATGAGCCAATATATTCTGTAAGAAGACACTGTGACAATTTCTTCAGTCTCTAAACATCCTAGATATTCGAAAATAATAAGAGGGCTTGTCGATTGGATGATCTGAAGTTACTAGACCGAGGAGAAAGAAAGAAAGAAAGAAAGAAAGAAAGAAAGAAAGAAAGAAAGAAAGGAAGAAAGGCAGTAAGTCTAGACAAGTACTGCCTCAGGAGAAACACGAAGAATAGAGATCTAGTTATTAGAGGCTTATAGACAGTCCACTCTTGCAGTATGCCATCTACTACAGTGGTGGGCCGCATCATCAACCCGGGGAATCCGTGTTATATGCCTTTTCACCCCATCCCCACCCTCATAAGACTCCTTCTTAACCTGATTTCAGCACTGTGATCACCATACATAGGATTTTTTTTGGTATTTAAAGCCTTTCCTGACCCTAAAGATGATCCTCGTCAGGCTTCTATATTACTATTACTGGTTCTGTGCGCTCGAGTGGTGATCAAATTTAGCCACGACGAGCTCTCTTGTGCTTCGATGCTTTTGCTTCAACCCATGGCATATATATGGTTATCTGTGGTCCCTTGGCACAAAAATTCCCCCTGCAACTGGATGTCTGACTGTGCTACTGGTCTGGGTTACTGAATATGGATCATTGAGGCGTTGCCCACGCGCCTCTAAAACGAGAAAGTCGCTTCCAATACTCGAAACGGCAGTGGCCCATGATAAGTCCAGTAATCAAACTGCTCAACAATGATACCATAAACCTCAATTCTGATCTGAACAATGCCAACTTGCATTTATAGCAATCGGGCTCTCCATGTAAGAAACTCAGTTCTATCACGCACTCGAAGGATGGGTGAGGTCAACTGCATAGATACAAGAAGGGTCATGTTTAAGCTCTGCTCACAGTTTGTATCAGAGTGAACAGTCCTTTGACCAATCGCTCATAATAGCGGGTATGAAAGATGGTATAGGCTGGTATGCGCAAGGAAGACAGCCCACTTGGACTGATAAGACCGCTTCCAGAGAATCAGTATCAGGTGACAGAGAAGCATCGCGACTGCATCCCCTATCAGTGCCTAGCTCAGGAATGTTGGCTTGCAGTATCCGACCCGTACCCGTACGTACTTCCCTTGCTGCGGAAATACTACCCCGAGGCAGTTCCCTCCACCAATATACAATACCATGTCCAGTCGTCGTCGCCCTAGAGGTGATTGCCTCGCAAGGGGTTTGCCGTCTGGATACTCAAAGCAGTCTCTTGCATCACACCACCACAGCGTACTGCGGACACATGTCGCCAATAAAAAGCTTGGATATATGATCGTCGCTTAGATTCTGAAAATAAGTCATTGGTGGTCGGACGTGCTTTGTTATAAGGTGTCGCCGCTGTGTGGCGGATATAAGACCATGATCCTCTGTTCGTGAGACAACAGGAACAACTTTCTTGAGTTTCAGAATATTCACTATCAAAAACCAAGCGCCTTCAGGAACAAAGACGATGACCTATTTACTTTCCCTTCCCTTCTCGAGATGAATACGGGGAGATTCTCTCCCAACTCTTCCGTGTCATGAATTTCGCCATACTCGGCCGAAACCTTGCCCGGTCTTCCCCTTGAGTCACCAGTGAGATCCTCCTTTGAATCCTAGCCGGCGCGAAATATTAAAATTCGAGAGAAGGCAATGGCAAGATTGCGCTGGGCGGTCATTACCTTGGGAATGTATTGAGATTGTATCTAATTGAAATTTTAGGTGTCCGCTAAACCTCACATTCTTGGAACACATTTAGTGAGTGAATGATGATCTTTTGCTCTCTCACTTCCCCTCTCTCAATAGTGATCCCGCCTCCCCAAGGGCCTTATCTAGACTATCTAGTATAGCAGTAATAGGGCTTATTGTTTATCGTGTCTTATGCAAAAATATCTCAATGTCATTGCAATAATCATCTGAATCGCTCTATGAGGACTATGAAGAGCTGACGCTAGGGATATATTGTTCTACTGCGAACCTTTGAACTGACTGCATGCAGTGCACGACGTAAAGGTGCTGATAAGCTTTTCTAGGCTTGAATGAATGCTGTCAATTCAGGGGTGCATGAAGGATGCGGAGGTTGTGCGGGCAGCGACTAGTGATGGCTTCACCTAGAGATAAAGTCAACTTAGCCGCCAGCCTGATGTAATTTTCTGGTTGATAGTAACTATTGATTGGTGAAGCTGACAATTAGAAAAGGGAGGATGCAATGCGACAAAGGAATAATATCCAAAGCCAAATAGAGATAGGCACATACGACCACAGGGTGTGGAAAATAGGGCTTCCCGTCCGCTCAGCCGTCCTCAAGCCACACGCCGGGAGGTTAGTAGTTGGGTGGGTGACCACCAGCGAATCCCTTCTGTTGTATGTTTTTATGCCTTGTACACGTGTCTGTAAGACGTATTTGAACATGTTTGAAAATCCCAGCTGATCTCCTATTTTCTCAAATCTTAGCGTATCGGCAGGACAGCGTTCACATGCACATTGGACGGTACTGCCTTTTTTCTCCCACTTTGTCGTCCCTCTAGTAGACTGGGTAGGCTGTGGGATTCTTTAAAATGGATTCAATAGTCTATGGATTTATGCGTGGTCTACTCAATAAAGGTGCATGCAGCAGAATTGGTGCGAACATATACTTTCCGCGATGGTGCAACGCAGTATACTACTACAAAACAAGTAGGGTGTGAGAATTGCGCACCACCATTCATCTAGAATTTATGTTTTGCACCGTTCTGTCATATTCCATATATCTAGGTATTTTATGAGAAGATAGGTCGCTATTAAGAGCTAAAGTCAGCTGTAGGCTTCTCCATATATTATATGAGAAAGTTATAATCGGTTTAAGGGTCATCAGCCGTGGTATATACTACTTTCATCTAATATACTAGTGTTTCTCTCTTGTTATTGATGCAGTCATCGCTAGGACTAGTAAATGGTAGTAGGAGCTTCACTATGAGTATGTGATTATTATCTCTTGCAATCTGCAGAGCTGTCCAAGGTATCGAGTGTATTTGGGTTACTCCTATGCTAATGAGAACTGTGGCTATCTCCTTCTTTTGCTTCTATTCGCCTGTATGATGGAGGGCCATTTTGCGAAAAGCTCGGCTATGAATGTCCACATTAGCTCTACTTGTAATCAGGAGTTCGATGCAGTAGCCAGGCTTAGGAAAGTCGGTATCACCACCATGGGGTAACTCTAATAAGACCCGCGCTACATGTGTAAGCCTGACAGAGAAAATGAGCAAAGGATCTCTGTGAGCGTATGCTGGATTCCAATCCAAATGGCGTCCGCTCTGAAAACATCCAGTCTGTCGTTGACAATGCTATTCCCCGGGTAAATTGCTTGGTCCACCGACAGCAGAAACTTGAACATTCTTTTAGTAAAAAGCGCATCCCACAAAGCAATCCCAAGGGCGAATCGAGTCGCATCGGTGTCGACTTTGGCCATCTTTCAAAGCAATGCGAGAGAAACTCAAAGCTTCTCTGCTTCGGGAATCCATACATCCAAAGCGCCGTGGAATAATGCCGAGTCCCAGGCTTGAGTGCAAGCGGAGTCATCTATAAGAAGTTCAGCCCATCGAGGACTGGTTCCATCGTCAAAACTCGGGGAAAAACAGGACGTAATCTGGTGATACTGTGTGCATGTGGTTTTTCATCCTCATCCAGTAGATAAATAATAATACATAGTGCTCATGTTTCAGCGCCCATATAAGCTCCTTTCCTTTATATCTGAGCATACTTGGGAGGATCCGGGCGCGTTCAATTTCCGGACGCCCATACTCGATCCATTTTTTATACTGGACTGCGGATTCCCAAGGCCGGCTGAAAGATGGAGACCTATCTTCAAGGAACTTGCAGAAGAGTGGCCACATTCTCTGGTTATCTGTTTTAAAGCTATTCGACTGATGCAACCAGTATCGCTTGGACTTAACTGAGAAAAGCGCCAATCTGCCTCACGTCTGTTGAATGAGGTCCATGTTGCTTGAGCAGCCCCCGATATGTCCTCTGAATCTCACGAGCTTAGGTGAGACGTGACGACTGCCCCTTCAGGGGCTATATATTCCGACCTTTCCTAGCTGACCACTGAAGTAGGCGAAGTTCAGATACGTCATGCACAGAAAGCCCAAGTGCTCAAAGATGCTTCTAGCGTCAAAGATTGCGGGATCCTGGCTAATGGTGTGAGACAGATGATCCTTCACACTTTTAAAGAGTGTAGTGAACAGTATGCTCCTCATCGTCGATGAGAACTAGACCATAGCATCCACGAACAACTCGCCATATGTTGTTGGGTAGTCGTTCCAGGTGGAGAGATGAGTACAACATAGTACCAATCCGCCATAAAAGCTCGACACTTGCAAAGTCCGGTAATCTCCAAGCACCCATCCAAATGCCATGCCATGATCTAGATTACCCACCAATTCATACCTCTGCAAACGTAGTCGAGTAATAAGCCCACAAACTTCTGATACAGTTCTTCCGGATACCAGTGTCACTACTTACACTCTTCGATTATTTCAGCAACCCTGAGATGAAACAACACTAAGCCAATTCTAGCATAAACATGGAAAATCTTCAGCTGTGTATTGTATTATAGATAATCTATTCATAGCGATAACAACTATCTCTAAGTAATAATACTATTTTTATCTATATTTTATCTTGTATTTCTATATTCTCTCAAAAAATAGTAACCAGTTTATACTACTAAGAATAGTAGTTAAACTACAAAAATCAAGAATAGCTTCTTATCTAGCTTTTTAATTATACTTAAGCTTATCTACAATATTTTAATTAATAGAGAGCTTAGTACTTCTTATATAGTTAAGACTACTAAATATAGTAAATAAGTAGTCTTGCAACTATAATCTAACTATCTAATTTATCTAGTAGTCTTTAAGCTACCTAATTTAAAGCAATTAGCTTAAGAAATCAGTTGTAAGATTTTACTAGAAGCTTGATATGATCATCTGCTTAAGAGACTATATTCTATACTATATAGAGAAAGAACTTTTACTGGCCAAGTATACTATTCTAATATAGCTTGATTTCCAACTCAAGATCATGTCATCTTTCTTCGACAGACTAATTAGGAGATACTCAAGCCGGAGAATTCTGGGTATGCTCAGTAAAGCAATATATATTTATATTGATATCTTGCAATTACCTCCAAAGCTCTCCACTTGAGCCTTTAATCTAGGAGGCTGGCACCAATCCATCAAGCAAGATAATTCTGAAGTTAGTCCTGCTGATTACCATGTGTTCTGACTCACAAGATAGATAGATGTGGCAGCCTTTGATTGGTATTGGCGATGACAGCCTCGCAGATGGAATATGATCACATGCATTTATACTCAACAAAATATGGGTCATAGTCAATAATAATTGGCTTGATAACATGTACTGTTACAGTATTAGTGCTTAAAACAGTTACACCTGAACTGTGCTTAATATAATAGCTAAACCATACATGTGTAATATAAGGTACCACAATCTTTGAGATTTATCTTATATAAATAGTTATCTGACTATCTTTGATTCTCTTTAATAAAATGATGAGTTATACTTACAATCACACCGTGGCTGATAGAGAAGGTCACGTCTTGATCCTTGAATAATTACTTGAGATCTGGGTTATATATTAAGGTAATATCGCATTGAAATACTGTATACAAGATGGGTATTTGCTTGGTTAGGACTGGTAGTATATTTAAATATAAATATCTTGCATAATCTTATAACTTTTATCGCGGGCCACTGAATAAGAACACTCACGCTTGCATCTTGGCAGTGAGATTCAGAAACAATAGTGATGTGTTTGTTGGTCAAGCCTTCCGATATCTACTACAGGGCTTCCGGATACCGGTGTCCCTACCCACACTCTTGCACTCTTGGATTGTTTCAGCAACCCCAGAGCTAACCCACGCCAAGCCAATTCTGGCACGGAGCTGGGAGATTACTGGGCCGTCTGTATATGGAAAGATACAGTGCAGTATCAAAATATGAACCCTTTTCCCATTGTTTAATTCTCATTCTCGGGAAATTCTGATGTCAACAGCAAATCATGTGCTGAATACTGACAGAGGAATGCCTGGTTGGAGTTTCTCGATAATTAGACGAGCAGTCAGCTAATGCTGGCTGCCGAGCCACCTTTTCATTCAAATGAAGACGCAGGCAAAGAAATTTGAAAGTGGTTTCATTAAATACTGTACCATTTAGTTAACATGACCAGGCAGAGTCAAGTAGTATTGGTCATCCTTTAGTTTCGGTGGGCCTCTCCTTGATCACATTACAACGCATGGTTGCTCGGGTGCCGAATGTGGTTTGAGCCATTCAATCACACTGCTGTGTACCGGTTTTGAGGCACTTACTGCTTCTCTGAGTAAGTTGACCATCTCAGCCTCTTTTTCATAGTCAGGATGATCTCGGCCGACACAGCAAATATCCAGCTCTAGCTCTTTTTCAGCCCACAGAAGTGCCATCTTGACATTTCCCATTGCCAAGCAATATCGAGCCGCATCATGATAACTGAACAGCAGTAAGCGGTAAGCTTGGTAATTGAACCAAAGCAAGGTACATACGAGATACCGAGTTCTCTGTTCAGCAAGCCTTCAGATTTCTGTATTGCGGCCATTCTCAGTGCTAGTTCAGAAGATTCTTTGTAAGTCTCTTTCCCACCAAACTGCATATTTATCGCAAGACGTTGATCGAGATCGGATAGTTCCATTCGCCTCTGTTCTCGTTCCCAACCCTGTGGACTATCCTCGCATGCCAAGCAAGTGCATCGAAAGCCCCACTTATCAAACTCGACTTGACGCTTGATTCGATCCCGATTTGTAAGTTTGGTATACATTATTGTAAGCTCTTCACCTGCTCTGATATCTCTGATGGCATGGAATGTCTCTTTCTCGATACCCCAATTGTAAGAGAAGTCCGTGTTTGGAATGCAGGAATGATTCATCCGAGAGCCAAGCGGAAAAACGCCACCATTAAAGGCGTTCGCTGCAAAGATAGCCAGCACTTTGCATTCCAGATCTGTCAGCTCCTCCCATTGGGTCTCGATCTCACGCTCCGCCGCTTTCCTGAATTGGGGACATGCAAATTCGTGTAGGTCAAGATATAGTCTTTGCTGAGCTACCGGAAGCTTTTCAAAGGCATCCAGAATGTCTCTCGCGCTCGATTTTTCTTGTTCGAGTTTGAATAGAGCTGTTTCTGCTATCACGCGAGTCCCACGAGGTAGATCAGCTGTGGCAAAGATCCCCAAGCCCTGAACAGCTGATGCTTTGACCTCAATAAGATGGCGCGCGTCTAGATGCGATCGATAAATCAGCAATCGGTAGGTTTTCGATTATTGAACATACCATTTCTGCCCTGATTTATACTTGTCAATGCCATCATGCTTGTTATGCAAGGTTGCAATGCAAAGATTGTCAATTTTAGAGAGTTTCAATGGTGCCTTGTTCTTTGCTGTTTTGTTAAGGACAATATCGGAATACTTATTCTGGCAGAAGATCATAAGGTCGCTTAGATCAGCAGTTAATCATACTCAAGCGAGCTACGTGTACATCTATTATTGGTCTTAATATTTCATTGTCAACCTACCCCGCACTCAATAGCCTAGAGTACTTTGGGATTGATTCAACCTTCTTTATAGATCCCAGTTTGGCCAGCTCTACCATGGGCATGTCGGGCTGCAGCGTGCGTTGTGGTACTATACGCTGGAATAGTGGAGCTGTGCAGCAAGATGGTAGAGGTTTCCGCCATCCATGGGCTATTCGAACCGTTTCCTCGATTTGAAATCTGTTCGAGTCCGAGTTCAGCTCGTTCCTGGAGCAGCTGGACTCATCCCGGAAGCAAGCCATGTCGCACGTCGGATGTGTTACTGACGGCTCCCAGGGAATGTAGGTCTGGGAACCGAATACCAAGCCTCTGGGTATACACATAATATTGTATTCAAGATTGAAAGTATCATCCTCATAACCCTTCTCAGGTTTCTCTGGGTCGGTCTATATATCAAAGATCTGTGCGAAAAGGACTGCAATGAAGATATACTCGACGCACTAAATCACCTTCCACCGGGCTTGGCTGAGCTCCTCAATTCAAAGATGAATCGAAATCAGCAGAGAAAGGATTCTCGCCAGGCAATAGACTTGCTTCAATACCGCGGGGTCATAAAGCGTCCATTGACTGAAGATTATCTTGAAGCTGTAAGCGTCTCCCCTGGTGATACGTGCCCTCTCGTGGCAGGACCATCGGGCTGGAAGGAATAGTCGCTCAAACACGCATGAAGACGAAGTGTTGAGTGATTTTTGGCCGGAGCAAGAAATGATTCTCCAATACGAAAGCTCAAACTCCCATCATGCATCGACCTTGAAGCCCCTATGCTTTTGAGATCAACAGGGACTGTAGCTCTAGTTGGAGCCAGGGATCACCCATCATGATAGCATGCCAGGCGTAACTCACAATTTAGAGAAACACCTACTGTCGTGGCCAGCTCTGCCACGCGAACGACCAGACCTCGGTCTCTCGACTGATCTGAGGCCAGATTGGTTCAAAAACATTCACCTCTGTGTCATACATATTTCTGTGCTTGTGTGAACAGGCTGGGACCGATTTTACGCCCGCGGTCTTCCTGAGTTAGGATCCCACTCCACCCTCCATGCGCCGGCCATCCCACGACCAATATTGCCGATTCGTTCCAGCAGCATTCTGGTTTGAAAGAGAATTGAAAGGGAGTACTGCCTACTGGTGTCTATCAGCACCCCCGGAGAAGCTACAGACTCTGGCTCGGGGCTCGAATGCGCGCAAACTGGCGCAATTCATGGCGCAGTCGAGGGCAAGCCACCGGGCATAAAAATCGAGAGGAGTTCCATCATTGTCGAGGAAATCTTCCTACTCCAATGCGATGAGTGTGCGCGGCGGGATCGGCGTCGGTGCAGGATAGGACACTGAGTCGCCATGGTGGCAATCACCTCCGCAGGAATCGTCGGAGCAATGTGGCCTTCTTGTGATAGTACTCGACGCTCCACAGACCAGTAACGGGGCTCCTGCTGGTGAAGCTGCAGCTCCGTGAGGGCTGGGCCGTGCCGATCGAGCACACCTGGGAAAATTCCCATATCATAGGTTCCCAATGAACAGAGAAAGGAAAAGGGGGGAAGCGCATCGAACATCGCCTTCGCTGCGGCGAGCCGGGCAAGCAACTCCTCATACTACAGTGAGCTCGCTTCTGACCTCGCCGTGCTCGTTTGCGCCGCCCACTCGATCCACAGCACATCCGACAGCTGCCGCGGATCCAGCAGTTGAGAGCCCGCCGGCCCTAGGGGTTTTCGGAGTCAAGTCCATCCTCGAGATCCTCCTCCTACTCTGCAATTTCATGGTTGATCATTACCTGCGGGCCCCACGCCGAGTCCCCTATAATTGCATTGCCCCTGATTCTAGGTTATACCAGCAGAGATAGTTCCCACTAGTCACCTACATGTGTTTTCCTCGCACGGAAATGTTAGCGTTGTCTCTCCTACCTCGTTCGTCCAATCTTTCACGAGGAGTACATACCGGATGCGTTACGACGATCGCCACGGTGTGCACCCATTCCAGGGGGTCGCTATTGGCAAAATCCAAGTCCAGTTCATCCAGAAGTACATCGCCTGGTCTCCAAGTCACGGAGCGGGACCGTCGTTGATGGTCCAGCCCGTTTGCCACCAGCTGGGCTCTGGTGGTGTACGTCGCCACCACGCTCCGGCCCCCGGAAATGATTGCCGCATTGCGTCGGAACTGATAGCCGCGCATGTCAAGGCCATGCCACTGCTATAGCACTTTTAGTAGTTTGTGCTATTTTTTATCTGCTTGGCCAGCAGAACTGAGCCGGGAGGTCCATTGGAGACGAAGGCTGTAGAATTATACGCCGGCCGGGGTATGTCGGCCCTTACGCCGTGGCCGAGGAAGAGGCAGGTGATTGAAGAGCAGAGACGAGAACTTTAGAAAAGGCGCGCTTGTCTTCTGACGTGAAATCTTCAAACGAGATCCAATGCAATTCGGTCAGGGTATCGTACCGTCACGTGACTGGAAGATCCTGTCTATGCACTGTATAACCATGGATAAGGTAGTCACAATCAACTAGGAGAATCCTCACATCTATCATGCCCGGAGAAGACGAAGGCTACAAAAGCGAGATTGAGCAGGATTCAGAGTATATTGACAGTGGTATGTATAGACGCGTGTCCAGTACATGAAATAATCAGCCACACTGTCCCGGATCTGAATCACTTCATGCAGTTCCCATGCAAACATACTTATCCACCCAGAGCGAAGCGCATGTATCACCGACGGCTGGATTCCACACGTTAAACTCGACTAGAGTACTTCCGGCGGTGCTCGCAATATCCGCACAGTCGTCACCGCTGACAACCCAGTGGAAGGCATAGCAGTCGTCCCCATACCGCTCTAGATGGAGCTAGGAGTGCGGAGGCTCGAAGAAGCCGAGGAGATTTCACTGGGGGTGTTGCTTGCCATACCGATGCCTACGCAGACATAGTCGTTCACCCACAGACTAGCGCCAGTATCGCCCACCGCTGGGTTCCAGGCGTAAAAGTCAGCTAAGCAGATTCCGACGGCGCTGGCAACGGTCGCGCAGGTATCTCCACTGACGATCAGCCGGAACTCATCACAGTCACTCACCATACCGGTCTGGATAGGAAGCGGAGTAGTGACTGTACCGGCGGCCGTGGAGCTAATAGCCGACGGAGCAGTTGACAGGGTTGTGAAAAAGGCGGCAGTTGAGGTTGAGGTCTGCGTCTCCACGGCGCCGAAGAGTGGACTGGACGCGCCGGGAGCGTTGCTGCTGCCGAAGCGACAGCTACTGTCTCGGTGGGAAAGCTATAGTCAATCTGCACACAGTAATACAGGTCCAGCAGCATCTTGCAACCCTATGTGACTGTACCGATGGAGACCGCGGGCACTACTGTTGTGACTGTGGGCGCCGCTGTATTGACAGTCAAACCGGCTGCATCAACCGTCATTACAGTGATTATCACTTCCCCCAGGACTTCTACTGACTTATCGATATCGGAGAAGTCTAGCTCAGCTTTATCATCGATCTAGACCACATCTAATACCTCCTCGAAGACGATCATTACCGCCAGCAGTAGTAGTAATAAGACGACGTCGACGACGACGATGATGAAGAAGAAGAAGAAGAAGAAGAAGAAGAAGAAGCAGCAGCAGCAACCACCACGATCACAACCACCACAGCCGCCGCAGAAACCACCTCTGTCAGCGCCAAGTGCGTGGGTGGCACCCTGGCCAAGTGCTACGAATAACTGGAGATGCGGTGTAATAGGGAGTGTATCTCCTGGCCCTTCCTGATTCGCCTCGAATATATAGAGAACTGTATCAGTGTAGTTTACGGGACATGTGATAATTACTGCCTTGCACTCTAGACCAAGGCCTTCATCCAGCTATTCTAGCGAATAACATCATTATTACCTTTTCATTTCTGGTGTGGTGGATGGGAGAGATTAGAACAAATCAGCATTGTAGGGTTATTCGGAGCAACAGTTGGTATATTTTCTGTCAGAGAAGCAGGCATTATTGTATTGTACTATGCCTGTTTCCTCTCAGAGCATGTATGGACCGTTTATGAGGCGTTTGTAATTAGAACGATTTATACTGTCCTCCAACAGCCCTTTTTATGATACGGTCACCTCCACATTAGTCCCTTACCGATGATTCGGTGGCTTCAAGGAACCAAGACAGACAGTGAAACAAGATACAAGAACAGTCGCTCTTTTTAATCTCTAGTAAAATCTCAACAAGGGACGTGTGATATGGTCTTTGAACAGTAAGGTACGTCAGGCAGTCGCCTATCGGATACATCCAGAGTATTAATAACCTTTTCTCCTCTGCTCTATTGAAAGACATCATAGATTATACTGTTGAGTAACCCAGTACATACGACCACAGGGTGTGGAAAATAGGGCTTCCCGTCCGCTCAGCCGTCCTCAAGCCACACGCCGGGAGGTTAGTAGTTGGGTGGGTGACCACCAGCGAATCCCTTCTGTTGTATGTTTTTGATGCTTTTTCGTTGTACCTGAGCTGCGACGTCAGGTGCAATAGCGCAGTTTTTCTCTGCTGTGAATGATGTGAATCTTCTTGCTCTTTCTGCTGACGAAAAGAGCTGTCATTGATCATTACTGCTGTTGCTCCCGAAGACCCAAACAATAGCCTTGCCTTGCCGCGATGCGTTAATCATACGAACTACAGACGACATTTTAGTAGACATCAACCAAGTTCCATTCAAATCCACCAAATGGCCGTGCTGTTTCTGATCAAGCTACAGTAGGCAGGTACTGAAAGGTTCCACTGCTGAGATACTGAAGTAAGGGGTTTTATCACGATAACGGGCACCCTAGGTACACAAAGAGCGGCCGAGACTTTAACCATTATCGATGTGAGCTCACACCCTATACTATAAATCTATTCAAATATTGTGTCTGTGACAGCGGCTTTGTTTCATATCTCTATGGTTAGATCGACCGGTTTAACCCGGAGACGGTTCAGCCAGTTCTAAAGGATGTCATGCATGATCAGATGCCTCCGAGAGTTATCCTCCTCGAGTATGTCTCAGCTGCGTAATGCCTCAGCATTTTATCAACCTATCAAAGGTCTGAGACAGATACATAATGCTCGGATTTACTATATACTAGATATATATACTAGGAATATTCTGCTGGGAACGGATAGGAAGCGAAAAGAGACTTATATAGATTGTTCTTGATAGTGTAAGAACTTTAAATGTACAGAGTCTACGGAAGAAGTCTATAGTTATTATAGAGCTCTATCCATAATAGATCTAGAACTTTTAGTGTATTCTACTTATCTTTATTCCGAGACTTCATGATCGAATGTTTTCTAAATAGCAAGAGACCAAAGGCCAGCTCATCCTCTTAACAGTGCATTCCATCGAATATGGCTCCCTCGCCTGGAGGGTCATTTTGAGCACAACCTTGACTCTCAAAACCACCTCCAGACCAAATCTCAGCTGCTTATTTATATAATAGACAATAAGAAACAAACAAAAACATACAACAGAAGGGATTCGCTGGTGGTCACCCACCCAACTACTAACCTCCCGGCGTGTGGCTTGAGTACGGCTGAGCGGACGGGAAGCCCTATTTTCCACACCCTGTGGTCGTATGTGCTAGTCTTTGGATTGATTGTGCTCTAGACAGCCAAAAAAAGAAAAAAAAAACACTGGATAGACAGAAACTTGACATCGATTTCCCTCTACTAACTGAATTCCCGAGCGTATTGTCTCGATTGTGTGTCAGGTACATAGAAAGGAGGACATATTCCGACGGCGAGGGAGGCTTGGATCGTAGATTTAGTGAGGGGTATCGGGAGGGTGTTGAACTGTAGGACTGTGTATACTGTATACATCTTGTTCTACCGGGTACATACATTGTAGACAGTATGGGGAAGGGGGAGTGGGTCGGTGGCATCGATTTATGGGGTTGGCGTGGGGACACCCGAGGCTACAGCCATGGCTTTCCCCTGGTAAGCAGTGCCGAAACATTTATTGTAATATAAGTTGTGAGATCTCTAGAAGTTTTGAACTAGTTTAAATAGTAGCAAATCTAGTTAAAATTCCAATATCACCCCTTGACAGCTATGAACAACTATCGACTATAGTACTCCATAAGATTTAGTATCCCAATCACACTGTTACTTCCTCTGAATGCACTACAAAGAAACATCTAGAGCCCTCTTTTGCACAGTGGAGTTGTGGCGTATCGATTCGCCGCAACCAGGAGAGAGGATGCCACCACTAGTCGATCTGTATTCCTCAGCTATGGTGACAGACGGCTTGTCGGTGTGTGAGTGTCTGTGCTGTGCTTTGTTTTTCTTTCTTGATCGGGACAACCAGAGCGAGGCTAGCGCAAGACGAGCTTATCTCTGCAGAAGCGGGGATCAATCAAAGTCACAACCGCCCAGCTGAGCGTTTGCTGTCGTGTCCGTATCTACAGCAGCCAATAGCCGCCATTCTGCAAATACAAACTTTCTGTAGCCGATATTGGATTCTTTGGTGTTTCTACTAACATGATCAATCTCTTTCTAAACTAGATATATACATTACTTAGCTTTATTTTTCAGCTGTTAGTTCTAAGTACTACACAGAGGTATGAGTCTTACTTAAAATACTGTATATAGATATTCTGTATAGCTAGGGGTATTATGAAGCTAAAATAAAAGATATTTAAGATGATATAACAATTATAAGTTAGTTAAGTAAATGAAGCTATTATGTATAAGATATCTACTGAAGGCGGAAACAGATAGCGGAACTAACTAGCTACCGGGCCAAACCAGGATACTACTATAGATAATCTGTATAGAGGAGCAGAAGTACTAGAAGATAAGATCTATAAAGCTATTCGACCCGCTTAGCTTTATCTTTAGCTACTAGTCCTGACAACCTCTGTATGGTACTTAGAACGAGTAGCTGATTGAACAAGGTATATATAAGTAAATAAGTATATTCAGATTAAGTGAAAGGAATCAGTAATATGATACAATTCAAGAGGATAATAAACCCGTCGGTGAAAGGACTTGATCAGGAGAATCGCATTTTCATAATGGCGGCTATTGCCTGCTGTAGAGATGGCTAATTTAGCCGATACTACAGCAGAGCTGAAAGAGATGTAAATGGCAATTTATGCCGACAGGGGCGATTCCTCGCCACGCACGATTATAAGATGGCGAACTACTCCTTGCACGGACCGCAATCAAAGTCACAATCACCCACACCAGCATCCATTCCAGGGATAATCACCAGCAATGCGCATCCTCTGCCTCCACGGCTACGGCACCAACCCCGCTAGCATGAAACAGCAGCTAGCAGGCCTGCGCCAACACGCCCCCCCGCATTGGGAATTCATCTTCCTGCGCGGTGGCATCGAGTGTCTTCCGGCTGTGGGTGAGTCTAGCAGCGAGCACCAGCCCACATCTTCACTGCCCCCATTACGGGAACCCCCCATAGTAACGTACCGTATGTATTCTCCACCAGGCCTGGACCGGAAATTCCCCGGCCCCTTCAACTGCTACGCCCGCTGCATGTCCCCCACCGAAACCAGCGAGGCCTACACCCTCCTCGACCACACCATCCGCACCCAGGGCCCTTTCGACGGGGTGATCGGCTTCAGTCACGGCGCGGCCCTCGCGCTGTCGTATCTCCTGGAGAGTTTTGCCGCACAGGGTGTCCCATCCACGGCCTATCCCTTCCGTTTCGCCGTCTTCTTCTCCAGTATCTTTGCCTGCGCCGCGGATCCCGCGTTCGTGGACACGTTATATCCGGATCTCCGGCTGGAAGACTGGGCGAAAGTCCGCTCGTGCGAGTACGCGCAGTTCGCCACGTTGCCGGAAAGAGTCCGAACAGTCACGACGGCGCTTTCACGGTTGCTGGATTGCGTTCATCCCATCACGCAGGCGTCCAGGGCGTTCTTCCTGGATCGGCCGGTCGAGGAGACGCCGTTGCTGCTGGATCCGGAGGTCGTGGTGACGAGACTCGGGATTCCGACCTTGCATGTGTGGGGGGAGAATGAGCCGAGGGGATTGAGGGTTGCGTCGCAGTGGGCGGTGCGGTTGTGTGAGAGGGAGCTGGCGAGGACGCTGGTACATGGGAATGGACATGATGTGCCAAGGGGGGTGGGGGAGTTGCGGGGGGTGGTGGGGTTCATGGAGGAAATGGGGGGGGAGCGGGTGAGGGCTGTTTTGTAATTCTGATGGATCATCATGACCGAGATGGGTAGATAATACTGATGATGGAATTATGTCTGGTTCATTGTGTAGATAGGTAGGTAGGTATACACTGTAGACCGAGATTCTGTAGAGAAGTACCTATACTTATACTCCGTATAGTATGTATGTATACCACCAACCAATCACAACCGCACCCCCCGCGGAATGCATCCGAAGTGTTCGGTCGGCCGACCTCCGTCCGCCGCGGGGCAGATCCGAACATTTCCCAGTAATTTACTTCAACTCCCGGCAACAAACATCACCACATCACATCTCCCTCTGCACCCCAATCCACAATAACCTCACCCATCCACACTACTTAGTCACCACTCAATCACCCAACACACACACCAACATGGCAGAACCAAATCTCCACCCAATCCCCCACACCACCCTCTCCGCCCTCGTCCACCGCATCCTCACCGCCAACGGCGTCTCCCCTGCTGACGCCACCATCATCGCCAACTGCCTGATCCAAGCCGATCTGCGCGGGGTCGACACGCACGGCAGCAACCGCATTCCAAGCTACATGGCGCGCATCCGGCAAGGGGTGCTCAACCCCTCCGCCACCCCGACCCTCACGCAAATCACCCCGGTGGTGGCCTCGGTGGACGGCCGCAACGCCTTCGGCTTTGTGGCCGCCCACCGCGCCATGGACCACGCCATTGCCATCGCCCGCGAGTTCGGGATCGGGTTTGTGTCCGTCAAGCACAGCAACCACTTCGGCATGTCCGCGTGGCTGGTCCAGCAGGCGGTCGACGCCGGCATGTTGAGTCTGGTGTTCACGAACTCCTCCCCGGCGTTACCGGCGTGGGGCGGGCGGGAGAAACTGCTGGGGGTCAGTCCGATCGCGTGCGGTGCGCCGGCGGGATCCGCGCCGCCGTTTATTCTGGATATGGCGCCGAGTGTGGCGGCGCGGGGGAAGATCTACAAGGCGCTCCGGCGGGGCGAACCGATTCCGGAGGACTGGGCGCTGGATGCGGCGGGGAATCGCACCACGGACCCGGCCCGGGCGCTGGAGGGGGTCATGTTGCCGATAGGGGGGCCCAAGGGGTCGGCGCTGGCTATCATGATGGATGTGTTTTCTGGGGTCCTGTCTGGCAGTGCGTTTGCCGGGGGGGTCACGGGCCCGTATGACCCCTCGCGAGAAGCGGATGTGGGGCATTTCATTGTGGCTATCAAGCCGGATTTGTTTGTCGGGTTGGAGGAATTTAAGAGTCGCATGGATTACTTGTATCAGAAGGTGGTCGGCGGGGAGAGGATGCAAGGGGTGGAGAGGATTTATTATCCCGGAGAGATTGAGTTGGAAATGAAGGAGCGGAGGTTGAAGGAGGGAATTCCCTTGGCGGAGGCGGAGATCCGGGCGCTGAATGCGGAGGCGGAGAGGGTGGGGGTGGAGGGATTAATTGTAAAGGATCATTGAATGAAGTTCAAGGTCGTCGAATGACAGGAGTAGTTGAGGTTATCAGCATGCACATTCAGATGCTGTGACACGAGCATACATACAGTACTTGACAATTTGTTGCGTATACACAAGTATGCCAGTCAGCCCTAACTCAGTACTCGTGACTTGAGTTGACTGTCCAGTTTCAACCTAAAAGAGTGAAGTAGTGTTTTGTAAACATACTATGAGCAAATATATCATGTCGAAAGAGTCTTACTAACTGATTTGTTACTATATGACAGAAGACAGAGGATAGCGAGAAACCCTAGTCTTGATCCTCTGCCAGAACAAACAGCCCCCCATGCCACCCATACGCCCGGTAAAGCCTCCGGCCAAACCGCCTGGCTGCAGTGAACGACAACTTTCCCCGGAGATGGGGTTCATGGAACTGAATACTGCGTCTGGCTTGACTCCAGCTCGGCTCGAACTGCCACACCGACCCATACAGTTTCATCGCCGTGAACCCGGCCGTGACCATAGCATGCAGGAAGTCATTCCACGGGATCTCCCCCGGTCGAGATGTGACCTCCAGGTCAAAGAACAGCATCCGAAACGTTTGATACGCGCGTACATTCACGGGAATCGTCCGATCGTCTGGAGCGTCGTCCGCGCTCGGGTTGGGGTGTCCCGCTTCCTCCTGCGAGGGCCGTGGGGCGCCGCGGGTTTTGGCGTTGATTCTCGCCGGCAGCGGCGGCTGAAGGGTACTTTTCAGGTTCTCGGTTGGGGGCTGGCTTGACGGGGCTGTTAATGGGAGGGGTGGGTGCGAGTGGAACTGCTCAGCAGCGTCGAGGTTGGCTGGTGGGTCGGCCTGCGCTGGCGCTGGCTCTGGCTCCTCCCACGCCGGCGTCCGCTGGAGAGTCCGCGACCCCTCGAACAGGAGTCGATATGACGCCGGGCCCCGGTCGACGCTGAAGGCAATCCCCTGATCGGCCAGCGCCCAGAATGCGTCCAGCCTTGCTTCGGCGCGGCGCAGGGTCTCAACGTTCTTTCGGTTGCGGGGTTTGGTGACTGGATAGGCGAAATGGTTTCGAGCCGGGTCGCCCAGCCGGACAACTGCACATGGCGGATGGGTCTCGACAAAGGTCCTCCTGGTAGACTCGGTCAGGGCGTTCCAGGGCCGCGTGCGCCGTGCGTACTCCTGTCTGAACTCGCGCTCGCGGTTGCGCATCTCGACCTCCCAGCTCCGGGCCCAGGGCTGGTATTGGGCCAGCTGGTTCAGGCACTGCATGAGGATCGAGAGGTTGGACACTGTGTCCTGGATGTAGGGGCTCAGCAGATCGCGGAGGGCGGGCTCGCACTCGAGCAGGCGTTCCAGCTCGTCAACGAGGATAGGCGTCCCCGCCAGGGGCACGGTATCTGGGTCCTTACAGATCAACTCGAAGAGGAAGAACAGGTATAGTTCCTTCGTGCGCATCTTCGGCACGGAGCGCAGACTGTAACCCCGTCCGTCGGGCTCAGCGACGAGAAACCTGCGCAGGGATGGCGCGGCAGGCAATGCATGAAGCAGAGTATAGCTTGTCCAGCCGGCTGCATCGAGGAGGCTGTATTTAAAGAACAAGAGCGGCGTGAGGAACTTCTCGAGCAGGTTTTGCGTGACAGGGATCGCTTGCTGCTGCTGCTGCTCGTAGCGAGATTGGAGTTTGATCAGCTCCTGCGCCTGATGCGTAAGGTCCGAGAAGACCTCGACAGCGGTGCACGCATCGTGAACGGTGTGCCCCAGCGTCCGCGCCAGCAGAATGCTTTGTCCCGCCTCGCCTGCGGGGCATCTCTCGTCCTCCAGGCAGACTGTATTATCGCGCAGCTCGGCTCGATGCTCCTTCACCTCGTGCAGCGTCTTCGCGAAGTAGTCCGGGTCCTCACGCAGAGCCCAGAGATGGTCCTCCGCCGCGGCCGTGCGGGCTGCGAGCAGGGATTCCATGCGTCCAAGATCCAGCTGTGCAGGAGGGCGATACGGTGCCTCCGCCGCCAGCACCGTGAGTGCGGCGAACCCGTCCCCGCTGGCATGCGCCATGTCAGGGGGCTCCGGCAGGATGGGGAAGAGGTGATCGGCGAGCAAGTCTTGGTCTGGGATCGTCTGCAGAAGCTGGCGACAACAATTCACCAGAAACGAGAGCACCCGTGCCTGTGCCTCCAGCACCAGCAGCCCGTCCCCGACGTGGAATTGCTTTCGTCTGACGGCCAGGAAAGCCGCCTGGCGATGCTGCTTCCAGCTCAGCAGCTCCCCGTACTGGCGCGTATTCTCGGCTAATCCGTTCAGCAGCATGGTGAATCCCGCGACAAAGACGGGCCTGATGGCCCGCATCTCCAACCCCACGCGCATGGCTTCATGATCCCTCGCAGCAAAGCACGAGGGCGGGTGGCGACCCCGCGAGTTGAGCAGCAGGGGCAACACCTGCTGCTTGGTGACCAGGTCCTCCTGATTGATGTACGGCAGCAAGTAGTAGTCGCGATACTTGGGGCTTTTGTCTTTGTCTTGGGCGGCCTCCAGCTCCCGCCTCCATGCATGAAAATCCGGCCGGTGCGTGGGCGCCATGTCGGGCCACGTGCCCAGGACGACCTTGCGTCTCTGCTCCTGGTTCCGCTTGCACCAGCGCCGGCGCAGGGTCTCCTCATGACGCTGCAGAATTGCGTGGAGTGTGTTGTAGCTGTCAAATATCTCGTCCGACAGGGCGCGTGCTTCGCGGCAAGCGGCCTCCGAGGCTTGGACAGCGGGCATGGGAAGGTCTTCCGCGGGAAAGCCGAGATCAAGGAGGCTGTAGACACTCGCGCGGTCGGTCGGATCGAAGTCGTGCTCGAGGGTTTCATACAACTCCTCCTCGCTGAGTTTGCTGTAGTCGATGGCGCCAGCCCGACTCTGCGCGCGGACGGAGCGGAGGATGATGGGGTAAAGTCCGAAAACCATTGCAAGGGAAAAGGGAAATCTGATTAAGGTGCTCTGAAGTCCGGTGATGGAGTAAGGAACGTCGCCTGCGAAGATCGAGATCTTTATAATTTGCATCTCCAAGAAATCCACCGGCTGTGCATCTGCTGCTCATTATTTGACGGGCATGGCATTGTGCTGGGATGGAGAAAGTACCTCTTCAAGAAAGAAACCCATATCCACCTCCGCAACAAAGACATCTCAGCCGTTCAGCAGGAGTAAATCGCGATATACCTGAACACAAAGCAAGCAAGCAGCGAGCTGACACGATTACCCCATCACACCTCCTCATACCGCTCCACAAACTGCATCGCAAACCCCCTCCTCCGTATGCCACCCAATATGGCAATACATCCACCACGCCCCGGATTATCCGTCAGAAACGCGAGCACCAAATGCCCGTTTTCTGGCAGCCTGCTGGTTCCAAAGGTGGAGACGAACGGGCTGACCCCAGCGTACGTCCCACTTCCCTGCGCCAGGATGGAGAAGTCGTGGCCGTGTAGGTGATATCGTGTGATTGTCGAGCATGAACTCGACATGGGTGTCGACGGCGGCGTTGTACGCGCGCAGTCGGTAGGAAGTCCCTGCCACGAACGAGGTGTTGAAAGCAGTAGCCCGCCTGATGGGCGTAGCCATCACCCTCATCACCATTCGTGTCGTTGATCAGCCCGTTGTCCAGGTTAGGCGGCCCGTCCGTCTGAGCGGTCCTGTACAGCTCGTCCACGGTAGTGATGTCCCAGCCCGCAGCAGGACCACCCCGACGACCCTGCTGCTTCTGCTTAGAAATCAACCTCCCACTCCGTTGCAACAGCATAATCTGTAACTTCACGAGACAACACCCGCCTTGCCCTGGAAACCCCGATATCCCATAAAGGGGACTAGTTTCCACCGTCCGAACTGCTGAGCGGAATCTAAGCCCGAAGTGGTTTAGGTTCCGGATCCCGCAGTGCTTGGTGCTTGGCAGAGTCCGCTGCCTCCCTGTAGTATACAATGATACAATACATTACTCAACTCAATGTTGGGATTGTGTGTTTGATCATGGGACAGGGATCAGATGCAAAGGTTCTGGTGGTGCTGCTCAGGGTGCAGGTCTTGGTGATGCTCTTGTCTATGAGATTCCTCCACTTTCGTCAATCGGGAGATCATCTACAAGATCAAAGACTCTTGTGGGCGAAGGGACCATCGTGCACTTTCAGTGGATATCTTCTTGATACTTGACTTGGACTATCCAGTTTGGTATAAGCTCCGAAAACAAAGAAGCACCCCGCTGCATACTAGTAGTGGAGGCGTGATCGAGGCAGCTGCGATCGGGCTCGCATCTCCCACCACCTTCGGGACTATGATCGCGCTTCAATACAGGTTGCTGGGTCGCTTGAATCAGAATATTCCATGAATCAGAGATAGCAAAATAATTTAATTTCGGGGAGATGCTTAACAGCTTGCTCGTGCTGGTGTGGTGACGGTGGTACAGGCGATAACACAATCTGCGGGCAGATGGTGCAAGCCAACCCTGACATGGCAACCTCCCGCAGCGCCAAGAGTCCCTTCATACCTATTTGCCATCTTCCTGTCATTGTCGTCTGAGCTGTCTTGTATCTCTTGTGAGCGAAGTTGGCGTTGTCGTCGTCGCCTTAGCGTTCTGGGCACGCCATGGCATGCCCTAGGACATTTCCGAGGCGCACATTGGTCTGACAGCGGATTGAGTGCGGTTCATTATAACTGAAGATGATGATTGGATTACTTGCTGCTATCTATCAAACGGGTGTTCTACAGTGGATAATCGGAGCGTATGGTTAGTCTTGAATGGAATCTACTATTGAATCTGGGGGGGTCACAGTCACTTGTATGAAATGGTTAGGGTAGCATGCGTAACAGGCAGTCAGAACCATAAAGTACGTGAGCGTCCGAGTTCTGTTATATATAATCGTCATGAGATAGGGCTCTATTTTCTGAATCCCTTCTATGAGATTAGCGATCAAGGATGCAGGTGCTGTGCCGTTGCCGCATCACTTTACGATGGCAGCTCGACTCTGCGTCTTTGATGTCTCCTCCTCTTCCTTCCCTCCGGATAGATCCTCGAGTAATAGACAATACGAGGTACATTATCCCCGCGTGGACAAATATCTACACGCAATCACACATCAGCAATGCACCCTCCCTGATACCTTCAGACCCAAACACACAAATGACTACAGGACAACCCGATATGATGCCCCCTGGCCGACAGATCAATCATCTTCCACCGATGGGGTCGAGCCAGAGGACATTGTCGTTACGGAAGGAGACTCCTCAGATTGGGCGACAAGTGAGTCATTCTCTGAACAGTGACAGTGACTTAGTCAAACAGCGGACTAGAATGACGTCAAGAGTCTCAAGGCAGAGGGTCATCGCCGCCGATACCTGAAGTTGAGGCTTGAGGATAGTATGATAGGTTCCGGTCACCGCCGCCATAGACGTGTCATCGCGCAGGTTGTTGTTGGGCTCGACTATATGCTACGACAATCACATCGAATAGAAACAGTAGCAAAGTAATTGAGTAGGTGGAGAGATGAGCAAAGGCGGGATGGCTATTGGTAGGTAAGCAATGGATGAGCCTGGAAGTCGAGGTTGAGTGAATGGTAGGATGCTCTAGTAGAGGCCATTGCCGGGGGATCCATAAGCCATGTGAGTATCTCATTAAGTTTCAGCATCTGTGCACTCAGTGCAGTATCTTAGACTTCACGGACTGGAAACGCGGCTTGGGAAATTGGGCAAAAGAGCACCACGCCTACGCAGACAGTCCAATGGGGATATTTTACCTTGTAGCGTCAGTTAGGGGATCGAAGTCTTAGAGACTCCAGCTGAGAACGATATGTGTCTGGTTAAGAAACCTCATCATAATATGGTGCAAGCACATGAGGCACTGAGCCTGAACAGCAGCTGAACTACGATGCCGACAAATCCCAGCTGGCAGGTCCTGCCGGTAGCGGCATCGGTGAATTGGCAAAGAATTGGCAAAGGAATAGCAAGGAAAATGATGTTTAGGGTTAGCCACCCGATTCTTGAGTTTTATCGCGTTTGACAAACAATCTCAGTCTCCTTGACTCACTTATCTCGACCGGCTAGGGCTAGCCGGTGATCGGCTGTATAGAGAACCCTGCCGTATAATGCCTGATCGGGGCGCTACTGATGGGACTTCGTTTTGTTGACCTTTGCTATGATTATAAATGCGAAGTTGAGAGTTGATAGCGATGACTCTTATTCGTTGTTGTATGCAGGAGGTGGGACTTTGTCTAGGGGCTGTATGCATCCCTGCACTTCAGCATTCGTGATGCACGGCATATCGAGTCCACCCTGATCAGCAGTCGTATCTTGCCACTGTCGCCACTAGGTCAGCTCAGAGACCGCAAAGCTGGACGGAGTACGGAGTAGTCTACAGCCAATCCAGAACCGCAAGTCGTCACATATCCATATCCTTCGGGCAACTCGCGACCATCTAGCGAAGTGAAACCGCCAATCTCTCGAATCTTCTGCTTACGTCCCAGAGCATTCAAAGAGATGACCAGTACTACGCAGGCCGCTCTCTCTGCTCGTCGAGTCTGCTTATCAGACCCAGGTTTGTGGTGATGAGCACGGATGGGCTACATGAGGTCATTCGCGAAGAGCAACACCCACTGTCTCCGCATCCCGCGACCGCTGACAACAGCACCTCGATGATTCCCATCGTCTATCGTCTACAATGGAGTCCAACTCAAGAATGACGCCAAGCTGATGCGGTAGCTGGGGTACGATCTGGATAGCGCGCAACCCGCCCAGGAGCGTAAACGAGCAGAAGCGTAATTAAGTCCGGAACACCACGGCACCTGTAAGTCCCAGAGGACGCTTACGTGAGTTGGGCTCTAATCAACTCGGATTTGAATGAAACATCTCGACTTCTCTCCCTGGTTCCAGTGTCATCAGGCAGCTGCCAGTCGGTAGGTAGTCTGGTGGATCCGGTCGTGGAGAAGGAGGCAAGGGAGCAAAGATACGAGTTTGCTCCTCGGGTCTGCCGAGTAAGCGACGGGTTGTCATTCCCCGCTGTAGTAGAGAGAGATTTGGGTCTTGTTGAGTCCGGATGCTCGGCGAGAGAGAGATGGGGGCAACCTCCTGGCTGTACCCCAGGTTGCATCGTTGCCAGGTGGTCTCTCCTCGCTGAAAAAAAAAAAAAAAAAAAAAAGGCGACTCGGGGATTTTGGTTGAGGGTATCTCCGGGTATCGGGTGTTAGGAGTTGTGCACAGTAGATCCCGAATGGGTTACTTTTGCGGTGGTTTCTGATCAGCTGTGGTTATCTCCGGTTGCATGAAGGGAAATGGATGTGTATAGATGTCAGTACTAACTATACCCAGGTATACAGTATTGTAGAGAGGAAAAGTGGACGGCAGATCGGGGGGGGGCCCGTGAGGCCGGGCGGTGTAAGGACGGAAGTGCAGGGCAAAACAGACCGGAGCCGGGCCGGGAGCCGGGATGTTCAGCAGAACGAATGGGCGGAATTGCTGTTACGGCATCACTCCTGCGCACTGCCCCTTTGGGCTCCCCATTCACCGACCGGTTGGTCTCCCTTTGTTGGAGTTGCGTAAACAACGCCCACGAGATGCCTCTGATTCCCCAGATTGAACCGGTTTGTTGCCCCTCACTTTGGGGTTGGGGAGGATTCCCGGGGAAATCATGGTTTTTTGGCCTTCTGTCTTGGGTGGTTTTGACGATTATTGGACTTGCCCATGATATCATCACTAGTAACTAGTTAAATTAAGTATGCTCATAGTTAAGTTAGTGTTAGTGGCACCGGAGAAGGCAGAGAGCCAAGCGGTTGTTTGCCAGACTAGCCGCCTTCTAGAATGGAATGGGCGTGCGGCGCTCTTCACCGGGCATGCAACAGGTCCGGCCACCGGTGAGCCAGCAGTGCCATTGGATGAATCGGGAGCAGTGGGTGTACAATAATTTGGTGCCGTTTTTCCATAGGTTTTCTCTTTCCCCAGATCCATGACCAGACCCAACTGACCCAACCCTAATGGGCTTCTCTGCACGTGGAGACGTGCTCAGCCCTCCCCGTCCCTTCCACTGGCTAGACTGGCAGACACTGCCATTTTCCATGAGCAATGAATTTCTCCTTCCTTGTGCTTGGCGGAGGAATTCATCTCCGCTTCTCGTCCCCAAGTGATTATCTGGAAGAGGAAAGGCAGGCGACATGTAGTGTCCTCAGGCATAGGTTTCAGTTGATTTAGTGATTTAGTGTTAGTAATTTAGTTCCATCAGATAGCTGAGTCAGCCACGCGCGGTGGCATTTCAGGCCGCATGCGGATTAGCTCATACCCGGCTAGACCCCTTTCAGGCCTAGTGAGCCACCGGATCAAGACTAGTGGCTTCGGGAGGCGCAGATTTTGCCCTTGAAGGTTCTTCATTTTGCCGCCCCAGCATCGAGCAAGAATGAACGAGAATCCATATTCCATTCATTGCCATGGATGCAGAACAGACTCCTGCTTCTTCTCCCCATGATGCTTCCCGTCCTCTCGCATGCACGTCCCTTTCGGTCCCTCACTCAATGGCACTTTCTCCATTCCTCTTACCCAACTCCATTATCACATCCCTCTCCCTGTTGATAACATCGAGGGTCAGCCCCGTCTTTCCATGGAAAAAATTTCTATAAGACTGGCATGTTTCCAGAGGACACTCAGTAAGCGAGATTGCCAAGCTTTGACCATCTAGGGCATCTAGGGCTGTTCTCTGCTACGGCATGCCATCGTAGATTGAATGTACCGACTGCAGAGTAGTCCAGGACCAACCAACAACCCAGTCTTGCGGGAGCAAGTACGGGAGCAATAGCTCACCCCCCACCCTCCCAAGTATCTCTCCGGCAGGTCGATCAATGCAGGCTGAGGTTATGCTGTCATGCTCTAAACCCAGCTGGTGCTCTCTCACCCAGCTGTCAGCCAGCTGTGCCAGGATGCAAGATCAGGTCCCGGACCACTGGGGCCGGGGTTAGTCGCAGGGGAAACCCATTGATAAAACGTAAAAGCAATGGATACTGCGGACACAATTTGCTGGTGGACCAAGACATTGATTCATTATCAGCGGACGGATTCTGGGTTCGGCCGGACGACTCCACCCTGTTACAGCGAGGATTGTTACTGCATTGGGGGCGAGAGTCTTGAACCCCCCACACAGATTCCCCCAAGCGTGAAAAAGCCTAAATCTGCCGATCCGCCGTGGATGCAACGAGACAGTTTCGAATCGCACTGCGACGACGGCCAGCCCGGGTTGCTTTTTTCTTATACCACTGGCTCCCCAGCTTTTTCTTTTCCCCCTCTGTTTCTCTCCCTTCTCTCCCTCCTCCTTCTTGAAAGTTGGCCCGTTGACTTGATTGTTGCTGTGTCCTTTGATTCAAGTTATTGTGTTTTCTCTCACTTAAATCGTAGCTGGACGAATTCTGCACGAGACGCGCTTTTCTCTCTCCTCGCCTCCCCCATCTCCACTCTCATCTTTTTCCGGCAAGATGGCCAGCCACGGTCGAGATGTCGAGGCTTTCGACACCCACCACCAGTACCACGATGATGACGAGAAGATCGAGAAGGTCGCTCCCCATGAGTCGCCCCCGGCCGACGACCCGTTTGGCAACGAAGAGACGGCCGAAGTCAAGTTTCGAGTGATGAAGTGGTGGAATTGCGGCATGCGTGAGTTTGGATTCTGGATGTTCAGTCCGCCAAGATCCGCCATTCTGACACTAGCCCTAGTCATGATTGCCGAGAACATCTCGCTGGGCATCTTGTCCCTGCCCTCCGCCGTGGCCACGCTGGGGATTGTTCCGTAAGTGTGCCCAGTCGATCGGAACCCCCTGTCATGTCATGTTGTGCCGTCTGACGGATCTCGATCAGCTCGATTCTCATCATCCTCGGTATGTCCGGGATCTCCTGGTACACCGGCTATGTCATGGGACAGTTCAAGCTGCGCTATCCCCAGGTCCACAGCATGGGGGACGCCGGCGAGCTGCTCCTGGGTCGTGTCGGCCGCGAGATCATGTTTGTCGGCCAGCTATTGTTCTGTATCTTCCTGATGTCCAGCCACGTGCTCACCTTCACGGTTCTGTTCAACACGATCACTGGCCACGGCACCTGCACCATTGTCTTCGGGGTGGTCGGTCTGGTAGCTAGTTGCATCTTTGCCCTCCCGCGCACGATGGGCAAGGTCTACTACATGTCCATCGTTTGTAGGTCCCCCCCAACTTCCTGGGTGTGGTGGTCGTTCGCACTAACCGAGATGAAGCCTGCCTGAGTATCATCGTCGCCACTGTCACCACGATGATTGCCCTCAGCGTGGAAGCCCCGGCCCACGTTGAGAACGATGTCACCACCTCTCCCACCTTTGTGAATGCTTTCCTGGCCGTCACCAACATCATCTTCGCTTTCAGTAAGCATGTCTTGCGTTTTTAGGGCGGGGATTGTAACGACACTAACGTTGACAGTCGCCCACGTGGCTTTCTTCGGCATCATGTCCGAGATGGAGGATGTGCGCGACTTCCCCAAGTCCCTGGCGATGTTGCAGGTGCTCGATACCACCATGTACATCGTCACCGCCATGGTGATCTACCGGTATGCCGGGCCGGACGTCAAGTCTCCGGCCTTGTCGTCCGCCGGTCCGCTCATGAGCAAGGTCGCCTACGGACTCGCCATTCCGACTGTCATCATCGCTGGAGTCATTTTCGGGCATGTCGCCTGCAAGTACATCTTCGTACGCGTCTGGCGAGGATCCCCCAGGATGCACACGAACGACCCGGTGGTGGTGGGCTCGTGGGTCGGCCTCGCGTTGGCAGTCTGGGTGATTGCCTGGATTATTGCCGAGTCGATTCCTGTGTTCAATGACTTGTTGAGTTTGATTGTAAGCCAGCTGTCCGGTGGTGTCGGTTGGTAATTTGGGAGGATGACCGCGCTAACCCTCGTGAATAGTGTTCCCTCTTCGGCAGTTGGTTCAGTTGTAAGTTTTTTTCCGATTGCCCCTTTTTCTTGGGCCTTCCTGTGCGATGAGACTAATCTGCTTCAGACGGTATCCCCGCCCTCATGTGGATGGTCATGAACAAAGGCCAATACACCGCCTCGGCCTCGAAGATCTTCCTGACGATTGTCAATTTAATTATCCTCGGTATTGCGTGCGCGATTGTAAGCTCCCCCTGCCCCTTGATTGCCACTCGATGGGAGGCGCATAATACTGACCAGACCAGTGCGGCCTCGGACTCTATGTCTCTGGCAAATCGATCCACGACAGCACCTCCTCGGCCAGCTGGACTTGCGCCAATAATGCTCAGTCGTGACCTTCCGGAAGTTTCGGCGGGGAAAGCAAGCGGGCGGGGAAGATCCGCTGGCGATGAACTGTTCTTTGCTTTTCTTTTCTATCTATACATACGTGCATGATGCGTCTCTATACATATACATAGCTGACCCGGATTTAGCTGTGCTGTCTGGGGTTTTTTTGGATGGTGTTGGTGTTGGTTTGTGTTTCTAGCAGGCATTTGATCATAGTCATAGTTTGAGTGCATAGTGTATGCATTGATGTTGTTCTTCTCGGATGATATGTGCGTAGAAATGGGTGTAGTGGGGTTGTTAGAACAGTGAGACATTAGCCCTGGGGTGATTGATTCACGGGACGGACGGATTGAAGATGGGACTGCGCCAGGTAGTAGATCCTGGAGGATCGACGAGTGCAGCAGAGGCTGAGTCTAATCTGGAATTATGGCAGATGGGGCTAGAATCGATTAGCTTATTTGGACCTTCCTTGCTGTCTGAGGATGTCCGGTGTCTGTCGGTTGTGTATAGGATTCGGGTCTCGAGTAGAATAAATTAGTAGATTATATGCTATCAGTATTCGTCTACACCCAACACGGAAGATCATCACACAACAACCTAATTCGAGCAACAATATGCGAATTCTCCATCGCATCCACACAACACCACCTTCCTCAATTTCAAAGCTACCATTGAGTTGACACAGAATAACACACACATACGCACGGCCCGCCACCTCAGGTACAGCCTCTCTCGAAATCGGTTTGACCAACAAACGTTTGATCATTACTTCCTTGCCCCACTGCCAAGCCATTAGCATAGATTTATTATTGGGGTGTCGATTTTGAACAATAGACTGCTGTATTTCTCCTACAGAGTATCGAGTATGATACAGTATTATATTTGCACATATACATAATTCTTATATAATATACAAAGAAGCCTTGTATAAAGAATTTAAGTATACATGATTCGATGGAACTTGATAGAAATAGATAGTAGATCATATATAAACTAGAAAAATCAGCTAACTTTGTTTCTAGTATCTAGTAGAACCGCCGCCGATGTAGTATTAATATCATCCCCCTGACGATTACCATAAGATTAAATTAATAATATTTCTGAAGTACTTAGAATTATATAATAAGATACTTCAAAGTACCCTACACCTACAACAGACAGATAAGCTGACAATCCTGGCGCTAAATATAGTAATATAGTTGGGCCATTTGCCGTTACATGATTCTAATACATACAGTTTAGCTGAACCCCGCCTTGGAACGACGTATTCATCTAGTCTATTCTTCTACTCTACTATCCACATACTTCAAGTACCTATCCGCGCAAACAGTACCCTTTATACGTCAACGCAAGGTGCTATGAGGAAGCTTAGATAGATCCTTAGAAGAAGATGAAGAAAAGATTAGATCTCTCCCAGTACTAGAGTCAGTTCGCCGAAATTATTCTAATCATCTACTGAAGACTCTTTGCCATCTATATTTCCCAATAATATCAAAGTTCTGCATGACTGTCCCAACGCTATGATCTTTTCACCGAAAATGCCCCACCGCTTAGACGTGGCCGTGCCGAACATCCTCTCTTGACATTGCCCGCGTCATCTAGAAATGCCTGTCTCTTGCTTATTTCCAGCATCCTCAAATCCCATTCTTATATATGAGTGAGTAGCAAACTGCCTCAAGAAACTTTTGTATCATACACAAAGTGCGCTGAAATCATGATTCTTGTGGTTACTTGCGCAATGTTTGCTTTTTGTGGTGCGGGGTAGCTGAGTGTCGTGGCCAAAGAGCTTGCATATAAAGGCCTTAAGTCTAGTCTCAACTTGCATGTCCTGTTATACCACACCGTTTTGGAATCCTTACTGATACGATGAACAACTCAACAACATCTTATGCCGGCTATAATGCTGGATTCCAGCTGGGTCAAAATGTTGGTCAAATAAATAACAATTACTATAATCAACTAGATGATTCAAAGGTTAGTGAGGTATCCAGTACCACTGGGTTAATTGGGAATTGTATTTCTGAAGTAAACTTACCCTTTCTCGTATTATAGGCTATCAACCCTGAGCTTGATAAGCAGAGAATCGAAAAGGAGAAAGGTGGCCTTCTTCGAGACTCTTACCGCTGGGTGCTCGATCACGATGATTTCAAAAATTGGAGATACACTGCAGGCAATCAATTTCTCTGGATCAAAGGTGATCCTGGTAAAGGCAAGACAATGCTAATTTGTGGTATTATCAATGAGCTTTTAGAGAAAGCTAGCCAAGATGATATTAATATTGTCTACTTCTTCTGTCAAGCCACCAATACTCGTATAAACAGTGCTACAGCGATTTTACAAGGACTTGTTACTATGCTTGGGAAGCAACAGCCTCTACTTCAGAACCACATTCCTGCGAAATTTCTTAACAATGAGAATGGGTGGTTCGAACTACGCAGTGTCTTTCGGAAGATACTCCGAGATCCAGCTATGAAGAAGACCTACCTAATGATTGATGCACTGGATGAGTGTATTGTTGATTTGAATAGTCTTCTTGAACTTCTTGAGGAGGAATCATCAGATCATTAACATGTGAAATGGATTGTGTCGAGTCGAAACTGGCCGATTATCGAGAAATATCTTGATAATACAAAAGGAATCAGAATTCAGCTTGAGCTGAACCAAGACAATCTAGCTGCTGCTGTTGACTACTTTATCAAGTATAAAGTAGAGGAGTTGTCAAAGAGAAACAGATACACCCTTGAAAAGAGAAAGATGGCTGAAAATCACTTGTTATAGAATGTAAAAGGAACCTTTCTCTGGGTTGCTTTAGTTTGTAAGCAGCTGTAATATATCTCGGCAAGATACTTACAGAAAAAGCTTAAGGATTTCCCTCCTGGGCTTGATGAATTTTATCATCGAATGTTCAGCAATATTCAGGACTTGAATGATGATGTTGAGCTATGTCTGTCATTGCTCGGAATCATCATAACTGTCTATCGTCCTATCACATTAGACGAGTTATTATTATATCTTGAATCACAGGACGAGGTTACCTACGATGATCTCAGAGAGATTGTGAAACTCTGTGGATCCTTTCTTACTCTTCAAAATCAAACAATCACCTTAGTTCATCAATCTGTACAAGACTTTTTACTGAAACACACATCTCACAGTATTGCACCTTATGGAATACAGAAGATATACTACTCTCTCTTCTCTAAGTCTTTGGAAAGTCTTCATACAAAATTACAACGGAATATATATAATCTTAGAGATCCTGCAGTTTCTATTATTCAGATTAGCCAGCCAGAACCAGATCCGCTGGGCACAGTTCGGTACGCATGTGTGTACTGGACAGATCATCTCAATGACTACTTCAGCGATAAAGAGACAAGTATACAAATCTCAGATACGATGCTTCTCGATACTTTTCTCCGTCAGGATCTACTCCATTGGCTTGAAGCTCTTAGCTTGACCAGAGAGTTATCAGAAGGAGCTAAATCAATGCTAAAGCTTAAAGAATTATTATTGAAGGTAATATCCCATCATTATAGATAATATTTTATTCTTACTTGAACTTAGACAATGACAAGAGATACAGAAGTGATCTCAAGAGTTCAAGATGCGTACCGTTTTATTATATACCACAGAGCAATGATAGAGAATTATCCACTTCAAGTATATGCTTCTGCCATGATTTTCAGCCCACAAAGCTGTATCACAAGACGTCAATTCAAGCCTAAGGTCTTACAGTGGATAAGTGAGAAACATATCGTGGAAGAACACTGGAGCGCCTGCCTGCAGACGCTTGAGGGTTATGAATCTGTGGTCTTCTTATATGACTCTAAGCTGCTGGCCTCTGCTTCTCGAGACAAGACTATCAAGCTGTGGGATGCCGACAGCGGCGCCTGCCTACAGACGCTCGAGGGTCATAGGGGCTTGATCAAGTCTGTGATCTTCTCACATGACTCCAAGCTACTGGCCTCTGCTTCCCAGGATAAGACTATTAAGCTATGGGACGCCGACAGTGGCACCTGTCTGCGGACGCTTGAGGGTCATAAAGACTGGGTCAAGTTAGTGGTCTTCTCACATGACTCTAAGCTGCTGGCCTCTGCTTCTCAAAACAAGACTGTCAAGCTGTGGGATGCCGGCAGCGGCGCCTGTCTGCAGACGCTCGAGGGTCATGAATTTGTAGTCTTCTCGCATGACTCTAAGCTGCTGGCCTCTGCTTCTCGAGACAAGACTGTCAAACTGTGGGATACTAGCAGCGGCACCTGCCTGCAGATGCTCGAGGGTCATAAGAGCTCGATCAAGTCTGTGATCTTCTCGTATGACTCCAAGCTGCTGGCCTCTGCTACCCAAGATAAGACTGTCAGGCTATGGGATGCCAGCAGTGGCGCCTGCCTACAGACGCTCCGGGGTCATAATAAGCTAGTCTGCTGTGTAATCTTCTCACATAACTCTAAGCTGCTGGCCTCAGCT